TTCTCCTTGGCGCGGTCGAGTTGAACAATCCTATCCAGTTGCACCACGAAGACTTCAAGACGTTGCCGATCACTCTGCTCTTCTCAGTTCATGCCAAGGACAACAGGGAGCCTGCCAATATGGCGGACGACAAGTTTGACGCCCTGATGAGTGCCCACCGGCGGTTCATGAACGAGCTGGGTGAGGTCAAGGTTCGAGATCTTATCGAGCCTCTGGTCCAACTCCAGCACGTCGACTCGACGCTGGCCCATCAGCTTTGGATCGCCCTGTTCCCCATTTACTGGTCTGCGACGATGAGGGAGGAACGCCACGACCTCGAGCGAGGCATGGTTGCGCTCCTGACAAAGGACTACCATAGCCGCCAGATCGACAAGCGACCGAACGTGGTTCAGTCCCTGCTTGAGGGTGCGGCCAAGGCCTGGCCCGACTGTAAGATCCCGCCGCATGTTCTCAAGTACGAGGCCAAGACGTACGATGCGTGGTACACCGCGCTTGTGCAGCTTGAGAACGCGGCCATCAAGCCAGAGATCGAGTCGGCAGTCGTCCGTGAGAGCAACCTCGACGCACTTGTCGAGCTGTATGCTTCACTGCAGGAGGACGATCTGTTCTACGGCACATGGCGCCGACGATGCCAGTTCGTGGAGACAAACGCTGCGCTGTCCTACGAGCAGAATGGAATGTGGGACAAGGCCCAGAAGATGTACGAGGCCGCCCAGATCAAAGCTCGAACTGGCGTTATTCCCTTTTCCCAGGCCGAGTACGTTCTCTGGGAAGACCACTGGGTTTTGTGCGCGCAGAAGCTGCAGCAGTGGGAGATCCTCCAAGATTTTGCCAAGCACGAGAACTTCCAGGACTTGCTCCTCGAGTGCGCGTGGAGGAACAACACCGAGATGTGGCAGACACAAGAGCATCGCGAGGCCTTGGACAACCTTATCAAGGGTGTTATGGACGCTCCCACACCCCGCCGTGCCTTCTTCCAAGCTTTCATGTCGCTTCTCAAGTTTTACAACAAGCAAGAAACGCCGCAGGACTTTGCCAAGGCGTGCGATGAGGCCATTCAGCTGTCGATCAGAAAGTGGCACCAATTGCCCAAGCGGCTGACCAAGGCACACATCCCTCTGCTTCAGAACTTCCAGCAACTGGTTGAACTTCATGACGCAAGTGTCATCTGTAACAGTCTGGCCAGCACTAACCAGTCCAACTTGGATGTCAAGTCTGGAGAGCTTAAGCTGCTGCTTGGTGCCTGGCGCGACCGTCTGCCCAACGTCTGGGATGACATCACCGCCTGGCAGGATTTGGTCACCTGGCGTCAACACATCTTTGGCCTCATCAACCAGACGTACCTACAGCTGCTGCCACAAGGAGGTGGACAGAACGCCAGCGGCGCCTCGTTCGCCTACCGCGGATACCACGAGACTGCCTGGATCATCAATCGCTTCGCGCATGTTGCTCGTAAGCACAGCCTTCCAGAGGTTTGCATTACGCAGCTAAGCAGGATCTACACCTTGCCCAACATTGAGATCCAGGAAGCCTTCCTTAAGTTGCGGGAACAAGCCAAGTGTCATTACGAGAACCCCGAGGAGCTCACGAGCGGGTTGGACGTGATCAACAACACGAATCTCAACTACTTCAACCCGCCTCAGAAGGCCGAGTTCTACACCCTCAAGGGCATGTTCCTCGAGAAGCTCAAGCAGAAGGAAGAGGCAGACTCCGCCTACGGCACGGCCTTGTACTTCGATATCACTGCGGCCAAGGCCTGGGCCGAATGGGGCTACTTCAACGAGCGCAAGTACAAGGAAGACCCGTCGGACATCAACTCGGCCCGCCAGGCACTTACGTCGTACCTGCAAGCCGCCGGCAGCTACAAGAACGCCAAGTCACGCAAGCTCATTGCTCGCATCTTGTGGCTGCTCAGTCTGGACGATGCCAATGGTTCCATTGCGGCTGGCTTCGACGACTTCAAGGGCGAAACTCCTGTCTGGTACTGGATCACCTACATTCCTCAGCTCATCACTGGCCTCGGCCACAAGGAAGCCCCCAGGGTCCACCAGATCCTGGTTAAGATCGCCAGATCTTATCCCCAAGCCCTGTACTTCCAACTCCGCACCAACAGAGAGGACATGTTGGTCATCAAGAAGAATCAGGAGGCCAAGGAGAAGGCGCGCCAGCGCGCTCAATCTACCGTGTCCAACGGCAAGCCCAGCGCATCGCCCCAACAACCTAAGCAAGACGGCGTTGCGAAGCCAGACGCCTCTGGCTCGAGGCCTGGCACTGCCAGTGGCGGCGACGCGAATGCCTCCGTTAAGACCGAGGGCAACGATGCGAACGGCACTCCTGCTCCTCAGGCCAACGGTACCGGAGACCAGACCGGCGCCGGCCAGAAGAAGCCGCCATGGGAGCTCACCGAGGAGATTATGAGCGCTCTCAAGACTGCTTTCCCTCTTCTCGCGCTGTCGATGGAGACCATGGTGGATCAGATCCAGAAGCACTTCAAGTGCCCGCCCGATGAGGATGCGTACCGTCTCATTGTTGCTCTCCTCAACGATGCGCTGGCCTATGTCAGCCGCATGCCTTCTTCGTTTGCCAAGGACGTCAAGCTTCCCTCGGCCACTGAGACCAACATCACTCGTTTCGCCGAGACGATTCTTCCCGCTCACATCAAGAAGTCGTTCGAGGCCGATTTCGTCGACGTCAAGCCTACGATGTACGAGTACATTCACAAGCTGAGACGCTGGCGCAACAAGTTCGAGGAGAAGCTCGATCGCCGCACTACGCGGGTTTCTCTCGAGGCCTTCTCTCCTCACCTTTCAGAGTTCCGCTACCAGCGTTTCGATGATGTCGAGGTTCCCGGCCAATACTTGCAGCACAAGGACAAGAACCAGGATTTCATCCGCATAGAACGCTTCTTGCCCAACGTTGACCTGGTGAGGTCGATTAGCGCCTCGTACCGTCGTCTCCAGATGCGCGGCCACGACGGAAGCATCCACTCATGGGCCGTGCAGCACCCTGCAGCGAGACACTGCCGTCGCGAGGAGCGCATCTTGCAGTTGTTCAGACAATTGAACCAGACCTTGAGCAGAAGAAAGGAGAGTCGTCGCCGAGACCTCCAGTTCACGCTGCCGCTGATGGTTCCTCTGGCGCCTCACATCCGTATCGTGCAGGAGGACACTTCATACATTACCCTTCAGAGCGTGTATGAGGACCACTGTCGCCGTCACGGCATGTCCAAGGACGACCCTGTGTTGTTCACAATGGAGAAGTTGCGCGGCGTTCTCGACACTAAGAACTCGGTAAGTACTGCCGCAAAGGAACAAGAGCAGTTGTCAGAGCCTAACGATCCGCCACAGAAGCATGCTGAGCAAACCGCGACTGCTCGGCTTGAGGTGTTCCACGCCATTCAGGAGAAATGGGTACCGCAGAACCTGGCCCTGGACTACTTCCAGCGGGCCTTCCCCGACTTTACAGAGTTCTGGCTGTTCCGCAGACAGTTCTCGTACCAGCTTGCGTCGCTCACGTTTATGACGTACATCCTCTACATGCACAACCGCTACCCACAGAAGATCAACATTGCTCGCGGATCCGGAAATATCTGGGGATCGGAGCTCATGGCGTATATGAGCGCTGCGAAGCCCTTCTTCCATAACCCGGAACCAGTGCCCTTCCGACTTACGCCCAACCTGCAGACCCTGATGGGACCGTTGGCGACGGAGGGTATCTTCAGCTGTGCTCTCATGGCCATTGCGCGATGCCTCACAGAGCCCGAGTACGAGCTCGAGCACGCCCTCACGCTCTTCGTGCGCGACGAGATGATCTTCTGGTTCACGAGCTCGCACAGGACCGTCCAGATGACTGAGAACCAGCTCCGCGAGTCGGTGCAGGTCAACAGCGACTCGGTTGTTAAGCGCGCCGTCAGCTTGGCACAGAGCCCTGTCGGCAACTTGCCGGCCAACCAGACGGTTATTGACCTGGTTGCGAAGGCTGTAAACCCTATGAACTTGGCCCAGTGCGATGCACTCTGGATGCCATACTTGTAAGGGGACAACATGTTAAGAAAGAAAGAAAGAAATTAGGAGGGATTAGGGATGGATGTGTGTCTAGACGGATTTCCTGTTGTATGATTTCAGCCAGGCGTTTTTGGGATGCGAAGGGGATGGATGGCTCGGAGGGCATCAGTCTATTATCTGGAGGGAGAGGAGGGAGAAAATAAATGGTTAAGATGACGACTCCCTGTTTGTACTTGTACGGCCGTCTAGCACTAGAACACTGCACACTACCAGTGCACTCACTATATCGAAGCACCATACAGTTTCACACTAATCAGACTGTTTGTCCACTTATCCCGATTGACGTTCGATTTGTCTCGTTAAAGTTTGTGATGATAGGTGATGGCCTGAAAGTAGGTTTTGGATGCAGGCGAACTCCCAACGTAGAGTTTCGGGAGATTCTAGTGGCCGCGATAACAACCGGGGTCGACCTGGCATGGTGGCCGAGACGCACGCCAACGCCAAAGTGCTGAATGACAGTGCCAACACCAGGGATTCGGTGACAGTCCGAACTCGCTTCGCACATGGGCCACATCCCACATTTCTGTCGAGAGCCCCTGTCCACTCACCGCGCGGCGTCGGCGACCGACTGCTCGGGACCCTCCTTATCTACGAGTTGTTCTTGAGCTTCCTTATCGGGGCGCTCCCAGTTCGAGATGGATGACGATTTGTAATCCCGGGGCGAGGGGCCGACTGGGGACAACGGGGTTTGGGCGTGTCACTCACTATCCTAGTCTTCTCGGTATCTTTCCTACGTCCTCGACTTGCTTATCTTTAGTCCTCCCCTCGTTGGATCTCGAGTTGTCGCTCCGGTTCAGTGAACACTCACCGTTGAGTCCTTCCACAACTCCAGAGCTCACTCAGACCTTGTCGACGCCGAGGCACGCGACAACCCAGCGACGACACCACCACGCAAAGACGATCATTCTCTTATCATCGCCGCCCTCAACCGCCGATATGTCCGCCGCTGCGATGGACCACTCGTCCAAGAGGCCGCCCCTCAACCTGGAGCACCACTACTCTTCGGTCACCAACAGGCGCCTGCCCAGCAAGATGAAGGAGTATTACAAGTATTTTCAGATCCCGGGCATTGGGAACTTGGCTGGAGGTGAGTCTTTCTCAAATCCGCATCTACACTTTCACCCTTTTTGCCCTTTGATACGGCGGGTTTCTGGAGGTTGCACTGTGCCGCGTCAACTCGGCGACCCGGTTGCTCGTGCTGCCTCCCCGCAGGGCGGGAAGGATGCCGCCATACATGCCGTAATACGCACCTTGGGTTGCGTGCTTCCCGCTCCGCGTTGCAATTGCGCCTTCGATGCGGCAATGACCCAATGGCATTCGCAATCCCGATCTCGGCCATGACCTTGGAACACGACTCGCTGACTGCATGCCCCGTCTTTCGTACCTTACAGGCCTGCCGCATTCGAGCCTGTTCCCGTTCGACACCCTTGAAGCGCAGGCGGCGAAGCCCGAGCGCTGGGAGCCGTCCCCGATCCCCGATGACGGCACCACCGGGGTCACCACCGCTCTCCCGATCCGGAGCAGCGCCGGTGCAGGAAAGGACACGGAGAAGGACGTCAAGGCGGCGCGGCACGTCACCGTCCCCGGGACCGATGCGGACCCCGACCCGCTCCGGCGCATCGACGTCGCGACGGCGCTGCAGTACGGCACGGCCGAGGGGTACCCGCCTCTGCGGTCGTTCATCAGGCAGTTCACCCGGGAGCACCTGCACCCCAACGTGCCGTACCTGGGCGGGCCCGAGGTCATCCTCAGCTGCGGCTCGACCGACGGCTTCTCCAAGACGCTGGAGCTGCTGACGGACACGTGGGACCCGGCCCGGGACCCCGCGGCCGAGAGGCCGGGCATGCTGTGCGAGGTCTTTGTGTACAGCCAGGTCCTGTCGCAGGCGCTGCCGAGGGGCGTGCGGGTCGTCCCCGTCGAGATGGACGAGGGCGGCATGAGCGTCAGCGGGCTGGAGGAGGTGCTGGCGGGGTGGGACGATAGGAACGGCAAGCGGCCGTCCTTCCTGTACACCGTGACGTGAGTCTCAGATTCCTTCTCTGTTGGGATCCCGTTCGGGACTTTTCTTGCCCTAGTGAGACATTTAAGCATGGCTAACACGTGGCGGGGTTACAGCATGGGTCACAACCCGACCAGTGGCGTCCTCTCGGTTGAGCGCCGCAAGGAGCTTTATGCAATCGCCAGCAAGTACGACATAATCATCGTCGAGGATGATCCGTACTGGTACCTGCAGTATCCCTCGGCCGTTGTGGCGGAGGCCAAGTCTCGGGGGTTGGAGGTCCCCCCTCCCCTCCGACGTACAAGCCCGCCAAGTCGTCGGGTTACCCGTTCCTCGACTCCTTGACTCCGTCGTTCCTCAGTGTCGATACCGAGGGCAGAGTCATCCGTCTCGACACATTCTCCAAGACGATTGCGCCGGGATGCCGACTGGGCTGGATCACGGCGCAGCCCGCCATTATTGAGCGCCTGCTGAGGTACGTCGCCCTCACTCTCAAAGCCAAGTTGGTATTACGAGCACTCACTTACATATTTATAGGATCACCGAGGTCACCACCCAACAGCCTTCAGGCTTCGTGCAATCCACCGTGGCCGAGCTGATCATGGGCGAACAGCCCGCCGCGGCGCGATCCGCCTTCGCCGCCCTTACCTCGCGTCAGAAGCAGACGTTCGAGGGCTGGAAGATGGACGGCTGGGTGCGCTGGCTTGAGGGCCTCCGCGGCGTGTACGAGCGCCGCATGAACCGCATGTGCACGATCCTCGACGAGGGGTCCATCCAGCTGAAGCAGTCGACGCCGCGCAGCGCCGACGACGCCGACTGGGGCGTCGTCAGCAAGACGAAGCTCTACGAGTTCGACTGGCCGCGCGGCGGCATGTTCATCTGGCTCAAGCTCCGCCTCGAGACGCACCCGCTGTGGCAGGCGACGGGCGGGCAGAAGGTCCCGCTGCTCGACGGCGAGAGCCTGTCGACGGCGCTCATGTTCCTGGCGACCAAGAAGCCGTACCGCGTGCTCGTCAGCCCGGGCCTCATCTTCAGCGCGACGCCGGCGATCCGCGCCGAGCGGGGGTGGGCGTACTTTCGTATATGCTTCGCGGCCGAGACGGAGGAGAACATTGACCTCTGTTCGCAGAAGCTGGCCGATGCAATTCAGAAGTTCTGGAGGATCAAGAAGGTGGAGGAGGTGGAGGACTTGCTTGGCGACTTTGTCCCGCCTCAGGACGACGAGGTGTTTGGCAACCTGGGTACCTTCATGGGATGCTGATACATGATAGCGGGCAGATTCGAGAGACGCAACGAATGTTATGAAATAGTTTATAAACGAGATTGAAGGACAAGGCAGACAAACATACAGCACGAGGAACATGTCACATAAACAAGCGAGCACACTCGAGTTTGGAAAAACTTTTTGCAGCTACCTTCCAGCCACTACGTAAATGAGAGTGTACAAAAGCAAAGAAAAGAAAAGTCATCATCACGTGGAATCGGGTCGTCACGGTCTAGGGGGGGCCAGACCAAAACACACGACAGCTTTTTTAGATTTCAAGGGAATCATTTGTCCATTGATGAATTGAGGTCAACATTTCCTAGTTGTCCATTACGCCTCAAGCACAAACCATGCTAAAATGTAGCCCCGTCCTTTTTCAGAACCGTCCGTTCCACCACCGTCGTCAGACACCCGTCACAGAAGAAGTTGCTTATTTCTTCTGGGCAGCCTCCTTGGAGAATACCGAGGCGTAGGGGTTCAGGCGGAGCATGACCTGCTTGTTCTTGAGGGGGTTCTTCTTCTGGACCGCGGAGCGGCGGGTCAGAGCGTAGCCCTTGGGCTCGTTCAGGGCGGACTGGGTTTCCGAGCTGTTGATCAGACGGGTCAGGTCGCTCTGGGAGACGATGTTGGAGGGCAGCAGGAAGTCCTTCTTGAGGGCGGAGGGCTGGGTGGTGGTGCCGTAGATGGTGTCCAGGGACTTGAAGGCGGCGGAGGTCCAGACGATGAAGCGGCCGAGGTGACCACCGGGGGCGAGCTGGAGGAGGTTGAGGGCGGTGACGGGGGAGGTCTCAACACCGGGGATGTTGCGGAAAGCGGTGACGAGCTCCTTGCCGTCGACCTCGGGGTCGTAGATGACCAAGGGACCGCGGCGCTGGCGGAAGCGGCGGCCACGGAGCTTGCCCTTACCGGCGCGGAGCTTCTTGGACTTCTTGACCTTCTCGACGTCGTCGGCGGCGCCAACGGTCTTCAGGAGAGAGACGGCAGCAGCAGTGTGGGCGACGGCAGCGTTCTCGAAGAGAGCAGAGTCGACGACCAGGGGGACCTCGGGGACGTTGGAGACCTGGTGACCGCGGGCCTGGAGGAGAGGGGCAACGCCGGAGGCGGCGATGGCAGAGACAGTAGCGTAGCGCCTGGTGAGAATCTTGTTAGGAGCGGCATTCCTCGATGGTTTCCGTCTTTTTCTCCCCCCGCAGTGGGGTTCCAAGGGAAAAAACTCACTTCTGGCCCTGGTTGACCTTGACGTGCCACTTGCGCCAGGTCTTGGTAGGGGCGAACATGCGACCGGAACGGCACATGTTACCGAAGGCGGCCTGACCGGCGCGGTGAGTACCACCACCGGAGACACGGGGGATACGGGCAACAGCACGACCTGTGGTGTTTCTGTCAGCTCAATGGTTCCCCGTCGCTGTGGTCGAGTGGTCATGTCCTCCTCCAGCAGTCGCAGGCCCAATCCGTCGAAGAAAATGTTACGCTCGTTCCCTCGGCATAGTATCTCTTCCAGCAGTTTTGCGTCGACACTCCCCTTCCGAGATTTCTGCCCGAGGTCCCTTCACGTTCGCTTTCCCTCTCGAATCGATGCCCGCTCCTGGCTGGAAAATTCTCTTTGCACCCTCGGGAGGTGACGACTAACCAGTTCCCCAAGACTCAGCAGAGGTCTGGTGACCGGCCTTCTCGCTGACGGAGTAGGGCTGGCGCTTGTTCTTGGCCATGCCCTTGTGAACCTCCTGGACGATATCGGGGCGGATAGGGCTCAGGAAGACGGCCGGCAGAGTGTGGGTGTTGCCGGAGGACTTGCCATCCTTGCCGATGATGGTGACGGTAGGTCTCGAAGCCATTGTGTTGATCGTGATTGACCCTGAGGACGGACGGACGGTTAGTTGACGGCGGGAAGGTTGGCAGGAGAAAGGAAAGGAAAAGAGAAAAATTCAGTCGCCGGGACGCCTTGCTGGAGATGGAGAAAATTTCGACAAGGAACAGAAGGAAATTCGAGCCTTACCTGGGTCAACGGTGGGCTTCAGTGCTGCTGGGTTAGTGACGGGGTTGAAGTTGAGCACTTTCTGGCTTCGCGATAAATTTCACCTGGTAATTTTTTTCTGAGTGCTCGCCGGTTTGGTGGGCGGAGACCCTAAACGCTACGTACCGAGTTAGCGAAAGAGCCCGGGCCGGGTCACGTGAGCCGTGCGGGTCACAGTGCTGGCAAGGTCTGCTGGGACGGTGAGCTGGTTCCACCTTGACTGGCCGGTCCACATTGGAGATATCTGGATCTGGGAGATTCAGCTTCGTGGCTTGCAACACTGCTTTCGCCATTGACTCTAGCTCATTTTGTTTGTTGAACTGTTGCAATAGGAAGTGCATGCATTTTCAGATCAGTTTTTCTTCATCCCGAAGCCAAATCACTCTGCTATCTGATCCTCATTACCGATGACGCAACTATCCGTTGAGAACTCTATGGAGGTAAGGTAGACTGATCCAATTGCGCCAATATCTCAAGTAACTTTGCTCGGCATGTACACCAGGGAGAGGGTTCCATCGCAACCCCGCGAACAAGCGCAACATTTTTGGGAACAACCAAACTCACTATAGGTTAGCCTTTAAAGCAATCAGTTGACCAAAATGGATTATGTTCAAGACTACAATGCTATATGTCTTGGCTGTATCGAGAACTCGCAGCAACTTTCGACAGTCCACAGAGATGGGACGCAAGCCCACTTATCGGAGTGTCATCGTTGCATGACATTCGTACCAAATAGCAACAGATGCTGCCTTCAAGTCGTATACTCATTTGTCTGCTTCTCTGTATGTCTAATTGAGGATGCACACTCCTATACAACCTTTGTAATGGTGTAAAACAGTACAGGAATGTGGTGTCGGAGCACGTCTGGCCAGGTACCTACAGTTTCTGTTCCCACCACCGCCAGCCCTTCCTTCTCATCATAGGAAACGTCAACAATGTAGATATGACAACTCACTCCACAAGAAACTGTTGGCCACCAGTAAAGAGCCCAAAAAGGACACCTGCTATAATGTGACAAAAGAAGTGGGCCCTAACCAGGGATCGAACCTGGGACCTCTCCCAGACTGAGATGTCGAGGACAACCCTAAGGGAGAATCATACCGCTAGACCATCAGGGCTGAGAAGTAACTCTTTTGTTGTTGAAAGGTCGACTCATTTGGAGGTCTAAGTACTCCTACCATAGTCTCCCGTATTCCCTGCCCAGTAAGCCCGACGGTTGAATATTGTAACTAACTCACAGGTTCCAGCTGCTGGCTAGCATTTGTCTCTATTTAGACTGACTCGACTTAGAACTGGGCCCTGTATGAGAACACACTTCGTCCGCCCCCATCGGTTTTTGCTGGCTTCTGCCATCGAATCAGTGAGGCCATCAGCTGCCAGTGCAGTTTCGAGAGGTATTCTACCTCTTCTGTAGCAAATCGAAACGGCCGAAGCTATCAAAGCTATCAGAGGCCAATACCCCTGTCAACCACCCCCAGAGATAAGGCGAAGCTACGCGTCCCAGTGTCGCAATCGACCTTCTCAAAGTCGGCATCCGAGCCTGCTTATGCCCGAGCCTACGTGAACTCTGCACCTTACACACGTAACCACAAAGAAGCGTGCAACTCTTGGTGAATCTGGGCTTGTTCAAGTCACAAGGTTTCGAGCAACATTTTACGGGCTGCATAGTTGCGATCCTCTCGGTTTAACGCCGAGCATCGAGGTTTCCGATGGCGGACCTCCTCCGTACCGACGAAACCTCGCCGTTTCTTCAGCAGCCGCCGGTTGCCAGCTCAGTGTCTCACGACAGCGACGGCACCCCGGTGGCCGCACGGAAACTCACGCTCTTCAATGGCCTCGCCATCGTCATTAGTCTTCAGATTGGTTCCGGAATCTTCAGCGTCCCCTCGCAAATCAGCCAGTTCGTCACGGCTCCGGGGTACGGGCTACTAGCATGGCTTTTCGGCGGTCTGCTCGTCTGGACCGGCGCAGCATCCTTCATCGAGCTCGGGCTCCGGATCCCGAACAACGGCGGCATCCAGGAATACCTGCGTGCCTGCTACGGCGAGTTCGCCGGCTTCCTGTTCACGTGGGTGTGGTGCATCATCATCAAGCCCGCGGCGAACTCTATGATTGCGACGATTTTCGCTGACTATCTCACCGATCCCTTCGTTACGGACCAGAAGGCGCTGCCGTCGTGGATATCAAAGGTTGTGGCGGCGGGTTGCATAGTGGTCATGACACTCGTCAACTGCATGGGCGCAACCGCGGGCGCCAAGGCGGCTAACTTGTTTCTGTTCCTCAAGATGACGGCTCTTGCTACTATCATCATTCTCGGCTGTGGTGTCTGGGCCTTTGGCCATGGGGATGGAGTTCCATCATCTGAATATGGCTGGTTTGGACAGGCTCCCGAGCAACGTGAAGTCGGTATCTGGGAGTGGCTTGGAGACTTCGGAACAGCAACATTTGGGGCATTGTGGTGTTACGCCGGTTGGGAAATGGTGAGTATTCTACGTCCCCGATTCAAAACGGCCGAATGCTGACCGCCATGTAGGTTGGCTTTGTTTTGGGAGACATGAAGAATCCCAGAAGAGATCTGCCCATTGTGATCAATGGCTCTATGATTATAGTGATTATCGGTTTCATGCTGATGAATGCTGCTCTGTATGTCTGTCTGCCCATGAGCGTTATGCGGACAAGCAGCACCGTTGCAGTAGTAAGATTGACACGCCCAAACAGCTGAAGCCCTTCAGAAAGTTGACCTGGGTTTAGGAATTTGCCAACAGAGTCCTCGGCAACTGGGCTGGACTTCTCTTCTGCCTGGTAGTATCGGTTTCGGCGATGGGCGCCCTGAACTCCAATGTTTTCGCAACCGCCAAACTCGTTGTAGTTGCAAGTCATAGGGGATACTTCCCTGCCATTTTGGCGAACCTCCACTGCAGTCATGAAAAGGATGAGGCAGGTTGTATCGACGAGTATATGTCTTCCCTGCCAAGAGTGGTTAAGGGGCCGGTCAAAGGCTTCTTATCCTGGACACAGAACCGACGTTGGCGGCGAAATGTGCCCGTGTAAGTGTGACACGTTGCTGGCAATATCGCTACTGCGCTGACGGGCATACCAGGCTTCCCCTGCTCTTAAATTGCGTGTTATCGGTTGTGTATGTGGTTGTTGGAAGCTTCAATGGGCTTGTCACGTTTATTGGTGAGCGGACACGCGTCGGAACAAATCGGTTGTATTGCAAACTGACGTCTTCCAGGCCTGGCGGCGTACACGATATTCTTCTCTTCGGCGGTTGGACTTATTATCCTCCGTCAAAGAGATGCTCGCGCACCAACGGCAAAGGCTGCCGAGTACAGCACTTGGCTCATAAATCCCGTCATCTTCAGCGCCATCAGTGGTCTGCTGGTAGTCAGAGGAGTCATCTCGGAACCTCTGCAGGGAGGGGCTATTCTCTTGGTCGCCGTATTCGGAGTAGCCTTCTTCTCACTCAGGTTCGGGTTACGTGGCTTTACCCACACAGAACGCAGCTGAGGCTTGCCCAGCTGACTTTGCCGTTATGGTTGTGCGGCATCTGCAGCCTCCCTTCGCCGAGAAAGGCATTCGCGGCTGGATTGGCCGCTTCTGGGCTTAGACTATTCCTCGCACGCGCACCAACTGGACTAACCCCAGGCCTCCCCAGGTCGGTGATGCGATGCAGACCTGCCAAAGAGGACTTGGAAGGACGAGCCCCCAAAAGAATCATTCTTCGAGGGCATCGCACGTACAGCTGACTGGAGGCTGGCACGTTTCCCCATAATTGTCCCAGCATATTGTTGGTGTCAGCGACAACGCGACGGGCACTTGGCAAGCCAAGAGCCTGAGAGGTCTGTGGAACTCTGGGCGACAGCACAGTCCGTGTTGGGCTCAAGTGCCTCTTTTGTTCCCAGGGAGACTGGATGAGCTACGAAACCTTGGGAAAATCCGACGCCATCCAAAGGCATCAGGAGAAGACCCTGTCGCCAAAGATAGGCTTGCGGCCACTAAAGACGCACACTGCACGGTGTCTCAAGAGCTTGGATGACCTCAACCAGGGGCCACTGCACTTAGCTTCGGCACAATTGATTAGGTCGAAAACCATTTAGCAACGTCAAAATACGTTGAGGGTCGAGCTCTTTGTCATATTGAATGGGGCCGTAGATCGTAGTGGCGTGAGAGCTGTTGCAATCGATTTCCACCGCTCTTTCTGAGTGCAGATCATCGGAAGTAAGGGTGTCGATGGCAGTCTGGATGACGAGCTGGCGTCGATGGCTGCAGCTCCAACACGCCGGAGACTTTGGGAATTCTAGAAGTGCACTGGAGCTGTCCGCCATCCGCGGCAGCTAGCCGTCTGCATGACCCCATTGTGGATGGAGGGGAGAGGAGAGGCGGGTGTCGAAGCCTGAGGGGGGGTGGGGGTGAATTAGACGGCGTCTGACATGGCAGCAGCATCTTCCCGTAAACTTCGAGCAGGATGCGTAAGGTAGCCTAGGATGCCGCATTATTGCTGTCACAGACCGGACCCAGAGATGCAAGATAAGAAGCGATGTGTTTCGGCTTCAGGTCTCTTGTGAAAAACACTCAAGAAGATCCGATGGCCTAATGACAGACATGGTGTGGTAGGGTCCACGCCGTCCCAACAGGAGGATGACCGCAAATCGATTGTCGTCCAAAAGGACTCCGAATTTCATCACGCTGTCGGACAAGTCGGCCTCGGCCTACAAATCCGGCCAACTCTTGGGGAATTTGCCGTCGTGCCGGCAAGGGAATCAACGTCGACTAAGCCCTCTCTTCCCTCCCCATTGGTGTGACTAGTTGGCCGTTGAGCAGCAGCGTACGGCCACGCCGCGTGGCGCATGCTCTTGTCGCCCTCAGCCAACCGCATGCATACCATACCCTACGTAGCGTCGCAACCTCGCTATTGGGGAAAGTCTTGGTAACGGCGAAGCCCTAGTCGCCGAGTCTGTTGATCAACACGAACAACAGTCGAGGATACGGGAAGTTCGTGTCCATCGCCAACGGGCGTGCAGAGATCAAGGTCGGGGCCCCGTCAAGGCAATCCGTGCAACGCCGCAAAAGTCAGAAATCAGGCAGGCCTGTCGTGGTACCGTGCTATGGGTGCCAGATAGGCACCTCGTGGAATCTCGAGGGCGGAATCGACAGCGTCAGTTGCCCTAAACAGGTTCCCAGCATATGCAGTGTCCAAGCCGGAGGTGAGAACCGGCTGCAAAGTGGATACAGCTCGATGCACTTTGGTCTTGGGCCGAATGCACGCTTGAACGTTAGGCTTGGACTTCTGGGGTGTCTGAGGGCCCCATCTACAAGATGCACCGTGGGCATGGCTATGTTGCCATCATCCTGCAGGTCGGAGGGAGCGAGTAGCGAGGGCCAAAGAAAGTGTGGGAATAATGTGTTTCGAGTTGGCTTGTTGCCACCATCCATCCCAAGGAATTAAGTAATGGCATGTGGTGCATTCGCGTACATAGGGCAACAACGCCGTGAATAGGTAGATGCGTTGTGGGAAGTGGAGTGGGAAGACTAGGTGGTGAGCTGTGTTTGTTGTTCCAGTAGTATGTCCATCCGTACGGATGCGATGGTCATCGGGTTTCCAAGGTATGTATGGCCCGCTCGGCTAATTGCCCAACGGCGCGTTGGAACATGTGAGGCTGGCGAGCCATAGTTCGGCCCTCATCAGCATCAGAGCGGTGATAAGGCATCTTTCCCTGCCCTTGAACCTTGAATCCAGCATCAGAGAGTTGGCGGTTGCGTCTTGGGGACGGTGTCACCTCGGTGACCGCACTGGCTTGTGAAGGGTGAACGTGTGTTGTTGATGCACTAGAACGGCGGAGAGCACCGAACCTGGAATGGGCAGTCGAACGCCCGGGGCACCGAGAGCACTGGGCTGGGGAGAAGACATGGAAGAGAGAGAAAGGGAAAAAAAAACCACACAGCGGGCGGTCGGGTGGGGACCCAATACAAACTAGCCAGGCTGCACCTGCACCGCACCCCGTCATCATGGAGGGGCACCACCACCACAACAAACGATACGCTCCTTCCTTCCCCCTCCTCGTACCCCTGTCGACCATGTTCAAATAAGGACTTGCACCTGCGCCGCATCTTCAACGCTTCCCACATCCCACCTTCCCACCTCCCCGTCTGACACCAAAACAAAACGCCCTCCTCCAATCCTAGGTAGCCTTTCTCTAGAGTGGCTTTGGGAGTCCTGAGGTGAAGACCTTCCGTCCCTACCTTTCCCTCTCCAGCCTTGACTTCGACCTCTCCTTGCCCGGCTAGTTAACACCGCGCCCAACTCCCACTCCTTGACCGAGTCTGACCTCGCCAACGCAACACCGCTGTTTACACCGATACATTGGCGACAGTTGCTGCCATTGCGACTCAGGCCGAAACCCTTCACAGCGACTGGAAATTCGAGATAATATTATTACACGAGGTTGTGACAGCTACCTTGGAGACCGGGGTCTTTCGCGTCCCTCCTCGCCATCCTCCGAGACACGATGCCTTCAAAGCCCCAACACCTTGCTTGATCTTATGTGACATTTGACCTTGTTTTTCAAAGCATTCGAACATGAACGAATCACGCAATATTGAGGATCTCCTCCAGACGGGCTTCTTTACCACCTCGAGGGCTAAGACTCCCAAGCCGTAAGCATACTCGAACCCCGGCATCCCTACAATGTGTTGTTTAACCATGTCTTACACAAGCGACAGACCTAGCACCGATGCGCCGGCTGTTCCTCCTCACATTTCCAACACCTCCAACATTCTGCGACCATCCTCCAACCCGGATCCGTTCGTCCCAAGGTCTTTCGATCCGCCGTCGAGAATCACTCGTCGCAAAGGCTTCCCGCCCCCGCCGAGCGTTGAAGATGAGTCGGAAGCGCTTCTCAGGGAACACGGCAGCGTCGTGTCAGCATCCACCGACGATGTCCCGCCTTCACGAGGCCATGCCGACCAGTACCCCATTATAATGGAAGTCCACGAACACAATCCCGAACGCCGATTTGTTCTGGTCCCAAAGTCCGCGAGCGGAACAGAGGATGAGGAATCAGCCGATGACGTAAAACGGCCCGCCAAGGAGCCACGCACGCCGAAATATGCACCAAACGGCGATTATGAAGCGAACACGGCAAGGAAATATCGTGCGCCTCCGACCGAAGATCGAGATGGTGCTAAACGGCCAGATCTCGAGAAGAAGAAGAGCAGGCAGGATCTCCCGCGCATCGAGACCGACGTCAGGAAGGAGGATGACCGTCCTCAAAAACACGAACGAACGAAGTCGGCGACACGCGTCGAGCAGCAGTCGTCTGACTACTTCTCACCACAGTACGACAACCGTCAAACAAGCGAAACCCTGCTTTCGCCGCAAGTGATCAAGCATGCGACGGGTGGTCGTGAGAAGGCCTACTATGATTACTCCCAAAATAGCCGCAACGGCGCACCACGACCTCAAAGGAGTCGGTCCAATCTTGGAGACGATAGAAGGTTCGACGACAATTATGCCCGTCAAACCTCGTCCAACCCACCTACGGCCCGGCGCTCAAACACCAATCTCGACTCTCCGCCCAAGGAGCCTAGGCACTTATCCGGCGACAGGGTTAGTGAGTCCTCTCGTTATCAACGCGAACGGGTGGTCCCGCGCGGCGAACGGCCGCAAAAGAAGGACCCGTCTCCACCTTATGACCGCTCGGATCGTGACCGCGAGAGTGGCTCGAAGCGGACACCGACTTACAAGCGTGACTCTCCCCGACGAAGAGATGACAGTGGCTCCAGCAGCAGTGACTATGCGCAAACGACGCCTCGAGCAGCCAATGTTCGGCGGAGAAAGTCGATCGTCAATCAAGAAGACAGAGACATACTGTTGAGCCCTGAGCAGCTCAGGCCGTCCAAATCTGGCAGGTCTAGATCGCGTCCTCCGCCACCAGAAGCAGTCATGCCGTCTCCTCGAGGGTCCACCAAGTCATTCGCCGACGATATCCCCCCTCCCCCTCCCCCTCGCTCTTCGCAAACATTCCCAGTGGCGAGAGAACCAAGAGACAGCGGAGATGTCAAAGAAAAGACTGTCCCATATCCCGAGGACGACCTGTTGCCTAGGACAAGCCGCCTCAGCGTGCGCGACCCAGAGCCGTCCATTACAAGGGCGCGCTCGCGCTCTCGTGCATCCACTTTCAACAACCCAGTGATAATTCCGGCGGTCATGCCAGCCATGCCAGCGCCTGCTGGGCCACGGAGCCCCGCCGAGAAAAGGAGGTCGCCCGAAAGAAGGCCAAACTTGATACAGTCTGCTGTGACAGCTCCCTCTACAGAGGCATGGCCACCAACCAAGTTCGACCCCGCGAAGAGCGCGCCGGCCATGGACGGGCCGAGAGGTAGCTATCGGCGGTACTCTCATGATACAGATCGAGGTGGCGTGCCAGATTTTCCCGACTGCCCTCGGAAGAAAGGTGTCGTTGGCAAGGCAGACTGGCTCAGTCTACCACGATGCGATAACTTCAACATCTGCCCCGATTGCTACAACGGGGTGTTCCTCAACACAGAATTCCGCAATGACTTCATGCCCATGCTCTTCCGTCCAATGGACAAACCTATCGCTTGCGACTTCGGGTCCTGTGGATGGTATCACATTGCGTGGCTTTTGACGTTGAAGAATCGCCTTACGGACTTGCGACTATTTTACCAAGTCGCCAACGTTGCCAGTAAGGTTACCAGCGGCGCTCATCCCTGCTCGGGAGACCGTCGAATTACCCGCGTCTGGTACTCGATCAAGAACCCATTTACGCAGACTACGATGCCGGAGTTCACTGTGTGTTATGAGTGCGCCAAAACCATCGAAGGACTTCTGCCCAACCTGATTGGACTATTTGTCACACTCCATCCGGCGGCGCAGCCTACGAGGAACGTCTGCGCAATGCATTTCAACCCCGATCGAAAGCGCTTCGTGATGTACTTCGATGCGCTAGAAACAACTTCAGACCTGGCACTCGCAACTACGCAGGCGCCCAACATTGGCAAGCTTGTGACAGACATTGAGAGTCTCTCGGTGTTTGCTGAGTGCTCCAAGGACAACCCAGTTTTTGACCAAAACTGGCACGTCATGCAGTTCCTTCCCCAATTCACCGTCTGTGGTGACTGCTTTGATGAAGTGGTTGCGCCTCAGTTGAAAGACGGCAACGTCATTGCGCGGAACTTCTACGTGAAACCTCAACGCCTCGAAGAGGCATCATGTCAACTGTATTCTGACCGAATGAGGGCTATTTTTGAGAAGGCTTGCCGCCGTAATGACCCCAAGTACCTAGAAGTGAAGGTGCTCGAGCGGCAAAAGTTGTTTGTGGAGACGTACAAGAGAATGGCCAAGTTAGAGCAGGAGAGGTCACTCTGGGCGAGGGAAGAGAGCAAAAAGCTGCTTCAGGAATGGGAAAAATGGGAATGATGATGCGCACGAATGAATGAAATGAGAAATGGACGAGTATGATATCAACCTATACCACGGCCTAGATCGCCGATAGAGTCTTTAGTGATACATAGAGAGTAATCGTCTGTACAAAGTTGAAGGAGAGTTGTTGCAAACGCTGAAGATCTGTGATACACAACGATCCAATGCTGGTGTAACGTGTTGGAAGGAACTCTGGGTGGCTGGTAGGTCTACCTTATCTTAGGCCTGCGGCTTCTCTCAAAGGGTACGTGGTCGAAAAGAATGAGATCAATGGACTGATAAGGCAGTGGCCGTTGGTGTTTCCAGGAAGGAGTCAATTCGAGAAGCTGTGTGTTGTAGCTGTCTTCCGGTTCGGGGATCGAAAGACATTGATGTCAGGTGTATGAAGGCATCTGCTCATCAAGACTGGTCACGCCAGTATGCTGCCTCGGCGTTACACCAGCCCGTTCAGAGGGGCAAAGCTTTTTGGTCGCTCTCTATCGTGTTAGCCCACTTCAAGGAAAGTCAACCTCGAAGCTCCCTGGCATAGCTTCTTCTCGACAACAGACTCCGACGTTGCACTTCGGAGCCGCACGAGCGAGACATCATTCCTTACGGTCCTCGAAACGGAAAGGTTGCCGATCGATGGTTGCTGCTACCTTGCCGCATAACATTACGATACCAGGCCGGCGGTTCTGTAGTGTATTTGTCTGTGCTTTGTTTTGCCCAGAGGCACGGCAACTCATCGAAAGCGCCGATCTTGTAGTTGAACCAGAGCCCGCGGGGTTGACCCTCACGGGGGTTTTATGGATAAGGCTTTTCCACTGCCACATAACGGCTTGGGTGACATTGATCAGTCACCGTGGGTTCGCAGCATGGCAGCTTTTCGCGACTCTGAAAGTAGGGTTAAAGTGTTCCGAGTCGCTTTGATCTCGCCGCGGCCGATCAGTGTCGAGTTGGTGCGGGGCTCAAGAGATATATGGGATTCCCGATTTCTGCCACCGAACCTCAATGCACACAAGAAGGGAACGGTGGGAGGCGCAGACGTCACTCAGAAATGTGGGCAGTGTGTACGGGTTCGAAGACACCCGCCACAACCATCCCAACACCACACACGGAGAACCCGAAAATAGGCATGCAGTGGTTCCACAGATGCGCGGGAGACAAGAGATGGTACGACGCACAGACTCGATTGTCTCCAGGGGTTCAGATAATGCCGTGCCGTGGTCGGCATCCCTGGCACAGCCAACTCTGCTGCACCTCAACTCTTCCACTTCCACAGCAACGGAGCAACATCGGATTCTGCACAGCTAATGCAACATGTGTCGTCCAGTGTAACTCACTCGGACGGAAAACCTGCACCTGTTCATAAGGTTGGATCAGAGCCCACATAACTTCCAAGTTTAGAGAGAGATGGTCGCTTCTCCATATCTCCAATACGCATTCTGTATCGCGCCCGGCCTCCGAACAGCGCTCGCGCGATGGGGCCTCCAAGTCGATTGAAGGGGGAAAACCACTTCTCTCAGTCACTTGCCTCACTCGCCTCACTCCCTCTCGAAGAGTTCCAGATCTTCATAGGCTTGGCATTAGAGCCTAAAATGTTTCCTCGTCTCTCTTGGCTTCCGGTTACACGTCTGCGGTCGCAAGGGGCCTGCGGCCAATCTTGAGACGGGGAGACTGCCAAGTTCGAACCGCAACCGTTTCACATCTCCCCAAGTCCCGAACGCACTGCCTCGCTCGCCTCGCTTTCCCCAGTCCACCCTGAACCACGGGACCCGATTCTTTTTTATCCTGTTGAAGTCCCTGTTGGAGGGGGAGAAGAAGAGAGAGGGAGAAATGGAAAGGGGTGGGGGGTTCATGGCGATGCGACAAGAATGCTGGGGCGCCTGGGTTCAGAAACGTCGAATACCGGGGTCGGCACAGCAGAGCTAGTCGTATCAGTCACGACGTTGGACGAAGTCGTCTAGTTTCGGGCGCGTGGCACTTGCTTTCTTCCACAATCTCTCTTTTGTCTCTCTTCACGTCACTCCACCCTCTTCTCTTTCTTACACCTCTTGTGCGCTCATCTAGGCTTTGTTGGTTCCTTCCGAAGCATTACTTTCTTTTCGTAAACGCGAGGTCGTTACGAGGACTTGTTTACAAGTCTATTTCGTTCTTTACTCCTGGTCGAGTTCTAATTGGGAAACTACCATTTGAGGTCTCGGTTCTTTTTTGTTTTTGTTTTTGGTTTGTTTTCCCACAGTCCAGGCGACATTTTCGAGTAAAGTTTTGTTGGCGATGATAGTCGTTTTGTTATACTTTGCCATCCTATAGTCGACTCATCTATATCTCGCCGTGGTGCCAAGGACCAAGACATCGAACGACGATAACATCCACGACGGAGCCTTCGCTCGACTCGTCCCTTGCGGCCAACATCTGTGTCTCAATCACGGGCATCTTCTCATAAGTAACATCCGACTATGCGGGGGTTCTTAAAGATTGCTGGCGCAGCATGCGTGCTGGGCCAGCTGGCGGATGCTGCTGTCAAGATCAACTTCGACCAAGACCAGTCTATCAAGGATGGCGCAAGCACGATTGCATTCGGTCTGTTGAAGTACTACACGGGGAACAACACAGGCGATGTACCGGGAAACTTACCAGACCCCTATTTCTGTATGTTGTCAACTCTCGTTTCGGGTTTCGCCGTACTGACACGACTGCAGGGTGGGAAGCTGGAGCGCTATTTGGCACAATGGTGGACTACTGGCGTTTGACGGGAGACACGACATACAACAACGTTACGTCACAGGCCTTGCTTCACCAGGCTGGCGATGACGCCGACTTCATGCCGAGAAACCAGACGAGAACGGAGGGAAACGACGACCAAGGATTCTGGGCGATGGCGGCGATGAGCGCGGCAGAGAACAATTTCCCGAACCCGCCAAAAGACCAGCCTCAATGGTTGGCCCTCGCCCAGGCGGTGTTTAACCAATACGTCAGCCGCTGGGATACGGAAAACTGCGGGGGCGGCCTGCGGTGGCAGATTTTCACCTTCAACAACGGCTTCAACTACAAAAACTCGATCTCGAACGGGTGCTTCTTCAACATCGCGGCTCGGCTGGCGCGGTTCACGGGCAACCAGACGTACGCAGATTGGGCGGAAAAGGTGTGGGACTGGGAGACTAGTGTCGGCTTGATCACGCCGGACTTCAAGATCTACGACGGCGCCACGATCGACAAGGGCATGAACTGCAAGCAAATCGACACGATTCAGTGGTCCTACAACGCCGGTATTTTCCTGCACGGCGCTGCGACCATGTACAACCTTACCGAGGACAAGAAGTGGCTCACCCGCACCGAGGGTGTCCTCACGGAAGCGACGGGACTTTTCTTCAACAACAGCGCCATGACCGAGCAGGCCTGCGAGCCTTTCAAGCTGTGCGACAACGACCAGCAGAGCTTCAAGGGCTACCTCACGCGGTGGCTGGCCGGGACGGCGCAGGTGGTGCCCTCCATGTTTGACCGCATCATGGGTCTCCTGAGGCCCAGCGCCGAGGCCGCCGTCGCGGCGTGCAACGGGTCCCCCGCGTCCGGGTACAAAGGTCCAGCCGGCACGGCCTGCGGCTTCCAGTGGACACCCAAGGGCGTTTTCGATGGCTTCGTCGGGGTCGGCCCGCAGATGAACGCGCTCGACGCCGCCATGTACATGTTGGTGAAGAAGGCCGACGTCAAGACTGCGCCGGTGACGGCCAACACAGGAGGAACGTCTGTCGGCAATGCAAACGCCGGTATGAGCTCGCAGCCCAGGATCCCCACGCTGCCGCCGATCGAGACCAAGGACAGGGTGGCCGCCGGCTTCGCCACGACGGCCATCACCTTGAGCATCGTGGCAGGGTGCGTCTTTCTTATAAAGTGATGGGGCGGGGGGTTGCCATTTGGGTTTCTGCACGACGACCCAGGGACGGTCACAGTAACATTCTTAATCTGCCTATGGCGTTGGGTATGGCGTTTAGGGGGAAAACCAGCTTTGAGAGCGGTTTGTTATGATGCATGGAATTGGGATTATGGGGTGTCAGCAACGCTACAGACATCTCTCCGGAAGAAGGGACCGGATACATGATATACCATACATACACACCTTCTACGCACATATTCCCCCGTGTCAACCAAATTGCTGTGCTACTTCTTCGCCTGTGCTTTCCCGTTTTCCACAAGTGCCCCAAGACACATGTTATCGAGGCATGGAGATTTCAATGGTCAAAGGCCTTTGCAAGCGACCTGCGCTTACACTGCCTCGAAATACAAAATCGAGTTAGCTCCGGGACGGCAGCAGTTGCACCCGCGAACGCTGGAATGTCTCTCTTTTTCTCTAGCGTGCGGGAGGTTAAAATGTCCCAATTCGTACAGTGCCCAAGTTCCATCAGGGGATGACCCCCGTGCGCTTGGGCTTTCCGAATGAGGTGGCGAGCTCCTCCCCGCGGCCCCGCATCACCCCGCGCTCGCGGAGCTGCACACACACACTGCACACACGCACACACGCGCGTTTGGAAGGGACGGGTTCGGGTGGGACGTCGTCATGGTCGTCCAGTTGCTCGGTTCTCTGGGCCCGACTTACATAGGGTCGGGCTCGTCCCGGTGTGAGAGTGACGAGGAGCTCTCGCGGGGTTCACTTTTGCCATCCCCCTCAATTCTCTCCTCCTCAGATTTACGTTTTTCGAGGGCCATCCGAACTGTAGTCTTTTCATCCTCATATACCCCGTCACCATCCCGTTCCGAAGCTTGCAAGCTCATCTCCTCTGACATCACACCACCCCACACACACTCAACGGATCGCGGCGCTTCATCAAGATGTCGGCCAAACACTTCATCAACGATCCCACCAAGCTGGTCAACTCGGCCCTGCACAGCTTGACCCTCACGAACCCGGGCCTCGCCCTCGACAAGTCCAACAAGATTATCTACCGCCGACCGTCCCCCGATGCCGCGTCGCAGGTCTCCGTAGTCTCGGGCGGCGGCTCGGGCCACGAGCCCTCCTTCTCGGCCATGGTCGGCCGGGGCCTCCTCTCGGCCGCCGTCGCCGGCACAATCTTTGCCAGCCCCAGCGCCGAGCAAGTGCGCACGGCCATTGCGTCGCGCGTGGACACGGCCAAGGGCGTCCTCGTCACCGTCATGAACTACACGGGCGACGTGCTCAACTTTGGCATGGCCGTCGAGAAGGCCCGCGCCGCCGGGCTCGAGGTCGAGATGGTCGTTGTCGGGGACGACGTCGGCGTCGGCCGGGCCAAGGCCGGCAAGGTCGGACGGAGGGGCATCGCGGGCACCGTGCTCGTGCACAAGATCGCCGGCGCGCTGGCGGCGCAGGGCCGGCCGCTGAGCGAGGTTGCCAAGGTCGCGCGGCTGACGGCGGAGAACTTGGTCAGCGTCGGCGCGAGCTTGGAACATGTGCACGTCCCCGGCCGCGCGATCCCCAGCGGAGAGGACGAGGGCGCGCTGCAGCTTGGCGAGGCGGAGCTCGGCATGGGCATTCACAACGAGCCCGGCTCCGGCCGGGAGAAGGCGGATCTGCCGGGGTTGGTGAGCAAGATGCTCGCGCAGCTGCTGGACCAGAACGACAAGGACCGGGCGTTCTTGAACGTCAACTCGAACGAGGTGGTGCTTATGATCAACAACCTCGGCGGTGTCAGCGCTTTGGAGCTGGGCGGCATCACGGCCGAGGTCGCTTCGCAGCTGGAGGGCAGCTACGGCATCCGTCCCGTTCGTATCCTGAGCGGGACTTACATGACCAGCCTCAACGGTCTGGGGTTCAGCATTTCGCTGCTCAACGTCGTCAACACGGACATTGGCGGCCCCAGCATGATCCAGCTTCTGGACTATCCCACCGAGGCGACTGGCTGGTCTTCTCCTATCCTCAAGGAAACCTGGGAGGGCAAGAACGAGGCTACGAGGGAGGAGGAGGCAGACACCAGCCAGGCGACGAAGCCCAGCGATCTCAAGTACGATGCTGCCGCCGCTACAAAGTCCATCACGGCTGCCCTTCAAAGAGTCATTGCGGCCGAGCCTGAGATCACAAAGTATGACACGGTTGTCGGTGACGGCGACTGCGGCATCGGTCTGAAGAGAGGAGCTGAAGGTAAGAGGGCAATTCCCCCCAGACTACGTATCCCACGAAAGCACGCTGACGCAACGGTTCCCAGCCATCCTCAAGCACATCTCCGAGAAGCCTTTGACCGGCGACGCCGTCGTCGACCTCGCCTCCGCGGTGCCCGTGGTCGAAAACACCATGGACGGCACCTCGGGCGCCCTCTACGCCATCTTTCTCAACGCCCTGACGGGCGCCCTCCGCAGCCTCGCCCCGGGCACGGCCGACCCCAAGGTCTGGACCGCCGCCTTGAAGCAGAGCAGCGATGCCATGTCGCGGTACACCCCCGCGCGCCCGGGCGACCGCACTCTCGTCGACGCGCTGTACCCCTTTGTCGACGTGCTTGGGCAGACGGGCGACGTCAAGAAGGCCGCCGAGGCGGCGCGCGCCGGCGCCGAGAAGACAAAGGGCATGAAGGCCAGCCTGGGCCGGACGGTCTACATTGGCGGCTCGGGCTTCGAGCAGGTGCCCGATCCCGGCGCGTGGGGGTTGAGCTGCTTCTTTGCTGGGTTGGCGGGCATCGAGGGCGAGGACGGCTGGGAGAAGCTTTAAAAAGAGTGTTTGTGCCGGTCTAGTCTGATATCAGTTTGTGGCTTTCCCTTGTAGGATATCCTTGCGTTTCATTGTAGTCCCTCGGGTTGGGGGGTTTTTTTTTTTGGCAAGCGTCTCAGGGGCAAGGCGGGTTAGTTGCACATGGACGGAGGCTGTGGTAGAATGCCGAATCGCGAGAAAACAGGACATGAAATGGAAAAAAAGAACCCAATGAATCCAGATTGTCTTCAACGCCTATCTCGTCCCGTTTTTTGAAACAGACACCACTCTACCGTGGGTATTTTTGGTCGCGCAGTCTTTCCTCCCAGTTCGGGCTCGTCCGCTGCTTTCCGTCAGGCAACTTTCGCCCCGTGTACAATAGCACTCATTGACGTTTCATTTCGTTTCGCTCGAGACTTCTTTGGTACGGTCGGGTACATGAAGCCCTGTATTTGCTCCTTCCCTGATATAACGCGTCGTGTTTTGGACGTTTTCGTTAAGGACCGTGTGGAGGGCCGTACCAAGACTAACGCTCTCAACTCGCTCCCGTTCACATCTGTTAGACTCCTTCAGCTCAGGAGAACCAGGATGACGCTATCACCGCGGAGGAACCTAGATAAGTGTTAGCGATTAACCCACGAATCCGATAAGGTGGATGTGACGCGTCGAGTGCGCCGTCCAGGGGTATTCGTGAACTAACATCTTGCTGATGAAGCGGTCCTTGTTGACGGGGCGGCCCTTCTTGCCGTTGGCAAGGCGCGGCGTCTCTGTCCACATTTCCTGTAATCCCAAAAAAGTCAGCACCGTACCTTTCCTTGGGAGCTCGACGGGGGTGAGGGGTGATTAGGCTTGTCGCACCTTTACGTTCTCGAGTACCATATTGCAGTGCCTGTCGAAGGCCTTGACGCGAGCGAGAAGCTTGCGGTTGTTTCGGATGGAGATGAGAACCTGGGTGTGACTGCGCACGGCGGTCTGGAGGATCGAGAGAGGTCCGGCGCTGAACTCGTGCTCCTCGAGCTGGGCGATCTCGTACTCGGTGAGCTCGTTGCGGGTCTTGGTGAGAAGCTCCCTAGAGGTCATTTGTTAGTACCGACGATGATCTAGAGTAAAAGGAATCCTGGGAATACGCACTGGATCTTGGGATCGGTCGACATGATGGGCAATTGCGGGTGAGGGGATGGGTTAAAGGGTGGATGATGTGTGTCGCGACGGGTGCGTTGCGATGTAGGCTGTAGCAAGGCTGAAAGAGTTTGGCAGTCTGGCGGCTCAGGCGTTATGGTGCTCTGATTGGCCGGCCGCTCCAGTGAAGTCGGCGCTGGAAAAAATGGCCCCGTTCGGAACCGCAGGCGAACTTGCACTGGAAAGCTTGCAGCTTTGGAGGTTGCTTCAGTGGAGTTTTTCGCTGCGTGCCGCTTGGTCAGTGCTCTGGCCCGGCTGCTGCAGCCGTCCAATTGCCTGAGGTGCCGGCCCGTGGGTATCCTCGGCCTCAATTTTGACGTGCGTGAGGAGCATTGGAAAACCATTCCCGCGACACCATCTAAAACGACCAAACGACCCTCCTCGAACCCTTTCGTCCCCCTCCCCCTTCCCCTCTTCCACCAGCCCGCTATCCCTCAGTCGATGCGCCGCTTGTCATAGACGAGCGCATTGGCAGCTGGCGAAACATAAATGTTCTCGAGGACGATTGCACTACGAGCCGGGCCGGCAGCGTTAGCTGCTCCTTGCCGGAGCTGCAGCAGGAGCTTCGGCATGCCTCTCAGAGCCAAGATCATCGCTTCGGAGGCATCATCACGCGCGCAGGTGAGTCTATAGCTGTGTTGAGGCGCATTAGCGATATCGTTGACTGACATGCCTGTTGTCAGATGTCGACGAAGGTTCCGCGCGAGTTTAGGGAGCGTCCCGAGGACGAGGCCGACGATGTCCTCTTCGATAGCCTTTACGGTCTGAGGACCATCCAGCTCAACCGCCCGAAGAAACTCAACTCCCTGAACGCGAGCATGATCCGGAAAATTCTGCCTAGACTGGTCGAGTGGGAGAAGTCGGATTTGGCGAACGTGGTGGTTATGAAGGGGTCCGGCGAAAAGGCTTTCTGCGCTGGTGGGGACGTTGCCGAGTTGGCCAAGTACAACCAGGAGAGCGAGGATGGGTGGAAGAAGAGCGCTGATTACTTTGCGCTCGAGTACAAGCTGGACCACTACATTGCGACGTACGGCAAGCCATACATTGCCTTCATGGATGGCATCACGATGGGCGGCGGTGTTGGATTGAGCATCCATGCCCCGTTCCGTATCGCCACTGAACGCACCGTCTTCGCCATGCCCGAGACGACGATCGGGTTCTTCCCCGACGTTGGTGCTTCGTTCTTCCTGCCCAGAATGGCCGGATCCGTTGGCACTTACCTCGCTCTGACGAGCGAGAGACTCAAGGGCGCCAACGTCTTCTACTCCGGCGTCGCCACCCACTACCTTCACTCAACCTCCCTGCCGCAGCTGGAGTCTCGTCTCGCCGAGATCCGATTCCGTGACTACGATTCTCAGGAGAAGCGCCTCCAAATCATCAACCAGACCCTCGAGGAGTACGTCACGGGTCTCCCGCACGACGAGCCAATTCAAATCGGTGGTGATTTGCGCAAGGCCATCGACCGCTGCTTCAGCAAGAGCAACATTACCGACATCGTCACGGCTCTCAAGGGCGAGAGCGGTGCCACCAAGACGTGGGCCGACAAGACCCTAGACACACTGCACAAGCGGTCGCCGACGGCCGTCAACGTTGCGCTGAGACAGATGCGCATCGGCGGCACTTGGTCGATTGCCGAGACCTTCAAGCGCGAACACCAGATTGCGACCAAGTTCATGCAGCACCCTGACTTCACCGAGGGCGTAACGGCGCTGCTGGTACGCAAGGAGGAGCCCAAGTGGCAGCCGGCGAAGCTGAAGGACATCACGCCCGAGATGAAGATTGCGGACCCCTTCTTCAAGACCTCTGGCGAGACGCTGGAGCTGCTGAACGACCGCGACTACAAGGAGTACCCATACCCCTACTTCGCATTGCCGACCGAGGAAGAGGTCCGGAATGTTGTGCTGCAGGGTCAGTACACGCCCAAGGAGGTTGTGAAGAAGGTTGTCGAGGCCAGAAACAGCCGGCAGGGTGTTGAGCAGGTGGTCAAGGATATTGTCGCCCGCAAGGTCTTCGTCAAGGAGGGTGGCCGCGCCGCCTGGCGTGAGGCCGACAAATAATTGATGGGTATTCCGAGGCGTCACCGAAATGTTTTAAGCATTAGGTGTGTATAATATTGTAGATGCTTTGCAATGTGTCTGAATAAAATCAAAGGCGGACTATCTATGTTGGGAATTGATTCAGCTGCATAGGCGCGGTGGAGTATCGGATCGTGATGCGTGAATTGAAATGCTTCAAAATAAGGGTGTAATAACGCTCGACACCACGACAGTTGTGTCTGATTGGCTCACTAGGTCTTGCAGAGATTCGTTGTGAGGGAATGGGAAAAAAAACTCCATTGCTGATGGAGTTGATGAAAAAATTGGGGTAATGATGGCTTCATCCTAATAGGCCGACACGCTGATCAGGTGCTGTTGCCTACGGTTAGGCGCTCCAGGAGATTCCGGACTTAAGCTGCAAGCCAACTTGGTTTCGTCATCAAGCTTATCATCCAAACCAGCAAAGAATGGCCGGGACGTCTCTCGGGAACGAGCTCAGATGGCTTCAGTTTCCTTGGGTCACCGACTGTTGGTTGCTGGATGAAAAAGGTGGGTGGGGATTGAGTCACTGGTACATGCGCTAGCGATGAAAAACTCGTGAACGAAATGGGATGGGCCGAGAGTTGGAGGGGGAACTGAATGATCGGTACGCATCGACAGGAAGAAATCGATCTGGTCCGTGAGATTGTACGGACAACCCAGGCGAGAGACGGGAAGAGAGGGGACCTCAGGCTTCAGCGAGTGGGCAAGTATAAAGAGGGACCCGGGCCCCGCCGCCTTCGGTCAGAGAAGCGAGACCAGCTCATTTTCCCCCTACTGTTTCCCCTTCATCTTTTGCCAGTTCCGGTGCTTGGTCCGCCCTGGTCCTGAGTCGCCGGTGTCAGTTCCCGGTTGCAAGCACAAAGTCCGACGAAGAAGGGAAGGGGAACTCGGCTGGTCAGCTAGCAGACAAGGCCCCACCCGCATCCGAAAAGCAAGGGGAAGGGGTCCACTCCCGGCATTCACTCAGCAACCGCCCCCATCCGAAATTCCAGTGCAGGGCTCCGTCGAGCACGGGCCACCCGAGAAGTCAAGAGGACCACACACGCACCACCCAAGTCGCGGACGAAAGCGTGCTTACGTGTTTTGGCGCGTTCTGGATTCGACCGCAGCTGCAGTTCGCGCTAGGAAGCTAGGCGACTTGTTACCCCTGGTCCAACGTCACAGCGCTCCCACGCCCTAAACCGGGCACCTGCAGTTTGTATTGTGACTTTTCCATTGCGTACCCACTGTATCTACACTACACGCGACACACCTTCACGTCTTCATTGTCGTGTTCTCTCGTTTTTGCCCGCGATTTATTCCCAACTGTAACACGTTCGAATCAAGATTCGGGGCCTCGAATGGGTACATGAATCATCAACTGTTTCTCTTTCCTGCTTTGATGAGGCAGACCCCGACGCGAGCTTGCTACTGTCTCGGAGCCGTGCTCTAGTCGCGCAGGGGCTTAAAGTGGTTTGATCCACTTCCCAAAAACGCGACTTACACCAAGGGACGCGACTCCTTCACGACCACGGCCATGATACCCGCCCCGCGGTTTCTTACGTGACGCCTGCACTTTACCACTTTAACCACTACAAACACCAATTGCCAACCCACTCTCATCCTCTCCCTCCACTTTCTTTCCTTTTCTTCCACCCTTGGTCACCGCCCTTCGACTCTGCCGGCATTCGACATTGTCGACTTCTCACTACCCGTATTCCTCTTTCATATTTGTCCGCGTCAAACACCCCGTCGAGCTGGACAAACACGCGAGTTGGAGTTAGAGCCTCGCCTACCATGGCGTCGCCAATGCCTTCAGCACCCATGGGTAACTGGGGAGGTAACGGCCAAGCCAGGCCTCCACCACCCATCGGCTCAACAGAGAGCGATGAGATTGGTGTCCTGGTCAAGACGATGGGCCGTGAGTGCTTTCTGTTCTTTCTCGTTCCGGCCCTTGCTGGATATGCTGACTGGGAGACTCAGTCAAGGTCACCTACGCGTTTGCCGACAGCGGCGAGAGTTTCCTCGCGCGGCACCCCGAGCTACTCACCGTTCGAACAGTACCCATTGACGAGAAGCTCACCGTCGGTATGGTCGACCTCAAGATGTGCGTCCAGGCGGTTGTCAAGTGCAGCCCCGAACTTCTCAGCGACGTCACCCGCGACTTCGCCGTCTACGCCTACGACTACTCGGAGCCCGACGAGCCCTTGGTCGGCCAGGGCTTCCTTGGCTGGATCGTCAACAACGCGGACGGAAAGCAGATCATTGGCCGCGCCACCAGGAATCCCCTCTCAGTCTTTAGCAACGGCGTCAAGGAAATTCTGGAGATCAAGTTGAAGTTGAAGCCCGTGGCCGCCATGGTGCAACCCCAGTACGAACCCGAACCCCGACCGGACCTTCAACACTCCTACCAGCGCTCCGAGAGCCACATGAGCGTCGAGATACAACCCGCGAGACCTGCAGAGGGAGCCCTTACGCCCTCAAGCCATGCCGAGTGGAACTCGTTTATGCAGTCGAACCCCCAGATGGGTAGCCAGCACCACCCGCAAAGGGTTGCGTCGCCACACCAAACACCAATGCACCCTGACTTCCACCAGCAGCAGCACTTCCAGCGCAGCAATTCATTTACATATAACGCGCCGCCGCCACAGCAGCAGCAGCAAATTCAGCCTCAACCGCCTCAGCCTCATCCGCCGATGCAAAATTCTGACGGACCTAATAGGGTGGCCCCGACCCCTGTTGACACAGCAACCGAGACCCAGGTCAACCCACCATCAAGGCCATCATCCAGGGCCTCAAATCCATCATCGAGGAAGTCGAGAGCTACGGGACGACCGCGTGGTCGCCCTAGGAAGCAGCCGAGGGCTGAGAGTCAAGGCAACACTTCGGGTTATGAGGATGGAACCGATGGTGATGAAGGCCCGGCCAAGAAGAAGAGGGCCACCATGACCCAAGTCACGAGCAATATCAACGCCCCATTTGGCGGCGGTCCCGAGTCTCTGCGAGTCACGGCTAGCACGGCTGGCTCGTTGCGAACCTTGCGGCCGATGGGCATGCCCGTCGAGGCGCCCATGGGCTCGCACATGCAGGATGTTCCTAGGGCACCGACACCAGTCCCAGAGAGAGGTCCCATGATGCCGCAGGCTGGCAAGCCAACTAACGGAAGCAAGCTGCGTCGGCAATCGACCTTGAGTCAGGCCGCGACGCCTCCCAGCCAGCCACCGTTTTCCGAGCCGCCATTTGCTCTATCCCCAAGCCAGCAGGACGGCCGCTCCCCCGACTCAGAAGCCGTGTCTCCCATGTATTCTGAGGACAGCCCTGCAGCTATCGGATCATCACCGCCAGTTCCTCGTAACACGAGTTTTGTTCGATCCAGCCCGCCGGCGTCGAGCCCCATCCTTCCTCCTATGCCAATGCCTCAGCCGGACTCAGGTTTCATGAGCGGAGGCGTCGATGACCTTTTCGATGCCGAGGGGGTCAAGCAACAGCTTCCGAAGCCAGTCGCTATGCCATCAGCACGGAGGTCAAACTCTAATGTCACCAAGGAACGGAGATCTCGGTCAGGCATCCCCATCCAGGTCTTCCAGCTGGCAACGCAGCCTTCCAGCGAAGCGGATGCAGCCACAAAGAACAACAGGCAGCAGAGTGCAACCCGACCGCCTACCTCAACACCGTTGTTGGAGCCTTCATTACCTCCTCTCCCGCGTACCGTCAGTGAGTCGAGACTTGCACTGCCTCCGCCTTCGCAGCCTGCGGAAAAAGAGCCTTCGCCACAACAAGAGGAGCTGGTTGTGGCGGTTAAGCCTGACGTCGAAATGGACAGTCAAAGCGCTCCCAAAGTCGAGGTTCAACAGCCTGATGACAGTCTGGAGATGGGACTGGAAAAGCTTGCCAAGGCAGTGCAGAACATGGCGCCAGAGCCAGTTCTGCCAGAGCCTCAAATGGCTCCGGACGCCGCCGCAACGTTTGCCCGGCCGTCTGCACCACCCTCGCTTTCACGATCTACATCCTCAGGCTTCTCGTTGGCTCTTCCATCGGTTCCGGCTAGCGACCCTATCGGTCCCATCGCGTTGCCAGCTCCTGCTCCCCCAGATGTCACATCCTTCTCCGAAGCACCCTGCCCGCCAAGCGACGCCTTGCAGGCCCCAAGGTCACCGCCACAGCCTTCCAGGTCGAACAAGAACTACGTCAAAAAGCAGGCCATCCGAGAGAAGCTCCTACAGGCGATTGCGAGTGGACAGACTCCCATGTACTGCAGCAACTGTGGTGCCATCGAGACCCCCACATGGCGGAAGATCTGGACCCAAGAGCATGAGGGCGTTCCCGAATTTACTGAATTCTCAGACAAACCTGGACGAATTACCGCTATCTTGGTCTTGGACCGTGATGCCGATGAGAAGCCGACCAAGTATCAAATCATCAAGAAAGCCCTCTCGCCTAAAGAGGACAAGTCCGACTGGAAGGAGCACATGCTCTGCAACCCATGCGGTATCTGGTTGTCCAAGTGGAAGTCGCATCGACCACAGGAGAAGTGGGAGAAGGACAGCGCTCGTCTTGGTCAACAAAGACGTCCTAGAGGTACCGGTCGTGCTCCACGTCCACCCAGAGCGAAGAAGTCCGGTTCGGCGAATCCACTCAATCCGACATCTGAAGCATACTTTACAACGGATCCCATCGGCCCCGACGACCGAGGAGCTTCGCCTATGGATGAGAGCAGATCGCGCGGTGTTTCTCAAGTCAGCAATGCCAACGATGCTTCTCAGCGATCAATGTCCCAGTTTTCGGCGTCCCAGCCGCCAGAGTACCACGGCTCGCGGCCGACTTCCCCTGGAAACGTTTCCAACCCTGGCTCTACCCACTCTAGAGGCAGTGGCACAGCGAAGAGCCCCATCACCATTGATAATGCCGATGTCCAAGATATGGGCGCAACTCGGAGACTTCTGTTCCCTTCGCCACGAAAGGACGGCGTTTCAAAGGCGCTGGGTGAGCTTGCCGTCAATATCGTGCAAACAGCGCCCGACTCGACCAGGTCAACCGAAGTCGTACAGAACAAGGAAGTTGTCTTCAAGGAACCGGGCAAGAGCGCCGCGACCTCCAACGAGTCTGGCATGAACAAAGAGAACCTCGCTGTTCCCGAAGACGATCTCGAGGATCTTTTCAGAAGTCCCATCGTTCGCCCATCAACACCACCTCCCAGGGAACGGGCTCCTAACAACGGCCCCTTCAAAACACCTACCCGGCCGACGCCGAATCACCGACCCATCACTAGAAGTGTCACTAGAAGCGTCTCGCGTTCCTTGAGGTCGAGCGATCTGCTTCGGTCTCCCGCGGCTGTGCGCCGCACACCGACGCGAACACCCCGATCGGCTAAGGGCCTACTCCGGAGAAGTCCTCGTTTGCATCACGATGAGTTTACTCAGATGGAGCTTGCATTGGAGGAATACCTTCAGACGCAGCCTCTCGATCATCAATACGACTCTGACATGTTGGAGGCAATGAACCGAGCTTTGGCCGAGTCCATGAATGCCCCTGGTTCGAACTTTGACATTACCAACATGGTCCTCGAATCGAGTTGCCAGCTTGAGTTTGGCGACCTGCTGGGCTCACCATCCCGGCCGACCCCACGACCGGCTAGGCAGCGAGTGACCGATTTTGAGGACTGGGACACTTGGGAAAGCGACACGCGTGCGCGTCAGACAGCGGAAGACGCTAGGAGCCAGTAGATACTGGCTTGGAGAGACAACTGTTTTATGCATTGAGTTTTTACAACGGGTGTCACCCACTTGAACGTGCGGAACACGTTTGCACATTGAGCGTGGCATTGCGAGGAGTCGCATGATGTTTTATGGGTTTGAGGGAGTTGCATTATAACACCATGAGCATGATGTATATGGGGGATGGCGTTTTGACACATCAGACAGTTGATGATGTCGGATGGACTTAGATCATGATTACTTGGCCTTGTTGCCTTTACGAACGAGTTGGCATGCTGTTACTTGCTAGTTTTTCCCCCGTTTTTTTACAATGCTTTGGTCTTTGGACCCTGATACCAACAATACAACTGTTAATGTCACCTTTGTGGACCCTTGCTTGTTGTGTTTTGAAGCCTTGTGCAACTCAACTTTTGTGTAAGACGGCTCGAGGCTGTCGGATGATTTTGGGCCTAACCATCCACAGCAGTTTGGCTCTGCAATCCTTAAAGCGAAGGAAACTACCTAGGTGCTGCTGGCCTTCTATGTTATTATTCGGGGAACCGGCAGCCCTGGTTCACGCTCTAAAGGTGGTCAGATTCTCTCAGTTCCAAGAGGCGTCATTGCCATCCAGCAATATTAGTCAAAGTTCACATGTGGCAAGGGGGATCATGGTCCTTCAACCGAAAGGAATCTCCCTTCACACCTTCCCCGGCCCAAGGGACGCCAGGTCAAAGGCCCGCCGGTGAATCTTTGCGAGCCCAGCCCTCTCCGCGACGGTGTGGTCGTTGTCCGAAACAATTAGGAAGGCGTAGTACAGGTGCCACTCAAAACCCTCACGGTCCTCCGGGACGTAGTAGTTCCAGGTATCCAGCTCCTCCATGGAGAAGTCGCGGGCGTCGGCAGATCGCCGCGAACTCGACGATGCCGCCCACGCGGGCGAACCACGCGTCCTCCAGGATGATGGTGCCGCACCAGTCGCCGTTGGCATCCAGCAGGCCGAAGCGGTGCAGGCCCGGCTCGGGCTTAGAGGCGAAGGACCGCCCGATGCGGCTCTGCCTGTGTATCTGAAATAAGGCGGTATAGGTCCCGAAATAGAGGCAATCCTGCCTCAGAATGCTTGAAATGGGCACGGCGGCCTTGCCTCGTCCCCGTCCAAGATGACTTGACGTCCGAAAGGCTCGCTGTCGGCAGTTGTCCTGGAATAACCATGTCATTTGTTTGGACTGGTATGGGGCTCTCTGGAGGACCACACGAGCAGAAACTTCAAAGTGGCTGGATTTCGCTTGTACTACATGACCGGTGTATGGCTCTCAAGCCACTTGTGAAGGTCAGGTAACGTGCCGGAAATCACAAAAAAGCCCCACATCTCCCACTTAGATTATAGCTGTCGGGAGTCACAGCTTTTGGAAGTACCATGCCAGCCACTCCATGACCAACTCGGGAACGGGTGTAGACTGCTCGAGTCTTCCAGTCTCGGCCCAGACAACTTCTTCTCCCATAGAAGCGCAAAGTCGAAATAAGATTCGGGCAGTCCGTAAAACAAGGAGGCTAGAAGTGAAGGGCAGAGTATGGCCGACTCGCTTGCCCTCTTTGGTCAACCTATCGCATCCAATAAATTGGGCCGTGTTATATTGGTTCTTTGAAATGGAGTTGCTGGGAGGTTCCTCATCAACGTGGATAGCGTTGAACAGAAGCCAACAGAGGAAGCACTTATCCCCCAGCAGGTAGATTTCGTCGAGGTAGCCCAAGTCTCGAGGTTGTAACCCGACGGAGTCGATCGGGTCGGCAAGAAGCCCAGGGAGGGTAACGTCTGCGGAGAGGTTGAGTTGTTTACAGGTCAGGCAAAGCTTGTTGAAGGGACGTTCGCACTTCACAGTCGCCTTGAGCGTCTTTGCGATCACGTTGACTATGTTTGATGGCTTAACTGCTCAGTAGGTGCAGATGCTCCGGTGGGCTCTGCCGCCTTAACCGACCCGACGGTCTCCGCTGATGCGGCCGTGTCGGAGCGAAAAGGCACATAGGATTCGATTCAGAGCGCCAGAACGCCATCGCGAGTCATCAACTAGCTTAGACGTGGTTTTCTGTAGGGCTAGCTGATTTCTTGTCATGCCGCATGGAGTATGTTGCGAATGGTAGTAGAGAGAGAGAGAGAGAGAGAGCGAATATCAATGTAGAGCTCGACTTCAGGCAAACCCAAGAATCAGAGCGTCCCAAGGAAAATCGAACATCCTTCTTCAGTTCGTGTCATGTTGTTTGGTCAGCTTTATCAGAGCTGAAAACTAGTAGATGCAGGTCTTCCTGGGTTCGTGCTTGGCTGGTCTCGGTGTAAGCCCGACTTGCTGTGTCTTCCCTGCATGGTCATCAGCACGAAGCGCTTGAACTCTTAGTTGCCGCTGTCAATCCGTAGCCAGTAGAGCGAGTTAGTTCTGGATGGATTTGAGGAAGCATAAATGTAGTCAAACCAGTTACAAAAGGAAGATACCACTCTATTTCGAATTCTTGTATGCATTTTACTAACAATCTCTCTGCAGAGTATCAAACATCGCTGTTCCTTTTAAATTCCCAAGGAGATTGAGATTGGCCATTACTGAGCCCGAGAGTGTTACAAGTCAGAATGTTGGCAAACGTTTAAGCGTTGAGCCTTGAGGTGTAGTCCGTGGGCTGATGGTCATGTTCTGTATATCACTTCTTTTTGTCACCAGCTTGGCAGTGACTGTATGGAAGTTAAGACCAGGCGATCGGGGTGGAGCTTCGGAAGCTCGGACCATCAATGACCCACAGCACACACAGGCCGGTTGGAACGACCTCACTACCTATGGTTCACTTTGGTACCTCACTTTCTCACATCTCCAAATCAAGAAAGTTCTCAACATCAGTTACGGCGGTATTTCTCAGTGCATATATTGATATTCGAGGTCCCCAACCAATTTTAGGAGTATTTGGCATATCGAGAAGCTTGCGACCACGACAGACATGTCATTGAGAGAAGCCATCTAGCAAGCACCTGGTCTCCCACAAATCCGTCATACCACAATACAGCCAGTTCATTGGCGCCATCCTTCCACCCTTGGGAGTGTTTGCCAACCCCGTTTTGAGTCTCGACTTGTCTCGAATTTCATCCCATTTCTACAATGTCAGACGATCTCAAGGATGAAATAGAGGCACTCAACTCCATCTATGGAGACGACACGCTTCGACCCTCGCCGCCCAACTACATCCTCGCCCTACCTGGCGGCCCAGGAGCCACCTCCCTGACTCTTCACTTCTCGGACTCTTACCCGGACGTGCCGCCAGAGGTCCTCGGCACACATAGTGCCGGCGAGAACGCCCCCCGCGGTGCCGGCGCCCGCGATCTCGCCATTTTCCGCGAGGCTGTCGCCAACGTCTACCAGCCCGGCGCCGTGTGCCTCTTTGACGCCATCGAGGAGTTCTCGAGGCTGCTGGAGGGGCACGCGGACGTCGAGCCGCCGGCACCATCACCCCCGTCGAAAGAAGAGGAGCACGAACCACAGTCTGTACCCTCGTTTCTGTTGGAGGAGCCTCCGTGGATCATGTCGGAGCCGTTCGTGGAGCTGAAGTCGGTGTTCCTCGCCCGTGCCGCCCCAGTCACCTCGCCCGAGCAGGCCGCTGGCTACGTCCAGCACCTCCTCGCGACAGACAAGAAAGTCCGCACGGCCACGCATAACATGACGGCGTGGCGCATCCGAGGGCCGAACGGGACCAGCTTCCAGGACTGCGACGACGACGGCGAGACCGCCGCCGGGAGTCGCCTGCTGCATCTGATGCAGTTGATGGATCTGTGGGATGTCATGGTGGTGGTGACGCGTTGGTATGGCGGCCAAAAGCTGGGCCCGCGCCGGTTCGCGTTGATTAACAGCGCTGCACGAGACGCCTTTGTAAAGGCTGGCTGGGTGGAGGAGGCTGGACAAGGCAAGAAGAAGGGGCATGGCAAGTGAGGAGCCGCGCGGTTGTCGGGGCTGTGAATGCCGAACGGGGGGCGCAGCATATCGGATTCAAGCAGGACTGACGAGACAGTCCGACGTGGAAGACACCTTTTCTGGTTGAGATGCAGAGCCGAAACTCGGCTCTTCACAACCCCTCGTGAATCTGTCAGAATCACCAGATACAGTGCTGCAACAGGCCAAAAAGCGGAGATGAATCATTCCGAGTTGAGGCATGGGTCGAATTCGACCATTCTCGCAAGACATACAAAGTTGGTATAGAACATCAGAGAGCCATCCTCCGAAACGCCAACATGCTCGCGAAATTTTCAAAAACAGATTGCCAACCGCCTAGACCAGTCCATGCTAGTACAATCGTCCCTTCGTTCAACTTCGTTAAGTCGATCAACACAACGGATATCTCATGACCATCCCACTCCCGTCCCCGGTTCGCCTCCGCGGGTCAACCTCAACAATGCAGTTTTCTGTAGTGGTATGCGTATACCTCAAGCCTTGAACAGCTTGGGCGTGAGAATCTCGAGGGCGCGAATCGACTGTTCACATGAAAGAATGACGGCGCCGGCCCTAGCGGTGGAGAGATAGGAGAGCCCCGCGCTGTCTCCCGTGCGCATGTCTTGCACCAGCGTGCCGGCCACGCCACAGACAATACCGGTAGCTTCGAGTGGAAGACTCTCGAGATCCAAGAAGATTGGGGTGAGGTTTGTCTTGGTGTCTCCGACGAGGGAGTCACCGAAGAGGCCGAGCAGCGACTTGTCCAGCAACAGCGACGGGGGGTCCTCCTGGGCCAAGGTGATGGAGATGAAGCGAGGTCGCGCCGCCAGGGCCGAGATCATGGCGGTGTACAGCTTCGTGTCGATGTTGTCCAGCCAAGTCTGACGGTGGCTGTTGCCCGTCACCTGGCGGCTCAGAGAAGGCCGCTGGGTGTGGGACAGCTCACCTCCAAGCTGAGACGTCTCCCGCCCTGAACATTGCACCAGCAACAAGTCATCCTCGACGTAGGGCGAGACGCTCCTCTTCTTGAGCAGATCGAACGTGCGGACTTGCAGCTCGGCAATCGTCGAGGGAGGAGGGGTCAGCGGAGGCCCGCTGGTCTGGCTCGGGCCGCGCGAGTGAATCGAGGCAGCGGGGCTGACAAAGTTGGAGTCGTTGTCGGCCAACTCGAAACCTCGGGCCAGTAGTGCCTTGACTACAGTCTGCCTGTCCTTGCTCGGCACGAGAATGAAATCGGAATAGTAGGTGGTGATGAAGAAAATGGGGATGCCGGCCAAGGCCAGCGGGGAGGTCAACTCCATGACACGCCCCGCCGCGTCCATGCCGGCGCTGATGACGGAGAGGACGAGATAGGTGTCTTTGGATATTGATACGGACTTGGCAAGGTCCTTTGGGAGATCCTTTATGGCAGGCTCGAAAACATTCTTGGCCCACGAGCTGTGGCAGACGATGGAGCACTCCATGGGAGTGACGCTAATGTTGAGGAAGCCATGCTGGCCCTCGGCGTTCAAGCCTTCAAGCTCATGTTCCGGTTCGCCCTTTGACGCCTTGAGGGTCTGGGTCTGCGGGAGAAGGACTCGGAGAATGGGCTGCAGCAGTCCCGAGTAGAGGTCGAGAGGAATGTGGATGAGGGTGTAGTTACCGTCCTATGGCGAGCGCACGCGTCGTGTCAGTGAGGGTCTTGCAGGGACCAAGCGAGACAATTGTGTCATTTGGCTCCGAGGAGGTGCAACTCGGCGGAACGCAGCGTCGCAGTGGGACAAGCAAAAGCCAGCCCCGCATTTTCTTGGGGTGACTCTTGTGAGATACGAATGCATCCCATCCCCTGCGCGCGCGCGCAACTGCAAGACACGGGAGACAATGGCGTGTGCCAACTTACGAGGAATGAGACCTGGGCGTTCATTGTGACGCGCAAACTCCTGGCAGTTGAAGGCCAGAGGAGTGCGTTTCTACGCCTTTTTTCCCTGTTGTTCTAGAAGAATCCAATCTAGATGCGCAGGAAGCACAGACGTGTTGAAGGGTTTGAACGGAGTGATATCGGAGGGAGGGGTCGCCGCTGTGTTCTGTGCTGCCGGCCTTGGGTCAAGGCTTCATCGACCTTTAGTTGGTCGTGGTTGTTGGCGTTTTTTTTTCCTTTGTAGAAATCGGGGTCCCGATCTTTTTTCTTGTAAGAGTCGAGAGTGAGTCTAAGCTTTTCGGTAGCCGTGGCTGACAGGGAAGTCGTGGGTTCCTGTTATCTCTCGCTGTGTCTCTGACTCTCTGACTCTGCGTTGTACTTCCTTGCGTCCGATTTGCTTTGCGGCGTGGAACCTTGAGGGAAAGAAAAAAAAAACCCAAGACAACTCAGGTAAGGATGGTTATTGTATCAGAGACGGGAGAGAGAACGAGGAGGGGGGATGGAAAGAGAGAACGAGACAAGAAGGGTGGGATGGGGAAAGGGTTAAAAAGAAGGCAGGCAGATTGGGAGAGAGGGGATGGCCAAGGGGAAAAGAGGAATTAGGTTCGATATGGGAGGGACCCTTGAAGACGAGCTAAGGTGGACGAGGTAAGGCAAAGGCAAGGCAGATAGACCTGCAGCGCAGCAAAGAGGCACCTACACGGTGGGATTCCATACATGGAGAGAGATGTGGTGGTGCTTTCTGCGGCGGCGGCGGCAGTCTCGAGGCGCACTAAAGCACAACCGTGCGTCCAGATGCCGGGGCCGGCCAAGAAGGCAGGGCAAGACCAGCGCTACGGGAGGGAGACTACGAAATAGAAAAACGTGGTTTTACCTGGCTCTTGCTGCGATATTCCGGCCTGCGGTTGCAGATAAGGTGAATTTCGCCGTTTCTCCATAATGCCACAGTAGCGTTGGTCCGGGGCGGGTAGAGGACCTGTAGCCCCTCTTTGCGTCAACGCTTTTCGCCGAGATTCACTCCCCTCCCCTCCCCTTCCCCCTCCCCCCGTTCTTCTTAGTGATTGTGTTTTTCCTCATGTACCTATCTCGACGTGTTGGATCCTGTGTTTGATCGATCGACGGTTCCGCGATGCACGGAGAGATTCTGTGGGGACGGCGGACGACCGAGAAAAGACTCTGCGCATTTCTCTCGCGTTGCCGTCCGGATGCTTTTGCCTCGGTCAAGATGCGACTTGGCCCAAGCTGGCCCAGGATGATGACGAGTTTTCTGTACTCTGTACTAGAACGATTTTGCCCCGCGTGGGGTTAAAATTGCAAAGAAGCAGCTTTTCCTTGTCTTGGTTAGGACGAGGGGGGCTATAGTTTCACGGCAACGGTACGCTGAAATGGACCGTCTCGATGACGCCGGTTATCCCACACGTTCCTCTCCCTCTTTCTCTCCCCTCTGACGGATGACCGTCACCAAGGTGAGAACACGAGTTCGGATACAAGAAGGTTGGGTCTACAGAGGAAAAGGTGTGGGCGCAGCTGGGCAGCATGACATGGCGGGGTTGAGCAGGGGGTTTACGATATGTGTGGTGCGTGATGTCTGTGTGAGTGCCTTTCTGGGACCCATGATTGCATTTCTGGTGGTGTGCGTCTCGCCAGCGCGGCGGTCTGCAGCGAAGAGGCCGAGAGAGATCGAGACACCCCGACACACAAAGGGAGACGGGGGGTGCGAAGGATGCCCTTTTGGGCGGTTTCACGGGGCATCGTCTGGCCCAGAGCGTGTGCCCTCGTGTGTTATCTGGTGCTTGACGGGTATTGCGTCGAGATCTGGACCCTGCGAGAGATCAATCTCATCTTCACTTCGCACCCAGGCACCCTCGGTCGTGAGGATGTCGGAACGAGAGCAACGGGCGCTCAGCGGGCGCTCTCGAGTCAGGGAATTGGGGGTCCCCTCCACCTATCCATCCAGCATGGTTCGCGGTCCCGGTGTAAGTGGGAGGGTTGAGCCGCTGCCGGGTCCACTATCAAAACCAACCCTTGAATTTTCAAGCCCGAGTTCACTCGCCAGATCATTCGCGAATTTGAGCACGTATTGCGCCTTCTCGTCGATGGTCACTGCGGCAAATTGGTACTGACGATGCCGAGACCGAGGCGCCATGCTAGTCCGAATCCCGTCATCCTGACGCCTGGACTGGGCTGTTTGGGCCAACTGACCAACCTGTCGCGATGACTGCCAGGGTTGGCATTGGGCAAGCGAATAAAGAGCTTAAACGAGCTCTCTCACCTCAGACCTAAAATGACCACTGGCATCGGATAAAAATACCGCGCCAGCATGGTAGAGGGAGCCTAAAGGCTTTGGGACGGCAAGATGGGGAGGATCAGACGCAAGGTGAAAGGTTCAGCGCGCCGTTTCGGGCGGCGTGCAGGGGACTAGCGGAGCCGGGGACGTGGGGGTTTTGGAGGCGAGTCGATGGCTTGGTGACTTGCGGTTGGCGATTGCAGAACCCTTGAAGAGAGACCGAGTGTGTGTGTGTGAGAGTGAGTGAGTGAGCGAGCGAGCCTCGGGGTCTCTCGAGAGGCACAGGTCAGGAAACCTCCATTTGACGGTCCATGTATGCAGCTAAGGCGAAGCGTGACGGGGAGTGCGATCTCATGGGAACCTATCAACAGCCCTGCAAAACTTGCTTAGCTAGGGTGTGAATATACTCTGTACGTTGGTTCAGTGATGCCGCACAGGCGCTGTCAACTCGGTTCTTGCCATTGCTACGAACCATGCCATGATGTAAGACACGAGGTACCTGGCAGACGGCCGCATCGGTAAACACCCCGTCGTCTGCCCTCCGCCTCATGCCACACCTCACCTCACCTCACCTTGCCTTCGTCTTACTCCAGCGCCGTCATCTCTCACCTCTCACCTCTCACTTTTCACCTCTCATCACGAACGGGAAGCAACGCTGACGGGCGTCCCCCTCCCACGCACGCATGCGTTGCCTGATCCAGCGTTGCGGCTGGCCTCGGCATCACGTTGACTCGCCCAAAGACGTCAAGCGACGTCTCGCGCGGGGGCGACGAGAAGCGCACCTTTGTGCATCCGTATCCTCGATCAAGGAGAGAAGTCCGGGCTCACAAAGCAGGTTCTCAGTGAAGGGCCGTCGACGACGGGGATTGACGATGACATGTTTGCAGACACCGGTGGTCATTTCCCAGCTCATCAACCCGCCCCCGCAACTGAACCACCCTTCCTCTTTTCCAACCTCTGGTCAGCTTCACTTTGAGCCGCCGAAAGTCTAGGCCTGCCATCTCAGCTGCCCAAAGAACCCCCGTTTCGAATGCCATTGCGTCAGACCAAACATTCAGCCATGGTGCCTGTGGGCGGCCTGTAGGAAAAAGCAAGTATCCTTCTCCTCCCCAGACGCCGGGGCCCGCCGATCGCAGCGGTTCCTGAACCTTGTCCGAACCCTTTCCCATCTCAACGCCGCCTAGCCTTCTTACTGGCTCAATTGGGTGACTGATTGTTCCAAATCGGCGCTCATGCAAGAGTCGTCGGGGATAAGGACATGGGTTCTCCAGCAGAGTGCCTACGGTACTGTGCCCCTGCTGGTCCTGCTACCTACTACTGCAAGATGCCGTGGCAGCTAGGTACGTCGTCCGGGTTTCCCATTATCGACAAGCCGGCGAGTGGTGGCCGAGTTGCGTTGAGATGGAACTATAACTCGCTGGCGCCATATCCCAAAGGAGACGGCGCATTCCTCGGTGGAGGACAAGGGGAACCCCGCTCTCTCGCACGACCACATCCCCATCCCCATCCCACTTCCTGCTGGGTTGGTATCCTCCTCCCGCAACGCGGCCCTCCATCTGGCCCAGAAGACCCCCATCCCAGAACTGGATCCTGGGATCCGATCCCTTCAGCAACCGCGTCCAATACTACCCTACCACCACGCGAATACCCTCGGATGGCCGCTGCTAAGCGTCCTGTCACCGTCAGAAATCGGATATTGACCCCCAATCGCTGCCGCCCGCTCGCCTTCGCTGGCAATCATCCCGGCCGCCTATGTCTGGCGGCCAGGAACTTGACTCGCCCAAGGCGTGTGTACAACAACCGCAACCACCGAGACACACTCTTGCGGTCCAACGAGACGCCTACAATGTACCTCGGCCAACTGGTTCGCCCCAAATATTCGGTTCTGGCTTACTTGCAGGTGAAGCGTCGGGGGGTTGGCAGGCACGAGCGCATCGGCATCGTCACCGCGCGCCCTTATGACAGCATCGCACACCTTGTTTCGGGAGACCCATGCAATGTCATTGGCGAATTGGCGAATTGAGCTTGATTCCTATGTGACCAGACGTGGCAGATGATCCGCCGAGGGAATAGGAAACGCCATTTGGCGGAGCTGCGTCTGGAGGCGCTTGAATTGTCACCGTGCTGGTGCTCTATTGCCCTATATGGCCTCGTCTGTATCGCCGACGTGGGATGCTCACTTCTCACCGGACTTTGGGTTGACATCGACATGGAATAGAGACCGCACCTCCACTCGACTGGAGACAGGTCACACTCACCGGTGCCATGATCCATCATACGACCGGAGCTTCGCCGAGGTCTCGACCATTGAGTTTGAGGCATTGGGTCTTCTTTTCTTCCTTTCCGTTTTTGCCCCTTCAATTATCTGGAGAAAACTTTTTCTTCTTCTTCGCGGTCTTTGGACCGCGCTTCACCAAATCTCTGTTGGTCCCCTCTTCCCCATTCGTCCGTGCTCCTCCTCAACTTATCTTTGCGGATCAGATCGTACCCGTCCCAAAGATCCACAGATAGGGACCCCGAACGGTTCGGCGTTTCTCGTTATCTCAAGTTATGACTGTTCTTACATAGCTCGGCGGCTAGCTTGAAGACTTTGAAGAGCTAAAAATTAAATTTTTTAAAAAAAAAAAAGGAATGTTGGGCCGTATACAGATGCGCCATGAACGGCCGACGTTGCCCTATTCAGGGCTTTGGGGTCGTTACCCCGCTGTCGGGAATCCCTGCATAGGATAATGCGGCAGAGAACCAGACACAGAGGGGCTGGGCCTTGGTGCGCGTCCTCGCTGCGTGCCTGTCCGTCCTCGTGTCTCTGGACTGTAAGAGGGAGAGACAAGGAGAGAACTTGGCCTATCGCGACCATCCCACCGGCTGGTGCCGGTTCATGCATGACATCAGCGCTCGATGTTGGAGGGCAAGTGAATTTCGCGGTTTGTCCGCTTGCCGCAGTAGCCGACGTCCATTTTGTCTTGTACCCTTGCTCGAACGTCAGCTCGGGGCTCGGTTTCCTCGAGCACCCGGCGTTGTTGCTGCCCCAGCAGTGATGGGCATGTACACACGGACACGCCGTTGTCCTGCCGAGACGGACCGTCTGGTTTTTGACCACGGGCTACTCATGCGACTGCATGCCGAGCTTATACCGGGCCCGGCCGTCTGGTGGCATCCGTGACACATTCCTTGTTCAGGCTACATGCCCCGCTGCTCGTCCGCGAGCTTGCCGCCGTAGGAAGGTAGAATACCAAACGGGCCAAGACACTTGGAACGATGGATAGCATGCGACGCGGTAGACTCGAACCAAGGTAGGATGGACGCACGCCAGGTCAGAGAAGCATGCCCCCCGTCTCCTGCGGCTCTCTATTTCTTGATGCCCACTACCACCATGTTCCTCGGGCTCTCCTTGTAGTCGAAGACGGTCTCCACCCAGCAGTCACGGACGACGTCGGCGTGCTCCCGAAGGAATAGCCAGCGGTCAGTGACGATGAGCGACTCGACGACGGTCGCGCTAAAAGCCATCAGACTCCACACGGCGGCGACCTCCTTCTTGCGGGACAGGTACTCCTGCTCGTACGCGGCGATGTCCTCGTCGGACATGTCCGCCATTCTCTCGCGGATGACGTCGCTGTACTGGCTGTACTCGCGGTTCGTCGTCAGCTTGGCGACGGCGCCGCGGACGTAGTCCTTGAGGGACCGGTAGCACGCCTTGCGCAGCGAGCCGATGATGACCGGGTTCGTGCTCGTGTTGAAGGGGGACTCCTCGGGCGCGTCGCCTGCCTCGGTCCCCGTGGCGGCGGCGGCGGCGTCCGGGTCGCGGTGGTAGACCTTGTTGATGACGCCGCGGTCGAGGAAGATCTTTTGCAGGACCGCGCGGAACAAGTGCCGCGTGAAGAAGTCGTCGCTCTCGGACTGCGTCCAGTTCTGCGGCGCCTGGCAGGCCATCATGCGCGCCGTGATGTTCATGCGCACACCCTGCCCCTTGTAGGTAGACAGCGTCTCGCTGAGCGGGAAGCCCTCCGGGTCGCGCCGCTCGGACTCGCGGACGACGCGGCCGTTGAGGGCCTGCAGGCTGGGCCGGGCGTAGGTGTACTTGTAGGTCGGCGGGCCCAGCTTCTCCGTCAGCAGATTGTAGCAGCAGCCGACGATGGCGACGGAGTGGATGGCCGGGTTCATGACGAGCGAGCGGATGCCGTAGTGCGAGAGGTTGCCGCACGAGTGGATCGACACGGCCATCATCTTGAGCTCCTTGTCCTCCTCCTCCGGGAGCACCTCCTTCTCGATGCGCCCAATGACTTCCGACAGGTCGCCGCTCTCCAGCCGGCCCACGACGTATGACACGGAGCCCTTGCCCAGCGCGCGGTTGTACTGCGGCTCGAGCTCCTTGATGGGGCGGAAGTCAAAGTCTTCGACGGCGTCGCTCGAGGGCTTGCTGGGCGCGTTCTTGACGGCGTCCGTGCCGAGCCTGTCGGCCTGCATCTGCAGCCAGAGCTTCTTGTTGCGCATGACGACCTCCTTGCTCGCGAGGCCGGAGAGCACGTCGAGCCCCTTTGCGCCGTCAATGTTGTGCTCGCGGCCCTCGACGGCGACGACGTGGCGGTTGTACGGCGGCAGGGCGAGGGTGCGGCCGAGGTAGTTCTGGCCGCTGCCAAAGTCGACAAAGTGCGTCGTCTCCTTGCCCCAGCGGGACGAGATGGCGCCCGCCAGGGAGTCGACGTAGCGCGCAAAGTGGGAGACCTCGTGCACCTTCTTGGGCTTCATGCCGACGGCGACGGAGCGCGAGAGCTTCGGCGGCGGCTTCGTCTCGGCCTCGGATGAGGGCGAGAAGGTCCTGCGCAGGGAGAGGCGGCGCACGCTGCGGATGTACTCGAGGAAGCTCGCCGGCGGCGGGGGGTCCATGGAGTCCAGCGGGAGGGCGTCGAGGTCGTCCCGCATGAGCAGGTCGAGCAGGGCCATGGTGTCGTAGGACAACAGGAAGGGCTGCCATTCCCGCGGGAGGATCTGGGAGAAGAGGCCTGATTCGGTTGTGAAGAAGTCGAGGACGTGGACGCCGCCGCAGAGGATCTGGAAGATGTCCGTCGTGGTCGCGAACTCAAGCAGCGCCGCGACGTAGGCGTCGGGCGAGTCGAACTCATCGGAGCACGGGAGGGGCTTTTCTGGTATCATTTTCCCTGCCGTTTTTTGTGTGCCCCCTCACTCAATGATCACACAAGATGACTCTCAAATGCTCACACACCGATGTTCTTACCCGAGAATTGCAGACAGGTATTAGTGAGCAACTGGGTAAGTAAGTCTGTTTGACTGTGAGCGGAGGATGAGTGAGTGAGTGAGTGAGTGATTGTGGAGTTGTGACTTGAATTGAAAATCCCACTTACATAAAATAAAATAAAAGACCGATGGAGGGGAATTTTTCTCGGTGAAGGAGGGGCACACCTGAGTTTCTGACCAGGGGTCATCGGTGAGAGGCATCGGTGAGAACGGGCGGCCTGGGCCGTCTGTGCCGAGGAAATTCCGGACACGTTGCCCCAAGGTACCTCCCCCGAAAGTACTGACCAGTGACCTCCAGGAGTGGACCGGCACCAAGGGGACGGGAGGTAGCCGTGTCCGTACCTCGAGTGACAGCTTACAGCACCAGCCGGCACGCGCAAACGTCATCCCAGCCCTGTTAACCCAAAAGGTAAATCGACGACAGCTCACCAGTGCCGCACCCGAACTCGCCAAAGCTGCGATCTCCAGGCACCTGCGCAATTGCTCAAAAGGCCTCGGAAACCCGTGCTGCTGCCGCAAACCAATGCGTCCACGGATGCGCTTTTCCATACCCTCATCGCCAGGATGATGTCCTCCGCAAACGAGGAGGATCCCTTCCTCCAAGTCCAACAGTAGGCATCCCTTTCCTGCAGCGTCCCCGACAGAGGCACCTTGAAGAACGTGATGCTGACGACGACCGCCACAGAGACGTCCTCGCCCAGCTGGACTCGACCCGGCCCCTCTTCACCTCGTACCTGCGCATCCGCTCCCTCTCCACGTCCCCGACGTCCCCTGAGCTCGCGTCCGCCCGCTCCGACCTCGAATCGGCCCTCGAGTCGCTGGCCGAGGACCTCGCCGACCTCGTCGAGTCCGTCAAGGCCGTCGAATCAGACCCCTCGGCCTTTGGCCTCTCCGCCTCGGAAATCACCCGGCGCAAACGGCTCGTCCAGGATGTCGGCGGCGAGGTCGAGGACATGCGCGAGGAGCTCGCCAAGAAGCTCGGCGACGCCGCCTCGTCGTCCAAGGGGAAATCCGGCGCCAACTCGGACCTACCCGACCCGAGCTCCTTCGCGATAGCCGACGGCGACGACCGCGACCGCGGCGGCGAGGACTACGCCGCCGAGTTTGAGCAGCAGCAGCAGCTCGAGATGATGCGCGAGCAGGACACGCACCTCGACGGCGTTTTCCGCACGGTGGGCAACCTGCGCCGGCAGGCCGACGACATGGGCCGCGAGCTCGAGGAGCAGCGTGAGATGCTCGAGGTCGTCGACAGCGTCGCCGACCGTGTCGGCGGCCGCCTGCAGACGGGCGTGCAGAAGCTGCAGTACGTCATGCGCCGCAACGAGGACCGTCTCAGCAGCTGCTGTATCGCCGTGCTCATATTCGTGCTGATTGTGCTGCTGGTGCTGCTGCTGATCTTGTAAGGTCTGGCCTTGGAGGGAGTGTCGAAGTATGCAAAAAGGGAGAAGCAAAGCTATTGTGAACCGTTGGGAAAGGGGTTTGGGAGTTTCACGGAGCGTCTGGCAATTTCGTTTTTCTCGGTACAATGTTTGCTGCTTGGGAGGTCTTGATTTAGGGTATGGTAGATCGTCCATCCAACTACCGATTTGCGATTCTAAATGGTGTCGGGACTATCATCTCCCGCTACAGTAGCCCCCGACCATGCGTGAACCGAACCGGACCTGGGCCTCTCGCCCTCAAAGGTTCAGTCCCTGCCGTTCTCTGTGTATATGTGCTCATGTTTGGGTCTCCAGAAACGCCAGATTCATGTGCCCGCCATTCCCGATAGCACAAGCCGGTCCTCCACTGTTGTGTACAAATGTGTCTTTCTTCTGTCTGATTTCTTCCTATCTATGACACCTCTAGTCCGGAGTCTCGTCTCAGGACGTCGGCCAGGACCTGCAGCGCCTGAGCAGCGGTAGCGCCGGGCGGGGCCCTTTTAGGAAACTCGACCAAAGCCATGCGCAGGGCGGCGATGGCTGCGTTGCCGTAAAAGTTGATAAAGCGCTGCTCGTGGCCGTCAATCATCGACTTGAGCACGATGTATTGAGTGTTGGACACGAGCTGCGGGGGCGAGTTGACGATCTGCGCCATGGCCTTCCAGTAGTTGGTGGGAGGATATGGGTTCGTCTTGGATGCCTTGCTGAAATCTCGTAGCGCAATGGCCGCGAAACCGGCGCCGAGACCCGTCATCCTATCGTTGTGTGCCTGCTCGGGGATCCAGTTGCCGTTCTCCTTCTTCCAGCCAATGGCCCTGCGTCCATTCTCGGTCTTGTCGCTCCCCCTAGAACCGAACAACACGGGGCAAGCCACGCGGAACTTAGCGATGAGAATATCGATCATAGAGCCGCCACGCCACTGGTAGTCCTTGTTGGAGAAGATCTGGGCAGTTACGATGCCGACTGGCTCGGCGGACTTGGGATTCGCGCCGCCTTCATTGGCAAACTGCTGGATGATTGCCTTTGCGAGGATGTTGAGAAGGTAGATGAATAGGGCTGGCAGTTGCGGGCCATTGTTAACGGCACCTTCGACTGGCTCTCTGTTCTGTTGGACGTAGATGTTTGCGTCAATAAGAGGCGAGGGTACCCTGCCATCAAGAGACTCGCGCAGAGCACCATTGATAGTGTTGATCTAGCACGTGGTTAGCATCTTCACAGGATGACATTCAGCAAGTGTCTTACGGGTGTGACGTTTGCGCCCTTGCCAGCTGTCAGCTGCCCAATGGATTTCCTAATCTGCCTGCGCATGTCTCCCAACTTGCCCTTCAATGGAGACCCGGGCTGTTTTGACAAGGTCTCAACATCCTTTCTCAATTTCTTCAGGGCCTGGTGTATCTCGGTGTATCGATCGGCAGTTGGCAGTGCGGCGGGCGCCGGCGCGACTGGCTGCGCAACAGGTTTAGGCTGCGCAGGCTCCGCGGGCTTCGTCAAGAATCCGTTGGCTTGGGCTGGCGGTGCGGATGGTTCTTTTGCCGGTGGCGGCGAAGGCACCGAGAGGGGAGCCTTCGCGGCCTGAAGAGCTGGCGCCGGTGTACTTGTCAAGGGAGCCTGCTGTGACTTGGAGATTGCCGGCGCAGCGGTCTCCGTCTTGGCCGCCACTTGTTCGGTCGTCCCATTGACCTGAGGTTCTTGCGACTTCTTCGGCTCCGGCTTGGGCGGTTCGGGTTCGGGCTCGGGGGGTAGCTGAGGGATCTGCTTTGCCTTGAGTTCCCTGAGTCTCTCCTGCTCAGCGCGCACCGCTGCCTCGGCCTTGAGCCGTTCCTCTTCCTCCCGTTGCAATTGTGCTATCCTCCTTTGCTCGGCTTCCAGCCTCTGCTTTTCTTCCTGCAATTGATGCACCTCATAGACTCTCAATGCAGCGAGTCGAACGCGCTCGTGCTCGAGCTGGGCCGCGGCAAGGGCATCGCGATGGCTCAGCTCCGAGTTCCGGTTTTCGGCGAGGAAGTCTGTGAGGTAGGCTCGTTCAGGACTTGACTTGACCTGACCGTTCTGTTGGCTCCTCCGCGAGGGAGACGAGTGTGCCATGGTTGGTCGCACGCGCAGGTAGCTGCGAGTCGGGACGGCGGTGGTGGTGTTGGGAGTGGTGACCGGGCCCTACGGCATTGGGCGGTGGGGTCCAGCGCGGGATGCAAAATTGCACTGGCAACCCGAAGGCTTAAAATTAATTGCGACCAATAATCCAAAAGCAAAAGCAACGAGTGACGTCCGCAGCGGGCGGGCTGGGGAAGACAAGGCTCGGGCGGTGGTTGGAGTCCAGACAAGGCTGTGCTTCTCACCCTTTGGGCCGTTTGGGTTTGGTGTGTGTCGTCTACTGGACAAGGTAGAAACTGTCGAGTTCGGGTTGGGCGCGGCGTTGGTGTGGAGCACTGAAAAACAATACGATGTATCAGGCGGGCTGTGATGTGGGATAATGCTACCGTTCGCGGCGAGTTGGGACTCCTTGGGCAATGAATGGGGAGGTTTCTCTGGAGGCGACAACCCCTGCTGCACCTCTACCCTGGACTGGACCCGTGTTGCTGCTCGCAGTTCCAAATGCTCCATGGGGGTGGAAAGGCCAGAGACGCAGCAGACGCAGAGCCAGACCGCAAAAAGAAGACGAGAGACGTCGCCGTGGTTGCAGCAAAAGTGGATACGAAAGCAGACCATTGGGCGAATAGCGGCGCAGGAGCCCAGCAGTTTCCGGCCTAGTGTCCCCACTGGTTGGTCGGACCGCGTGTGGGTCTGTCTCCCCGAAGGTTTACTGCCGGGCGGTCAAGGGTAGGATCGAGTGGGTTGCGTTGCTCACGAGCTCCCGGTTCTGGACTCTGGGCTTGTGAGTCTGGAACTGAAGTCGGGGCCGGCCCAAGTTTCCAATTGAGGAGCTGACTGAAGTTTGAACCTCGCCTGTCTCGCCTGTCTCGCCTTGACTTTCCCTGCTCTGCTTTCCTCCTGGTTTAGGCTCTGACATGCGAACTCGACGCATCAACACAACGGTAGACTGGACGGAGCGTCTGAGGAGCTGGGCATGACGGCGGAGATCTCCAAAACCTTGAATTGGGAGAGAGATTGCGTGTGCTGGCATTGAAGGGTACCGTCAAGGAGGTACGTAGTGGACTCCACCGTTGCACTGGGGAAAACTGTCAATCACGGCTCCGGACACTGGCTGGAGATGCTGGAGCTTTTGGGAGCATACTACACTGCATAGCAACGAGCTCTGCAGGCTTGGTGTGTAGTAGAGGCTCTGTCAATGTCCAACATGGTATCCATCTGGAAACACCGGCGTATCCTGTCCTGCCTGGCCGACCGCTCGACTTGAGCCCTGCATCTGGCACCAGTCCCCCCCAAATTCTGCCCGTGCATAGCGTCGACACCAACGGACCTAGCGAGTAGCCGCCGCTCGCCGTTGCTGATTATCTCGTGGGCCGAAGACGAGGTACCTGACCTGTGGTGACGGAACTTGGCAGACGTCCCAGGCTCCCCCCCTTCCCCCTCGTTACGCTCTTGTCCACCTACGTAAGATGTCTGGGATGGGAAGGGTGCGTGTGTGAGATGCCCTGTAGGTAAAGGTTAGGGTGGCGCGCTACGGCAGGGTACTGATCACCCAAGTACCAAAGGTACTACGCTACATACTCTACTGCCCAGTAACGCGTTACCTGTCCTCGAACCCGAGAGCCCTGACCTGGTTCTCTGTGTCTGGTGTGCGGCGTGCGGCGCGCGGCGCGCGGCCTGGGTTCTCCCCACTCGTGTCGAATTTGGATGGATACATCTGACCGAGTCTTGACCTCAACCCCAAGTCGGGCTTGTCGGGGACAGGCAGGTACCTCCTTGCTTACCTATCCGTCCCGTAAAGTGCCCTGGCTTGGGGTGCCGCCGCGATGTACCTCTAGCCCGGAGCAAGGTACCTATCTACATACGTAGCTATCGGTCGACCTGCATCATTCTGGTCTGGTCAACCTTGGATGTCAGGGAGGATAGCCGGCTGATCCAGACCTGACGTGAGCCCGATGAATCGGCTGCCGTAATGTGTAGGAAACAGGTGTTTTGACTGCTCAAGTCTTCACTGCAGTCCCCGTACACCAGCACAACTACGTATCCCGTGCCTCCGGCTGTGCCCTACGTAAGAGACTTTGGCCCTGTGTCCTCACTACACACCTCCTCCCTCACTAGCGCAGAAGGTACCTTGCCTTACACAGAGCCCAGCTCCAGTCCCAATAGTGTGCGCGTACTCCTTGGTGCGGTACCCCTTCCTGCCTGTCCCTCTTCCATTGATTGCTGAGGTGCTGTCCCTGCTCTCCTCGCTCGCTCTCTCCTCTCCTCCCCCCACTCCACACCCCCCCGACCCGACTCGCCTTTCGCAACAACCCCCCCGTCACTTTCTCCCAGAGAGGACATTCCCATCCTGCCTCGTTCTTCTCTTCACGTCGTGTCTGCCTCATCCGTTTTTTCCCACCTCAACCATCACTTCGCACACTCCTTGCGAGCTCCTTTCCCTTTCACCTCGCTCGTCTCGCCGACAAACCACAACCCTCTCCTCCCCCCTCTACCTCATCCCAATCCAATCCCTCTTCGATCGATCAGACAAACAAACACCTACCTTCCTTGAAATCAACCACGTCCACAAAACCACAAGACCAGAAGCCAAAACTACAACCATCCCAGTTCTCCACTGTCTTTAGTCCGCAACTACATACGTCAATACGTGCCACATCATCCCACAAAGCCCATCGACGCCCACGCCGAACCACCTGCTATCCGACGCTGCCAATCCTGCCCATCCGTCCATCAACAACCAAAGCACTTGACGTGCAATACAATCTAAAAGAAGCCAATCTTTCATCTGCTTGACTGCCCGCCATGGAGCAGCAGCAGCAACAACAGCAGCCGCAGCAGCCGCAGCAGCAGCCTGCGAGCGGCGTCCCAGGCCCAACCGGCCGCCGGCTTCACATTGCTCACAGGAGAAGCCCCTCCGAGCTGACTCCGTTGATGAGCATGTTTGCCAACCCGGGTAGTAAGTCGAATCCAAAAACTTCTCCATCTTTCCCAATCTTCCTCGAGCTCTGGCCTACTGCTTGCTGTCCCCTCGCTGCTCGTCTCGTTATCTCCCGAGGCCGACAAATGATGCTGATGATGTGTCTTCTCTGCAGTGGAACAGCTAGCCATCCAGCAGCAGATTGAGCTGTTGCAGCAACAGCAGCAACAGATCCAAGCTACTCAGCAACAATACATGAACATGGGAATGATGCCCCCCACGCAACAGCTCGGCCCAGGTGGTGCTTTCAATCCCCTGCAGCCAGGTATGGCGCCGCAGGGCGGCTTCCAATTCCCCCAACAGCTTCCGCAGCAGAATGTCTCGATGGGAGGTCCTCCTACCCAGCCAATGTCACATCGCCGTAATCAGTCGGCACTTCCGAACATGGGAATGGGCCCGCCTCCCGCTCCCTCCTCGGGTGCTTCCGGCTCGAACTTCAACAACGATGCCGCTGGCGCCGCTCCCAACAGGGAGAACACCGGTGGTCGTGGAGGTCGTGGCGGTGGTGCCGGAGGTGGCCACCAGCGACGTCACTCCTTGGCGCTTGCCGATGCGAAGAAAGCGGCAGAAATTGCCCAGCAGAAGCGTACAACATCAGGCTTCCAGTTTCCCATGTCTGGTCCCTCCAACGAGGCCGGCGCCGATGGTGGCGCCTCCGCCCCCGCCCCCGCCCCGGCCCAACCCGAGGCCCCAATTGCTCAGGGTACCAGCGCTGGTCGTGGACGCGGTGGACATGGCCGCAGCCAGAGCATGGCTGTCAACGGCCGTGGTGGTGGCGGCGCAGGCCGCGGCGGCTTCTCCGGTGACTCGAACCAAAACGACTTCGGTCGCCGAGGCAGCTCGACCGGAGGTGGCCACGCCAGAACCGGTTCGCGCAACTTTGACGGCAACTGGCGTAACCAGGGCGGCAACCAGGCTCAGGAGCAAGGTGGCTTCCAGCCGGGCCACCGCACTCGCGGTTCTATCAACCAGTCCATCTCCAACATTGGAGCGTTCCAGTACCCTGGTCAGCCTCAGCTGATGCAGATGCCCGGCTCGATGATTCCCATGGGCATGTACCCCGGTCAGCAGCTTAACCCCATGCAGATCCAGCAGCTGCAGGCTCTTCAGGCTGCACAAATGAATGGTCAGCAATTTGTTGGTCTCCAGGGCAGTCAGCATGCTGGCCAGCTTGGTGGAAACCAGCAGCAGCAGCAGCAGAGAAAGACCCTCTTCACTCCTTACCTCCCTCAGGCCACCCTTCCGGCCCTTCTCGGCGACGGGCAGCTCGTGTCTGGTATTCTCCGCGTGAACAAGAAGAACCGCAGCGACGCCTACGTTTCCACTCAGGACGGTTTGCTCGATGCTGACATCTTCATTTGCGGTAGCAAGGATCGCAACCGTGCCCTCGAGGGTGATCTGGTCGCCGTCGAGCTGCTCGACGTTGACGAGGTTTGGTCGCAGAAGCGCGAGAAGGAAGAGAAAAAGAAGCGCAAGGACATCACTGACACCCGTTCTGGATCAACCAACGGTCAGAACCAGTCATCCGGTAACAACGATGACAACACTCAGCAAGAGGGCGGTATCCGCCGCCGGGGCAGTCTGCGCCAGCGCCCTACCCAGAAGAAGAACGACGACGTTGAGGTTGAGGGCCAAAGCCTGCTTCTTGTCGAGGAGGAGGAAATCAACGATGAGGCCAAGCCTCTCTACGCTGGCCACATCGTGGCCGTCATTGAACGTGTTGCAGGCCAGATGTTCTCGGGTAACCTTGGCTTGCTCCGTCCCAGCAGCCAGGCTACCAAGGAGAAGCAGGAGGCTGAGAGAGCTGCCAGAGATGGTGGTAACAACCGTCACCACGACAACCGATCTCAGGAAAAGCCCAAGATCGTCTGGTTCAAGCCTACCGACAAGCGCGTGCCGCTCATTGCCATTCCTACCGAACAGGCGCCTCGTGACTTCGTCGAGAAGCACCAGGACTACGCTGATCGCATTTTTGTGGCCTGCATTAAGCGCTGGCCGATTACCTCGCTGCATCCCTTCGGTACTCTCGTTGAGCAGTTGGGCCGCATGGGTGACCTTAAGGTGGAGACCGATGCTCTTCTACGTGATAACAACTTCTCCTCCGACGAGTTCTCTGAGGCTGTATTGCGCAGCGTTGGTCTGCAGGACTGGTCTCTTGCTAAGGAAGATGAGGCTGCTCTGGCTACTCGCCGGGACTTCCGTGACGAGAAGGTCGTCACGCTTGATCTGAACGGGTCTCCCGAGCTTGCCAACGCCATCCACATCAAGACTCAGCCTGACGGCAAGATCGACATTGGTATCCACATTCCGGATGTCACTCACTTTGTCAAGCCCAACTCGCTTGTCGACCGTGAGGCTAAGAAGCGTGGCACAGCTGTTCACTTGGTCAACCGGACATGCGCTCTGCTTCCTCCCAAGATCGGCGGCGAGGTTTGCTCTCTAGCACCTGGTGAAGAGCGCCTCGCTGTCAGTGTGCTTTTCCGCGTCAACCCTCACAACGGCTCTGTTGCCGAGGGTGATGCCTGGGTCGGCAAGAGTATCATCAAGAGCACTGCCAAGATTACCATTGATGAGATTGATGCCGCTTTGAACGGCCAGGCTGACTGGAAGCATGAATCTATCCAGCTCAAGGATGTTCAGATTCTCAACGTGAGTACCCCTAAATAACACCACTACAAGGATTTCACTGACAGTGCACAGGCCGTTGCCCAAAAGTTCACCGAGGCTCGTCTCGGCGCTGGTGGTGAGCCTATTGCTCCTCTCAGGCTTCTGCAGCAGCTTGATGATGAGAACATCCCCATCAAGCACAACATCTTTGACTCGACCCCCGCAACTGAGCTCGTTGAGGAGCTCATGCACAAGGCCAATACCTATGTTGCTCAGCGCCTTGCCCAGGCTCTCCCCGAGAAAGCCCTCCTTCGCCGACAAGGCCCACCCAACGCCCGACGCCTGCAGACCTTTGCCGATCGTATGAATGCGATTGGCTACGAGGTCGAGACCTCCGGCAGCGGCAGCCTGCATAACAGCCTTTTTAAGGTTGATGACGCCGACGTCCGCAAGGGAATGGAGACGCTCGTTCTCAAATCGATGCAGCGTGCCAAATACTTCATTGCCGGCAAGACGGCCAAGCAGCTGTGGCCTCACTATGCCCTCAACCTGCCTCTGTACACTCATTTCACTAGCCCCACCCGCCGCTACGCTGATATCATCGTCCATCGTCAACTCGAGGCCGCGCTCTCCGATGGTCAGATCGAGTACACGGAGGACTTGGAGAGCCTTGTCAAGACCATCGAGTCTTGCAACACCAAGAAAGACTCGGCGCAGAACGCCCAGGAGCAGAGCATTCACATTGAGTCCTGCCGCGAGATGGACAAGAAGCGACAGGAGGTTAACGGCGATCTCATCACTGAAGGTATCGTCCTCTGCGTGTATGAGTCGGCCTTCGATGTCCTCATCCCTGAATGGGGCTTCGAGAAGCGTGTGCACTGTGATCAGCTGCCTCTCAAGAAGGCCGAGTTCAGAAAGGAGAAGAGAGTGCTCGAGCTTTACTGGGAGAAGGGCGTGCCGAGCTCGGCGTACGTACCTGAGGATGAGCGCCCCAAGGCTGCTGCGTCTGTTAGAAACGCCAACGCCATGGCTGCCGCCCGTCAAGCGGAGGCTGCCGATCGCGCCAAGAAGGAGAGAGAGGAGGCTGCTCGCAAGCAGACGGAGACCGGCACCATATCCACTGACGATGTCGATGCGCTCTTCGACGACGACGATGACAACGCGTCTGACATCACCGAGGCCATGGCTGGCGCTTCGTTGGCTGAGAGGCCGACGCAGAGCGTCCCCGGCTCGCCAACTCGATCCGACGCCAAGCCTCTGCAACGCACGAGATCCGACTCCAAGGTCCCTGCGCCGGAGGCTCCCGAGACCCGCCTTTCGAACAAGGAGAAGTACCTCAAGCTCTTCAAGCTGCGCGAGGAGGGAGGAGAGTACATTCAAGACGTCACGGAGATGACCAGGGTTCCTGTGATTCTCAAGACCGACCTCTCGAAGAGCCCGCCGTAAGTTGAATCCATCACTAATGTTCTGGGGATGTACTAATATGATGCAGTTGCTTGACTATTCGCTCTTTGAACCCTTACGCTCTGTAAAATGGTGTGTTGATATACGGTGTCCATTAAGGACACGAATTTGGCCACGACCATGGGGCAGACGAGCACACCGTGCGTCTCGTGGAGTGAAGATACATCATGGATGGTGAAGAAAAGTTTGGGTGAGAGACGGGACGATACATTGTGATTGGAAGAGGGTAATAGGAGGTGTATCTTCGTCCCTGGATGAGTCATTTGGCAGAAAGGCCGTAAGTTGAGAGGGAGGCCGGCGATGAAATAGTAGAGATAGCGTCCATCAGTTCGTAAAATGGCACATCCAATTGCCCCTTTGACGCGTAATCAGTGTATTTGTTGAGTCGGGCAGAATACGCAAGAAGAGTCATAAGTAAGATTATACGTTTTTGATAATGAACAGGGAGACCCTTGTGCCACGTTGCATAGTCTGCGGGCTGGACTCATTTGATGCTTGGCCCTCCGGGGGACGGGGGACGGGGGACGGGGGACGGCAGAGTTTCAGCTGCGATGGTTGACAGGAGAGCCGGTTTGGGAATCTGACGTGACGACTTATGCTGTGGATCGGATGTGGAAGGGGACACGAGAGAGGTCGGCTGGGAAGGGGTTCTTTTTAAAGTGGACCAGACACACGGAGCCGGAAGTGGGGCTCGTTGTGAAGCACATGGGCAAGGTAGGCAGGTCCAATACGACCGAGCCTCACGACAGTTTAGCGGAAGAGGACATTCGCCGGAGACACGTGAGAGAGAGAAATCGGAAGAGAGTGAGAAAGAAAGGGAAATACAAAAAGAAAGGCCTCTGAATTTCTGTTTCTCAAGAGCCTCACGTTCCCACTATCAATCAAGCTTATCGTGTCTCGGTCTCTCTTGATCTTGGATGGAAGCAGAATGGCCCCGATGATGCAGAGCCGTGCAACATATTACTGGGGGGCCCCTTGTCGAGGTAGCAGTGCTACCTCCTTCACCGAGTTCCATGAAGGGGTGATCCGCTACGAGTCCATAGTTCAGACTGCCTACCTGATGTTCAGTCAGATCTACACGGCGATCGCCAGGGGAGTGAAGCATATCCTTTTTTTTCCCGTCCGTTTAAGGCACCAAGGCCCGGTGTGATCGTCAAATTCGCAGAGATAGAGTGGGAGATCCTAACCCCGACAAGCACCGAGAAATAGAAGGGATTCTTGACTCCCATACCGCAGCCGTCACCGGATGTTGGTCATTTCAATTCCGGCTCCGTAGTTTTGTTTGTACGGCGCAACAGCCATGTCAAATACCCCTCTAAACCACTGTCCGGCGGCACGGCATTGCGAGACGCAGCGCGCTACTCACCGAGATGCCGTCACTTCGATGGGACGGGGTTTCTTGTTCGTTTCTTTCCCGAGCCGAGCATGGCTAGGGCTTATGTGGGGCGAAAACATGTTGTTTCCAAATGTCTGGACGGAACGGTTAACTGCCCGAAAGTGGGTGGGAACGCGGGCGTTGTAAGAACCTGCTACCTATGCGGGAAGCGCTCGATAGTGCGATGGAAAAAGGCGACGACAACGGACGAAGAGAAGAAGGGGGTTGCGTTTGTGTCAAAGGCGCGCATACGATGCACACTAGTAAAGACCCTGGAGTTATGATGTAGTAGTGATCGGGCTGAAGAAGGGGCTGGGGCCATGGCTGGAGTTTCGAAAGCTTAGTAACTGAACAAGGTTGAGCTTGCGAGAGATACGGCTTTTCGGAACTTTTTCTCGTTGGTGGAGATGGGTGTTGGGAGGAAAAGTCATGGGCGTTGCGGGCGTGGCTCCCATTCGAATCGGGACGCGGGTAGACGGATGGCAGCCTGCTTTGAGTTGACCAAGCCAAGCCCTAGGCGACAGAAGTGGGATGGATTTGTTTTTCTTTCGCTGAGGGCTGGGTAGTTGGGACGAAGTCGGTGGTTAGCCGCTTGGAAAGGCTTTTGAAACAGGTTGTAAGCCCTGTAAGGTCTTGGCTTGCCGAAACAAGCCGGCGAGGCAGAGCTTGTCGAATTGGTAGTGGCCATCCGGTGTTGCGTTGTTGGGATGGACTAGCATAATAGAGGGAGAAGAAGTGGAGATGGAGACCTGCTTTATCTGGCCTGATGGATGAGCTACGTGGGAAAGGAGCATAATTTGGCCGAGCTTTGGGATGCCGCCCAGGTATTCGAGCCCAATATTGCATCCACTCTCCGCCGAGGTAGCCCAGTGAAAGGCTTGAGGCGCTCCATAGACAATAAGCTTAAGTGGCTAGTCTGTTGCAGCGGTCTGGAAGTAGCACGAGGCCGGAAAGCAGGCAGACTATGTGCGAACGAGGCCAATGCTGGGGTTGCAGAATCACTCTCGCTTTGTGGGCCGGGGATGAGAACGGCCGTTTTCCAACAAATTCCCCGGTAGCGATAGGCTAAGTAGGCCACATTGGGTTCATGTATGGTCGTTTCCCCAAAAGCCAGATCGTGAAGGTGTCCCGAGAGTTCGTTTCCAGAGCCTAATATGGCCAGGCTGCAGGTCCAGGCTCGATGCTCGAGTCAGTCTACGTGGTTTCTCCTTTTGCTGTTGACCCAGACAGACGAGGCCGGCCAAAGGCCAATGCTCCTTCAGTCAAGATCATGAACAACGATTGACTAGGTAGGCACGACGGGCGGCCGCCTACAGAAGCGGCTCGCAGATCATAGGCCTGGTCTCTTGGTGCGTGACATCCTGGATGGCGGCTACAGGAGGATCTGTAGCCCTTAATCCCATCTGGCGCAGTTGGCAACATCAGAAGGCGTCCATGATTGTGGAAATGGGATCTGTCTCCGTGTCGCAGGGTGGCAGCGGCAGCGGCTTATTGGGCCGGGGGTTTGAATAAATGCAAGCGGCTCGCCCAGGAACGTAGACTAGCCGGGATGGGAGGAAATGTGAGTGATTGCCTGGTCTTGGTGGTATGGGATGGACGGGAACAAGAGACCGGTAGAGGAAGGTGAAAAAAGACGGCCCATGGAGCGAGGTTGAGGAATGGAAAGAGACATTACCGAGAGAACGTTCCTGCGTAAAGGCAGAAGTACGTACCGAGCTTAGCCCGCTAGGGTCTGCCGGCAGCAACTCCACAGATGGTGGTGATCCAATCACAGTTTACGGAAGACGCCAGTGACAGGAGGGTCCGGGCGTCCACGGACCGGGGTTTCTGACGTGAGAGACGTATCACATTGGTTTCGGTCAACGGCCCGTTCATGACCCGGCTCGACCTCGAGGCTTGGCTGGGGGTCACGATGCAACAAAGTTGGCTCGGCTGCAATGCCAAACTGTAGCGGCGAGGGCGCGTTCCCTCTTTTTTTTTCTTCCCCTCGCCCGCTCTCAACACCGTCAGAACTCTCTCCGTCCTCCTCTTCCCCCCAAAGGACTCACGGCGGGGTCGGGATCCTTGCATACACAAAGTCATCGGGCAAAAAGAAGCGCAAAAACAAGCTCGGCAGGGATCGCTGCAGTATCTGGAAACGGGCTTCGTCCCAATAGAGAAGTCGTGCAGGTCCCCTGCCCAATCCCATCTTTTCGCTCCTCTTCCTCTGAACCGGGCTCTGTGATTGGTGCTTTGCGCACGTAAGTCTCTCCCGATTCGCTGAGCTTGTTTGGACCACAGCGAAACGAAACATGCGGAGCACTCCATGCTCTCTAGTCCACACACTCTAACATTCCTACTGGGAGCCTTGCCGCACCTTTCTCCCCTTACCTGTACACGGATTAGCCAAGCAGCCAAACAGCTAAGCAGGTTGACTCCGTACCCGGGCTTCGGAGCAGGAAGGGAAGGCCTGCTGCCATCTGAACTTTAGCCCATGCTGTCTATCCATGCACCCCCCTTGACGCCATTCACTAGGGGTACGTACCGTCGCCTTCCACAAGACGAGACTGCTCGCGCGCTAGATCCCCCTTCCCGTTTTCCTTGACACACTCCGCGTGCGCGCACATGCTGCAGCCGCTTGCCCTGGGCTCTTGTTCAGTACCGGCGCCAACACCAGACGCAGACTCCTGCTTACTGTACCCTGCACCCCTGTCGAGTCTGAAGCTTACGGTCGAGCGTAATCTTGCTACCCGCATTGTGGGCTCCCGTGTGAACTGACGACGGAAAGAAAGCTAGCCGCAGACAATCCCCAGCAAGGACCCAAGCCGATCCGACCCCCTCCCGAGTTGCAGAACCTGAGAACGGCTATGCGTGCTGAAGGGTAAGATACGCCCATTGACGAGGAGGGCCGGCTATGATACTCACCGAAGCCTCAACCTTCTTTATTGCCCGCTTGTTTCCCACCTTCGATCGTTTGTTCTCGCCCCTCTTCCCTTCTCCTCTTCATCCCGTTCACTGTGTGTCAATTTCTTCCATTATCCAAAAGCGCTGGTCTGCTTTCCCTTGGTCCACCGGTTTTGCTTACACTCTCCTTTCCCTTTGAGACATCTTACCACTACGAACTGCCACTCACTCGGACAACATTCTTAATTACCTTTGTAATCTTTCACTTCATCGACCGTCCCAGGTGGTACCGATCGACAACAACTTCTACAACAATCCCGTCGCCCGAGTATCTGCCCCCGGAAAACAGCCGATCGAAGAGGAAAGAAGAATTTACGACGAGCAAAGCCGCAAGAAACCACACAACCTAATCGACAATGCCTTTCACAATGAAGACCGCCCTCGTCGCCTGCCTGGCCGCAGTGTCTGCCGCCGTCCCTCTCGGACCCAAGTTGAACGCCGAGCAAATGAAGATCTACGACCTGGCCAAGAGGCAACAGGCCGGAGCTGGCGCTGCCGGATTGACGGATATCGACATTCTTCAATTGTGAGTTTACGGAAGCCAGCCATGGACGAAGGTGGATTCGATCACTAACAAGACTCCGCAGCGCTCTTACCTTGGAATGGCTCGAGGGAACCTTCTACCAGCAAGGCTTCCAGAAGTTCCCCGCACAGGACTTCCAGGCTCTCGGCCTGTCCCAGGAGCAAATCAACGACCTGCAACAAGTCGGTGCTACTGAGCTCTCCCACGTCTCTCTCCTGCAGTCCGCCATTGCCCAGGCCGGCACCCAGCCTGTCCAGCCCTGCCAGTACAACTTTGGCTTCACGAACGCTGCCGGCATGGTCCAGACTGCTGCCGTCCTCGAGAACGTTGGCGTTTCTGCCTACCTCGGTGCCGCCCCTCTCGTCAAGGACAAGGCCATTCTCAGCACCGCTGGCTCCATCCTCACCATCGAGGCTCGCCACCAGACCTTCATCCGCGCCGCCTCCAAGCAGATCGCTATTCCCCAGGCCTTCGACGCCCCTCTCGGTGTTCGCGCCGTCTTCTCCTTGGCCGCCCCCTTCATCACGTCGTGCCCTCAAGGCTCCAACTTGGCTCTGCAGGCCTTCCCCAAGTTGACGATGACCTCTCCCGCCAGTCCCTCGGCCGTTGCCATCGGCGCCCCGATCATGCTCCAGTCCGATGCTGCTCCCCAGGCCCAGGCTTGCGCTTTCACCACTGGTGGCATCCAGCCCGGCGGAACTGCCTTCACCCCCTTTAACGCTCAAACTGGCTGCGTCGTTCCCCAGGGCCTCAGCGGCATCGTCTACCTCTCCCTCACGAACCAGTCCCCGATGGCTGGCACGATCACCGATGATATCATTGTGGCTGGCCCCATGGTGCTTACTATCTCGTAAGCGCGTCCCGTGGGTCGGGGTATGTGGTCACTCAAAACGGGTGGCTGAAAAGGGCGTGATGGGCGTGCGTTGATTAATATCGAGGGGTCACCAACACGAAAAGTCAAAAGGGGGAACAAGCGCATGATACCTCGCTCTACGACAACGGAAGTCGGGAATAGTCAAGAGCATGCTCAGCCAGTTTTCGAAAATGTCGACCTTCTTTTGTTTCTGACTCTTCACTCTCTCCAACCCACCATCCGACCGACAAAACCATTTCACTTCTCTGGCTGAATAGATAGCCTGTGTATATGATGGTCATATTATATATATTCCCAACGGGGTTTCAGGAGTCGAGTCGAAGACTTATGTATTGTTTAACTGGTAACTCAAATTCCCTTTCTCATTTCATTATTTCTCTCAGTCTTGTTACATTTTCTTTTCTGCATCAATCCCCGTCGTAGCCAGACACGGGTGGAACTTTTAGGAGAGGCAAAAAGGGCCTAGGAAACATCGTCGCTAGGAACAGCGGAAGAATTCTATGATACCAGCAGAATAAAGCACGATTTTCTTGACAAAAAAACATGTTCAACACATAGGAGCCCCTCCCCTTTGTGCGGAGAAATCTGAGAGGGGAACGAGGATGGGAACAAAACAGTTGAGTTGCCAAGGAACGATACGACCTGAGATCAGCGCAAAATCAAAGCTATCATTTACCAGCTGCAAACATGGCTGCCAGTCAAGACGGGTTCCAACTTTGGTGTGGGTGAGATGAGACGTGTTCAGGTGAGCCGCAAATCAAACTTGGGATTTGGCACATGTTGAAACTGGAGAGGAGTTCACGGGGGTGGTCAGGATGGAACCTGAAGCCGATCCTTGTACGGGCTAAGATCGGCGTCTGGCGGCTCTCGGCTCTGAACTGACTACAAACCTTCTTTCGAGTCATTACCCACCCACATCTGGGCGGCTCTTCCTGGACCGGATATGCTAAGATGTTGATTCCGAGCCCCACCTGGGGCTTGGACTAATGCGCCTGCAAAGTATTCGATATCGCTGAGTGAGATTGTGCCTTGGCTTATGCGGAGTCTTGGTTTCTATAGACTCTTCTAGCACATGGGGAGGGAATAGTCGAAAAATGTGTTGCGTTACAGGAGAGAACTCTCTTGAAGAGAATCTGCACTTGACCTTGAACCACGGTTGATGCATGAGGGCATTACTCGAGTGCCGTGGTGGGCTTCGTGGCGTAGCTGCTTCAACAGATAACCCGGTAGACCCATCATACACAGTTAAATCCATGCCTAGATGACTTTCCTTGATAAACACGAGATGATTATGATAACTCTCAATTGAGCCAAGAATATTGCTAATCAGTTGAATCTGTTCCGATGATATAAATAACAAACGATGACAAAACCAGCATACGTTTATGACCAGCACTGGATGGCCGATATCATACGCTCCCCATCTTCCTTAATCAGATAACAACGACTAACACCAATTGGCTGCAATTGACTCCCAGGCAACCCACAAAACGGAAGTCCTTGGGTTCCGTTCATCAATCATCACTAGTGCAATCTGCATTTTGTCTGGCGATCAACAACTCACAGCATTCTGTCGGGATAGGATGTTACGCAGTCTCAAGAGCTGTATGGGTGGATATTGGCGATTGCCGCGTATGCAAAGCTCTGGGACATTGGTCATTGACCTGAAAGCCCTAGCGTATTAGGCATATCTTTTAAGAGTATTTGATGCTTTAGAGAAGCGTAGACTTGAGCCGGCAGAACTTGCAAAGAACCACATCAAGACGAAGGAAACTACCCCGGTAATGCAGTCATGATAGATAACGAGGCTCAAAGCGGCTTAAGTCGGTAGCCAGGTACAGCCTGTGAAACTAAATTATGCGAGATTCGAAAACATCATTCCAGTCTAGTTCATCTTAGACACTTCCGAGTATTTTAGCTGACAGCATAGTCCAAGTAAAGAAGCTGAAACCGAAGAACGAGGCCAGTCAAAACTCTCTTCCTCAGAACTCGGACTGGAAATCGGAGGACTTTCAGCACTGCTGTTTTATGTTGAACTGTTCGTCTGCTTCTCCTGATTTCTCTCACTCCAAGCAAACTGAATGGGGCGATCGCCATACTCAAAGGCAATCAGAAAAGGTACCCGCTGTAAGGTTGAAGTGTTTTCAGTAATCGCTGCAACATCTCATCCATAGAATTGCCCAACATCATGAGGGTTTTGATTTTTAGAGAGTCTGAACCGTCAAGATTCACCTGCGTCAACTCTTCTATCATCAAAGCAGAGAGGGTTGCCGTGCCTGCTGCGTCGGCGGAGCGCCGATGCGGGGCCGATCAGCGCCATCAAGACACCGGTCAGCCATACCAAAGTACCTAGAGAGCACCGAAACCATACGTTCTCCACATTGCTAAGGCTATCCAAACTTACGGAATGGCAGGTCAGTTCCCTCGTATATTTAACGGAACCTCTTGGTCCCCAGCCAAGGAGTTTGCGGGGACCTCGTCAAACATAGGTTGAGGTCGACTCGGAGATACGACCGCAAGACCAGGGTCTCAACCATCATACTCCAGTCAAGCCAGACGGTCCATTCAGGCTTAATTTGCCGAAGGGCTGACTATGTGCTTTGTAAGAGAGTATTCGTGCTGCAGCCCGCACCAACCGCACAGAAGTCCGCTTCCCAACCGAGGGTCTGTCCAGAAGCACGACTAGGATCAATTTCCCCACGGCGGGCGGGACAAATGTGATACATGACGACACAACCCTCGGCAACCGCTCTCCCATCCGCAAGACCTGACAGCAGTATATTACAAGCCACTGGGTTATATATATGTAAGGTCGTCGTCCGATATCATTCAACTCGATGTGTACAATCTAAAATTATCTGCCGAATCACCAACCCCGCGCGCTTGCCCCTCATTGCGCCCGCTCGTGGTGACGTCTGCGGGGTCAAAGTCTGCTCCTAAAATGGAGGAGACGGAGAAACCTCTTGGAATGGAACCCCGGCGGCCGAGGAGACTACTGCTGCATCGACGGGCCACTGGCGATAGACCCGGGAGGCTCCGGTCCCGTTGCGGGGTCGGATCGGCTCCCTGTCACATTCATGAATCTTGGAGAATAAAGCTAAGTCGTCTCACCATCAACTACACTTGCGCAAACCACGTTGTGCGTTATAGAATGCCAAAATGAGTAGACCTTTCAATAAAGTGCTGTTGCCATGATACCCACTCTGCATATATGCATAGTACTGACTTGATGAACAGGTCGTGATCGTCGGGGCTGGCCCCTCAGGCCTGCTCCTCGCCCTGCTCCTCTCCAAACACGGCATCCGAGTCCACATACTCGAGGCCGAGGACCATCTCGACCAGCAACCCCGAGCCGCTCACTACGGCCCTGCCGCCATACCCGAACTCATGCGCGCGGGCATCCTGGACGAGGTGCGCCGCCGCGGGATGACGCACAGCAAGTTCGTCTGGCGTCGTTTCGAGGACCACAGTGTCATTACGGGTTTTGACGCAGGCGTGCTCCGCGACGTCAACGGCAAGGATCTGCGGACCACGTGCCTTGTTCTACAGGAGCTCGACCAGCTCATGCTGGATGAGTTTCTGGACAAGTACAACGGGTCCATCAGCTGGCAGCACCGGGTGGTCGGGCTAGGACAAGACGACAAGCAGGCCTGGGTCGACGTCGAAACTCCCGAGGGCAAGAAGCGAGTGGAGGCCGACTACATTGTCGGCTGCGACGGAGCCAACAGCGCCGTGCGCAAGGGGCTCTTTGGGAACGAGTATCCGGGCTGGACGTGGGACCAGCAAATCGTCGCGACCAACACCTACTACGACTTCGCGGGCAAGTTCGGGTGGCACGACGCCAACTTCATCATCCACCCGGAGCACTTCTTCATGGCGGCCAAGATCACGAACGACGGGCTGTACCGGGTCACGTACGGCGAGGAGCCGAACCTCTCCCACGAGGAGCTCAAGGCGCGCCAGGAGGAGAAGTTCAGAATCATGCTGCCGGGGCATCCCGGGCCTGACGAGTACAAGGTCGTCAACTTTGCGCCGTACAAGATGCATCAGCGGTGCGCCCCGCGGTTCCGGTCCGGGAGGTTCATGCTGGCCGCGGACGCCGCGCACTTGTGCAACCCCTGGGGCGGGCTGGGCATCACGGGAGGCTTCGTAGACATCGGTGGGCTGTATGATTGTCTCGCCGGGGTGTGGGACGGCCTGGCGGACGAGAGCATTCTGGACTTGTACTGCGAGAAGAGAAGGGAGAAGTGGAAAACGGTCATCGACCCGATCTCGCAGGAGAACTTCCGGAGGGTCTCGGACGCGGATCCGGCGACGAGGGTGGAGAGGGACGGCTTCATGCAGATGTGCGAGCGCGCCCAAAATGATCCAGACTTCATGCGGGAGTTGATGATGGGGACCTTTGATGTGCGGTATGATTTTACCCAGCACTACAAGGACCTTGACGCGAAGAAGGTAAACGGCGGTTGAACTTGCGGCGCTAAGAAAGTGTGTGCGGTGTTACCGAGCGATTGACGGTAGAGATACGTCTACATCAATATGGATATCACTCGCATAAAGAGCCAATATCATTGAATATAAACATATGAATGACTGGTCTAAAGAAATGTCGGTCCAATCTTCCTCCACGGCCACCACAGCACGTAAACCAAGGACCAGGTCAAAGGCCTCGACACTCCAAGTCATATGAGGGACAAGAGGTTGTTTGTTCTTTTCAAAATCTAACCAGTCGTGAATCTCAGCCCACTATGAAAAGTCCAAGAACGCTTTCCTGGTACTTATAGGAAATGTTAGTAGAGCGAAGGCACATAAGCGGTTGCAACGAGCTCACTCGCAGTGGTCAGCCTGCATACTGATAGGAATATCGAAGGAAAGTGCCATGCTAGAGGGCTTGCAATCATGATTTCACAAGTTATAGGAATAATTCAACAGGTGTCTTCCATGACTAATCATCCGGAAACATCAGTAACAATGCCACGGCCTCAGTCTGCAACGTAACGGCCCTCGGCCCCTGTTATTGATGAGTGATCAGGCAAGAATCCACACCACTGTAGTGACGCGATGGCCGCCCGTTACAAAGCATTGATAATATATCTCTTCACAGTTTTAGATGGCCCTACGCATAAGTCCTGGCAGCTCAGACGGACAAGTAGAAGACCACGAGACTAACCACTGACCCCCGGTTGATTAGCAGACATGGCCAGCATCCAGTCACACATCACCCAAGACGTTCCCGTACGGAAGACACACAACTTCAACGACACACCCATGGTTCAGATGTGGTAACGATCATGTACATATAGGATATACTAGCCGAGACTACGAAACGAGGAACCACCATGCACAATGTGTCTTCATCCCAGGCTCATCTATCGGACCCCAAGACATCCCTCACAGCGCAAAGGGATGCTGACTAAACAGGACAATACTCAACGCCTCGGAGCGTTTACTCGTCAACAACGGAAGCAAACTTGTCCAGCATCTCCTGCTGGATGTCCTCGTACTGTGATGACGGTGTTAGCTAACGAGAAATCTCTGGCGCAGTGTTATGTAGACTCACCTTCTTAGTAATGACATCCTGGCCATCATCGGGAACCTCAAACTTGAGTTGACGAAGCTTGGCCTGCAGGTCTCCAGTAGCTTCGCGAACCTTGGCCCAGCTCTGGCCCTGGGCAACGGCCTTTTGTGCCTCGTCATGGAAACCAACCATGAGCTTCATCATCCACTCAGTCTTCCACAGCGGGCAGAACTGGTCGTAGTCTGAGTAACCGTTTTGCTGCAAGAAATCCTCCTTCAACAGCGCGGCGATATCCAAAGTAATTTTGTCGGGGTCGGACAGCGCACTCTTTCCGACCAGCTGCACGACCTGGTCGAGCTCTTCGGAGTCGGACAGGAGCTGCTTGATACGGTCACGCAAACGGGGGAAGTCAGGGTAGTCCTTCTCGTACCACTTATCAAGGACCGTGGTGTACTTGCTGTAACTGAGCGAGGTGTTGATGGAGGGGAAGTGCTTGCGCTGGGCGAGCTTCTTGTCGAGACCCCAGAAGACCTGCACGATACCAAGGGTGGAAGTGGTGACAGGATCGGAGAAATCACCACCAGGGGGGCTGACGGCACCGACAATGCTGACACTGCCCAATCGCTCGGGCGAGCCAAGAGACTTGACGCGACCGGCACGCTCGTAGAAACTGGCGAGCTTGGCACCGAGGTAGGCGGGGAAACCTTGATCAGCAGGCATCTCTCCCAAACGTCCGGAGATTTCACGAAGAGCCTCAGCCCAACGCGACGAGGAGTCGGCCATCATGGCAACGTCGAGGCCCTGGTCACGGAAGTACTCGGCTACGGTGATACCGGTGTAAATAGAAGCCTCACGAGCAGCGACGGGCATGTTGGAGGTGTTGGCGATGAGCGTAGTGCGCTTCATGATGGGTTCCTTGCGGCCGTCGACCTCGATGGTAAGCTCGGGGAAATCCTTCAAGACTTCAGCCATCTCGTTTCCGCGCTCACCACAACCGACGTAGACAATGACATCGCTGTTGGAGAACTTGGACACAGACTGACTAATGACAGTCTTTCCGCAACCGAAAGCACCAGGAATGGCGACGGTACCACCCTGAACACTAGGGAAAAGGGCGTCCAGCACTCTCTGGCCGACGACGAAGGGCTCGCTTGCCTGCAGCTTCTCGGTAGTTGGGCGAGGCACTCGCACAGGCCAGGTCTGCATCATGGGGTACTCGGTCTTCTTGCCATCGAACTCGACCTCGAGGAGGGGCTCCGCGACAGTGTATTGGCCCTTGCTGGCAATCTTGGTAATGGTACCGCGAGCACGGGGCGGGAGCAAAATCCGGTGGACAGAGATAAACGAGTTCTCGTTGACGGTACCCCAGACGTCACCGCCCGAGATGTGGTCGCCAACCTTGGCGGTGGGCTCGAAATCCCACTTCTTTGTGCGGTCGAGGGCGGGGACGGCGATACCACGGGGGATGTAAATGGTCTTGGAGATGTCGCTGATCTTCTCGAGAGGTCTCTGGATACCGTCGTAGATACCGTTGAGCAGACCGGGGCCAAGCTCGACGGAGAGGGGCTTTCCGGTACGGTAGACGGGGTCACCGACCGTGACACCAGCTGCGCATACCATCAGCTACATGTATTCGAAGGGAGTGTGGAATTGGGAGGTGGAGACGCACCAGTCTCCTCGTAGACCTGAATGGTTGCTTGGTCGCCGTTGATTCGAATGACTTCACCGACTAGGTTATCGTGACTGACTCTAACCTGCGAGCGTGTCAATTGGCGTTTCCGTATGTGTCCATGCGTTTCGACCTACCAACTCGTACATAGCAACACCAATCATGTCCTCGGCGACAATGACGGGTCTAGGAATATAGTTAGTCGTCGCGAGCGGCAGATCGAGAGACGGGGGCGAGGCGGAGGGAGCTTCAAACGAACCCTGAGACGGAGAAGATCTTGCCTGTACGCCAACGTCAGCCAATGCCATCATCAAGAGGCGGCGGGAACAGTGTCTGTAATCTTACCATGGCTGAGATCTTCCTCTTCAACCTTGTTCTCTTTCTTCTGTTTCTGTTGGGATTGGCGCCCAAGGTCAGCTTCCAGCAATCAAGATCGGTGGGGCAAGCATATGCCGCATAACAGAGGCAACGATGGTGACAACGCAGCGTGGATTGGGCTGCTTACAGGAGGCATGATGGGCGTTTCGACGCGAGCAAGGCTCGGCTCGTGCAGCGTCGTCACAGGAGGAGGGTCGGTGGAAGGCGAAGAAGGGTCCGCAGTTGAGGGGGAGGGCGGGTTGGATGGAGCGAGTCGAGGTGTTGTTGGAGGAGAGGATGGTAGAGGTTGAGCAGAAGCTATTTCCAGAGCTTCGACGTCCACTGTGACTTGGCTGCTCGGCTGCGGATGCGGCTGCGGCCCCCGTGCACGTACTGGAAGTACCTCGTCCCGGTTTTGTATGGGACTTGTGGTGCTCCAGTTGGAAATGGTACGAACGGGCGGTGGTGCTGCTGCTTCTGGTGCATTGGAAAGTGGAGGCGATGATGTATGACCGTGGCCCGTGCCTGCTTCTGAGTCTTCTGTCGCTGAAGGACCGCCGCCACCACCACTACCAATGGCGTTTGTAGCGTCGCTGGGAACCTGCAAGTAGGCAGCCGATTTGCCAGTGCCGGGCGCTGCGGCAGCTGGCGAAGCGAGAGGTGACACTGGCAGCGACCCGTTATCGTCTTGCTTTCCTCGAACCAGCAAATCGACCAGCGATGGCCGCACCCGAAGGCGAGGACGGAGTCCGACTTGCATGCACCTTAGATTTGGGTATTCTGAGATGGGTTTCAATGAACTCTGTGATGGCGAGTTGTTGCTGTTTTCTTGTGGTGTTTCAAGTCTGGGAAAATTTCGGAATCGCGGGTTATGGTGTTACACTTGATGCCGGCGCCCCTTTGTCTACCTACGCAGCGCAGAGGAGGAAACACTTCAGTTCAACTGACTTATGCAGCAACAACAACCCGGGAAAATGCCAAGCGAATTTCGCCGGCCGTCCTTGGGATTGGGGAACCTGCACTGCCACGCTAGCTTGACACCGCCGGTTCTCCGCACCCGTTGGCCCTGAGACGGCATCTCACCTCAACTTTTGACGTGCTTTCCGAGTGATTGGTTTGTCGATCTATCAATACACCGAGGCTGATGACAACCTCAACTTGCTGTTCATTTGAAATTCGTCCTCCTGTTATCGCTACAGATTCGTGTCGTTTCAATGAATACTAGAGCACAACATCATACCTGATGTCAAGCCCATGCGTGCGGATATGAGCAATTGTCCACTGTTGTATCATGATGCCATGCCGTTTCAAGGTACCACGAACCTCCAGCTTCACTTCCTTAAACGCTTGATGCAACTTGGCGATCGAATCAAAACATTTTACACTAAAGTCTAGCTATTGCTCAAGTAAGTCGTTCTTGAAGCTGCGTTTCCCATTGTAAACCACGTATCCAGTAGGCAGGATAAGAGAAACGCTACGCAACAAGCCAATCGTATCTTAAGCCCGTCTTTTGATCCCATTCCAAAGCACGAGTAACTTGCGTTCGTACATTCATTACTATCGTCATTATGCCATGCCATTATCCAACAAGTCGTCAACGTGAATGACTGTCAGACCGCCACCCAGACATACGTCGATATGAGCTCCCATCTCAAGAGCTCCAATTATCCATGCAAGTCCCCGCTGACTTGCTGATTTGAGCAGCCATTACGCTGCTTTCCTTCCTCGGTGTGGCCATGAGACATCTCTAGCCTTGGCCGGCCCTCCTCGACAGTTTTCTATGTTCGGCGGATAAACGTGTCCGCTCGTCTGGCCGTTTTGTGCGGGTCGGTCCAGTTTTGTACTTTTGTCTATACTTTTGTTGTTGCAATTCATACCATGAATCCACTTATGTGCAGTGCTGACTTTCGCGTCGGATGCAAGCTTGTTGACACTCGCGCAATGCTCGTTTCGACGCAGATTAATTGTGTAGACGTGATTCAAGCCGTGGTCTCTCTGAAGTCGATGAGCTGCTCCTCTTCGTCGGTCTCCTTGAGGCTCCTCTCCCACTCGTCCATGAGGTTGTTGGCAGTCCGCTTGAGGTTGCCAGGAGAAAGCTTGTTGACCACAGTGGGAAGAAGCTCCTCCAACCGACTAGGCGACAATAGAGCCGACTCGGGACGAGATTCGGATCTGGCCGAGGTGTCTACGGTGATGGACGACTTCTTCCTGCTGATAAAGCACATGTCTTAGCATGGGACTGGGAAAGGATAGTAGTGAAATTCTTACAGCGGGGTCATGTTTTCGTTGTTCTCAGACATCGACACGATTTCGTCCGCTCCACCCATCGTCGAACCGCTCCAGCGCGCTGACTTGGCTGACGACACCTGAGGTGATTCCCAGTTTGACCAGTCGTTGTCGTCGAAGGAGTCGAAAGTCAACGGCGTCCACGAAAAGTGCTTAGCCTTCGTTGTCGTAGACTTGGTCGCGGGCTTTGGGTTCGGTCGTTCCTGGAGAGGCTTTGATGGCTTGCTCGGCGTGTCCATCGGCGGTAGGTCGAAGGCCGAGTTCAACGGAACTCTAGGGCGAGAAAAGCTGTTGGCTTTGATCGTGTCCTGGTCTCCGGCGCAAGATCTCTCCCTCCTGCCATGAGGATCTGTTGAGCCCGGGCGTCCGGGCACGCCGTGAATTGGCTCGTCACCAACAGTTGCCTGTCGAATGTCTTCCATAAAGCTCCAGAGACCTAGCCTGAAGTCCTGGGCCATCTGCTTTACAGCAGGGGGGCAGCTGCATTATACGACCTAGGTTGCCAGGACGCTCTCTTCGACAGCGCGGCGTTCGAGAGCATAGGCGGGGACCTGAGCACTGGCGATTTGAGGCTTGCAGTGTCCTCGTGCACAGCAAAGCCATCTGGCTTGGTCGGCGACAGCAACGATAGTGTCCTTGTGTGCCCGCCACGGAGGACCCTTCGTCGGTATTCCCTGGGCCCCGTCTGTCCCTGCAAGTCTCTCAGAAGCGATTTCCTCCTATCCAGCTCAACGCTCCGTTTTGATGCTGCCTCATCGTCGTCTAGCAGGGACGGTTCAAACTGTGGCGCTAGAGGGCGCATTGGCTCATTACGTATCTCTCTCTTCCTCTGAGCCCCTTGAATCGTCCATTGCTGCTTGAGCCTCGTGAGCTCGGCCTCGGCACGAGCCAATTCCTCCCGAATCTCTAGTACGCGTCGCTCTTGCGCTGCTATCGCAATGATGAAGTCATTGGGGTCAGTGGGAGATGTGAGCGCCGAGGTATCGATAGGTGTAGGAGGGTAGGATGTGGTTGCGACTGAAGCTGGTCGGGAGGGATCACTGGTTGGCGGTGCAATGGGAAGGGTAAGGGACAAGCGGTTCGTGTTTCGTGACGCATTGGAAGTCGAACGTGACGTGCGCGAGAAGCGATCCTGAGTCGACGGTGTCGGCGGAGGAGGGGGCGTCATAGCCTCGGGGATCTCCATCTCCCCTGTGAGAGTCTCGACCTGGGCTTCTGAGGGTTTGAAATGGCAAGGCCTTAGGGGCATGGCATGTTGGGGGGTGAAGGCCGTCGTTGTCGTGGTGGCCGGGGGATCCGCCGGCGGACGCTCGACCACGGAGGCGCGACGGCGAATCTCGTGGGTGCTCTGCATCTCAGCACGAGCGAGATGTGCGGTGGACGCCTCGTACAACGATTGGCAGTGTGCGGTGGTGTATGCTCGACGGCGTTTAGGCAAAGAATGTGAAGGAGATGCGTTGTTCGCTCTCCGAGTGTGCCTTTGTCTCCAGGCGGAGGAGGAGTGAGCGTGATTCGTTCTTCTGGCGACGACAGCCTTGTAGGTATTCAAATGTCTCTGATGGTCATTTAAGAGAGTGCGTGAACAAGTCGAGATGAAGCAGATTTGTAGCAGAAAAATGGCTGTCATGGAGAGAGTGGAAAGAGGGTCATTATTGACGGCCCGGGTGTGCGCGTGTTTGTTGTGAATGACCGGGCTCCTCAGATAACCACAGCACACCGATTAGAGAGCAACCGGAGACAGAGGGAAAGAGAAAGTTCGGGGTTGGTGTCGGGGGGGTGATCCAGGCCCAGGAACCAGCTCCAGTTCCAGTAGGGGGTCTTCAGTTGCGTAGGCTAAGGGACCTCCTCTCTGGGTCGGGTAGGGGGTCGTTGAATGAGGGTTGCAGCGCAACGGGGGTGACGATTGGACAGTGAGATTGGCTGAGCTGGCGTGGCGGACGAGGGTGTTTTTGGTTCCTGCGGTCGATAGGGGTGGGCACACCGGGCTGGACGCTTCGGTAGTCAAGGAAGTGTGCAACGGCTGTGGAATCTTTTATTTCGCCTGTGTTCTCCTGGGGGTGAGTTGAATGACGGATTCGGGCACAGATTCCCAGTTGGATGAGCGACAAGGACTGAGAATGGGGAATATTGTGTTGATGTAGAGATTGTGACGACCAAGCGAGGTCGGAAGGAGGATGTGACTGTGGGCGAGGCCCTGAATGTGGCTCTGGGCCGTCAATGCAGCTTGGATTGCTTGATGCTTGCTTGTTGATAGAAGCCGTGTTGTTGTCCTGGGATCGTACCGGGGGGGACAGGGAGACCGATGTCTGGACCCAAAGTATGAGGTAAGGTATCCGTCGTCGTAATTCCGCAGAACAAGGTTGGGTAAGGTGAGATGAGGTGAGGACGGCAGAGGCAGTGAGTTCGGACGACGACTGGAGAAGAAGCAATGGGCGGCAGTATTGCAGCAAGATCGGGCCAATGGCGAGTTGGGTGGGTGAGATGGCGAAGAGTGTGTGTGGGATGAAAAAACGAAGTTGATAAGATGGGCGAGTAGAGAAGAAGAGCTGCGGCCAGCCAGTTGATGAACGCGCGAATGCGATGCGGTCCAAGTGTGATATGGTAGCTGGTCAGTTGACTCTTTGTTGGCTACAGCCCTGGTTGTTGGGATGGGAACCAGAGCATGTGGTCTGACCTTTGGCCGTTGATGACGGAGCTGTGGTGGTGGTTGCTTGTACGGTAAGGGTATCTATCGCATTGCGCTTGTTTTAGTCCGGCCTCTTCCACCCCCCTCTGTTTCTATGTTTCTATCTTATTTACATCCATCGTCCCTGTTGACAGTGACAGCCAACTAAGGCCACTAAGCAAGCATCCCCCTCTTCCGATCGTCTAGTACGGTGACATGGCGACTCCTCATTGTTCTCGGCCTCAGGTCTGGGTTTGCATGTGTTTCCCATTGTTTTGACCGACGCCTCGTCGGATCAACAAGACGAGACGAAACCATCGCCCACGGAAACCAGTGGGCCAAGGATTGCGTTTGCAAGAACGGCGATCCACTAAGATGGACGTTATTCAGGGGCTTGCAGCAAGCGTGCAGTACCACCACCGGCAGGAACCTGTAAGAGGCCGCAACGAGCCGCAGCAGGAGTCAGGAAACTGACAGGAACCGATGGGCACCGGGGCAACAGGCGTAAGATGGGCGGCGGTGCCGGACGGGACGTCTTGGAAAAGGGCCCGAGGCACCTGCTAGCCTCTGCTAGGCCTTAGCACACCTTGTCTCCTTTGCCGTGGCGTTGGAGGCACACAAGACTTGCGAAGGCTCCGGCGACGATTCGACGGATGCAAAGAGAAGCACGTCCCGGCAAGGGTCCGCAGGAAAACAGCTGGGATCAACCGTGGCTTGCGTGGGGACGACCCAAGTTGACAATTTCCCTGAAATTAGCAGCCAATCACAGCCGAAGGACGTACCCCAAATCTCGACAGAGACCCACGTGACTTTCTGTCACTTTGAGGGGAGGTGATGGCTGCTCTTTTGGACTTTGAAGGGTAACCGCAGGAGGAGGTACTGGCATGGTAGATGTGCATTCCACAATTGTGCGTGCACTAATTGCGGTGGGAAATGCGTGCACAATCACACCACTGCAAGCAATTGACCTTTTCCCGTTTTAACCAGCCCGGGTCTGTGGAGGTCCGTTTCTCCGTGCATCCATAGGTATCTGCCATCCACCATCATACGTAACACACAGGACGGCCAAGGTGCGCTAAATCCACCACCATTAATTGAGACGCGTGACGCGACTTCTCTCGTCTGACCGTCTGCATTGAAGCCCTCACGAGGCACAGGACGGCGATTCCCTCTGGAAGCGGCCACTAAGGATCGAGTTTGGCAAAAGTCACTTGCGCTTCAGCTTAGGCATCGCCACAACATCGCTCGCCTGTGCCTATAGTCACACCTGACGGCACTGGGCACCCGAGTGACACGAATGGGTCTCGCCATTCCCATATGATACTCTCATCTACTACATCGTGAATCGTTCTCCTCATATTCCGCGTCGTTCTTCCTTGAGGCCATGTTGGAGCCACTCATGCCGTCATGATGCCCCTTTCTTTTGTTCTAATATGCGATTTGCTGGAGCAGGCTCATAAGCAATGCAAATCCGGCAACAAGAACCTCAACCAACGGGTTTCTAACTGGTTCACCCAACACCGCCGCCATGTCGACGACCCTGGAACCGATGCCTCTGCTCTGCTGTCTACTCTCCTCCCAGACAAGCGCACCGATCGTGTGTATGCCATCCAGGCCGACACGCTGTCAAACATCATCGGCAGGGCCCTGCGTCTTGGAGCTTCACGCGTGAAAGAGCTACGCCGATACAAAGAGGCCGGCCGTGGCGAGGATCTGGCTGACTGTGTTGCAAGGGTCCTCAAAGAAACGGTAAGTGTTCGTTTCGTTCTTGGTGCTATACGAGACGTGTTCTTGGAAAAGCCCAGGCTAGCATGATGTAAAGACCTGCCCATTCTGACATCATGGCAGCCAAACCCCATGTTCGTCGGGAAGGATGCCTTAACTGTCGAGGAGATCGATTTAGCTCTGAACAGCCTCGCCGCCTCCTGCAGATTCAGCTCTCCCGCTGTTCGAGCCTCGCAGTCCCATTCAAGCAGTCGGGATGAGATCCTTGGCGACCTGTACCTTCGTGTGCAAGCGAGAGAAGCCAAATGGCTCACGCGCCTGATACTCAAAGACTTCCAACCGGTCATGCTTGACCCCGGACACGTTTATCAATGCTACGATCCCCTGCTCCCCCAAATCCTGAGGGTTCAAGACGACTTCTCGGCGGCATTGTCCCTTCTGCAGAAACTGAGGAGAGAACCCTCGTTCCGCAGCGGTATGGAAAACAGGGGAGATGTGCTGATGAAGCACTTGACACCTGTCCTAGGCGTCAAAGTCGGCAGGCCGTTCTGGCTGAAAGGCCGAAGCATCAGGCATTGCATGAAGCTCGGCCACGGCCGCATGAGCTGCGAGAAGAAGATGGACGGAGAATACTGCCAGATCCATATAGACCTGAGCAAGGGATTCAGGTGTATCCAGATCTTCTCCAAAAGCGGCAAAGACAGCACCAGCGATCGTGCCGCGTTGCATGGGTGAGTCTCGCACTCTCGGTCGAACGTAGACGTACTAACGTTGACACAGAGCAATCCGGGACTCTCTCAACATTGGAAAGCCAAAATGCAAGCTCACCCGTGGGTGTATTCTGGAGGGGGAGCTAGTGGTCTACAGTGACAAGGCATGATCCCCGGACCTTGGCATATATCATTTGCTAACATCCACCACAGGAGAAAAAGGTCTTACCCTTTCATAAGATACGCAAGTATGTTTCAAGGTCAGGCAGCTTTCTCAATACGGAGGCAGATTCACAGTAAGTACGTTGCTCCCAGCGTTCGGTTCTCAAGCTAACGTATTGAGGCGCTACGATTATGAGCACTTGATGATTATATATTTCGATATTTTGCTCATCGACGAAGAGTCTCTTCTGGGTGTCCGTCAAAACGAGCGCTTCCAGCGGCTTGCAGACCTGGTTACCTGTCGCGAGGGCCATGCCGAGCTGGTAGACCGCCAAGTCATAGACTTTGACCATCCTTTGGGGGCACACCATCTAAGGCAAGCGTTTGCCAAGTCTATTACAGCACGAGAGGAAGGTCTGGTGCTGAAACCCGATGACCCCTACTTCGACTTCAGCAAGCACCGCCGCTCCTTTTCCGGTTGCCCCATCAAGCTCAAGAAAGAGTACATCGGCGGTTTTGGTGAAGTGGGCGACTTTGCCGTGGTTGCGGCGCGGTACGACACAACCAGAGCAAGGTGTTATGACATCCCGAACCTCAAGTGGACACACTTCTACCTCGGGTGTCTCGAAAACAAGGAGGACGTTCAGAGATGCCAGGCTCAGCCCAAGTTCACAGTAGTTCACCAAGTGGAGCTCAACGAGACCCTGCTCAAGACTGTGGTGGCATACAGCAACCCAATGCCAGTTTCTTTCGAGGACAATGATGCTTTGGTCCTCAACATTGCGCCGGGCATAGCTCAACAAAAGATGCCCAGTGTGGTCTTCACCAAACCCTTGGTGTTTGATGTCCGCTGTTTCTCGTTCGATAAGGAGGGAAATACGGGCTTCTGGCAGCCGAGGTTCCCACAGGTGTCTAAGGTGCATTTTGACCGGTCCTTCATCGACACCATTTCTTTCTCAGAACTACAAGCTCTTGCAGAGGACGCAACGACAGCACCGGCTTTGGAAGACAGTCAAGAGATGCTCAATTGGATTGCTAGGCTGGAAGGAGCAGATCCCCGTGGCATTTCTGTCGATGCCGTCAGTCAGTCAACAACCACGTCTCGGACGACCCCATCTCGCAACTCGTCGATCCGACCGTCAACTTCGCCAGCCCAGTCTCCTATGCAGAGCCTACTGAAATCTCGTAGATCTCTCCCATCGTTACTTGAAGCTTCAGAATCTTCCGTCGCTACACCTCCAAATTTATCGTATCCAGCCGACATCATGGCCGATACCACCGAGGACGCTCCTAATGACGAAGCAACCCGAATTCCTAGCACCAGCAAGCGAATTTTACGAGGCAAAGACGCCTCTCCGCGCAAGCGATCGAGAGTATCCTCTGAACCTGGTCCTATCAATCAAGGATTGCCCCGATCAACCCGTCGACCGCTCGCCGACATGAGCGTCAACCAGACGGCCCCTTCTCCTCAAGCCTCTCAAGCGCAGCCACAGACGGTGAAACAGGCCGAAATGGTCGACAAACTGACGAAACCAGTCGCTGCTGTCTCTTACAAGTCTGGCCAGCATTCCACAGTCAACCGCGCGGAGGCATTTAAACCACCCGCTCCCAACGCGGAAGCACACTCATCAGCCCAGCCGAAGCATGCATGCCAATATGCTGGCCATAGCTGCCTGCTCACAAACACTACAGTCCTCCTCTCCCCATGCATCGCCCAACAGCCCTGGATAACCGAGAACCTCCTCCCCCTCCACGGTATCCAACAATGGGCGACGAATTCGCACGACTGGACCGATAATCCACCTGCCCCGAAACCATCCGCATCTTCGTCGTCATCGACCACAAACACTCAGAAACGGAGTCTGCGTCCCCGTAGGATCTGCTTCGTTGAACACAACCGCAAAGAAGCGACCCACGCCATGATGACGCACCTCGAAGGCAATCCGCAGTACACGCCGGGCGGCAGGCGCGAGTACGTCGAGGTGTACGACTGGCGGTTTTTGGAGGACATCACTGCTCTGGAAAAGGAGCTCAAAGGATCGAGGCCCTTGGCCGAGCACTCGGGTCCCAAGCGGAAGTGGTGGGTTGGTTTGGCTTAGGGCATTTGGGGGCTTTTTTCTCCTTTTCTTCTGCCAGCATTGGGAAGGAGTTTTTGCGGTATACTTTTTTTTGCGTAGTATAGTCACAAGTCTCTACATCGCGGCGTCGCTGGGTAGTCAACTATGGTAACTGCTGCATTTTTCTCTGAACTCATGATGATGCCTTGGCCTCCTCCTGGTACAGCCCCTTGTAACTCTCCCTCAGCCTCATGAACAAGTGCTCATCCGCAGTAAGCACTTTCCTCTCCGCATACGGGTTCGCGTTCGGCGACCCCTCGGGCGCGACGAACCCCTTGACCCTCTCGCTCGGCACCGGATCCAACGCTACAGACCCGACGGGGTGACAGAAGAAGGCCATGCTATACCGCGGCTCCATATCCGTCTCGCCCTCTGCGCCTTCGCCGCCGAATACGACGCGATGGACGGTGCTACGGAACAGCCCGTTGGTCCAGTAGCTCAGCAGGTCGCCGATGTTGACGAGGATGGGCGGGGAGGGGTCGGATTCCGTGCCGGGTGGGGTGACAGGGACGGGAGCCCAGGCGTTGTCGCGGGTGAGGATCTCGAGGCCGGCCTGGCCGCGGAGACGGAAGAGAAGGGTCAGGGAGCCATAGTCAGAGTGGGCGCCGGCACGGACGTCGTCGGGGGAGGCGGCTGTGGAGGAGGTGGGCGGGTAGTAGAGCATGCGGAGGATCGTGCCCGAGTCACCTTTGGAGCGAAGGTGGGCGGAGGAGAAGAAAGTGGGGGGATCGACCTGGGCGGGTGTGAGTGAGCTGCCGTGAGATGAGTAAGAGGGGCCGGAGGTAAATACTTCGAGCCCGATGCCGAGTAGCTCTAGGAGCTCGAGGCAGAGGGCGTGGCATTGGTCTTCGAAGGAGTTGACGAAGGGCTCGTCGGGTTGGATGGTCGGGGGCAACGGTTGCTGAGCCTTGCCGTCCTTGAACTCGCCAAAGTTGAAGGCCCTGATGGTCGTGTTAGTCACTCTCAAGGATAGTAGAACTCAAAGTCTTACTCCTTGTAATCGCCGACCTGTCACAGGTTAGCATATCGCCCCATCAAATGGCGAGGCTGATTAGAACCCACCTTCTGGTTCTTGGGATCCAACGTCTCAGAGTGCATGCCCGACCAGCCGCGGTTGTTCTTCTGGATCGAGCAAGCGGCCTTCTCCTCCACGGGAGCCTTGAAAAGCTTCTTGGACTGTTCAAGGGTTTAGCATTACCGCTGCTATCACTGAGAATAAAAAGACCACTGTACCAGATCAAAGGCCGCGTCGATATCGCCGACCGAAACATACTTGCCGGTGCTGCGGATGTAGATAAAGCCATGCTCGGCAGCGGCGTCGACAAGCTGGCGTGCGACGGCCGTCCTGTCGATGCCCGGGGAGGCGATGTCGATGATGGGGATGTTGGCGTTGGGCGCCATGGTTCTTACTCTGCTTCAGAAAACTTACCCTCTTGTAAAATGTCCAAAAACGAGGCCTGGAAGTGGTTGAAAGCTGGCGTCTGACCACAGACGTCTAGAGGGGCCAGGTCCGCCCGAAGTCGCGCGAAGTGGGATGCCCGCGATAACGATAAGAGTGGGATGGTAGAGGGGCGGACGCGACCGTCTCGGATGGGGCGTCGGCTTGAATAACGACTATTACGCAGCGTTTGACGGTGATTGGGGGAAGAGACGAGCTCACGATAACGACCTCGAATATGTCGTGTCTTGATGGAAAGCCTTGTCTGCATGTGCGACAGAGCTAAGATGATGTCTAATCTTCGTTTAGTGAACTGGGGGTGTAATATTCAAGTAGCGAAGCTTGGATCGCTCTATGAGAGCTTAGGAGCTGAAGTGTAAGAAGGCGGTGTCTAATGACTAAGGGAGTTTGTCTTGAGGATTTTGGCGTCCGTTTGATTCCCGGTCAGGTTCAGATGCCAGTTGACAATTGGTCCTATGACAAGGCGAGGTCCAGAGTGTTGATAAAGCAGAGCTTGGCTCTCCTCAAAGAAACACCCGAAGTCGCCAGGGCCTAGTTGGGGACTAAACCAGGTACAGGCCCATATGTTATGCTTGCGCTATCGGTACGTTGCGGGAATGCAGCACCCAGGTTCCATGAATGTGTGCTTCTGGAAGAGAACGTTGCACTTGCAAACGACGAAGTCACCCATGAGAGCCCAGGTGTGGGTATCCGAGAAATGGAGATGTGTTGAAGCGGAGAATGGGAGGGGACGTGTTCAACTAGTGGAGGCTGGAGCTTGGAGAGTCTTCATGTCATCTTTAGCAGGACATGCCCGAGAACGGATGAATGGAGGCAGTCTTCGTGATAGCCTCAAATCCAGTGCTCCTAAAGGTTTGAGAGAGTCGTTACAAAGTGTTGACCGGAGAAAACAACATGCAAGGGACAAACAGAAGAAGAGTGCGCAAGACATGGCTGCATCGCACATCCCTGACGCAGACAGAGGACAGATGAATATAAAGAGCGGGGATCGGCAGAGGCGGGGACGGGACCGCTGCAAGGTCTTGAGCGATGCTGCCACTGCCGCACTCCCATGCTGTCTCTCTGTGGCTCTGTTGTGGTCTGGGCTGGGAAACAGTGGTTCGTGCTGGTCGAAAACGGCGTGTTGTTGGATGCTACTCAGTATTAACGCAGGAGACGGCAGGTAGATTTGTTGGCCCCGGAGAGTTCCGAAAGGCATCACCCCAAATGGCAGGTCATGAGATTCGGTTGCTGCGATCGCGGATAGGACGGAGGACAGGAGAAAGGTTCTACCAAAAGGAGAGCTCCTTAGTCTGGAATTGCACCTCGAGCAATCCGGGCCTTTCCTACAAGCTCTCCGCTTGGATCCAATGAGAACCAACGGACTGGTTCGCAACTGCTGTCAAACCAAACAACGGGACACCTAAGGTAGCTGCCAGCCACATGCACCGCCACATGGGGAACCCACCTCCCTCTTCCTCTACGCGCTAACCCTACGAGTTCCCTAGCGCCGCGAAACCCAGGGTTGCCAACTTGCTCCCCCTGTACACCGGTGCGGTACGTCGCACCTGCGTTCCTGAACCCCCAAACTTTCCAGTTTACCTCCCCTCCGCCAGCGTCCATTTCTTAAAGCTCCCCTCTTCTTTGAGACACGCTTGTCGATGTCATTGGCCCTGCAGTTGGCCGTCCTCCTTTCATGACAAGCTCAGTCATTCCTTTGGAAGTCATTTGAACTTCTTCCTCTAGCCGCGCCCGACTCCCAAGCGTCCTGCTCCCCTGAGTGGTCTCGCGACCAAGCTCCACCCGACCTCCCACCTCTAAACGGCTTGTTGTCAACTCGACCCCGACGAAGCTACGTCGCCGTCGCCCAAGGCCCGACAAGATGCCTTGTGAGTCTCTCTCCCCTCTCCTCTACTCTCCCGAACTTCATACCCCGCGATGCGCTGGCGGTCTACTGCACGAACTGCGCCTTCCGGAACCGAGCCTCTTGCCGTCACATGTCTCCAAGGTTACCTGCGTCATACCCGCTTCTTGCTGGGAGGCATTCGACTCCACGCTTGAGTGGGAGCCCTGCACGGGACGAGGCGTACCTCCACAGCTCAGGAAGTACTAAGCCTCTGTCTCGGCGGCTGGCACTGTTCTTCCAGAAGCTACACATCCGCGCTGTCCGTCCGTCCGTCCGTCCAGTGCACGACTTTACACTTTACCACCTCCGAGCTCCCGGTGTACAAGACGACAGGATCTGGAAACTCCAGCTTCTCTCTCCTCTTCCAGCGCTTCGACATCACACTCAAACCTTGCAGCTCGTACCATGAGACGTGACTGACCAAATATGACAGGTCTTGTGGAGGACGCTTGGATCAATGGCCAGGCAGTGTAAGCTGGTCCGCCTCCGACTTCGACATTCTCATAGCTAAAGCGTTGGAACAGGACTCACGATGTCTCCGAGCTCGAGGACTGTGCGATCGCCGTTGATGCGACATACTACCTCCAACTCTTCCTCGACACCCCCCCATTCCACGAACCGCTTCTGCCTGCCCTCGGTGGCATGACTGGCATCGAACACCACCTTCGAGCTGATATCGACCAATGGAAGGCCCACAAGATCGTCCCCTTTTTCATCTTCGACGGCCAGTCCGTAACTGGTCAGGAGGAGGTTGCTGTTCAGCGCGGAAGGGCCGCCAACCAGAAGACGGACGCCGCCTGGAACCTGTACTTCAACAGCGAGGCGCAGCAGGCTGTCGATTCTTTCGGTGCCAACAGTGGTACGCATCGTTGCCATGATGCTGAGGGGTTGCGCTGACCATGGTATTGCAGGCGCCTACCGCATCCAGAATCTCTACCCCTTGTTGAAGTCGATTTTGAAGGATAACGATCTTCACTTCCTTGTCCCTCCATACAACGCCTCCGCTCAGGTATGCTCAATCTTGGTGCAATATGACAGACTCGATACTGACGACCTATTAGCTTGCCTACTTCGACATGATTGACTCGGACCAGTGCGCTGCCGTCATGGGCTCGCAAGAGTTGCTTCTATATCCGATCAAGGATACACTGATCCGCACAATAGATTGGGAAGCAAAGACTGTGACGTCGCTCTCCAAAAAGAACCTCCTTCGATCACTGAACATTAGCGAAGGCATGCTCGGTGACGCTCTCCTTATGACGGGCACCTCGTTCCTGCCACCTTTTCCCCCACTTCAGGACACATCACTCAACCCCCGCCAGCCGTTCACAATCAACGACGCTGTGAATCTGCTTAGAGCATCAGAAAAATCTGTCCAGTCGGCCTGCAGCTCCTATGGCGACATCCTTAAGAAGCAGGACGCCAATTGGTTGGACAAGTACAGGCAAGCCAAGATGGCGGTCAACCATTTCATCTACATTGCCGAAGACGGCGAGATCAAAGTCAACGATTTCGACCACATCACAAGAGACAATCACGAGTACCTCGGTTTGCAGCTGCCTGGAGAACTATTCCATTATCTTAACACTGGTCTGATTGGCTCTCGCGTTCTCGATTATATAACGCATAGTCGAATCGTTGTGACGCCAACCCTGGATGGTGTCGCATCGGAGCAGTACAGAAAGTTGGTTACCAACCAAATCGTTCCTCTCAAAGAGCAGAGCATTGCGCTTCTCATCCCTCGACTCCACCGCGGTTTGCAGCACAATGCCATCACCATGAAAGTTTGGTTCGACGACAGCTTCTCTTACCAGATCAACAAGTCTCTTCAGCCTTCTCCATCTCAGCGCGCCGCCACTTGGGATGTGAAGGAGAGTTCTTTCAAGACTGTCGCTGATGACGTTGCTGACCCCCCTGGCTCCATCGCTTTTGAGATCCTGGCGTTACTGTTCCCCGACTTTGTCAAGGGCACATTCCCCAAGGACAAGAAACGCATCGGCGGCATCGATTCTGTCCAGAACATCACGGCAGTGACCATCTGGAGATTCCTCCATCTTCGTGGCTATGTGGATGATTCGCATACCCTCACCAACTGGGGCAATGCCGTTGCCAGCGCAATCTGGGCGATGAAGGACTCACTCAAAGAGTTGCAGATCCCCGAGGGCCTCAACATTTTCGAGGCAATCCTGACTGCGTTCGAGCTCATTAGACACGACGTGCTCAACTCGCGCCACCGGCACGAGGAGCTCAATGGTGCCCCGATGGCTGGCAGTGACGACGACAAGGCCAGCATCCTTCTCATTAGTCGCTGTGCGTCGCTGTTGAAGCTTCGCCATGAATCCAACGGATATACCGGCCCGCTCAACAAGAACCTTCTGCTGTTCCGGTCACTTTCCACTGCTGTCCGCGAGGCGGATCGCGATCTTGTCGAGGCCATTGTGGCGTCCATGTTCTTGTACGCCCAGTCGAAGAGAGATCGTGACGATTACTTGCAAATTAGTCAGACGTAAGTTCCTCCAATTCTGCTCATACCTCAACTACTCACACATTTTAGACTGCCATTCCTTCATAACCCTGACATCGCTCTGGGCATCGCCGTAAAGACGCTCATGGACGAGCTTCCCGCCGGCGAGAGCGTAGAGAAGCGCCAGGCCAGAATCGAGGACTTCCCTGGGAAGTTCTTCCCTTTTGCCACCAATTTCAAGGATGATGTACAGTTGGCGTTTGCCTTTTTCGAGGCTATCCATAAGGGTGTGCAGACGCTCAACAAGGAGGTTTCAGCAGCCGACAAGGCTGTGTGGTCAACAGCAAGCAAGTATCTGGATCAGAGACGGTTCTAGGTCTAGAGGTATCTGGCCTTGTAGCGTGGCGTTGGAGAATTAAAAAGCAGACGGGGTTCTGGACAGCATGAAGCACGCCAGGCTACCACTACCTGGCGGCATTGGTCGTTTCCAAGGGCAGGATATGAGGCAATTGGAGGTCCATATATAGCCCGAGAGGACTGGGGCGTGGGGTGAGGCTTGCTGCTGGACGAAAACAGACATGAGGTTTGCATTCCAAGTTCATAAAGCCGTAGGTTAGCTGTTCTGTATCTGAAGAATAGAAACAGAGTTAGCCTGGACAATTGCTACTGTGTGGCCAAGAGGTCCGTGACCAACACTGACGACTGGACAAATTATACGGGCAGCAACCTGAGCCATGACTACAATAGCTGAATTCCTGCTAAGCAAGCATTCTTCACACATAAGTCTCGCAAACGTGAACCGTGTTCATTCTCGGAGCCGGCTATGTACAACCAATGGGCCAAGTGTCAAGTTCTCATCGTAAGCAATGCCGTAGTTAACCCTCCCGGCCCCGCGTCGGCCATCTGTCCATGCCGTTCTGAAGAAGCAATGCGACACCCAAACGCCGTCCATGCCAATGGTATCTCTATCCCTGAAACTGTCCCTGCATTCTACCCCGTCATAAGTGAAGGCCAGCCGTATCGAAGCAGTGGTGAAAAGCAAATCTACTCAGGTAATCAACCGTCGTTTGATCGGCTGAGGGACCTGCACGTCGTCGAGTTGGATTTCTTCCTTCGTCTGAATCTTCTGACCCATCTGGCGGATCTTCTCGAGGAGGTGGCTGGAATTGCACAAAATATGTCAGAAAACTTTTATCAAGAGCGTTGATCAAGACTGCGGGTGACGGAGCTCAATGTGCCGGGCAGAATTTCCTTCTTGTACTCTAAAGCAGCGTCGGAGATGACCTGAGACGAAAGTGTAGTCCCGCTGGGAGTTGATCCACTAGAATCCAACTCCCAGAAAGGGGAGACTTCACCCTGAACATCTAAAAGACGCGTATATCTGAAATCAGGAGATGGGGGCGGGGAGGAATACTCTATGGGGAGGCGGTTCTTGCCACCTTCAGTTACTGCGAGGCTGATGCGCTCAACCTGGTTCTCGTTCTCCTGATAGTGAACGTCCTGCATGTGTTCGTGAATTCTCTCACGGCCGTCCTCGGATTCGGGATTGCGCTCGACAAAGTCGCAGTCGTCCTCATCACAAACCCAGGTGCCATTGGGCCCCTTTGGAATGGTAGTCGGGATGTTCTCAGCTCGGACGACTGCCTTGAAAGCTGCGGGCAAGCCTGCGGAGTCGACAGAGGAATCGTCATCTTCAGAGCTGCTAGCGTCATCCATGGCCTCGTCTTCATCGGAGTCGTAGTCATGCGATCTCTTCGCCGCTTTTCGTGAGACAGACTCGGGGGTCTCATCCGGGTCGAAGCGTCGCTTACCACCGGTACCAGCCAGGCGAAGACCCGACATCTTTCCTGCTGGGCGGCCAACCCGTCTAGGTGGGGGAGTTGCAACGGCTGCGGCTTTCTGAGCCTCGCCTTGGCCACTGAGTGCCTGACTACGGTTTCTCGGCACTGTGGTTGCTGTGGCCTTACGTCGGACGAGACTGTCGGGGATCTGTTCAAGTTTGACGTGCTCAAGGGTGATACGAGGGCCCTGCGCAGCCTCCTTGAGTGTGCTCCAGAACCCAGAACCAGCCCACTCGTGCTCGTTCAGGCGTTCGGTCAGCTCCTTTGCGTAGTATTTGAGAATGTCGGATGCTCCCAAGTAGACCTTAATCTTATACTTGTAGTAAAGCTTGGACGAAACTTTCGGGAATGCTACTGCGTTCAACGGGCCAAGTTCTGACTTGATTTCGTCGATACCTTCAATGAGGGCTTCTACGTTGGAGCGGTCGTGAGCCACTTCAACAAGCTCCGTCTGGGGTGGGTCCTCTGGAATGTCGTCCACGTCCATTGTTTCCACTTGTGGCTCGACAACAGGAGGAGGGCTTCGCGACTGTGTCTTCGTCTTTCCTCTCGATCTCGATCTTGTGTCTCGTTGTGAGGTAGCAAAGTCGTGTGAGTCGATCCATGGAGTGCTACCGTTGCTTTCTGACGTGTTCCTCTGTCTCCGTTTTGAAAGGGCTTTCTGCGCAGGAGGCTCATCGGAAGCGACTGGCAGGGCCACGGCCTCGGTCTCTTCAGGCAACAGGGAATTGGGTTTGGCACCTCCCAACTTCTTCTTCCTCAGTTCTAGTACTTTTGCGTGGATGTCCTGCACTGGTTAACTGGAGCTTCCCCACTGGCAGAGGAGGCACTTACTGGGTGTCTATTGGTCATCCACTTGAAGAACACTGTTGGAGACCAGTCGATCTCGGCGTCTTCATAAAAGTGAGACAAGAGAAAGTGTGCGTGGTCGTCACAGCGCTCAACCACCTCATCGTAAGTAGCGCCATCTCCCATAGCGACAGCATACTGCAACACTCGTAAGCAATCGTCCGGTGGAGCAATTTTAGTGAGCAACTGACCTTGAAAAGCAGCGTTTGAATGCTTAGTTGGTCGTGAGCGGCCATTCTCTTTGCCTTCTTTGATCTCTTCTTTCCTTGCTTCGCCTCCTGGGCCTCAACGTGCTCTTCGATGATTCCCAGGATAGTGTAGTATATTGAGACACCCTCAATCGTATGGTCAAAGATTTCCTTGTAGGCTGCTGACGGAGGCCTTATCTCGTACCAGCCTGCTTGGCCCCCAGCCCAGGCGCCGTAGCCGTTGTTGCTAACACCGATGGCGTAGCGAGTGCAATCGCGGGTTTCGATCAGGGCTGTTTTCGTAGAGGGTTTGACGGCTGGAAAAAGTAAGCCTCTAACATGGTCATAGGTATTGCGAGGGAGTGTAACTAACCTCTTGACTTCTGTGTGTCGTCGATAATCACCCGACCACGAACGGTAAATGGGCCTTGGGTATTGACAGTAAACAGCTCGACGAGGCGGCCTGTCTTGTCGCAAATTGTGGCGTCTTCCAGAACGAAGGTCTGCAGCATCTCGGTTTCCTCACGAGAGTCTAGTTCGGGTTCATGTACCTTGAGTACGCTCAGCTCCTTGGCGAAGGCTCGGCCATCGTAGTCGAGAGTGCCCGTTGTCGAATCGGACGTTCTACGTCGTCGTCGTCCGACCATAATGGCAACGGCCTAGGCTGCTGCCTTTCTTGGGAATGGGGGGTCGAGTAAAGCTGCGAGCATGCGCACGAAACGGGCAAACAGCACCACCGGCTTCGAGTGTTTGTCGCTGTGTTTGCCGCAAGCTCTGGAGGCCTGAGTCGTGAGGTGGAAGGCAGGTTGTTGTGCTGTTGCGGGGGCGACGGGTGCAGTTGCGGCGAGCCACGACGGCGATCGGTGCGTGGGTCGGAAAGGAAGCACGCGAACGCGATCCGAAATCCATTAAAGAAAGCGCGAGGGTGCTGCACTCCTTGCGCCAGCGACGGTACCCTTCTCTCTGTTAGAGGTATTGATGCGGGGCAGACTCGGCCACCGCTTCTCCCCCACTGAAGCTGGTAGGCAAACGTAGCCGGACTCGGTGCCCGCGCAGGGGGCTTGCTGGTTTGTGGTCCCAGTCGGCAGGGGTTCGGTCATTCCTTGACCAATGGATAAGCTGATAAGAAACGCTGGAACGTCCCTTCCTAAAAAATTTACCAAAAAACGCATGCAGAGAAGCACGAACCGAAGCGCAAAAGCTAAGGTAAAGAGAAGGCTGCACCTCTCCTTCCCCCCACCGGCCCTTGATCTTTCCTTCCTGCCTCTTTTCCCATACCTTTCAATATCGAGCGGATGCGAGCTGCGTCCAGCTTTTGGAAGATGGCGAAAGACACCGTACTCGAGGGCGTCTTCGGTAAGTTTCGACTCTCTGCCTCCCTTAATCCTCCTTTGACGCCATGACTTTCTTTCGCGACGCCTGCTGGCGCAATGCGCGATGCGACTTGCCGACCGCTGACCGTGTTTATCCACTACTAGCCATCAACAAGCCGTACGGCATGAGCTCCGCGCAGGTGATCCGCGATTGCCAGACGCAAATGAACCCTTCGGGTCTGTTCAAGCCTTTGATTGAGAGGGACCTCGCTGCCAAGATGTCCGAGTCGAAGAACGAATGGAGTCGTCGCCGGGCCGTTAAGAAAGACTCGCGCGTGAAGATGGGCCACGGAGGAACCCTCGACCCATTGGCGACTGGCGTGCTCATCCTGGGCGTCGGATCGGGAACTAAGTCGCTCGGCTCGTTCCTCGACTGCACAAAGACCTACGAGACTGTCGTTCTCTTCGGCGCAAGCACAGACACCTATGACCGCGTTGGCAGAATATTGAGCAGACGGCAGTACGACGAAATCACGAAGGACAAGGTTGAGAAGGCATTGGAAGGCTTTCGGGGCAAATTCCAGCAAATTCCGCCTCTGTACTCGGCGCTCAAGATGGAGGGCAAGCCCTTATACGAGTACGCTCGTGAGGGCAAGGCCATCCCGCGGGAAATCGCAGGGCGAGAAGTTGAGGTCACTGAGCTTGAGATGGTCGAGTGGTACGAGCCTGGCACGCACAACTACAGATGGCCTACAGAGGAAGCAGAGGCGGCCGAGAAGAACCTCGCTGAGCAGGTCTGGCGGGTAGAGAAGCAGCAGGGATCCAGCCGCAAACTGACTCCCGACGAGGAAAAGGAGGAAGAAAAGGCCCTCTCCGAGCACGAGACTGTTAAGAAGAAGTTTGAGGAGCGCCAGGACGGTCTTATCCGTGACAAGCCTGCAAAGAAGCAGAAGCCACCCAAGAACCCGGCCCTCATGTCCGGCGCCCTGGGACAGCTCCCGGCTGGCAAGGGCTCCAACCTGATCCCCCCGCCTCCGTCCGCCGATGAGCCGTTCCCCTGGACCGACAAGGGACCGCCCGCTGCCCGGATCCGCATGACGGTCACCTCTGGATTCTACGTGCGCAGCTTCTGCCACGACCTTGGTGCCAAAGTCGACTCCGCGGGCATGATGGCGGAGCTGGAGCGTTCGCGACAAGGCGACTTTGAAGTCCGCACCGACAACTGCCTGGAATACGAAGACCTACTCAAGGGAGAGGAGGTCTGGGGCCCCAAGGTGACGCAGATGCTGAACGTCTGGACCGAGAAGTACCCCAACGGAGCGCCCCAGGTGGCCCAGAAGCGGCAGAACAACCAGGAGCAGCAGAACCAGGGCCGCAAGCAGGACAGGAAGCGCAAGTGGGAGGGTAGCAAGAAGTTCGACAAGAACGTCAAGAAGAGGAGAAACTCTAGCTCTGGAGATGAGGCGCCTGCCTCGAAGGTTGCAAAGACGGAGGCGTCTAAGGAGACCAAGGAGTCGCCCAAGGGATCTCCCAAGGCGTCACTGAAGTCTTCGCCCAAGACATCACCCAAAGGTTCGCTAAAGTCTTCCCCAAAGGGTTCTCCCAAGGTGAAGGCAGCTGACACAAAGAAGAAACTGAAGCCTGAAGAAATCGAGTGGGAGGGCATCCAGGACTAAGCGCCTGGGGCCCGGATAGATGAAAGATGTGCACAGGGACGACAGAAATGGTGTTACTAAGAAAAGATCCGAGCTGTTTGGCTGCAATTGGAAAAAGGGCAAGGCGTACGGAGGCTTCATTTTGCATGACCCAGAAAAGCATTACGGACGGACTTGAGGATGAGCAGTAGCTGCTACCTCCCCGAGAGTCCGCTCATTACTGATCGACCATTTGTCGATAGATATTAAAGAGAGAGTGTGTTGCAGATACCTGGTTTCGTGCCTCTTGTTCCGTCTTTCAGATTATGGCCGAATATGCAATTTCCCACCCAATCCATCCGTTTTTGATGCTCCTCCAGGTCCCATTATGCCCCCCATAGCCATCCACCAAATTATCCGTCCGTAGGTATCCGAGAAAGTTTGCCAAAGATCCCGCTCAGTATGCTAGTCATGTCATCGTAGAAAGTAGTCCCGCGGCCATCGCACCGCTATGCATCGTACACTCTCGCCCGCCTCGGTCCCTGCCATCACGGCTGCGACGCCCTCTTCGGCTCCGCAGCCTCCCTCGCCCCCGCGTCCTTGGCATTCATCTCCCCCAGCAACGAGCGCACCCTCTCGATCCTCCCCACGGCGCCCTCGAGCCTCTCCAGCCGCCGTCGCTTGTCCTGGTCCCGCTTCTCGAGCGTCTCGACCCGCTCCTCGAGCCTCGCGCGCGCCCGCCGCTCCGTCGCGACCATCTCGTTGGCCTGCTCGAACAGGCTCACGCTCAGCTCCTCGACCTCCTGGCTCGTCGTGCTGAGCCGGCTCTCCGCCGCCAGCCGGAGGTTCTGCTCCCTGCTCAGCGCCTCGCGCAGGTCGTCCGTCGACGCCGGGTTGCCCGCGCCGGCGGCCGGAGGTGACGGGGTGCGCAGGTTCGGCGTGGATTTCATGCCGCGCGGGCTGAGGAGCTGGGACAGCCTGTTTGCGCCGCCGGAGAGGAAGCTCGTGCGCGTGGGTGACGGGGTCGGGGCCAGCGTAGGGGCGGCGGCGAGGGATGTGGAGGTCTGCGAGGTGGCTATGCGCAGGCGTGTGAGTTCGTCTTCGTAGTCGGCCCAGCGGTCGACGGCGGCGGCGGCTTTTTGGTTTAGCAGGCGGACTTGGGCCTCGAGGTCGGCGATGCGGGACTGCGCTTCGAGAAGGGCAGGCGGGGGCTCGAGGACGACGCCGCAGCTGGGGCAGGAGTGCTGCTCGGAGCGGTCCGTCGAGAGGGAGAGAGTCGGCGGCGGCGAGGGCACTGCGGCGGCGGTCATGGTCATGGTTGCGCTCATGGCTTGTGTTTCGCCGGGTCGTCGCTGCGGTTATGGTGTATTTGCGAAGTGTAGTTGAGAGGAGTATGGTATAACGCCCAAACGGGGACACGGCGGAGGAGCAGGAGGACGAGGAAGGATCAAGCTCCTATTTAGGTTATGTTCGAGTCGTCCGGGTCGGTCCAAGTGCTGGTGGAAGAATAACAAAGCGGGGCGTAGAGTTTGAGAGGCGTGGACGTTGAGGTGCGCGGCGTTCGTGAGGAGGGGGTCTGGATTGCGAGGGGTGGTGGCAGTGGTGGGCGCACGATCATGTGTAAGTGGGAGGTCTCTATACCAGAAAAGTGCGGTGGGATTTGCTTGCGCTTTGAGCTTCTGGACAAAAGAGATTCGTCTCGGCCTCTGCGCAGGTGTGCATCCGAACGTCTCTGACAGCAAGGGAAAGTAAGATGTCAGAAGAGAAGCAAACGGGTGTTGGGCATTCGCAACGAGGGAGAGAAAAAACTCATCTGCCTGAAATCCTGCCCACATGCCACCTTAGCCACCGGCTTTATTGTGTGACACCACTACCTTTTTTGGGCCGTCCCTTGACCCAACACACAGCGAGGGAAAACCCACGACGCGAACGGGTTCACTGCGCCTCCTTGCTTTCGTGGGTGGTGGGAATGGGGAATCAATGAGAGGACCGGGGGGGATTCCAACCGGGCGGAGCGGCGGGGGGATGCCATAAACGGCGTCGGACGATTGGGCGAGGAAACCCAATTTGGGCGACAAAGACGGGACAGGATCGCTCCACTCCCGCGTTCCAGCAACCTCCTTGGATGCACCGCTCTACCAAGACAGCAGGGAGAGAGAGGGACGGGAATGGCCTGTGAGTTTGCTTAATCTTGCTTCATTTCTTGCCTCTCATGTCTTTGGCGGGCCGCAACCGTTCGACTCGGGAAGCAGGTCACACGTCTTTCCTCGTTGCGTTGATTGATTATTTAATTTAAAGGTCAGGTCAACTGCGGAATGCCTGGCTATGTGTACCCATGCCGTCCTTGTCATGACGGGAACGACAAAGTCGGGGGTGACGGGTGATGGGTGATGTGCTGTCCCGTCTGACAACCTGCGAGCTCCCGTCGTCTTATTCCCTTCCTCCCTCCGCTCGCCCATCCTTGCGCCCCAAACCCGTTCCCTATTTTTGACAACTCTCGATCGTCGCCCTTGCATTGACAAGACTTCCACATCGGGCTGCCCATCAATCAGCCCTTTGACTTTCGGTATCCAGTGCTGTTGTCGCAATGTACACGCAAGGCACCCTGCCCGACCACATCCCTCTCCAGACGGCCGCCGGCGGTGGATCTTTGCTTTATTTTCGTCAAGATTTCATGCAGCAGCAGCTTCAGAAGAAGGATAAAAAAGCAGCGTCGGCTCAGATGGCCGTTGCACGCCCGGCAAACCGGCCCTTGGGGTTTGGGCCAAGGCTCTGAAACCGCCAACAAAACCCACCGCCATGTCGTCATGCCCGGACTCGCGTTTCGAAACGCCACGAGAGCTCTTCCCTGTTCGGCGACGAAGAGACCTCAGCCTCGTTGGCGAGGCAGAGCAGAAAACTCTATTGCCTCGCTTCCGAGCATCCTCGGCTGTATACATGGTCCAGTAGACATTGCTCGTTATGGAGCCCAAGAGGTTCTGCCCCGAAGTTGCGAATAGATGAGACGCAGACCCATCAGTTCGGCTTGGCCACCTTGCGTGGCTCCCCGACGCCCGTCTCCGGGTCCTTGTACTCCTTCCAGCTCACCGGCACCATGTCGTTGCCAGCCTCGCTGGTGGCCATAATGACGCCCAACTCATTGGCGGCAGTGGAGAGATAGTAGTTGGCCTGGTCTCCCAGAGAGATCTGTCGCATTCCAAGTCAGCCATCTACACACTCTCATCCCATCTCATCGAGGACAGCAAAAACACTTACCACCTGAGCCCGCACCACGTCGCCAGGCTTGAAGCTCTCATAGATCTTGACCTTGTCCTTCTCCGTGGCCCTCACATCCTGCGAGCGGATGACGCCCTGCCACTCCGTCTGCAATGCTGTGTCGCCGACCTGCTGGATCGTCACGATGGCCTGCTTGGGCATTAACCGCACGACGCGGCACAGTACCATGTTACCAACGTCCGGAAGCACCTCGCGCTTCTTACTGGCCCCGGAGCGTGCCACCGAGATGGTCGCCAACTCATCGGCAGACAGCTGCGTGATGCGGTTGAGGCGCTTCGTGAGGCCCGCCTGGGCCCTGGCCGACGGGATTACCGTCACATCGCCCAGCAGCGAGGCCACGACGTTGCCGTTGTAGACGTGCGTGCCCGGGCCGGCGGCGTACCGTGTCGTCGGGCCTAGGATCTTGCCCGGCACGGCGCTCTGGGGGATCTCATCCGTGGCCATACTGGATGTGTTTGCGTCTATGACGTGTGAGACTGAGGTCTGGCTGGACGTCGTATTCGTACTTGCGAGCAATCGTCGTGAGAGGTGAGATCGAGGCGACGAAAAATGAGTAAGCGAATTATGAGTTGACCCCGGTCGAGATTTTCCTCAGCTCCGTGTGTGAGGCTGAGTTTTGAAAGTCCGTCCCGTTTGTTTCGGTGGTTGCTATGGCGGTCGTGAAAACCCGAATGTCCGAAATTTTTCAGCGAGAAGCGGTCCCGCGACCCGCCGTTTGGATGAGAGGTGCTGCCCGGGGCCCCGCTATCCGGCCAGCTGCCGCTAATTGACCTGGCAAGCCCACTGTTAAGCTCTGTCAGGCCACTGGGAAGTCGAGTTTCCGGGGCGGTGGCGCAAGGCAGAAAGAACCTGGGAGGGTCAAAATGCAGGGTCCAATCTCTCAACCAAAACAATTGGCGATGCGACGGTTTCCCGCTGGAGCTCAACCTGGCCCTCTTAAATATCGCCGGTGCACCCGTCGCAAGACTTTCCAGTCCCCTCTTCCTCCTCACCACCAAACATTGCCAATTGGGCCACTACGTTCCTTCCGTTTCCTTTGGATTCCCATCTTGTGTGTGTTTAGACCCTGAGCAATCAAAATGGCGTCTCTCAGCCGGTTGTTTACGCTGGCTTTGTGGATCGGTCTCCTGACGCCCATCTACATGTTCCTTGAAAAGAACCTGGAGAAGTTCTACATCTTCGACCACGAGCACCTGCACGACCTCTCCAAGCGCGCCATCGCCGCGCACGGCAACGACACCCGGTCTGTCGTCAACTACATTGTGACCGAGCTCAACGGCATCGTCCCCAAGCACGTCAACCTTGACGAGGAATGGGTCTTTAACAACGCCGGCGGTGCTATGGGCGCCATGTACATCATCCACGCCAGTAAGCTTCGTCGCATCTTCGTCGTCTTCTTCAAACGTGACATACTTACACGTCCTCTTCTAGGCATTACCGAGTACCTCATCGTCTTCGGCACCGCCATCGGAACCGAGGGCCACTCTGGCCGCCACACCGCCGACGACTACTTCAACATCCTCTACGGCACCCAGCTTGCCTACGTCCCCGGCGCCTACGAGGCCGAGGTCTACCCCCAGGGCAGCGTCCACCACCTGCACCGCGGCGACGTCAAGCAGTACAAGATGGACGAGGGCTGCTTTGCCCTCGAGTACGCCCGCGGCTGGATCCCCCCTATGCTCTTCTTTGGCTTCGCCGATGGTCTGTCTAGCACCCTCGACTTCCCTACCCTGTGGACGACGACGCGCATTACTGGCCGTGAGATGATTGCCAACTTGCTCAAGGGCAAGTTTTAAGGAGATGGAGATTCTGGATACGAGGCGGAAGAACGGCTTCCGTCGTGACCGTCCTGGACCGACTCGAATGGTCGAGGCAAGGAAAACGTTGAGCCTATGATAGGGCACATGTAGAGCCGTGCCTATCGCTGCTCTCATCTCGAACTTTCGATTCGGTCGTTTCGAATGCTTGTGTCTATATTACCATTTAATAGTGCCGAACAGGCGGCAAAGTCACTTCACCTGGACCATTTCGTCGATGCTTTTGGATACTAGCAACCCGTGTCGGTGAGGTTGCGGTTGAAATGTTGTACTTGCAGGTGAGAGACATGCATCGAATCGGCGAACCAATTGCGCAACGGTCTCAAGCACAACCCTGAGAACAGCTCCAAGTGTGAGACCCTTGTCTTGTATGTCACGCAAGCACGCAGCCAACATCTCTTTCAGAAGCTGCCATCAGACCGTCCACCTGAACCCGATTTCCATTCCGGCGTCGTCGAATTAAAAAATATCGGAGGGGGCATCCGACTCCGATGTATTTCGACTCCACATCAACGGCCAAGCATTAGCCGGGCCAGGACGAAGGCGCTGGCGACCGGCTGCTGGTGTCGCGGACCCGACAAGGCCTGTAATACCGCTCAATTCAAGCATACATCTGGAGCAGTACTGATGCAACCATTGGCATTCTTGAGTGCTAACGGCCCGTTGGAAATACAGCCTTGAACCGGAGTTATAACAAAAACAACTCATCAAGCAAAGAGAGCAGAACGGCTAGCATGGGTCCGGCAATCTGTGAAGACTGATCCACGGAAGAAGAGATGAACACAGACCAGAGACTAGGACATCGGGAGTACCTGTGGCCCGCCACCTGTTTCTTTTGAACTGTTTCTCGGTTTGTCTGAGAGTTAGCAGATACGTGTTCCGCCTGGGTGGAATTATGTATCTGAACCAATATTTCCCGCTCGATTATGCCAGCAATGGCCCAGGACGCCACCCACATACGATCTGCTATGCATTTCAAAGCTCGGGCCATGGAGTTGGAGGGTACTCTCGTCAACACCCAAGATGCGATGAATGTGAAACATCGAAACTCAAGTCTTGTCTTCTTATCTCCTTCAGATTCTCGCAAAATGCCTGAAGAGTACAGACGTTCTGTGGGATCTGGTGCGAGTAGATGATGTTCTACCTAAGTCACTTAGTGTCTACTCAGAAGACGACACAAGGAACAAGGTCAATCATGGAGTTAATGGCAAATTTTGACAAGCAAAATATAGAAGTACAACACTCCGATCGACTTCTTCGCGTATGCCCTCTTGAGAAGTTCTCAGATTCAATTAACTCTCTCGATTGGCCTGGCGCTATTTGAACAACTCTATCCGCTGCCATCGTCCATGCTACCTGGGTTCTGGCAAAATGCGACTGAGACAACTTTACAGCGCCCACTGGAGACTTCTAACTTTCAATGGTTTGTTTCGATGGCATCGAAGCGACTGTCTTAAAGGGAATTCATGTATAAATCTGCTTCTGACGGTCACTTGGAATGCTCCACGCAATCGTTCCGAAGAAAAGAACGTCTAGAGAGTTGTTTGCGAAGGGACCTACGGCCGAGTAATGTCAAAAAGCCAACATGGCTCATTGTCCCTACTGAGTGATCAGCGTCCGATATAACGGACATATGCTTAACTCTGCTGCCGGAACACCAACCGTTGCTCAAAACATACTATGTCGTTAGAAATTTCCATACAATGAGCGGGCAATCCAAGTGGAAGATCACAATTCGACCATCTGGTTTCCATCTCATCTGGTCTCTCATACACTTGCCCCCTGAGCTCAAGCCTCCTCGACCCCAAACCTGCCGCTCTCCGAGTAGTCCCCCCCCTCCCCCACGATCTGCTACGCAGCCGTCTCTTCTTGATCGTTTTATCCTCGTCCAAGTATCCCTGCGTGCTCGACTCTTTTTGTTATCACGAGCCAATCCTTACCCTTCTTTCCCCAAGATAACGATCTCTTACCAACCCTGTCGCCCGCATGGCTCCGGACGCAGTGTTTCATACATCAGCCGGCGAGCCAAGTCCATATATATTGTTGGACACCCACGGCCGTTAGGTTATCTGGGACGACAGTGTTCAAGACCGACGACTTCATCCCGTATTTGTTATCGCAGAGCGAGAACGCAAACACGATGCCTGCCGTGGACACGATTGAACAGTCCCACCCGGGCACCCAGCTTAGGGAGACTTCCTATGACATGAAGTACTATGAGGACATCTCTCTGGACGAGAAAAGGGGAATCCAGCCCCGGCCAGATGCACCGACCGAAGAGGAGTTGCACACTCTCAGGCGAGTGTCCGATCACATCCCGTTCAAGCTCTTCACCATCGCCTTTGTCGAGTTGTGCGAGCGTTTCTCTTACTATGGCTCCGTCATCGTTGTAAGTCAAGTCGGCTCATTTTTGGGATTGACATTGCTAACTTGACGCAGTGTACGTATAACTAGGGTTTACAAACTTGACATATTCAGAACTGACATATCCAGTCACCAATTTCATCCAGCAACCCCTCCCACCAGGCTCAACAACCGGCGCCGCCCCTCATGGCCAGCCCGGCGCCCTGGGCATGGGCCAGCAGGCTTCCACGGGTATCACGACCTTCAACCAGTTCTGGCAGTATTTCATGCCCCTCTTCGGCGCCTGGGTCGCCGACAAGTACTGGGGCCGCTACAAGACCATCTGCATCTCCATTGCCATCGACCTGCTCGGCCACTTCATCCTCATTGCCGCCGCCGTCCCGCCCGTCATCACAAAACCCGCGGGCAACTCCCTCGCCGCCCTGCTCATCGGCATGATCACCATCGGCTTCGCCACCGGCGGCTTCAAGCCCAATATCAGCCCGCTCATCACTGAGCAGCTCGACATCGAACACCTGACCGTCCGCACGCTGCCGTCTGGGGAGAAGGTCATTGTCGACCCGGCCATTACGATCAACAGGGTTTACAACTGGTTTTACATGTTCATCAACATCGGTGCGCTCGTCGGACAGATCTCGATGGTGTACGCTGAGAAGTTTGTGGGCTTCTGGCTCAGCTTCACGCTGCCGACATGTATGCTGGCGCTGTGCCCGTTGGTCATGTGGTGGGGGAAGGGCAGGTATCGCGACACGCCTCCCGCGGGATCGGTCTTGGGGCCTGCTATCCGAACATTCCTTTACGCGCAGAAGGGGAGGTGGTCGATCAACCCTGTTAGGACGTGGAAGAACATGCATGATGGGACCTTTTGGGAGTCGGTAAAGCCATCTCACTACTCCGATGCCACTCGGCCGAAGTGGATGACCTTTGACGATGCCTGGGTTGACGAGCTGTGAGTCTTCCGGTGTCCTTGTATCTCGATGACATACTAACTTTGGCAGGCGTCGTGGGTTTGCGGCCTGTGCCGTCTTCTCATGGTATCCTATCTACTGGCTCTCTTACAATCAACGTAAGCCCTCGTTCTTACCCAGCCCCTATCCACATCCCACTTCTCTAACAAACCATTAGTCAACAACAATCTCGTCTCGCAAGCCGCCACGATGAAGCTCAATGGCCTCCCCAACGACATACTCTCCAACCTCGACCCCATCGCGCTGATACTCTTCATTCCCCTCTGCGACCTGGTCCTATACCCGACCCTGCGCAAGCTCAAGATCCCCTTCACGCCCATTAAGAAGATCGCATTCGGCTTCTTCACCGGCTCCGCCGCCATGGTCTGGGCCTGCGTCCTGCAGTACTACATCTACCAGCGCTCCGCCTGCGGCAACTTTGCCTCGGGGACCCTGCCCAACGGCGACCCCTGCCCGCCTGTCGACATCCTGGTGTGGGCGCAGACGGGCGCATACGTCCTCGTCGCCTTGTCGGAGATCTTTGCGAGCATCACCAGCTTGGAATACGCGTTCAGCAAAGCGCCGAGGAACATGCGGTCCATGGTCCAGGCCGTGGCGCTGTTCATGTCTGCCATCTCGGCGGCGCTGGGCCAGGCCTTTACGCCGTTGAGCACCGATCCGTACCTGGTGTGGAACTATGGCATCATAGCCGTGCTGGCTGCCGTGGCGGGTGTCATTTTCTGGATCCAGTTCAGGCACCTGGACAAGGAAGAGGACGCCATGAACGAGCTGCCCGAGGGCCACGTTGGGAAGGACGTGGTCGGTGAGGTGTCGCGGTCAGGTACCCAGGGTAAGGGAAATTAATGCCTGACTGCCCGGTTCAATCATGTTTCTCTGTTGTTTCGTTGATAGATATTTGTTGCTGTTTATACGTCGATTGGGTAGGCTGTTTGATAAGGCGTACTGGTCGGGGTGAGAAAAGCTGCATTGCTCACTATTCATAATAAAGAAGAAGTATTGCCCAACAGCTTTCATTCTGATTGTATCGGTTTCTGGGACATCTTGCGTGTACCGGCTTCATTTGCTCCAGCTGGGCTAAGTGGGAGCAGTTCACTCGCAGAACTTAACTTGGAAGAGCCTTGGAGGCCCGAACCCTTGGCTCCATTTCAGCCAAATACAGGTCTGCATAGTGGGACATTCGATACTATCGGACTCTGTATAAGGATTACTCATCGCTGGGCAGCAGACTCTCAACTAGTGAAGGCCCTTGGAAGACGAGGCCGTGCAGGTGCAATTTCAGGCGCCCCGTAACGATACAGCAGTTGATGTCCTTGATCCGAGGTCGAATAGGTGTGGGCTAGCGCGTAATGTAGAGAAGGATCAGTCTGACAGAGATCTACGCTTCGGGTTCTTATTAAATGGACCAAGATGGCTGCCTTTGAAATGCTTGTCAACGGGTTGCCAGACTTTCTCCCTCATAAACAGGTCAACAAGACTTTTCCGCAAACTAGATCACACATGTACAGTCTACACCTGAAATCAGAGCTCTCTGTGTAGCTGTTGCCTCAAATGGGACATTGATACTATGATTACAGCGTATGGCAAGCTCCCTGGGTGTGCCTGTCATCCTCTGCGTGTCCCCAGCGCAATACACCACCGATGATAGAGTACGGCGAGCTCATAAGCTCTTAGTTAAGCTCATAGTTCCATTTTTCGCCAGAGAAAGGATGATAATCATGATGCGTGGTGAAGTCGACGGTTCCGGCGATGCCGTTCATGACATATCGGGCTGTTGCCGTGGCATGGTCGTAATTTGGGATCATGGGTTGATGAGCCGGGACAGGAGCGGGTGACGTAGCCGGGAATATCAAGAACAGCCTAGAGGAACAATCTGACCGCCCAGTCTCGCGACTTGGGTCGGTCTTCTACGATACTCGAGTACTAAAGCGCCGTGCTGTCCCTGCCTGGCAAGGAGAGGGAACGTACTTGATGCCGGGGGAGCGTCTCTAAACCCACGAGCCCTTCCGAAAGAGACTCAACGAGGACGGTCTTTATTTTCACATAATGTTATCAGGAGAGAGAAAACTTTTCGGTCAACCGCAAGAGTGATGGGTCGGCTTATCAGGGGTAATTTAAGGTGAGTCGAGCGGGCTGATAAGGCGCCCTGACCGCGCTTCGCCTGACTAGCGATATGATATGCAGCGCTGCAAAAAAGACTGGCACCCGTCACGTAGTTTCATGTCGGCCATGTATTCGTGAAAGAGGTGTTATTCCAGTTCCAAGGCAGTTTGGGAGGACAAGTGACCTGGTTCAGCTTACTCCGACTCTCCGCCAAGAGCGCGATATCTATCACAGTCTGGTCATGACCCACCATCGCGTGTTTATCTTGGAGGTAAATTAATGACATGATAAGTGCAGTATCAGGGTAGAGTGGCGGGTATAGCAATGGAAGTTATATGCGAAGAATGGAACAAATGTTAAGGATGTGGGAATGCCTGCCTCTCTATCTAGCAAACGGGGGCAACCGCAGCATGCTGTCTGCTCTGCAGGGTATCTCAAGGCCCTTCAACAGCTCCTTGTATATGATCATCCTCAAAACTAATACACCATTAAACAAGCAGAGAAGGGAGAGCTCAGTGATATCACGATAAGCCCCCCGCCGGTCCAAGCACACAAGCTTCTATGCCGAAGTGGCAGCTCAGATAACGAAAAACAGGGACGGCAGGTGTCCAGTACTTTCAAGCCGAGATCATCTCAACATGTCCATTGTCTTCAACTCGTTCACGAACATGAGGGGTGGCATGTCACAATGCTGCTCGGACGATTCTTTGGCTGTCGCGACGTATCGGGGAGTGCTGGGCTTGGCTCCCAACTGGACCGACTTAGCTAAAGCCAATTCTCTACGGAACACGGTCTAATTTGTCCGTACACATCGTCTGCGGTCCGTCACGCCGGCCCGTGGATACAATACTACAACGCTACCAAGTAAAGGGGCGGCACGGGAGGTAGACGGCACTGGATCAACGCCCCTTCGGAGCGCGCGCAGCTCAACAGCTCGACCGCGATACGCCTACACCCAACGACGAGACCCGCACGAAGACTTCGCTAGCAAGCCGAGGCTACCACGGTTCGAGATCATGTATGGCCGTCATAGAACGTCACTACGAGCCCGAGATGCCCCCTGTAACGGGGCCCCCCTTGGACCGGAACAACCGCCGTCTGCCGTGCATCGAGTCAGCTGTCTGCACCTGACGGTCCGTTTATTCACTCACCATGTCTACCGTTCTTCTTCCATTGAAAAACATATTGTTAAGCGGCGGTCCGTCGTAGTGTCGCGCGCAGGTCGGCCATCACGACTACCACATGAGGGCCCCTGATCTAGAGAGTACAGAGAGCATAGAACTCCGGATGGCTATGTCGACGCCCCTCATGGTAACCGTGACCAGTATCTCACCAGAAGTGAGAGAATACTGCGCAGAAGCCGTGGGGGGTCAACACATCCTCCCATCGCGCGTGTCTCCTGCAGATTCAGGGGTAACAGGCGGGAACCAGGGAAGCCGACGCAGGATGACGGATAGGGTGCAACATACAACCCACAGCCAGCAAGTACATGGTTACAAATCAACGGTAGTCGCGACAATGGAATCCCTCCAACTTACAGCTGGAATGGTTGCCCTTCGCATCACCGTTGTGTAGATTGGAAGCGTCTTTGGGAATCGCAGTCTCTCGTCCACATGCGGGTGAATATATACCCATCAGCAGTGGGACGCGCCGGCGACAGACCTGTGTACTCACCTGCATCTCGCCGGAGCCCCCTTGCCAGTGCTATGTGATTTCTGAGCAGAAGCAGCCGGCCACGTTCATGTCAGACCCCCCACGGCCGGTGGGCACATCCATCAGAGGACTCGCATCAAAAGGGACGCCAGGGAAAAGGAGTACCGTACACCACCAGGCCCCCCAACGGCGTCGTAGAGGGTACGCCTAGTGTAACGACGGCCCCCCACCGTGCCTTAGTACATGCAAGATGAAATGGTATCTCGGGAATCGAATTGGAATGCAGTAGGGCTTGCTTTTTTTTTTTTACACATCTGGGAAGGAAAAAACGTGGCAGTGGGTTAGTCAGGGGGACATGCCGGCATGGGCGCGCCACCCGGGAGGCCGATAAGAGAGGCAAGTAAGGCCTACCCTTGCGAGTGGCATCGTCACCTAACTCCAGGGACGTTGCTCACGGCCGGTGTACATCGGGTGCGAGTCCGGTCACGAGTGCGAGTCTTCCAAGATGGCTGGGAACGCCGGCGAGGTCTGGCGCCCCCCCCTTCGGCCGAAAGACGATCAACAACATATCGGAATGCGATGTAGATCATGGGCCGCGGGTTCCACGATCGCGGGAACCAGACGTGGATCGGAACCATGGTATGAGTCGAGAGAACCGTTCTGGTTGTATTCTCTGCGGGCTCTCGGAGCAGAGGACCACGGACATTGCCCTCGTCAACGAAGGGGCCCGGAGTGATGAAGTGGGACGAACCGCCGACATCGTGGAAGAAAATGACATCAACTCTGTCAAACGCGAGTGGAAAAAAAAACCCCTTTGGCGATTTCTCCATACCGGTCCTCCCGTGACCATCAAATCCTGATTGTTCTCGAAAAAAAACAAAAACCTTGATCTCCCTTATCGGATAGCACGAACGGGGTTAACCTCAAAAAGACCCTCCCCCCTATCTGTCCATTACCTACATCTCCCTACGCAAGGCCATGCCCAACTTCAAGGGGGCCCCGGTAAATACCAGATTGACTCCGACGCAAAAAGCTTCTAGAAGAAACCTTCTGGCACACCTTATCTTCAGGGCCTTCCGTCACCCAACCCCAACAGCCTCTCACGCCCTTCGAGAGGCTCGGCTTGTTGTGGCGACTCTCTTCTCCGGTCCGATACCAGCAACGGACCGTGGCGATAAGACCATGCGAGCCCAAAGACATGAACTGCACCAGCCGGTTCCCTCGTCTCATCCCCCCCGGGCTGAACATGCAGTAAAATGAAGTCATCCCATGCACATCACAGGACCCTTGTGCAAATCCGCGGCCCCGGACGAAACCCGACGGCGGGTTTCGCCCGTCCCTCCCACGCGGCTCACCGAAACGGGCTGGCCGCCTCTCACCGTTGCCGAACAAAAGTCAATGGACCCCCACGCTGCGAGCAAGGGGTTGAGACTTGGACGCCGTGGCATCAGAACAGACACCTACAACGCAGGTGACGGTCTGGGTTGGCTACAACCGACGACAACCGCCGTCATAAATGAGGAAGTTCCCCTTCCTCAGCTCGGTTGCGTCCTCTTTCCCTACCATCTCTTTCTCCGCCCATCTTGTTCACGGCATGTGTGTGCTATGGTGGTTGGAATAAACAAGTCATATATATCTGTATATGTTGTGGTGACAGAACCAGCCGTTGGCCCATCGCCCTCCACTTCTTCCACTCCGTCCTTCTTCCCCACCGCAATGCTGTCATAAACAAGACCAAAATCAAAACACCAAATACCCGCGAGCTGTGCATTACTCGCCACCCTTTTTTGATTTTTCGTCAACCACGCAACGCCATGCCAGCCCATATGGATGATTTCGAGGAAAGAGCTGTCATCACCATCACACAAACAAGCCTGCCCAGCTATGCTTCGACTCGACCCCCACTTGGAGGAGGTATGCTGCTGGGCAATAAAGAAAATCGAATCCCCAAACGCACATTTTCCAAACCATTTCCGTCGTTTCCCCCTCCCATCTTCGTCACCCGGACGCCGCTGCATGCAATGTGTATGTCGTGTGTGGGGTGTGATGTGCTCTGGAGTCGCTCGAGCTCATGGCCGTCAAAACCAAGCGGTACCGCGTCCTTGATCCTGCTTGGATCCTTCATGCAAGCCATTCCTCCTCGTCTCTCTTCAAGCCTCTCATGACCAGACCGTCGTCCTCGTCGTCCGAGTATTCCTCCTCTTCTTCTTCCTCTGCTTCTTGCTGCACTTCCTGATCCCTCTGGCGGGCAGCTGGCACGACCTCCTCCTCGGGGGCTTCCTCCTCTTCCTCCAACATCCATGTCAGGCCGTTGGCCTGTTCCTCGAGCGGGAAGACTTCTTGCGCGTATTCCTCAAGACCCCGCGGGCCTTCCCACAGCGCCATGGACTGGGAGAGACAGTTGTCCTCCAACTCCACGTCACCAAAGTAGGGAGGCTGCTTCTTAGGGTCCTGATGGCCAAGTGAGAACAGCTTCTCCAGCGCCTCGAGTTGTTGGCGGTAGCCATTGGGGACCTTGACCTTGAGGTCGATCGGGCCTCGAATGTACTTGACCGGGCGTCCAACACCTCGGGCGAAAACCTCGCAAGCCTCGCGAGGAGTCAGCATCTCCCACGCCAGAGCAATGCGCTTAGTACGCCATTTGGACACGCCGTCCTTGAAGATTTGCAGGATGGCGGGGCCAACATCGTGCTCGGCGTCGAGCCACGGCAGCTTCACATCCTCGTGAAATGGAGCCTGCCACTGGAAGGACCCGTCGCTTTGGAGTTCCATACAGAACAGCGGGTACGGCAACGATGTGAAATTGTTGTTGTAAATGCCCGTGTAGACAAACGTCGAAGGCAGGTCGATGGAGCGCACGTACTCCTCAACCTGATGCTTGGCCGCCCACAGGGGCAGCGACGGCCAGTCCGCGTTGTAGGCGGCGTGGTCTGGCATGGAGGAGTAGACGTAATGATGCACTCCGGCGCGTTTGGCGGCATCGGCAAGCGCCTTTCCGATCTCCAACTCGTCGCCATAAAAGGTGGTGTTGATGAAAGCAAGCTGGGTGCCACGGAAGAGCTCCCTGATCAGATCGTGGTTCACACCAACACCGGAAATGGGACCGTTGGTTGTCACATCTCTGTTGTCCGGGGTGGGCTTGTGTCTAGTGTACAGCTCGCCGACAAGGACGGTGACGTTGGGGTTTGAGTTGACCTCGGTTGCTACAACACCCTCGAGGTTCCGCAGCTGGGCGCGGACATGGTAGCCAACAGCAGTGGCGACCCTGATGAAAGAGGCAGCCTGGCGACCGCTGGCGTTGATGACGGCAATCGTCTTGTTCGGGCTGGGCATCGGGCGCTTGAAGGGGCGGAATGTCAGGGAGTTGTTTCTTGAGGAGGCGAGAGGTGATGACTCGGAGTAGGATGAGCGCGAGTGCTTATGCGTCCTGGTGGTGCTGTACACCGCCGAGTCGCCGTGGTAGTGGTGATTTGAGTGATCCTGCTGCTGTTGCTGTTGCTGTTTGGCGGGGCGGATAGGGATCCCAATCCCGTTGAGTTGGGAAGGCATCAGGGTAACCATTTAGGAGTTCCCGACACACGCTGCTCTTGCGGGGAAGAACAGAAAAAGGACCGAGTGAGTTGGCAGCAGCGCAAGAAGGGTTTTGAGTCGGGAAAAAGGGTTGCTGCAAGGGCTTATCGTCAACCCCGCTATTCTCCCCCAGGAAATGCGCTGTAGGAAGGGTGTAAGTGCGGTCTTGGGTTTGTGGAGAAGAAGAAGAAGAGCAATGTAGGTGTTGGTGCTGACGCTGCCTTGCTAGGCTGGTTGTCCCGAAAGCGGCCTTGTTGTGAAGTCGGGGTTTATGGGAATGTTTTTAAAAGAGTATCAACCGTGACAAACCGATACGTAAAATCCCACCTCGAACCTATAGCAGGCCGGAGGGCTATCGCGAAATAGGGGAGGACCGAACGGGCCAAGTGCAGGCCTGGTCTCTGGTCTCTGGTCTTTGCGCACGCGAGGGTAAGAGACACGGACAGAAACAGACTGAGGGTGCCGGTGGAAGGGTGACGTGACGTGATGGGGTGAGTTCTCGGGGTAAAAAAAAAAAAAAAGTAGTGAAATGCGGTTCCTGGACCGGAATGATTCAGGAACCCTGAGGGGTGCGGTTGCGAGGGCAAATGGCGAGATAGATAGCAAACGCCGTTATCAAAATGGGAGCTCCTTTTTTCGGTCGATGGCGGGGTTGACCCCAGCAAACCGTCAGAAAGCCAAGATGCAAGAGACGGACGCACGCCTTGTCCAGGCCGAAGGTCGATCAAAAGATCTGGGGGAATGAACAGATGACAGGCTAGGCTGCGTTCGTCGGCGGAGGCGGGAATGGTGCTATCCGGTCTAGGGGGGTGTGGGAATGTGGGAGAGACAAGAAGAGGGCAGACGTCGTCGATGCTGCTGATAAGGGAAATTTGTCGGGATGAGGCAGCAACCCGCAGGTGAGAAGAGAGATATCTCGGAGCTTGTCGCACGCTGTCTCGTACTTTTACTCGTGTGTTCCTGAGGTGAGTGCCCAAGAGTTGGGACGTTGGCAGCTGCAGAAGCTGTAGAACAATCTGAGGGGGGTGCGTCTACACGTGAATGAGACGAGGCAGCTCCAACGGTGTGCGGATAGTGATGTGCCGCTCAGCGTGTAGCTGAGGGATGAGGTAGATAAGTATGCACGTGTGTGTGTGTGTGTGAGTGTGAGAGAGAGCAACAGTGAGTGCGGCGTGTGAGCATACGAGAGCAAGGAGTGAAGGGTGAGGGTGAGTGTGTGTCCCCTGCCGGTCTCAGTCAAAGTGAGAAAGCGCTGTAAGTCGACTTGCCCAGTTGGGACAACTTCGTCAGGGTGATGCGGGTGTGCGTGCTCGCTGGATTTGCTGTCGTCGTTGGGTTATCCACCGACAATCTGCATCCAAATGCTCACGGTGCAAGGGAAGTTGACCAATCGGAGTTATTAGTGGTTGACCGTGACCCTGTAGGCGCGTTCGAGTGCCACTGGCCCGATTGATTCGTGGGCTGGTCGTTTAGGGAGAGTCGCCAGGCTGGGAGGGGAGTTCGGCGTGGAGATCCGATGCGAAGCTGGGTGACTTCGGGAGGATGCTTCACAGCGGTGTATGGGTTGTTGGAAACGGGGTCGGGGTCGGCCAGGAAAGGCGAAAATAAGAGATGCACCAGTATAGTGGGTAGCGGCCGGATCAGGTGATGGTCATTGGGGTCTTGGGTCGTGTCGGTTTATCGCAATGGCCTTCTACTCGTGTCGTTGAGCGGCTCTTTGCTTGCAGGCGACAAGGGCTCGTATGCAGAGTGGTTGAGAGATATGGGGTTGACTTATGCGAAGTCGAACCTTAAGAAGGCAGGCGATCGGAGCAGAAAGTCCAGGCAGGCGATTCGAGAGGGGTTGAATAGGGATAGACCAAGAGAAACGATCCAACGCTTTCTGGGCAAAGGCAGAAGAGGGCGAGGGCCGGATGACCTCAGGTAAGGAGCATCAAAGCTTTTGATGCCGGTCCTTAGCCAGTCCGTGTGGTGATTTGACCAACTGGAAACGGACAAGCGATGCCGTGTCGTCCTGGGCCGTGCAAGGTGGTGGTGGTAGTGGTGGTGCCTGGACCGACCGATGATGAGCAAACACAGCAGCAGGACGGAGCAGACTGCGTGTAAGTCAACCAACAGGTTTGCACTTCGTCGGCGGGATCCGTGGAAGCGTTGGAGAGAAGGGCAAGATGAAAGTCCCCAAAGATAGCCGGGTAGAGCGAGAGAAGTTGGGGGATATGCGTGTGTCAGTGTGCAGAGGCAGGTAGGGATGGGGTATGCTGCCGTTTGTGCGGTAAGTAATGAATGAGGTCGGGTATCCTCGAGGCCGGCGAAACAATGACAACAACGACGACGACGACGGTCGAGTCTCGATCCAGGATTTCTTTGACAGGTGCGGCGAGACAACGGGATGAGCAAAGTCAAAAGTGAAAACGATTAAGAGAATTTGTATTTTAACCACTAGCTAGGTGAATCCATTCGGTGGACAGGGCATGCATGGGCGATGGCGCGGCTGGGCCTTGTGGCATGCCCTTTTCTGTTAATAATTGAATCTTTGGCCGGCGGCCACGAGGGCGAGCACGTTGCGTTTTTCCTTCGGACCTTGATGCAAGCGCAACAACTGGGCTCCATCGAGCGGAAACACCACACGCACACGCACACCAGCCAGCCGTCAAGCCATCATCCATGAGGCCGGAAGCAGGCCCGGGGAGGGGGAGGAGACCGAGCAACGGGGCTGGTTCAAGCTGGGCCTGCCGCTGTCTGTTTGGTTGTTTGGAGGTGATGGGATGAGAATGGAAACCAGATACATATGCACGGATGGGCTTGTTGTCCTGTCTTGCAACCACTGACAACGAAGGTGCAGAGTTGCATTACGGCGGGCTATCGAGTAATGAGCCGGAAACCGCGACTGCAAGATGGGAAGTTTCTTCAGAGTGGGATGGAGAAAACTGACACTGGGGTCTTTGTGGGATGGGACGAGATGAGAGAGAGGAAAGGGAATGGAAGGGAAGTCCACGGGGGGTGGGTTACAAGGGCGGCGATATGCGGCTACTTGGGCCGATACCGTGTCGAGGAGCAGGCACGTGTACCGTGTTACCTTTGGCAGGCCCTGGTCGATTTGCATGTCGACCAAGAAGTTCCCGTTGCGCTCTCCAGCGGTTTCCAGAGCCCCGTGCTCCAACTGTTGGAGTTGGATCTCCAGGCAGTGTGACGACCTCAGATCGGGGACTTGGTCACTGAATCGGGCAATGCATCAACGAGACCGGGCACGGCTGGAGCCCGTTCTGGAGCCCTCCCACAGCAGCAGCGGGGACCGCCCTGGAAAGCGACAGTCAGTCTCACCCCCTTCCCTATCCTATGTAATGTGCAGGCACGCTCATCACTCGGCAAAGACGAGTGAGTGCATGTCAAGAGAAAAGAAAAGAAAAGAAAAGAGTCAAGGAAAGAGGGCCAGAAGCAGTGGAGGAGGGGGAGAGGCTGCTGCTGTACTGGGACCTCCCCAGCGCCCCGTGAGCAGCGTTTTTCTCTTGTCTCCTCCATCCAGTCCTCGAGACCAAGACTCGAGCTCAAGGTTGGCTTTATTATGTAAGAGGTTGGCTGCGGTTGGCTCGGCGTCTCGCTTACATAGTTGCTCTTACCTACTGGGAAACCGCTCCTCTGCGTCTTCTCCCTTCTGCTATCACCACTTGTCCCCAGTCTTTTTTTGAATTTTTTGCGCAGTGCGGCTACTTTGCGACTATGGTAGGTACTTTTGAAAATTTTTCCTTATCTTTGGCAACAACTTTTCCACCCCCCTCTCAACCCGGCCTTCCAAGACTGCCGCCCATTTTGTGCAACCATGCCCGTGTCATGCCGCCGCCATTGTTGACTTCTGCCCGAGATAGGTACGGTAGCAGCACTCCTCGACAGAGTATCGGGATACCTCCACCGTCGGCCTCGACGCAACGCCCGCCGTACGTCTACACTACTAATTACTGTATACTCTCCCTCGTTCCGCATCAACGCCATCCAGCATTGACGTTGGGGCCATCTACTACGTATGTAACCTGTTGGCCGATGGAAGTCAATCACACGAAACCCTGTCGGCTCGACCTGCCATCATATCATCACGTCAGTCCCAGATACCTGTACTCTCTGACTCTGACCCTTTATGCTCGGCCCGCCCCAGATCAAGACAGGGCCGCCATCGTCAGATAAGAGGCACCTTGATGAGCGAGCACCCCCCTCCCAGCTTCAGGCCCAAGAGTCTACCTATCAACCTCACACGGACCTCCTCGACGAGCACGGCTGCTCATCACGGGGCCCTTGGATTTAAGCAATATCGCGCCGGTTAGCCCCCGGCGCAAATCAGGGTCTCCACACGTCGTCAACTGGCTCCGTCTTGGTGTAATCAGAGCCCATCCCGATGCCACGATCTCCTCCGGACCCTGTGCAAACTTTTTTTTTCTGCCCGGTGGCTCTCGACTCAGAGCTCCACCCCAAAGCAAATGTGATGCACGGAAATCTGCGCCGTCGAGCCCTCTACTGTTACGGATTCCCACTGCTCCATTACGGAGACGTGGAGTACCATAGTAAAGAGCCTACAACCTACGGACCGGTTACGGATGCCAATGGGCAACAACCCTGCCCGATGTTCGACGGGGTTCTTGCAGTACCTTAGTACATACATAGTACACAGGTACAAGCATAGGCCCGGTCCTGGCCCTCCACCCAGGCGGCTATGCCCCCACCGCTAGCTCCCAATGCTCTGTACGTACACTAGGTAAGCAGAAAACCCCCATAGGAATAATCGCAATCCTGGGCGACGATGGGCAAATGCGGTGCAAAATCAGACGCGCACTCTGACTCTCCCACAACCACCGCAACGCACTAGCATCTGGCCCCTAGCTTCGCTCTCTGCACGTCTGAGATCAGCTTCTACGCTGAACTACCCGTGTCACACTCGCACCGGCTGCAGCGCCTGCCTGCCCCTCCCAGGTTCAACCCAGCACCGCGACCACGCCGTCGCTTCTTTGGCCTTGAGGGCTCTTTATGCACATGGGCTGCAAAGGCGTCGGGCCTCCCATCTAATCTACATACATGGAGGCCTGGGAGCCTGCCACACGCCGGACTCATTCGTTGCATCAGCCTCACACGAATGGTGCCATTGGTCGTCGGAGTATCGTCCTTGTCAGCCCAACACCTGCTGTATGGTGCTTCATGTACTATGACGAGGGTTGGGCAGGGTCGAGACCTGCGTCCTTGTGGTCACTTCCGAGCCTGCTGCATTTCGACGCCCCGCGACATGCCGGCGGCCAGCATGGGAAGTGAGCAGACACAGAGAAACTCTCAAAAGGGCCTGGGCCAAGTCGCAGGATGCAAACGCAACCCAGCGGAGCATCCCTAAAGGCTAACGTCCAATTTGAGGCGGAACCTGCTTCTGCGAAAGTCTGGACGTGCAGCAGCTGCGACAGTTGTCTCTTACACCTCCGACGTCCAGCGAACCAGTCCGCCGCCCTGGGACGACAGCCGACCTCTTTTGCTGCACAATGCCCTGTATCCAACAACAAAAAGACGGCGAAACGACCGGGCTGGCGGACAAAGATGGGCTGGCTGCCTTTGAATTGAACCAGACTGACGGGAGGCGCCAAGGTGCGTCCGACAATCAGATTGACAAAAGACTTGAGACGAAAGCGCAAGCACGGGCAAGGACGCGCCAATGGTTTTCCAACAATCGCGCAATGTCGGCCTGGCCAGCACCGCATTCTTTCCATTACGTACAAACGGAGCCGAACTAACATCGAAACGACCGCCATGCCGTCATCCAACGAGCACACTGGCGTTCCGGTCTGCTCATAAGCCAACATTCCCCTCCTTCTCCGAATCCGACATCTCCGCGGAAGATGTGCGCCTCTCCCAGTTTGCGCGCCCGAGAAGCTTCATGCCGCTTGGCGTCCGTGGCGAGTTTCCTCAATTCTGGATTCGTGCAAACCACCACAAGAGAACTAGCCAAGAATGCGAACCAGCTAAATCAATGACAACCTCAGCTCAGGAAGAAACCACCAACGAGCCCCAGCAGCATCTGGCGCCGCTGCTGGTCTAATGCAAACAGCCCCCGCTTGGCTGCCGCCAATTTGCGGATATTGCGGGGAAACTGGCCCCATGCCTCATAGGGCACCGTTTGTACTGTACACCAAGCCAGGACGTTGCATCCTCACGGCAAGCCTATGGATACGATGCGTACAAGAAACCAAAGGACCGAAACCACGGACGGCATCGCCATCGTCCTTGTCAACGACGACATTGTTGGGATTTTCCACGCACGTCGCCGCCGGCCACTTCCACCGGCCCACCGTTTTTACGTCACGCTATTCTTTTTATGCCTCGATCATGGTGAGGTACCCCTCTTCAACCCGCAGGGTCCAGTTCCTTGGGCACGGCTGCTCACCGCACCCCATCGGTCCGGCCATCTCTTCATGGCAAGAGCCCGAAGCAGCAGAAAATCCGGGGTCACGATAGCGAACTGCTGTCCAACGCCGACCTCGCGTCTATTTTCAAGTCACCTGAGCCGACCTGTTTTGACATCCCTGCCCTGCCAGCCAGCAAGCCCCGGCTCTCATGTTTGTACATAGCCTACAGCTAGGTATCCCCCACGGGCCCATCGTCGTGGTGGGCACCGACATCGCGTCTTGAGCGCAGCAAAAAGGGCCCAGCTGGCCTCCCCACTTGGCCAGTTTGCTTCGCTGGGCCCGGAAGTGCTCGAGCCCGCGGAGCCGCAGACCCATGCGCCCTCTTCTGGGGTCGTCTTGCCCTAGAGAACGATGCGTGCGTCCATGTAGGTAGGTAGGTAGGCATGCCCAGGTCAGCTGCATCAGCTGCCGAGCCGCCCTGGTAGCGGCATACGGGCGAGCCGTCCTGCTATGCAAACCCATGCAGCTTGTTGTAGAAAACGGCATGGTTGGCTGGAGAGCTCAACCCTGATGTCCCAGCGTGGAATCCCATGCCCCTGAAGCCGAGAAATCAAAGTCGGCCGGCGTCGGCACCCGGTCGAACCACGGCTGGCTCGTTTCGAGGGACTCGAGGCCGATGGGGTCGTTGTTGGGCTGGGCTATGATGTTGTCGAAGTACCGCTGTGACAGATTAGCAAGGTGGCTCTGCCCCGTCGTTTCGTGGAATGTGAACGCACCCAGTCCATCTCGTTGCCAACCGCGACCCAGCCGCGGTCGAGACCGGAGTCGCTTGATCCCAGCCCCGAGCTCATGAAGTCGAAGGGTTTAAGGTTATCTGCCGCGCTCGAAGGGAACGTGGTCGAATCTGCCATGCCGTCAGTGACTTGGTGACTGTCGTCGGCCCAGCCAAGCTCATGGGGCGGGGGGAGGGAGGGGCTCTTACCGCTGATGGAAAGGCTGTTGAGGAGCTGATCCTCCCGAGCGGACCTGCTTTCCGAAGCCGGGTCACCGGCCTCGCGCAGCCCCGACGTCGACGACACCCTGCCGCCCTCGTCCTTGGGCGGCGAGCTCGGCGGCGACCCGAGCTTGCTCAGCATCGTCTCGAGGATGTCCGCCGTCTTGCGCACCTCGGGCACGCCCGCGGCGATGCTGATCCACACCGAGTAGGACCGCTGCAGAAGGTGCAGCAGGTGCTCCCTCGTCGGCGGCGGGCTCATCTCGGCCGTCCACTCGTGCTCGACGCCGCCGTCCCAGAACAGCTCGTTGCCCACGGCCAGGTACAGGATGGTGGCGGCCAGCAAGAAGTCGTGGACGGCGAGCGAGGACACGAACCAGCCGTTCTGGCCGAGCATGTTGCCCGGCTGGCAGGCGTGCCAGATTGTGTTTTGGAAGTCGAGCAGCGTGATGGCGCCCTCGAGGCACTGCCGGCGCGAGTAGTCGTGCTCGCGCCGCGGCAGCGGCTCGAGGAGGAAGCGCCGGTGCAGCACGCAGCGGGCCTTGTTGTAGAGCGAGGCGAGGCCGAAGCGCTGGATGATCTGCGTCGCCGGCGTCGTGACGCACTCCTCGAGGGGCTGGACCATCATGAAGCGCGGGACGCCGGCCCAGACCTCGTTGAGGAGGCCGTCGAGGCGCATGACCTCGGCGTACGACGGCGGCGAGAGGAGGTGCGCCTGCCGCGCAATCTGGCCGAAGACGCGCATCACGCCCGACTTGTAGATGGGGTACGTCATCTCGGTGTAGTCGGTGGCCGGGCGCGAGGGCGGCAGGACGGCCGTGTCCTCGCCAAAGTCCTCGTCGATGAGGTTCCGGGGCAGCGCGCAGTCGCTGTCGATGCCGTTGACCATGCTCGGCAGGCCCATGTGGAAGCTGACGAGGAGGTCGAGCTGGACGGCCATGTTCCACATGCGGCGGCGCATCTCGCCCTCAAAGGCCGAGATGTTGGCGAGCCGGTCCGGGTCGCGGTGCAGGCCCATCTTGAGAAGCAGCCGCAGGCACACGGACGACATGACGTAGCAGTTTGTCTGGGCGGCGCGGGAGATCATGAACTCGGCCTCGACGTAGAGGATGAAGGGCGGGATCGTGGCGATGGACGGCTGCGTGTAGCGGCCCCAGATGAGGCACCACGCCGCGGCGGCGCGGAAGAGCTTGAAGCGGTCCATCGGCGGCACCGGCGAGTCGGACGAGAGCTCGTGCGGCGCCATCAGCGTCGAGTAAAAGACCCCGAGCGACATGATCATGAAGAGGAGGGCGAGCCAGTTCATCGGGGTGCCGTGGGGGTCGGCCCAGAACCGGGCGTACTGGTGGGCGTCAGCACGGCGCCGAGTATATCGACAGAGGTCGGGGGGGCGGGGGTGCGTTCTAGCACGGGGAGAATACATACTTGTTTTACAAACGTTGGCCTGTGGACAATGTCTGCGCGTAATCAGCATATAGTTCATGACAGGCCGCCCCTTACGAGGCGGCGTCCCGCGGCAGTGGCCTCTTACGTTGCGAGGGACTATGCGAGGAAAAGTACCGCATGATGAGCCGGTCGACAACCTTCCGCTCGGGCAACAGCCGCATCAGGTCCTCGCGGTTACGGGGCGTGCCCCGCGACGAGAGAAGCAGGTCCGGCGACTCGAGCTCGTCCGACGGCTCGGGGCTCTCGCCCTCGGCGAGCTCGGGCTCCTCAAAGAAGCTCTTCATATCCTCAATCTGTATCGTCCGTCAGCCGACATTCTCCTCTCGCTCGCCCACGAGGCGTGGTGGGTTGTCGCACCCGGCTGTGAGCCGGCGAGCGGGGCGACTTACATCCTCGAGGACCGCCATGAAGTGCGTGGCGCCGACGTACGTGCTCGCCCTCTCCCCCTGGACGAACTGCCCGCCCGGCTGCGCGACGCCGACCTCGCGGGCCCCGGCGGGAGCAGGGTTCTGCGGCGGCGCGGCGGCGCCCTCGTCCATCATCGTCCGCACCATGCCCTCGAGCCGCTTGAGCCGCGCCGCCATGCCCTTGGCCGGCTTCAGCTTCTCGGGCTTGGGCGCGTAGACGCAGCCCTCCGGCCGCGACTTCTTCAGGCACTGGCCGCACGGCTCGGAGCGGTCGCACTTGAGCTTGGAGGCGCGGCAGGGGCCGCAGGAGAGGAGGACGCGCGAGCGCTTCGCCGCGGCGGTAGCGAAGGCGGGGTCGGAGACGGAGGCGTTGGAGGGGTGGGAGCCGCCGGTGCTGGGCCCCGGCGGGCTCACGTTTTGTTCCCCGTTCATGGTCTCGAGAGGCGAGGTTCTGTTACGCTCTCTCTGGACAGGTATCTGCAGCGTGTCGGAGCCGGGTGTGGGTGGATGTCTCGTGGTGTGGGGCAGACAGAAGGGTATGCGCCGCCGTGATGCCGTTTCTGGATCCGGAGGTCAGAACTCTATTCGACGTCGGTCCCGGGCGCCGGAGTTGCGATGAGGGGCCGTTGGTCACGGAAGGAAAACAAGGGGGTCTTGGAGCAGCAGCAGGTCTCGAGCCGACAGGTGAGGTGCAAATCATGCGTGTTCATTCTTTTGATTATCGAAGGATCCTAAACCAGGCAACCAAGCTGACAGAGCCGTCCGCTCGTCAGACTCGGGGATAAGGTGTGTTAAGCCCGAATATCTAACATTTCCCTCCAAGTGCCAAAAACCACGACACCAGGCAGCCGGGCCGAAAAACATCACGGCCCAGCCCGTTTCCCCCCTTATGCAGATTGGCCAACGGCCAATAACCCAGAAAGTGCTTTTGTGTTCCATCTATAGCGCTGGTTCTCCGTAACCACACTGAAGTTGAGGGCTTCGCGTGGAAGGGCCTCCTCCTCTGGCCAGTAGCTCAACACTGAATATTCCCCTCTTTCGCCATTATAGCGTGCCGTTGTCTTTCTCGGGTCGCTGTTTCGTTTATACCGGGGCGTCGGGCAATCTCTCAATGACGTACTTTCCGCGGGCGCACTTCATAATGGGTACACCGGGAATCCGACGGAGACGGGAAACGAGACCCGCGTCGTTGGTTGCAACAATGTACACTCGGTCTTTCGATACTTTTGATACCTAAGCCGCAAAGTCAGTCAAGGAGCCTTACCGAGGACAACCTCCAGCGCGGATGTGACTTACAATGCAGTCATCAGCATAGACACCCTTGTGGGTGCACTTGTGACGTTCCCATCTTTCGTCTTTGGCTATTCTCAGCGGAAGGCGGAACTTGGGACCCAATTTCTCCAACTCAGCCTATGGGGTTGCTGTTAGTACGAGAATCGCAGTTCGCTGGGATTCAGGGCACTCACCATAACGCAGTCGGTAACGATGGGATGGCACGTCGCTAAGAAAACCTGTTAGCTATGTAGCTGGCAATAGTATATTCTGGTGCTTACCGTATAGACAGTCCATCATCGTCTCGAGTACGGGCAACTTCATCTGCACTGTCCGGGAGAAGAAAGACGTATCGACGATGACGCTGTACGGAGGGACAAGGGCGGTGTTGGCCTGGAAGAAGAAGGACGATGGCATTTGAGGGATTTCGCGGATCTTTTCGCTTCCATCGGGGCCAGCGCGCTCGCGCTTGGCCTTCTCGACGGCCTCTTCGGCCTTCTTCAGGTTCTCCTTGCGTCGGGCATCGTTCTTGCCAATAACTCGTTTGACCTGGCGAGGGAGACAGTCAGCAACGTGCTCGCATGGATAGAGCTTGCGTACAGAACGGCAGGTCCAGAAGCGCGGCCTGCAACACCACCCGCTTGTGAATGAGCTCTCAGCGGCGGGCTTGGGCTGTCGCGATCATCGTGAAGTTTTCGCGATCAAAAAAGTGCCTTATCGATAAGAGACTTTTTCTTCTGCGCAGCGAAGGAAGCGCGGGAAGGTAGAAGGGGAAACGTACTTCGGCGAACTTTCTGGTCTTCTTCTGAACACCCATTGTGTGGTCCTCTTCTGACTTGAGGTAGACGGTCGTAAGAGGTGTATCTTTGTCGTGTGACGGAGTGCTGGTGTTGACAAGGCTAGGCAAGGCTATCGCATGAAGATGGATTGAATTTGGCCGCCTACCACATGTGGCGGGGTGGGGCGCCAGCAACGGAGGAAAAAGTTTTCGGTGTGTGCTCGGAGGTCCTTGGTGTGCTCGGTGTGTTCGGTGTACCGAAAGAGGAGCATGGTGTGGAAAGACGCGGGTCTGTGCTTTCCGCAACGAGAAATGCCTACGCCGGCGCAATGTTTTCGAGCAGGGTGGGGCGCCGATGGTGGCCTAGAGCAACCGGAATGAGGGGACAATGAGACTCTCAGGGACTGACGAATGACAGGGGGGCTTCTCGGACGGTTGGGTGGCAGGCTTTAGCGTTGCAATCTCCTCCCCAGGAAAAAGCAAGTGATCGATCAACGCGCCCAAACGATGGGGGGAGATGGGCGTAAGACCGGTGCCTTGCATCAGGATTTCTGTGCGCTTGCCCTGCGCATGCATAAGAAGACAAAACTTATGATGGGAGGGCAGTCTGATGCCAATTCACTAGCAGGAAGTTATGGCCGCAGAGGAAACAGGCATACCGGTAGAAAGCAGACCAAGATGGGGACCTGTGGGGGGAAATGGGGCATTATTTGCATTCCTCGAAGAGGCTCGCAGCCGGTCCATCACTTGGTGGCCCATATTAACCGACGAACTTTGAAGATCTCTTACCGTTTGGTGGACATATGCCCAGGGACGCTTACCCCGGATGAGGGCTCGTGTTTGACGATGGGTACGACCTGCAGCCACTGTAGCGTCTGCTGCGAGCTGCGGATTAGTGGGATCAACGCTGGCCTGCTTGACAATACGAACAGACATGATCACGGCGGGCGACTCCTGCACAGTTCAGCTGGACAGAGTTGCAATGTACCACACTGTACGCTTTTCCCCAGATTCCGCCTCCTGCAGGCCAGAAACCTGCCTCGCATAACGTCCCAACACTGTGTGTCTGCATGTCTCTTTCCAAGAAATGCGCCCGAATGCACAAAAATAAACAGACCAGGCACACACGGCAAGCACGTCAGAACCAGCCCTCCGTCGCGGCCAAATGCGCCGCGCCACAAGGCGAGGGCCGCCCAGCCCGCTAACACGAACGGGACTCAGCACCCTCTGGACGCCGGTTCCTCTCCAACAGGGGATGACCCTTTTCTCCTTTTTTCCCCCAGGCCCATTCCCTGCTGACGACCCGGGCCCGCCTCTTGCCTTCCCTTTCCCTCCCCATCACGCACCCTCATCCCTCCCTCTCCTGCTCCCTCCATCCCTCTCCCTCCCAGTCAACCCTCGGAAGCTGCCCACCCAGCCAGACGATCAGCCGGCAACAGCAATGCTCTGATCAGCGGATCCCTCTCAATCTTTAACGTCTCATATTGTCCGCCTTGCGTTTTGCAAACTCCTGCGATACCTTCGTTCGACTCCTTGGTACCATAGTAGCATACTGCACAGCATCCGTCCACTCCGAATTGAACCAAATACACCGCGCCATCCGTCAGGCACCACGATCACGACGACCTCCTTACTCTGCCCGCGGGCTCCGACACAGACATAGCCATATCTCGCCGTTCCTTCGTCGACCCGACAGAACTACAGTATCGATCCTTCTGGAGAGAACATCTAGCCACGTCCGCATCGTCGTTGTAGTTTCGAGGCACTGCATTATATCGTCAACGCCGACCCTCGGACATAACTGGACATCACGATCAAGCCAGCGAACATGGCTCCCTCACGCAACTCGCTGAAGCGTACGCTTCTCCTGTCCACGTTCGCCACCCTCTCCCTCTTCTCGGCCACGGGCTTCGCGCAGGACAACACGAGCGGGGGAGATGCTCAAACGAGCGCCCAAACGAGCGCCCAGCAAACGTCGCAGGCGGCTTCCTCAAACCAGGAAGACGCCCAGCCGACACGCACAACCCAGACGGCCGCCGTCATCACCAACACGGGTGCTGTTGCGACCACGAACGAGGTCATCAGCGCTCCTAGGATCACCGGCAGCGGGGAGACGGGAGGCGAGGTCCTCACGGGGTTCCCGTCCCTCACCAACGCGCCTATCGTGACGACGTACCCGCCGCCAACTGTCCCTCCCACCAACAATGCTCCCTATATGCACAGGTCCAGCGCCCCTCAGGGAACCGTCTTCATCGCTGTTGGTGCCATTCTCGGCGCCTTTGGCCTCGGCATCCTGATTTGGCGCGGCATCGTCGCCTGCCTGCTGCACCGCTCAGTCGCCCGGGCCGCCAACGCTCAGCACCTTGCCAACGACAAGGCGAGCTTCCCCGCCCCTCCGGCTCAGTTCTACAAGTACACCGACCGCGAATCAACTCCTTCCCTAGTTCCCAATGCCGGACGTGGTGTGCGTAGAACGCAGCGCGGCCCCATCCCCTCGGCCACCCCGAGCCAGTCGAACCTCTTCTTTTCGCCAACTGCAGCCGGCGGTGGTAATAACAACAACTCGACCAACGCCCGCGACTCTCGCTTTCTGCCTTCTGGATTCTATGCCGCCGCCACGTCGTCTCCCAGCCCTGCTCACGGTCACTCAATAAGCTTGACGAACCTCCGTCCCGAATCCCGAGGCCAGTATGGTAGCCGCAACACGCTGAGGGAGTCTACGCCTCCCGACTCGCCTTCCTTTGGGGCCAGACGTGACTTGAGCACCAGCTCGGTCAACCTGTCTGCAGCCCCTGGGAATGGCCAAAGAGCACCGAGCGCCTACCTCGAGGACCTCCTGGACGAGAATCCCCACGCCTTCCCGCCAAGCTCGATGCGCCCCGGGTCTCGCAATGCCAACCACTCTCCTGGCAGTCGGTTCTAGAGCATGTTTTTCTCTTTGTTTCTCTGCATCTCTGCATCGAACAGTCTTCTTACGTCATGGAAAATTGGCAAAACGTCACGGCTTGGGGACTTTTGAATGGCACATTCACGGCGTCAGGGGTAATGATCACGTTGCATCACTGGTTTGGAATATTTCGTTTTAATTCTTCCCCCAACGCCCGAGGCCCTTACTTTCCCTTCCCCGGGGTCGGGCTTCAGCAAGTTTGAGATCAAAGGCAGTCGCACAAAAGAAAAGCCGGCCGCCCCAATCGGGTTGCCGCGCAAGGGCGGTGTCGTAGTCGTATTTCGTCCTGTGCTACGTACAGGCGCGTGACGGAGCATTAGACTGGGAGTCGGGGTGGTGATGGTCTGCCATTGGCATTTCTCTCTTCGCTTCTCTATCGCTCTCTAGTACATATTCTTCAATGAGCAAGATTGGTTCCACACTTTGTCTCCCGTGATGTAAATTGCGAGTGTTTTGCCGGCAACGTCCTTCCGGGACACTGTCGACATGGGCACACTTCATCCAAACCCCCGTCGTCACGACAACTGATGTTTCCGGACGACCAAAAACCTTGTCTGCGTCCAGAGGTTCTGCGCCGCCAGAGTTCCACTGTCACCGCTTGCCATCCGACTTGTACGGTCATCATCCCAATCAATTAGACTTTGGAGGGAGCGTGGCAGCGGGGACGGGAGGGAGGGGTTTGGAAAGCTTCCAGACTGCGCTCCGAAGGACCGAGCGAGCCGAGAAGGGAAAATCCAATCCCATCCCATCCCACAGCCCGCAGCTCCGGGTCTCGAGTTGTCCTCCTGCACATCTGGCCCGGACCCCATCCCTTATTCGGACGTCCCGCCCAGCCCTCACCTCACGATGCGGATGCCACCCTCTTCCCCCCCCCCTCTCTTCCACTCGTTGGCCGTTGGGGCACCTTGACATCCGTCCTTGTCTCGCCGCGCCACAAACCCCGTCAAACGAGCCCCCCGGGGGGTCTGTACTACGTCCCAAGGATCACGGGGTTAGAGGTGGTCCTTCGTTTCGACGAACAAGACGCTGTGGATCCTCGTCAAAATGTACGTCTTGTCTTGTCTTGCCCCCTCTCGGCGTCATGTCCGTACCCGAGACACGAGGAACATTGGGTCGTAGCCACGCGCGCCCTCAAGGAAACACCGTTGGTTCGAGAGGGCGCAGAAGGGGTGACACCGGCGGTATTCCCTTGGGGGCGCGTGGTAGCCCAAGGTGGCGGCGGCGGTACGGTGCAAGACGGGACTTCACACGTCGTAGGTCGTCGGATCTTCAGCGAAACGTCCTGTCTCCTTTATTTGTCGGGTTCCTATATCTAACATGCCTGGCTCATGCAAAAGAGCCGAGGGCCCGATGCAGGAAACTGTGGGCTAGGGTATGAATGTCTTGGTTTCCAAACGCCGGTATCCCATGATTACTTCATTTTCATTTTCATATTTTTATTGGCCCTCCTTTCTCACTCTTTTTTGATTAGATGTCCAACTGTCCTTGGTACCATCCCTTTACGTTAGCATCGCCTCACAGGCCGTCCTGGTTGGACTGGCCTCCCTCAACCTCCAACGTCGTGCCCTCGCTCGCGCCGCGGATGTCCTCAAGTCTGATGCCGCTGCGGTCGCACATGCTCCTAAAGATACCCCCCTCTCGCTGCCACAACGCAAGAGGCGTGTCCAGCTCCGCAATCCGGCCCGCATCCATGACGCAGATGCGATCGTAGCCGATGATGGTGCGCAGCCGATGGGCGATGCACAGCAGCGTCCTACCCTTGAAGCTCGTCGCGATGGTATTCTGGATCTTGTCGTCCGTCTCCATGTCGACCGAGGACGTGGCTTCGTCGCAAACAATGATGCGGCTGCCGCGAACAAGCGCGCGTGCCAGAGCCATGAGCTGTCGTTGTCCGAGGGAGAAGTTGAGACCGTCCTCCTCGACGGCCGAGTCAAGGTGGATGACGGACGACTCCTTGGACCTTGGGTCCTCCAGGTTGGCGTCCGCTGGGACGAGATCGGCCTGCCGCAAGGCAGACCACAGCTCCAAGTCGGTGTGCTCGCTGAACGGGTCAAGGTTGGACCGGACAGTACCCTTGAAGAGCGTAGGGTCCTGGGGAATGATGGCCAAGCGAGATCGCAGATCATGCAGACCGATCGTCGAGATGTCGACACCATCAATGGTGATATGACCTCCGGACAGCTCAACGAGTCGGAAGAGAGTGGACATGATGGATGACTTGCCTGCACCGGTTCGGCCCACGATACCGATACGCTCGCCTCCTCTCACATGCATGGACAGACCGGAAAGCACGAGGGGCAAGTTGGCGCGGTACCGCATCTCGACGTTGTCGAAGATGATCTCGCCCTTTTCCGGCCACGAAGGCCGGACCTCAATGGTGTGCAGAGGTGCCTCCTCTTCGAGCTGGGTGCCGTAGTACTGGATCCGCTCGACGGCGTTCATGCCGTTTTCGACTTCAGCAAGCTGGCGCACAGTGAACTGGATCATCTGCACAATACCGAGGATGTAACTGAGAACCAGGCCTCCAATGCTAGGCGACACGCTGAATCGCGAGGTCACCACGAGGATACCGGTGGTGAAGACCAACAGGTTGCCGATCAGGTCGAGACGCGTCGAAAGCCAGCGCTGGTTCGAGAACGTGAGGTAGTATGCGGCGTTCATCTCATCAATGGCTTTTCTCAGGTCGCCGATGAAATGATCCTTAAGCCCGTAGGCTCGGATGCTGGCGACACCGCTCAACCCTTCGCCGAACTTGGCGAACACGGTCGATCTGAGGACTGATTCGAATCGCTTGACCTCGCGCGCCGACGCGCGGTAGTAGGACGACGCGAGGATGAAGAAGACAAACAATGGTCCGAGGGCGATGGCGAAGTAGTGGAAGAATGCGATGATGAGAGCAAAGACGGACAGAATCATGGCCAACGTGAAGAAGTACATTCTCATGGCGTCAGTCAGGTTGTTGTCCATCACGTCGACATCTCTCGAGAATCGGTTTGTGATTCGGCCAAGGGGAGTGGTGTCGAAGAAGGACATTGGCGCGCGGAGGACTCTGGTCACCGCCTGCCGAAGCATGACCTTACTGGACTTGGTGCCCAAGATGGATAGCAGCAGCGAGAAGACGAACATGAGGACCGCCTGAAGAGCACCTAAACCGGCATAGATACCAATGTACTGCGCATCGGACAACGGGTAGCGCTTGCTTGTCCAGTACGAAAGCCAGAGACTGGTCATGATGTTTGCTCCCTGAGACAAAAGCAGGAGGAAGATCAGGAAGGGCGCGTTCAGAATCGATCCGGAAGCCCGGATATAGTCTCCGTATACCTTCCAGGGAACGCTCGCAATAGCACGCTCCTCTTGTTGCATGAGAGCCGCGCCCTTTTTGTTCTTCTTCTTGTCACCTTGGGGTGCCTCGGCCAGGTTGGTCGGGGCGGTCTCGTCCTTTTCTTCTTCTTGTGCAGTCGTTTCTAACAGGTGCTGGAAGCCGCGATGATCTCTCATCAGGTTGTCAAAGGTGTCAACAGCCTGGATCTTGCCTCCCTCCATCCAAATGATTCTGTCGCACCGGTTGAGGACCCAAAGTTGATGAGTCGCCAGTACTCTGCATTTGCCTTTCAGCAAGCCGAGGATGGCGTTATCGAAGATGTGGCGTCCGACATGAGCGTCAACAGCACTCAACGGGTCATCCATAAGCACGACGTCGGAGTCGAAGTAGATGGCTCTAGCGATGTTCAAGCGTTGCTTCTGACCACCAGAAATGGTGATACCGCGTTCGCCAATCTCAGTCAAGTCTCCGTTCGGCAGCATAGCAAGATCAGGCCGGAGGGCACAGCTGGATCTAGGTCAGTACAAGCCATGGTGGGGGCAGTTACAAGTGTGTCACTTACGCATTGATAACCTCTTGGTACCATGCCTTATCCATGTCCTTGCCGAAGAGAATGTTGTCGCGGACGGTGGCGTTCTGGATCCAGGCATACTGTGGGCAAAATGCCCGAGAAGCACCGAGAACAACCTCACCAGATGTTTTTCTCATGTCACCCGCCAGTGCAGCCAGTAATGAGGTCTTACCGCTACCGACCGTGCCGATGACGGCCACGAGCTCATCTCTCTTGATCTGGAAGTTGAGGTCCTGCAGCTTAAAGGGCTCCCGCTCCTCGTCAACAAGCGTGCTCGCTCCATCGCCAGTACTGTCTCCAGAAGAAGCCGACGGCTCATCAGACTTGGGGGCGGTCTTTGATGTCGCTGGGGGCTGAGCAGCACCCTTCTTGACCCCTTCCCAGTACCAGTCACAGGCTTTTCAGATTCCTGTGTTGCCGTCCGTTCCCAGGTGAAGCTAGCATTTGACATCTCCAAGGCATTCTCTCCGTCGGGCTTGAAAACCACATCCTCCTCCTGCTCCTCAGCCAACAAGAAGTCTTGGATGCGCTTCAGGGATGACCAAGCATCGACTACCTGACCGAGAACCAGAGGAAGCAAGTTGAGTGGGATTCGAAGGCCGTTGAACAATGCCAGGGACGAGAAGACTTGGGCTGGATTCAGCGCGTTGTTCGTCTTCGAGTACGTGACGAAAGACAGCATGGATGCGAAGATGGGCAGCGACAGACTGACGGCGTTGATGGCGTTTCGGATTGCCAGCAAGATCTGAATAGCGTGGATTTCGCGTCTTCGGATTTCTTTCAGGCGTTCGAGGAACGCGCTCTCCCAACCAAAGTACTTTACGAAGCGAACTGACTGTAGAATCTCTTGGGTCAAGCTCACCCGCTGATCCGTGACCTTGTTGATGGCTTTTCTCCGCTTGAACAAGCTCCTGATAGCCCTCGTCAGCAACGGGATTCCTGCGACCAAGAGAGCGAAACCGGCAAGAGCACTGTAGCTCAAGTTGATCAGCAATACGACGAGCGTGATGACACAAGATATCGGGGCAGTCCATGTCAAGTGGAACAGAGCAGAGGCCTGGTCGATACGGTACGTGTCGACGCTCATGAGGTTGACAATCCGACCGTTACCCCAGCCGGTTCCATCTCCCGAGATACCCGGGCCTTTGGAGGCTTCGCCTTTCTTCTTGTCTTTTTTCTTTCCCTTCTCATCCACTGGCGGGCCGTTGGCTGGCTCCTTGATGCCACCGGCCTTGGCACGGCCGGACAGAGACATGGCTTTTTCGAAGATGACGCTGATGAGGACGGCTCTCGACTGACCTCCAATCATCATGCCGCGGTAGATGAAATGGTTTGTACCCAAACTCTGGAAGATTTGCATAAAGGTGACACCAAGAACTAGGCCGATTCCCCTGCCAATAGCTGGAGGCGGCGTACCTTGTTGCGAAGCATCATATGCGTCGTTTGCGAACTGAATGAGGTAGCGCAGGGTGAAGGGGGACATGACCTGAAAGACGGTAGACATGAGCTGGAGCATGCCGCCGAGCCAGAACTCGAAACGGTAAGTCTCGTGCAATGCCCAGAGCAGAGGGTATTTGTCTCCTCTATCGACACGCTTCTTGAAGGCAGCCTTCAGTCTATCTGTCATGACATCTGCGGCTCTGTCTGGGTTGACAGCCCAGATATCGTTTGGCTCCAGCTGTCGCTTGTATCCAGCCTACAGTCATCACGTCAGTACGCTGACCTGTACGTTTGGCCCAGCCTGACACGGGGTCCAAGCCTCTCATGTTGGTACTGGACTGGGCAGCTTCACTTACACTCATCAGAGGGGCCATCCATTGAAAGGTCAGCAGGCTAAAGAATCCAGCCTTATACTCCCGAGACACGATCTTCTCTTCGGGCACGGGTGGGATGCCGCCCCATTTCAAGGGGTTTGGCGTCTTGTACCACGGCTTGCTCTCTGGTTGACGACGTGTCGCAGCAGTGGTGGCGACGCTGGTATCAGTGGCATGACTCTTGGTTGCCTTCAACTCGGGTCTGACCCTCTTCTCATCGGATTCGAAACCCTCATCCTTCTCATCTGCATGGTCGATGTCAATGGCGAATGTTGCGTCTTCCGGGTCCCTGGGAGTGATGGGCTCAACAGCGGCGGCCTGTGGGTCGGGCGCCGTGATGTTGGTTTTCTCGTCCTTGTCTGCCATTATCCGGCAAAAGACTCATGCGAGTCTGGTTTGGCTGGCGACTAGTCCCCTTGGCTATGAACAACTGCAAGGCTTGACTGGAGTCTCAAGTGGAACAGTTGGGCAAGCCCACTGTTGCTGCTGCTTGAGCGCCGAAGAGCTGATATAGCAAGCGAGGCAAGGTACACTACGTTTGCTGTGGTACCGGGGATATCAACTTATGTCCGTCACAGGGAAGAGTACAGGTTGGCGCAGAAAGCCCAGATGTGCGCCCCGGGCCCGCTTACAAACAGTCAAAGGGGACTGTTGACATGCGTCTTGGGTGGTGACGAATTCCGAAGCGAAAGGAACGGGGAAAGGGCGTGGGGTTGCGAAGAGTGGGAAAGGGAACCAAAAGATAAAGTCGAGGGGAGCAGAAAAGTCAGAGATATGGTCGGCTATCGTCTCGAAGAGGGAAGAGTACGTGTAATGACGAGGGTTGCCGACATATGGTTGTGGGCAGAATGGGGACGGGCTGCAGCAGATGAGCATGTAGAGAGTTTGTCTGGGCGGCTAAGGAGACGGACAGGATTTGATTCTTCGCCCTACTCTCCGGAAGGGATTGCAGCACGAGTACCAGTACCAAACCCGGACGATAGAGGTGGAGGCGGAGGGCGGCCATTATGACTAGGTACGGCTACTGATGCTACGCAGGACTAAGGACGGCCGCCCCTGCAACTCGAGAGAGTTGAGGGCCGCAGAGCGAGCTGCTGCTGGTAGGTTCGCGGACGTACAGGACGGGATTGGCCACGGTGGGCGGGAAAGGGGAGAAAACGAGAGCACAGGACGAAACGGGATAAGGATGGGGCCGGAGGAGACAGGGATGCTACGGTATGACTAGCACGAGGCAAGAAGGTGCCACACCCGGCAAGCGCAAGTCAACGTAAGAGTGCGTGCAAAGCAAAGTGCAAGTGCGAGTGCAAAGCACCGCGAGCCCGACGTGTTTTCGGTTTGGAACCGGCCAACCTTTTAGCCAATGTCATTGTACTAGGTATATTATGTAGTAGTGTACAAGCCTAGGTATATCTCTGAATGTACTTTGTACCACCGGACCATCGATGGCTCGGCAAACCAAGAGACAACGCCCAAGCTAAGGTAGCCAGTTAGCCCTCCTGCTGCTTCCAAACCGTTAAGCATAACCAGCAAAAAGCTGTGCAACTGGATTGCAACATCGGCATCCACTCTGCTAAGTCGCATCCACAACACCGTTTCTACTCCCCAAGAGATACACTAGAGAGTCGGAGAGAAAGAGAGAGAGAAAATGAGGTAAGCGCCACGCGAGTGACCTTTTCCTTGCCTCAACACTCAACATCCCGGACAGAATTCTCCTCCAAACGGAAGCCCACCGAGCACACAGCCAAGAAGAACGGCATCCTTTGCCTCGACCCGAACACGCGTCCCGCTGCGACGGTCGTGTTCCCCGACCATTTCGAGCCCTGAATAGTTATTCGCACACCGGCGCTGGCCGTGACATTCGCGCATTGGACTCGCTTGGAGTAATTAAAGCTACACTTTGAAACTACCTCCAGCTTCGACGACCATTCAACCAATGTTGGCCGCCTGCGATTGGCCCCTCAACTCAGCGCAATCCACACTCGATGTATTATTGATTCAACAGAGCCTCTTCACGCCAATACTCGCTGTCTCTTAGGACGATGTGGGAAGAAAACACAGTCGGCGCCTCTCTTTAAGATGAACCCTGCCCCCGCCCCATCTAAATAATTGTTTGTTATACGGACGGATTTCCGAATACCGTCCAAACACTGGGCAGGTTGGCAGGCAGCCGACGCACGACTCAAGACAGGCAATACGACAAGAAAATATGCCGATGACTCCTAGACATCTGTGGCGCGTTCCACAGGAGGATTCCGCAATCATCTTCACACCGCTGGCGATTGATGGAAGACTCGTCGTCGCTGGGCCCGCTGATGCTAGGTAGTGTAGGTATCCCAGGCATCAGGGACGAACCCTTCCAGAAGCCTTGTGGTGAAGGCGATCCAAGCTGGCCTGGAATGCCAGCGCCGGGGCCACCAGACACCTTGCCTGCCGCCTGCATTGGGCGCCCATCCCTGGAGCCAACCACCCTCGTGGAAAGATCGTTGGTGCACACACACCCGCTGTAGTCAAAGGACCCATGATTCATCAAACGACCCCGGAGGAGGCAAGAGGCAGAAGAAACTGCGAAAAAGTGTTCCGCCACTACAACCCAAAAACTGACCCTACCCACTAACATGAGAAGATGTTGGCCCGGACACGTAATACTGCTCGGTTTTATCAATCATCCCAGGTTGTCGTGTCACAGGAAAAGCGTGTTCCTTGGTACGCTGATGCTCTGGACGACCTGCGAATAAGCTACTCTTGGCAACTGCCGGACTCTGAGCTTCCCTCCCCTCGACCTGGCTGAAATCATGACTCCATTAGAAAATCATAGGGAAAAAAAAAGTCTGCCCCACACCACTTCGCAGGATCCCCATTCCTCCCCGTCATCTTAGCACAAAGTCACTTTCCTTGGCAGTTGTTGGCCGACAGCCGAAACGGCCCCGATGATACGAGGAGCTGCGGACTTAATCGGCAAGGACTTAAGCCCCAGGACGGCTCATGCCACCTCTGTCTGACCTCTCACGACGCCTTAGCAATCACCAAGCCCAGGGCAGCACGCCTAGAGACACAACAAGAACACGCGTACTTGCCAGTGCTGGTGGGCGGGGTTTACCGGGGTATGGCTGCTACACTACCCAGCAATCACAGGCACAAATACAACTGTATCGAAAGTAGACTTGATACCTCTTTACGGAACCCGAGTAGATCGTCCGTTTCTTGGGGGGAAAAATAGGAGGACCGACGAACCACGAAAGGGGACATCGGACTGAAATGTGAGCACCACCCGGCTGCCACTGGCTCCACCTCCTCGGAGCCGGCCCCGCCACGCCAGCCAAACCGAAGTCCCAACCCGACAAGCCAAGCCAAGGAGGAAAATGGGCAAGTGTTGGGCCAACTGGCCACTCGTGCTGCACAGGACTTGAGATGTAGCTGTGTCGCGTAACTGCAGAACTGCACAAGGGCAACGACACGTTGATTTGAATTCGGGCAACCTTGAGAATGTCGAGTCCTGCCGTAATTAGTCCTGTCTACGTTGGTCCTTGACTCATCCGAACCCAGTCATGCCGCCGGTTGGCGAGGAACTTTGGTCGAGTTGCTTACAAACATTCGGTCTTTGACCATCTGCGCCGGCAGCTTTCGCGTTCTGTTGCCGACTTGGACAAAGACGTCGGATCTTCCTGACCTACTCTGCGCGCGCGCGAGCCAAAGCTCCGTTGACGCACGCATCAGCAGGCGCGCGGGAGCCCACGTCGCAGCCACGTACCTTTGACACTAGGCAGTAGGGTCATGTTCACGTAGCCCGGGGCCAGTTGAGGCTGCAAACATTTGGCAAGCTGCCTAACCTGTATCGATACCTCGCGCCAAGCCTCGCACCGTTGGGTACCCTGATGTGATATTCCCCAGTGTCCATGAGTTGGTTTGCCATAAGTCAAATCCCCGATATCGTTGCTTGGCAGTAACCCTCGAGACAGTATGGTCTAGCAGTTGCCAAATGGCTCGTCGGGGTGTACATGACGGCAACTGGTCACGTCTAGATAGCCCAATTCCCCGAGCTGTGAAGTGACATTGGATCCCGACTGGCACTTTATTTGAGGAACACAAACCCATGCTAGAAGCTAGAGTTAAGTATCAACTCGAAAACTAAACTACTAGGCTGATGCGGCCGTGTTCAAGACGTGGCTGCCGGAACTCCCTTTGTAAATCCACACGAGTGGCTCCTCGCCTGTGTAGTACGTGACTGTGCAACCATGTGAAGACCGTCGATTCCAACCCTCATGGGGGGAAGGGAGAATACGCCAGGTTCACCACGGAGCAGACCTAAATACATCGTCGCAAGTTTGCAGAGACGGCGAGACCGCAGACCTGTCGTGTCTCAGACAAGATGTCCTCTCCTCCACCCCTACACCGCTCCAAGCACCGGAGAAGAAAGCGTCGCCCTTATGTTGTCGTCATCTCGCGAGCGTCCGTTCCTAGCTCGCCACAGTGGGTTTCTATTTCCAGTGATGGGGTTTCCTGGCATCATCACACACGACGATATGTACCCAAGGGATCACCATCATGCCGCCGGGAACACACACTCTCTCTCTCTGATACTGTCCAGCCCGTACGCAAGAGGGCCTTGCGTACACAGGGAAGGCTGCGCGTGTCTCCCCTGTCCGTCTCGTCGAGATCACCTCCTCCACCGTGCTTCCGCGTAGGAAACCGACGAAGGGGAGAGAAAAAGGGCGGGAGAATAATCGAACCTAGAAGCACCATATGGATAATGGGGCATGGATAGAGGACCATCTGCCACCGACATCACGCACCTCTCGGCCATCCCTCCGTTTGCTCGCTGGGACCGATATCACACCGCCCTCGACGAACACATATAAACGAACACCACACACCTCAAGAGAAACCGCGCCATGTATATAAATATCCATTGAACTCCCATGCCATGAACAACGGCATGATGTGTAATGAGCTAAAAACCACTAGGAAGAAAACAACAATTCCTACAAGGACGGGGAGAATATCAAGACGCTTCCTATAGAAACCCCTCCCCATCCCTAACGTCTCGGACGTCTGCACCGTCCCCCTTTCCATTTGCGAACCTTTCGCGCCCAATTTTGATGTTGTGTTGTTCGTGCTGCTAGTATACAACCCGTACGCCCACAAGTCTAGGAAAAGAAAAAAAAAGACTAAAGGAAAAAAGATGAAGACGAAAAACCGCTATACATGCCACCCTCCAGCAATGCATGAAGCAGGCATCGCCAGAAAGGAGGCGAGAGCCCACCCATTGGCGTATTGATTCCTGTTGGGGCGTTCATCCAGTCTTCCGCGAGAACTGGAAAAGACGACGAGAAACCCGGAACGCCCTCTAATCGTCTTCAGAGGCAGAATCTTCGGCGTCTTCGGCGGGAAGACCTAACAAAGACCTGTCCATGTCGTCCAGCTCTTCGTCATCGTCGGCGGCGGCCGTCTTGTCAGCGTCGTCGCCGTCGTCCATGGTAACGTCTCCCATCGTGATGTCGCCGAGAGTCTCGTCACCGTTGGCATCGCCGTTCGCCTGGGCCTGTGATCCCTCCCTCATCTCTGAGGCTCTCTGGGCGTCAATGTCCATGGTCATGTCGCCCGCATCGTCATTTCCATTTGTCTCGCCGTTGACCTTCTTCCTCTTCCTGGGAGGGATGACACCGAGAGGCGGACCCTCGTGGGCATCCCACCGTTTCAGACGCCGTGAAGTGCGTCTTAGAGCTGCGGCGTAGGCGTTCGCCTCTTCACCAAAGTCGTCGTTCTCGGATGCCAGGGGCGCGATACCCCCGATGCCTTTTTGTCTAAAGGGCCCAGCGTTCCCATCGTTGTTTGCCAGTTGCTGACGGGGATCGTCCTCTGGGTCGCTGTCCTCGAAAGGATTCTCCATTTGCTTGATACGCATGAACGCCCGGTAGAGAGTGCTTCCCTGCTGCCGCTTCTTCTTCGCCTTATGAAGTTCCTTGCGGTAGCCACGATCGAGGATGTACTCAACCCGTTGGTTTCTGTTTCTCTCTACCGCGATTTGGTGTGCTGTGGGGGGCCGAGGCTTTCTAGCAACGATGCCCTCGGCGGAGCCATGGGCAGCTGGAGAAGAAGCCTCGAAGATCTGGTACTTGAGGGGTGCACCCCCACGTCGCACCGAGCCCCCGAGCCCTCGTGCCAATGCTTTGGGCGGCGGTGTCGAACGAACACTATCTAGATCAGACTCGTGCTTCGACGGGCGGATGCGAGGCAAGATGGCTGGCCCATCCTCGGCCATTACACGCGATGTTCTCGAGCCGCGTTTCGTTTGGTTGTCAGCCAGATACGCCTGGTCTGCCTCCAGAATCTTGGCACGCATCTTCTGCTTCTCCTCACCGAATTTGATCTCCAGCTCCGTATCGACATTCTCTGCCGCCTCTTCCTCTGGCGTCATCTCGATGAGCTCCGGGACGCCTTGGTTGGCGACGTCCACGCCGTAGTCGACGCCTGGACCAAACGGGTTCTCGTCGCAACCCTCTTCCGTGAAATCGGACTCAAGGTAGAACCACATGATCCAAAGAAACGCCTTAGCACGGGACATGCTGGTGTAGTTGGTCTTCATGACCAAGTCGTGGAATTCTCGTCCGGGCGGGAAATGCAACTCGGCGATCTTTGCGGCCGATTGGCAAATGACGAAGAGCAGGTTCACAGGGTTCGTTCGAGGAACATCGCGGCCTTTGATCTTGTTTAGGCTGCCAGGCTCTTCGCGGTCCTCGGCACCGCCCTTGAGGATGGACTTTAATCTCGGAGCGTCCTGAAGCTGCTTGTAGGCATGCGCATCTTGATGCGCCTGAAGGGAGGGGATGGCGTGGTATGTTCGCAATTGGGCTCGCATCTCGGGGAAGACTGCAAAACTGTTAGCGGTTGGCAATCGATGGACTCGTAATGGAATGGGCCTCACAGTTCAGCGTTGTGTTCATTCTGCCGATGTTGACCAGCAGGCAGACCATGGCCATGCCCTTTGCCGCACTGCGATCGCTGAGAAGCTTGTCGCGAAGCACCTTGCTCGTCTTGCTGCTTCGCGACATGGTGTCGATGTAGAGATCGGCAAAGTTCTGGCGGGGTTTCTCGGGCTCATACGAGTTCGTGAAGACGGCTGTTTCGTCATCGAAGATGGCCTTGAGGAAATCGTATTGGATGTCCTTGCGCCAGAGAGGCTCGCCATCCTCCTTCTTTAGATGCCGAATCTTGCCAGTGATGTTGCTGGATGACTCTTTTGCTGCATTCTTGCCCTTCCCACGGCCTGACGTCTTCTCGCTTGGCTCGGGCGTGCCGTCTATCATTCGGGTATCGTCGTCTTCGGTCATGGCCTGCGAGAGGAAGGATTTGCCCTCATCGCCGCGCGCTGGAGACGTGGGCGCCTCTGCGTCCGACATTGCGCCGCCCGCAGTGGAACTAGGAGAAGCCGGCGACATTGCAGGATGGTGTGGGATTGATCAATCGGCAGGCGTCAATGATTCAAAGTAGATTCGGATGGTTTGCGGTCATTGGTCCAGCGTCGTCTACCTCGTCACACGAATGCGGAAGTAGGCGTGAATGTCGCGATTATGGAGCTGGGGGCTCTTCCAATTAAGGGATGAAGTGTTGTCGGAGGGAAATTGGGGCGCGGGTTGGGTGAATTGAAGGAAGTGGATGATGGATCGGACTTGGTTGTGACGTGCAGTGTCGGGTTGGACTTTGCCGACCGCCCCAGACCAGCCGCTGATGTCCAGATTCCGCTGCTGACTCTCAAAAAGCGAGGCACGGAGCGCGGCTCACGATTTGGGGGAGCGCGTCAGGCTGACACCAACCACAAATATAGTGCGCTTGCCGTCCACAAAGCCGGGATAAGAAGCTTCAGGACATTCCAATACAACACCATAGACTTAGGAAAGAAACAAATTTTCTATGTATGGTCAAGCAGTAATTAACTTCTCAAAGGCATCGTGTCAACCATGGTATGAGGTTCCAGAGCACTGACATTTAGTGTTCCTGGCTCGCACCTACAGCACCCTACCTTCGTTCCCTGTACTCTCTTCCTTGCCTTGCCTTACGTAATTGCCAGCCTGGCTTCTCCGGACCCAGCTCCCCAGCCCTCCGGCATGGAGGCTGTAGCTCCAGATGGTTGTGTTCAGCCGGTATGACCCGAAAACCATCACTTGTATTTCTGAATATTAATTCAAGATTGTTGTGCGAGAGATTGATGAAAAAAGCCGCAGACGATCTTGTGCTGACTCCTTCCGAATGGACCAGACACTACATCACACCTCTTACTCGTTTATCTATGAACCACATCAAGACAATCACGGTAACTTGTTGGTCGAGGCCACTTTTCAACCTCGACTACGAACTGCCTCGCATCTAAGCCCGCCTTGTATACTGCCATCTTACACATTCTATTGAGTTGTAACACACCGCACAACATCGCGTCGCGCGAGTCCTGTCACACGAAAACATTTATATCAGAATCTGTTTTTATTGGGACTTCTCAGTCCAGACTGGCTGTCTACTAGGGGATGGCCTTGCACGGCCGCCTCGCCCCGAACCTAAGACCGAAGTCTCTGATGCCTCCAGCCCCCGCAATTCCTTTCTATTGCAGGAGCTGAAGACCACGTCCATATGTGGCCATTACCGATTAAGAGCAAGAACTTTTGTAACCCCTCCCTGTTGAAATCCCAAATCTGTGCCTGGGAGGGCTTTTGGTTCCCGCTCTCAAAACGTCTCGTGATTAACCGTCCTGTCGACCGTCCATCCGAACCTTCCATTACCAGTCCAGTCTATGCTGCCGCCTTGTCCTCAATATCGCTGCCCTGCCCTGTTTGCCCCGGGGACAGACCTGCAGCGCGTCGATGATGACCAGACGACCGAGAAATCCACTTTTGTCTATTGTATGCACGGCGAGATGCATGACCCTTCTATCATCGAAAAGCGTCGAATATGCCCTTCGGGAAACGCTGGAAGAAAAGCAGAACATGATCTTCGTAATGCGTAGGCAGATCCAGGATCCGTGTCGTGTATCCGTAGATCCGGCCACGCTGCAGCACACCGCATGTGTGTTGTCATGCAGCTCTGCCGATTCTCAAAGCTTTTCCCAATGTCGGTCTAAGGGTATCATGGAGTTTCGGTCCAGCAAAATCAAAGAAATGCTCTCTATCGATGCCGATGCCTGTCCGAACACCCGATGATGCTTCTCGTTGAGAAATGAGAGGCACAACCGTCGGCTCTCGGGATCATGTCGCCGTGTCGAAGAAGTCGAAATGCAGAAAAAGCGTGATGATGAATGCGTACCATGTCGACCCATGCGCGCAAACCAAAAGAAAAATGACAAATCGAAAACTCGCAGCTTGTCGGAGAAACTGCATGGCGAAATTCTGTGAGACCTCCGTATATGTCACAGTCGCCAGACATCGTGGTGGATATGTGTTTACCACCAGGACGAGTTTCCGCCAGGGCCGCCGGGGTTGCCGTAGCCACCGCCGCCGTAGCCGCCACCACCACCACCGCCGCTGTAACCACCGGCGCCACCGCTGAAGCCACCAGCAGCAGGGGGGCCACCGAAGCCACCGCCGCCGCCAGCGCTGTAGCCGCCAGCACCACCACCGCCGCTGAAGCCACCGCCAGGAGCGCCTCCGAAGCCGCCGCCGCCGCCGCCGCCGCCGCCGCCGCCACCTCCGAACTTGCGGAAGTCACGGTTGGCACCCTGTCCACGGCCACCGCCGCGAGGACGGCCGCCACGACCGCCGCCGTAGGAAGACTCACGGGCAATGGTCTCCAAAAAGCTGGGAACCTCCTGGTTGGCCTCCTTAAGAAGCTCAAGAAGCTCGCGAACGACACCACGGTTACCCCGGTTGAAAAAGGCAGTGGAGTGACCGGTGTTTCCGGCACGACCAGTACGACCAATACGGTGGACGTAGTCGTCAATGTCGGTGGGCAGGTCGTAGTTGACGACATGGGTAACGTTGGGGATATCGAGACCACGAGCGGCAACAGCGGTGGCAACCAGAATGGGGCAGCGACCGTTGCGGAAGAACTCCAAAGCGCGCTCACGCTCACGCTGAGTGCGGTCACCGTGAATAGAGGTGGCGGGGAAGTTTTGGTTGATCAAGAAGTCGGACAGAGAGTCGGCCATGCGCTTGGTCTCGACGAAAATGAGGGTGAGACCGGCACCGTGGGTGTGGAGAATATCCAAGAGAACAGAGCGCTTGTCGACGTCCTCGACGTACTCGACCTTCTGGGTAATGTTCTCAGAGGTGGAACCAACACGACCAACGGACAGGAAAATGTAGTCCTTCAAGAAGTCGCGAGCGAGCATCTGGATGTCGCGGGGGAAGGTGGCGGAGAACATGAGAGTCTGGCGGTTCTGAACATTGGGCATGTCCTCGCCCTCGACGATACGGCGAATTTGGGGCTCGAAACCCATGTCAAGCATGCGGTCAGCCTCATCGAGCACAAGGTACTTGATGTTCTGGAGGGAGATGCGGCCACGCTCGATAAGATCGACAAGACGTCCGGGGGTGGCAACGAGCAAGTCGCAGCCGCGCTCGATCTGACGAAGCTGGGAGCCGATGTCGGCACCACCGTAGACGACACAAGGGCGGACCCAGGAGCGGTACGCGAACTTGCGGGACTCTTCGTAGATCTGGGAAACCAGCTCACGAGTGGGAGCCAGAATCAGAGATGTGGGGTAAGCCTTGCGCTGACGGCCGAAACCACCGGCGGCGTTGGGAGGGACCGTAGAAGGACCGTTGATGAAGGCCTGGGACAGAATGGGGAAAAGGAAACCACCAGTCTTTCCGGAACCAGTCTGAGCACAAGCCATAAGATCGCGACCGCCCATAACGATAGGGATCGAGTACTTCTGGACGGGGGTGGGAACCTTGTAGCGAGCCATCTCGATGTTGCCGATGAGGTGGTTGTCGAGAGGGGGGTTGGAGAAGGTGAGGACGGGCTCAGGGACGTCGTGTCCAGAAGCCTCGACGGGGATGTCGTCGTACTTCTCAAAGTTGATACCGGTCTGCTGCTTGGATGCGTCGTCGACACCAGTGCCGAAGAGCTCGCGCTCGACACGGGGGTTGGCAGGGCCGGGAATGTGCTTGCCGTCGCGCCACTGGCCGTCGCCGGAGCCACGAGCCTGCTGGCCACCACCACCACCAGCGTTACCGCTGTAGCCGCCGCTGTATCCACCGCCGCGGCCACCGCCTTCTTGCCAGCCACCACGACCACCACGGGGTGGAAGGACTGCTGCTGAGCCGGAGGAGGGCCGGGAGGACCTCCAGGGCCGCCAGGACCGCCCATGGCGGGCCAGTCACCGCCGGCAGGCGCACGGGCATCGAAATTCTGCTGGCCTCTGCTATAGAGATCGGTTAGCGTATTTGGTTCCCAGGTTGGAGATGAAGAGGTAGATGGGGAGCATGTTCCGCATCGAGGGGGTAAGACTGACCCAGCCCAGGCGCTGTTGTTGATACCACCGCCGCCGCCGTTGATTGCCGCCGCCGCCGCCGCCGCCGGCGCCGGAGGGGGAGGACCACCATTCATCTTACGCATGTGGGGAGGGATGTAGGAGCGGGGTTGGTTCTGCTGGTCCTGAATGTTCAGGCCAGACATGTTGAGTTGGTCAGCCATGATGGATGATTTGATCGTGACGAGTGTCGAAGAGGTTGGTTTGCTTCTTGTCGACAGTAGAGTATCTCGGATTGATCGTCGGGATTGTATCACTCTCGAAACGACTGAAAGGACAGCTGAGAGAGTAGATGGAAGTGAAGGGAAGCCGGTCCGCGATTGTTTTGTATTGGGAATAAAAACAAGCAAACCGAAGGATGGGAAAAGAGAAATGAAAAACCGAAAGTCGGGGGTGACTTCCAAAAGTTCGTCTCTCGGGGGGGATCGTCTATTAGGCAGGCGCGTTGTGCTGAAGACGCACGACGATTAGTTCAGAGCCTTGTATTTCCCAAGATGCTTCAAAGGAAAGACAAGAGAACAAGTGATGAAAAGTAATGCGTCGGTGAGAGGATGGGGTTGAAGGAAAAGAATCCCTTTTTTTTTTGTAAGGTGGGAAGAGTTTTGTGGGAGAGGGGAGGTGTGGGTGGGAGGGAAAAGGGATTTTGAAGATCGGAGGAGGCAAGAAGTAGGGGAGAAAAAAAAATTGGTTTGAGATTGTGTCGGAATCCACCAGAAAAGGCCAGACACCCCTGCAGTCTACGTTGGCACTGGTGCTGTCGCTGGTGCATGCAATGGCGCTGGCACTGGCACCGCACCACTAGACCGCACCTGCCTCCTCCAAGAAAAATTTGGGGGGCGCCTCCTCCCCCCTTCGCTTCCCTTGTTGTTGCCTTTCGCGCCTTCCTCACTCCCACGCCTGCCCGGGGCGAGGTGAGTCGAAGACGGGTTTGCCCCTGCGTCGACTGGACTGGCAACTCTGGACCCAGGAGGGACGCCCGCCCGCCGCCGCTCGGGCAGCCCTTCAGACGCGCAGGCTCCAGGCTCCCTCAGCCGCTACAGCCCGCCAAGGGGTGGATAAGCAAGGCACCGGATTGGCCACCCTGGAAGACGGTGTAGCATGTGCTTGTTTTCTACAGGGTGAACGAGCAGAGGATGATGACATGTGAGGTGACAGTCCACGCTAAACTCTCTCCGCAGCCGACAGCCGACCAAGTTTTTATTGTCTGTTGTACCAAAACTCTTTCTCCCCTCTGTCTCTCTACCTATACCTATTATTTGCCATCCCACTGGGCTGTATGGGACTGAAGGAACGGGAACAATCCGATGGCAGTTTCCTGATGGGGAACCGTAGGTGGAACGAGAAATCGAGAATGCGGTACGTACCTGCCCTGGCACCTAAGTGCCTTACCTCAGCTGAGGTGAACAAACGTCACGTTGATGTCGCTACGGCCCGCGCATGAACGGACCCTGAATCTTGCAAGGCGACGTGTTCCGACGCCCTCGCTGGCGCACTCCCACGCAAATGGTTTGGTACCTGATCCAGTTGCAACGGTGCGGTGCTAGCAGTGGAAAGAATCAATCTCAGCGACCCCATGGACAACCGAACCTGTGCAAACTTGAGCAATCCAATATTTGCAGAAGGCTGGCATTTCAAAAACCCGCCCTGGCTGGGCTGGCTGGGTATTTGGGGGGGACTATGGTGGCAGGGCCAGACTAGCGCACACGGGAAGGAAAACAAGAGATGAAGTTCGGGGTTACAGGGTGCCCCGCAATGAAGTCGATAAAATGGAGGCAGGTGGCCAAGTGGCGATAAACCCAATGACATCGGTTGCAAGTTGAGTAGCTAAGCCTCATTATGAGATGATGGCCATTTCACGGCGCCAACGGACACAGGCATGTCCCAAACCAAAAGGTCCGGGTAGGTAGGTTGAGGCAAGTTTCCTTTCATCGTCGAATCTCTGCTGCCGCGATAAGTTGCCGTTATAAGCTAGACGGGGACTTCTAGAAATACCTTACTGCGTAGGAAGGGCGCTGCCAAATGTTTTCCACTTCTACCTACCTACCTAGGTGATGAGAAGTGCACATTTGAAACCAAACACACCGTCAACTGGACGAGAACAGCAGGAACTCACTCCGCATTTCTTAGTTCACGTCCTATGGTCTCTTATTGATGTCCTGCGGCTTCCCGCTGTTCCTCCTTATCCCGAATATCTACGCTAAACAACCACCAGACAGACACCGTCATCCACATGCAGGATGAACCTGAATGGTCACCTCAACAATGTCGCAACCTATCAAAGCACCCCTAAACCTTCTGCCTAGGTAGGCCGTAAACGTCATTCCGTGGGGGCAAGAAAAGTTGTCAAGGCCCATCGGTTACCACTGAGTACCGAGACTCCTTGCGCAACACAGCGAAATCCGACGGCAGACCAAATGTTGCGCTTTTGGCTGCCGACAAGACACAAGACCACCAGAATTTCACTGGTCTGATGCATCGGAACCGCCGAGTCTCCGTTGGCACCCAATAAAGGAAAAAAAAAAAAAGAAATGTGTAAGAACTAGTCAGCTCTGACTTCCACAAGGGAAACGCACCATGGCGCGAGTCACGCGCCAATCCCAACCCAGACTTTTGGAATAGGCATGTACCCAGGTACATCACTTACGAGTGGTCCGGAACCACCATCCGCCATCTCTCCTTAGCTTTTCCAATCTCTCTTCAAAACACGCGAGAGATGGGACGAGGTGTTGGCTCTCTGAGAAAGGAAAAGCAACAAACGATTCGAAGGTTCCGAGGGAAACCAAAGGGGTTCCCTTCCATTGGGACGTGGCCCGGTACTTGTTTCAAACCCACGGCAACCCTGTGCTTGCGGTAAAACCGTGACCTGACCGCTTGCCTTTCCTTTCCCCCTCCTGTGACGGTAACGCACTTCAGACCCGACTCAGTTGCAACAAAACCGCCCGGCACGGCAGACTGACACAGCGAGCACCACACCGGTATCAAGCACGGTCGGGCCCGAGTTAAGGACAGCCTTGTGACCGCCGGAAACGAGGGGCTTGCCTCCAGGCCTTCTTGAGCAATGCCGTCTTCTCGTTCCGCATCCCAACGGACCCGTTCTGGATTACCTCAGCCATGTCGGCCTGTGGCTAGGGACACATTGGTGTTCACCATCAACACAGGACGGATATGGTAAAATCTCTCGCCAAAAAACAAGGATTCGTCGTGATAGAACTGATGCCTGTATCATTTACCAGCCCGGTCTAGTAGTACATTTTGCTGGCAAGGCCCCTTTCTCTGATGCTCCTTCGCACCCATCGTGGAAAGGCCCGGTCTCTCCTCTGTCATCCCACCACCGCAGGCCACCGCCTCAGGCAGCCTTTACAACCTTGTCGTCGTCGAACTCTATGTCCACAATACCGTCCTTGGTCACGGCCTTGACCGTCATGCCCTTGAAGTCGATCGGTAACCGTCTCTTCAGCTCGTCCGTGCACATGTTAAGAATCTTGATGCCCTGGCCGAGCGTGATGTCGGGGTGGTGGTGTTTATCGAGGATCGAAAGGCAGTAGTATCTAGAGTTTCCGTGTTAGCCGTCTCCGACTTTTCCTCCAAAAACCTGAGAGTTTTGGTAGCTCAGCAGCTTGAGAGCTTCAACGTACTGTGCGTAGCCGTGGGCGGCGTATGGCAGGGGCGCCAGCGACGCGAGGTAGTCCAGCCAGTACAGCGCGGGCTTCTGTGTGATGGGGTCGACGCCGCCGAGGAGCAAGTTGACGTTGTACGGCTTGCGCGACCGCAAGCTGGAGGCGAGCTCGCCGCGGATGAAGTTGGCAAGGCCCGAAGGGGAGAGGTCCGTCTCATTGCGCATCGAGTAAAGCTGGGAGTTTGCTTGGATGTAGTCGGCGAATTGGACTAGAAGTGGTCGAGCTGTGTTAGTATAGCTTCCACCATCGTGACGACACCGAGGAGGGGTGGCCTGCCCAGCGGGGTAGGGACATCACGGCAGTTACTGACCAGTATCGCCCGACTCGCCAGAGTATGCAATCAGTGTTTGCTTGTTCAGCGCTCTCGTCTTGTCATCGGCAGCCTTCAGGATCGTTGCGCCACGCATGGCAGCTTTGGAAGCTGCGATGATGGTAAAGTCCTTGCCCGTGATACCCAGTAGTACCTCCCTGCCAAACGCAATCCATATTAGCTCGCTGCCTCTTCTCCGAACAATTAATTGAGGAGGCTCATATCTCACATCTTGACTGTTGTTGCGGTGTCTGTTTCGTTGTTGAGGGGAGGTAGAGGTTCTGGTGATGTTCGTACGTCGTTAATGAGGGTCGGTCGTTCGTCAGCCTTCAACCTCCAAGGTCGGTCGAGCTACCCCCCGGAACGCGCAGTCAAGCTACAGCCTGAAGCGAACGGGCCGCCCTGCTCCAATTCTGCCCCAATAGACCGCCGCCGCCCGGAAAAACCACACCCCAGTCGTGCTGCTCTTGATTGGGTGCACCGACACCCCACCCTGACATCTGATTCTCCGAGATACGTACCCACCGAACTTTTTTTTTCCTGGGAAGCCCACCTCCAAAAAAAATATCGTCGATGTAGGCGGGCCAGGACGAAAAAAAGTTGCCCAGATACCCAGGCAAAGCAACCCCAGGAAGCTCTGCCCAAAATGTCGTCTTTCTTCACAGTCCCCGGCGCCAACAAGAAGCGGAAAAGGACAGACGCCCCCGCGGCCCCCAAGAAGCGAATTGCCGCCTCCAAGACCTCCAACAGAGCCCCTCCGAAATCGTCTGCGGCGGCCAAAGGCAGCAGCAAAGGCAAGAGACCAGCGGCACCGGCAGCACCCGCCTCCAAGAAGCGAAGTGAGCGCGACGACGACGACGAATCGATCTCGGGCAGCGATTCGGACGATGAGGGCATAGTCTCCGCCGCGGAGGAGAGCGACAATGGCTCGTCAGAGGACGACGGTGTCGCGGGCGAGACGGCCGCCGAGCGCCGCCTGCGGCTCGCGGAGCGGTACCTCGAGAACGTCAAGCAGCAAGTAGACGAGGTGGGCTTCGATGCCGCGGAAATCGACCGCGACCTGATCAACGAGCGGTTACAAGAGGACGTGGCCGAGTCCAAGGGAAAAGTCTACCGCACCCTCGTCGACGAGCTCGCCTTCGACCGTGCGACCTCGTCCTTCTTCCGCAATAACACCGAGACCTTCACCTCCGTCGCCGTCAACGCTCCCTACGCCTACACCACGACCAAGGACATGTACCTGCACAAGTGGAGGATACAGGACCTCCCCAACACCAGTTCCCGCAGACGACCAAGAAGAAACCCAAGAAGCCGCCTGCCCCGCCGCGCAAGAAGCCCGAGTTGGAGAACTGGCTGAGGGGCAACCTGCACAACGCAACAAAAAAGTCGTTCCAGCGCCACGTCGAGAAGATTTTGTGTGTTGCCGCATCGCCGGACGGGAAGTACGTCGTCACGGGCGGCGAGGACCGCAGACTCATCATCTACGACGCCGAGACCCTCAAGCCCATCCGCGTCTTCACCCACCACCGCGACGCCGTCACCGGCCTCGCCTTCCGCCGCGGCACGAACCAGCTCTACTCCTGCTCAAAGGACCGCACGGTTAAGGTCTGGAGCTTGGACGAGCTTGCCTACGTCGAGACCCTTTTTGGCCACCAAGACGAGATCGTCGACATCGACGCCCTTGCCCAGGAGCGCTGCGTCAGTGTAGGCGCGCGTGACCGGACAGCACGTCTGTGGAAGGTTGCCGAGGAGACACAGCTCGTCTTCCGCGGCGGCGCCGTTGACAAGAAGTCCCGTCCGGACGTTGACCCGCGCTCGCTTCCTCACGAGGGCAGTATGGACCGCGTTGCCATGATCGACGATGAGCTCTTCGTCACGGGCAGCGACAACGGCTCCCTCGCTCTCTGGAGCGTCACAAAAAAGAAGCCCCTCCACATCTATCCCATGGCCCATGGCCTGGAAGAAGCTCTTCGCCCGGACGAGGCGTCGGCGGACCACAACCCAGACCCGAGCGTCGTGCCGCCGCCGCAGCCGCGGTGGATCACGGCGCTCAAGACCATCCCCTACTCAGACGTCATCCTCAGTGGAAGCTGGGATGGTTGCATAAGAGTATGGCGTCTAAGCGAGGACAAGAGAAAGATTGAAGTGGCAGGTGTTCTCACATCAGAGGCCGAGCAGGCCTCGAAGGCCGCCAAGGGCAAGTCACAAGATGCCGCTGGCGGCTTGAAGGGGGTGATCAACGATATTGCCATCTTTGAACGCGGTGACCGCGGGCAAGACGGCGTTTGCGTCGTAGCGGCGGTGGGCAAGGAACATAGGCTAGGCAGGTGGCAGATGCGCAAGGGCAAGGGCAAGAACGGCGGGTATGTGTTCGAGGTGCCCAAGGTGTTGAAAAAGCCGGAAGTGAACGGCAACCATAATGATGCATCGATTTCGGAAAGCGAGTAAAAAAAGCATATAGATGTGTCCCCATCTTTTGAGAGAAAGAAAGAGAGGGACGTTGGGGAAAAGCACTTATAGAGGATCCTGTACCACAATGTACGAACTACGACATGAGCCTCTACTCTCCGTCAAGGCCACAAGGGAATTGCAGCCACTATTCGAGATAATGTCTTCATTTCTTCGTTGTCCTCAAAAAGCCGTGCTCTAAATCTATGGGTATGGAGTCTGGCCATGCTACAACAATGCTACTCGAACAACGCTACGCGCCAATCGATAGCAAAGACAATGAACGCTTTTGTTCTGCTGGTCTCTTCGACAGATCCAGCCTCCCTCGATTTCTTCCTTCCACTTCTATTCCTACCATTTCCCAACCGTACCGAACCTGGGTATCGTGATGCAAGTTGTTTTTTTCATTATTTGGTGAGATCCACTGTCTCGGAGGGTCCCTCAATGCTTGGTATCGCCTTCCCGTCATCCTTCATGGAGTGCCTTTTCTCTGCTTTTGGATCTGACGGCGGTGATGAACTAATTCCAGAGGGTACTTTCGCTGAGAAGTAATGGCTCGTCTTAGTAGGCCCATTCGTCATCGTTCGCGGTGATGGCTTTGGAGGCGCCTCGTCCTCGATCACGATGCTCTCCTGTTCCTTGACAACTTTCTCGCTATTTTGCGATGCTAAGTTGTGTTGTCCCATCGACTCGGATGAAGAACGCATTTCGCCAAGCAGTTGCTGGCTTGGAGAGATGCTCTTCTTGGAGCGGTCCGTGACTGGCTCATTCTTACGGCTAGACTTCGACGGCGAGGAAGACAGTCGGCACAAAAGGATCTCGCTGTTACTAAGTTTTCTTTTGGTACCTTTGGAAGCCAATTTCTTCTCGCTGGTAGGCTTGGCTGGCGAAGAAACAAGAGGCGACAACATCCTAGACACACCATCATCATTGGCAGGCTTGCCTTTGGTATGACGAGGACTCGTCCTCAGGCGAACTGGTGTTGAGGTGTCAGTGTGTGACTGCACAGGGACCGGCGTTCTTGGTCCTTCAGAACTCTGTTTCAGGGGTTCCAATAATCCGTTGTCCTCGCTCAATGCAGCAACGGCATTTGTCGATCTGACAACTTCAGTTTGCAGAAGAGGCTCCACGGCGTTGAGAGGTCCATCCCCTGTAGCAGGCTTAGCTCCTATGGGAGGCTCAGCCACCGGCATATGTGCGGCCGCGGTATTGTCATCATTCTTTGCAGGCGGGCTGCTGCGATTGTCCAGAGGCAGACGAGCAATCGCTGGGGATCCTTTGACGGTGGATGACGGGTTCTTTGGCGCGTCAAGCACCGGTTGGGAAGTCCTCGGCGTAGCCGACTCTGCTTCTTGTCGCTTCTCCGGCGACTTGCTGGTGGCGAGTGCTGGGACATTCGACTTTCGCTTGGCCTTCTTTTCTGCCGCTAGCGCGTTCTGTTCCTTGCGCTTTTCGATGATAATGTTACGGAGTTCGCTTCGCATCGCAGGAGACGTAATGTCCCAGCGTGGTGCCTCCTTACGAACCAGCTTAGCCACCACGCCGTCCGGGTCCTTAAGGAATTCTCGCATGTAACCGAGGAGAAAAGCACCACAGCTTGCATGGTCTTCCTGCTCAGGGATTCCTTTTGCCGTCATGCCAAAGGTGCCAGGTGGCTCGACTTCCAAATTCCTCTTGTCTTTCGCTTCTCGAACGAGATACGATTTGAGGTTGCCACAAGTAGGGGAATGCCCAACGCCCAACGAGTCGAGGGTAATAACCCTGGCTTCACTGGGATCCTGCTTTCGAGCTAGGTTTCCTGTGACCTTCCGAGACGGTCGCTGCTTATTCGACAACGTTCTGAGACCCGTTTCAGCCTTCTGTTCTTCCTCCTTCGGCTGCACTTCTTCTTGCTTGACCTCTTCTAGGCTCATTTGTTCGACTTGTTCGCCAACGGTGGAGACCAATCCCTCTCCTGCTGACAGCTCCTTGAGTCCTCCGTTGTTATTGTCCTCAGGGTCCTCTGTCGGCTCCACCTTCTCATCTTTGGGCTGCGCAGTTTTATGCAGGAGCTTAGCTGGGTTGCATATAATTGCCAGATACCAGTGGGCGCTCTCGTTGACTGGTACGACGATGTAGTCGAACGAGAATAAGTCAATCTTTGCCGTCCATGATTTGACACCGTCGTAGTTTATGCCCGACCCGCTTTTACATCAGTCAGCTTCGGGTAGAAGTAGGTGTTCATGATGTAAATCCGGTCAGCCAGAGACTTGTTCTCTCGTTCCAGGTTGACCTGGAGATAGCGCAAGTAGAACCCGATGAGATTGTCGTTCAGGTACTCGCCTTCTTCCAGACGCGAAATGTCATCACGATAGACTGACGCCCTGTTTTTTCCCGACGGCAGGAAAGATGAGGGGTTTTTCATCCCAGATCTTGACCCAGTCAGGATTCTGGTTGATCCAAGAGACAGGACTGGGGGATTTGCGCCGGTGTAAGCTGGGCGACGAGTTCAAGATTGGTCGGGAAGCCCCATCTTTCACCTGTCTAGAAGGCAATGCCCGAGTTCGCTGGGCATCGGTCTGATGATCCTTGGTATTGATGGGAGTGAAGAAAGAAGCTGTCGTGGGCGCAGGGTTTGTTGCTGACGCTGAGCCGTCCCCCTGCATATTGAGTCGTAACAGCTGGCGACCTGTTTGGGTCGGGGTAATCTGCTGCGCAGAAGCTGGCCTCGGCCGATTCCCTGACGTCGGGTTTACATTGGGCTTGACTTTGGTCGTCTCCTGATGCTCAAGATATTTGATGTCATCTGGCTTTGGCTTGTGGGTCTTATCCCAATCACTCGCTACCTGCTTCTGATTACTGAAGATCTTCTCAAGTTGATCGCTAATCTTTGTTAGCTGCGTGCGCATAGGAAACCCGAGTGCCTGTCAAACGTACCTATCTGCTGCGAAACAACTCATCTTATGTGTAGAGCAGTCTTTCAGCCTGTCTTCGACCCAAAGCCCCAGAGTCAAGGCGTCTCCGGGTTGAGCAAACTCCAATACCAATAGAGGAGCAACACCGCCCCCGATGATCTTGAAATTGCCGCATATGGAGTGTTGCTCGTGCTGTACTGTATTTTGGTGCAGTACCTCAGCTTCACCTCCAGCCATCTGTAGTCTGGACGACGTTCATTCGTACGATCGACGGCAATGAGGCTCTCGTGGTCATCGCCTACTCTCAACACGGGATGCTCTTCAGGATCCATAGTCGTGGCATCCAGCGCTTCTTTCCCGGAGACAGCGCGAACTATATTTAGTCTTGGCTGGTTGGCGTTCTGCGACTTTGAGAAGTCCACCTTGGTCATATCGCCACGCGAACGGGTGACGGATGGCTTCATTGGCTTTCTTGCATCTTCATCCAAAATGACATCTTTCGAGGAAGTATGACGTTCCCGTGATATTCTGTCTTGGCTACCAAGCTCATCGTCCGAAATATCCTCTGGTTGGCCCTTTACCGTGCCTACGCCAGGAGGTAGATGGAATGCTGTCCTTGGGTTGCCCTTGTGTTGATCCGGAGCCTGCTTCTTTCTCGGGGGGCCTTCCTCGTCTTTTGTAAGGTCATCTTCGCCATCCGAGAAATTCTCCTTGGGCGTTGTTGATTGAGCACATCTCAATGGGCGAACGCGGGGACGACGTTGGCGCTTGTTGCTAACATTTGCGCTATGTGCCCTCTCCACACTCCGATATTCAGGAACTTGTGCACTCGATGTCGGGTCATGGTTGGAGCGGTTACTAACGACTTCAGCATCCGCCGACTGTTGGGAGTCTGTCAAGTCCACCGTTTGTAAGGGTTTCGGAACGGGATCTGGTGTTGGAGAGGCTGAAGCCAAAGTAAAATGTCCCGAGGTGAATGCGGCAGAGCCTTTGGGCGCTTCATCCTTGGCCTGTGTCTTTTGCCGTTTGGCAGACCTTGGGGGCTCGACATGCGGCACAGAAGGCAGTCTCTTGTGGCGCGCATCCTTGCCTCTGTCGAAAGTGCTGAGCCCGCCAGTAAGACCGCCCGTAAGGATCGATCTGGTTCTGGTGCTTTGTTTCTATGCCAGTATTAGCTGAGGGTTTGCTTCTCTTGTGTGGTAGAGTCACCATTGGATCCGGGACGGGAACACCGTCTTTTGAGCTCCTGACAGAGTAGCCGTTAGCGAAACCCTCGCCCGCAGTATTCTTTTGGGTCGGATCGCACCCGTAGATCGGAAAGGAGTGAAGATCACTGTCCCTAAATCGCTCCCGCAGCTCCTCGGGCCTGTCGTCCATGCGTTAGTGCAAGTCTCGAGTCAGAGAAAGAGTCCCATGGGCACATACGTTCGGCCGTGTCTCTTCAAGGAAGCTCGTCGATGAGCAGAGACAGTCGCACCGTTCGTACCGGCCTTCTTGTCTCTCTCCTCGTTCTCGGGCGCTTCCGTTGCCGCATGCGCTGCCTCTCGCGGAGCTCCCTCCTCTTGACGTCTTGGGGGTCTTAGTCTTGCGGTGGCGTCCCTCGGTGTCGACGGTGGATTCGGACAGGGCGCAGACGGGTCGGAAGAAGACGAGGATACGCCCTTTTGTGGCGTTTCATCGCAGGGAGGGGTTGTGACTCTGGTAGGAGGAGGAGAGGAAAGAGAAGAAGAAGAAGGTGCGTCCGCAGGCGGTGTCGTCTCTCGCACCTGCTTCATTCACGAAAGTCGGTTAGTAGTGGGGTCCAGATGGGAAAGGCTGGCCCTGCAGCACGGGGTTTACGCTCGAATTTTTGGGGGTACCCTATGGCCGGGACGTTGGAGTGGAAGGACCAGGCCGTGGGCACGCTGGGAACGAGAAAAAAAGTTACAGTGGTACCCGCCAACACACGACGGGGCTACAGCGACTCATTGCAGGGGCATGTAGTGCGCGAGACGTGGACAAGCTCTGGTGGGGATCCACTCCATTAAAACCCAGCGCGCCGGAGCGCGACATCCGCTGGGAAGGATGGGCACTTGCTTGTTTGGAATGACAGCCGAAACTGCGCAGCTTGCATCATCCCGTCCGCTTAGGCCGAAAAGTGATGTCAACCAACAGAAAATGCAAGTGAAACGACTTACCTGAGTCTCTGCATCTGCCATCCCCATCGTGCCGGGGGGTTCTTCCTGAGCTGCCATCTTGAGCCGCTGCCAAGGAGATTGTCGTCAAGCACGATGTTCATGGGTTGAGTATGCTTCAGGCTGATAAGGAGATGGGATTATGGCTGCATTCAGATGTTTGCAGAGAGAATAGAAATCGGAGTAGGTTTATCACGGAGTAAGAGAAGTAAAAGGTGACGCATTAGTGAGCCGAGCGAGGTTGTCCTTGGGACGAACACTCTACATTCCTTTCCTTCCTGATATTCTCTTGGTTTCTGGATACAAATGGACTCGCGGCGAGCGGCATCCTAAAGGTTAAAGAGGGGAAGGAAGCTCTGTGAGGCAGACCGGAAGCCGGTGAATACAAGAGAAAGGAGCATGCAGGCTGGCGAACGATGACACAAGCAAGATGTCTTTTGCTTCCCTCTTCATAATCCTAACTACCCAGTCAAGTGGCCAAAGGAAAACGATCAACATTGTTGACAGCTGCGTTGACGGTAGGATCCAAATGATGACAAGAAAGTAATATTCTAAAGAGCTCTTCAGAAAGGACAGCAATGCCAAACTCCGAGCTGTCCATCGTCCCCGGGCAGGGATCCGCTGGGGAAGCCGTCCGCAGCCCCATAATTTGCACCACCGGCTCGGCTCTCGAGGTATCCTTAGCTGCTGATTTACAGTACGTATTTCCTCCAGGTCCCTAGAGCTGCAGCAGCTCACCCCAAGCTCGACCAATAGCGCTGAAGCCACATGTCCATCTTCGCAAGGCTGAAGCTTGCCCCCCCCCAAAACGTGGCCTCACACGTCGCATATCCATCCCATCACGAGCAAGCTTCGTGTCCCTCAGCTCCGTTTCTTTACGCAATCAAGCTGCTGAGAAGCTCTCAATCTCTCTCGACCAACACATAGTCCACCACAGGTGGCATATCGGTCGCCCAAAATGTACAACACAATAACCCGCGCCCAAAACACCTTTGGCTTCTTCACGACGGTAGCCTTCTTCGTCGCCGCCATCATCGCCCTCTCCGACCTCGTCACCCCGCGCGCCCCCTCCGTTGGCTCCCTCAAGACGACCAATGTCCAAGTCGTCAAGGGCCGCCCCATTACTACTCAAGCAAGAAGGAGGAATATGCCATAATCAAATTCTCTCTCGACGCCGACCTCTCGGACCTCTTCACCTGGAACACCAAGCAGGTCTTTGTCTATGTCACGGCCGAATGGCCCGACAACTCAAAGGCCGCCGCCGGCACGAACGCCACGAACCAGGCCGTCATCTGGGATCAGATCATTACGTCTCCCAGCGCCGACCACCTCGCCAACATCGGCCCCGCCGCCATGCGCAAGCTGAAGAAGAGCGCCGAGGGCAAGAGCATCGACCCTAATCGGTAAGACTTCTCGTAATCTCCACTGTCGTATAAAGAGACCCAAAGACTGACAACCTCGCAGTGGCAAGCTCCGCATCAAGAACCAGAAGCCCAAGTACCAGATCACGCACCCCTCGAGCAAGATCGCCGAGGCCGACAAGGTCGTTCTGAAGCTGCACTACAATGTCCAACCGTGGGTTGGCATCTTGACCTGGAACCAAAACCAGAACATTGGCAGTTGGAAGGCCCTTAAGGGCGGTGTCAGCAAGGCCTTCAAGCTTCCTGCTCTCAAAGTTAAGGAGAACAAGGACAAGAAGCCTTAACGTGAGTGAAGCATATAATTTCGGCGTAATTGAATATACATCTCGGGAAATTTTCACTTCGTTTCGCAAGTGATATAACGCGTCTGGAATATGGATGAGAGCATCTCAGTGCATGCATTATCTCCTAGTGCTATGTACGTCGAGTTGCCCCCGTTCGCACTAGAACAACATTTTCCATAGTTCAGGAAAATCGCTATGCGTTTCTTCATATCCCATGTTTGCCATAATTCTACTCTGTAACCCATCCGTTTTTTGGGAACCGAAGCCGTCTATCAGAAACCACATCGCTTCATCAAGGGGTATCTGCTGAACCAAAAGTAACCATAGGAAATAAAATCACGCGCCTTCCAAGGCTAGGCCGCGTCGGCGGAAGCTCCGTTCGTCACTCCGTTAGCCGCTCCGTTCGCACCACGGCCGCGGGGGCACCTCTACCCCGTCCTCCACGTCCTCCGCGGCCACGACCTCTGCCGCGAGCGTCAAGGTTGGCGGGAGGCGGAACGTTGCCGTACATCGGTTGTTGAGGTTGAGCCGGCATCTCATGAAGACCCGACTGACCGGGATGCTGAATCGGTCCACCACGACCACGTCCCCGGCCTCTAAAGTTGCCTCCACCACGCTGACCTTGTCCGTTGGCCTCGTGAGCCTCGTCCGTGCCGTTCTGGTGAGGGCGGTAGACAAGGGTGCTATGCAGCAGGTTGGGTCCACCTCCACGGCCGCGGCCACGGCTGGACTGACCCTGGCTGCCGTTCGCGGCACCGCGCCAGGTGCCTCTGAGCGGACCAGGAGCAGGCGCATCCTTGTACTGGGGGACACCCGTCGCCACCGTCGTAAGCGACCCCGGAGCCGGAGCTGGTTTGCGCTGCATGCCGGCCTTGGAGCCCGACACGACCTGCTTGTACGTGGTGTTGAGGACCGAGGAAGAAGCAACGGTCATGCCACGGAAAGGCGGGGCTCTTTCACCCAAAGTCGTGCCGCTCATGAAGGTGAGATCCCAGACGACATCCAAAAGAAGATTGGTCGCGGTACGACTAAGGCCAACCACTGTTCCCCGGCTTCCAAGAGGCACTTTGCCAGAAGAGGATAAGAAGCTGACACGGTCGCCAAGAGCAAACTTCTGGTTGCTGAGGAACAGCTCAGCATCGCTAGGCTTCATGATTGCCGATCGCGGGACGCCCTTCATATTTTTGACCTCTACATCGTGGGATTGGAGGAAGACTTGTGCACCGGCCTCAGCAAGTTTCATGACCACAACGGAGTCAAGCTGCTCGGCCTCCAAGGGAACTCTCTCGAACTTGCTGGTCTGAGCCGCCTTGAGCCAAGCTCCAATCTCCTTCACTCGCTGAGCGGCCACCTTAGGGTCTTTCCAAAGGTCGGTGTCGCTGACATCGCTTGCTTGGGGATTCTGCTGAATAGCGGCGAAGAAGTCAGGGAACGCGGCGATGTATCTGGCCAGAAGCTCGATAGCGGCATTGCTGAACTCCCAACCAGAGTCTGACTTTTGCGAGTAGCCAAGCACCTTTTGCTTCTTGGCATCAAACTTCAGGTTGAGACCCAAGTTGACTCGCAAGCCACCAACAGTGTTAACTTGGTAAGACGACAGGATCTTACTAAGAATCAATGGGTGGAGGTTGAGCATCTTAGCAACGGCGTAAGACGGCGTGTATCGGTTCTGACGCTTCATGTCCTGGATAATGGGCTTAGCGAAGTCGGGTTCTTTGTTCTTCAAGACGGAAACGCGGATGTTGGCCTTGTTGTTGGCATGACCGGTGACCTCCAGAGCTCGTCCGTAGTTGTACTCGCCCAAGAAGAAAGCTTGAGTGCCAACAGGATACTCTTCCTCGATGGGTACAGCAGCTTTCTCGATGAATCGCTCGTCCTCGTTGATGACTTCGTCGACGATGGTCTGAGAAGCGTATACGCTTCTCATGCTGGGATTCAGCGCGTACTCCTTAATCAGGGCACCCTCCTCGGTCTTGATTAAGCCCTTCAACATGTGAACATGGACCAGGGATTCTACGGAGCCAATAACGATTCCGAGCCGCTTTGAATGCCAGTTTTCGATGTAGGTAGACTCTTTGGAGAAGAAGTCAATATCTTTAGGACCATGATGCTTTTGGACAACCGAGCCATTTCCGTCAAGCTCGTAATCGAAGAGCTCATCAGTGACCTTGACGATCTTGGCTTCTTGGAGGAATGGATATCCGACAAAGCATCGCTTTCCAAGTTTCTGGGCAGCTGCTTGGGCCCTAGTTCTCATTTCTGCGTCGGTGAGGGTGACAATCATGCTGGGGTTCTTGCTGTCTGCCTGGAAGACATTGACACCAAAGTTCTCAACCAGCATCGCTGTGTAGGACAGAGTGTGCAGGGTCGGGAACCCCGCGAGTGCCTCGATATTGATCTTGACACCGTCAACAAGGCCATTGCGATAGGTGAGGCCATCGGTGTTGGGAAGCTCGAAGATATTCTCCACACAGTGGCAAGGACTGATGTCCGGGAAGACGCCTACAAGAGACGAGGGGTAAGTGATGGAGACCTCGGGGTTGTAAGTGAACTTGAGGGCGACTCCAAATCCATTCCGCTCCTTTTGGTCCTTGCTAAGGAGCTTGTTCTTGGGCTCCATTGCGCTAAGCAAGCGCTTCTCGTCAATAAAAGGAATTTTCACGACGGCTTCCCATTCCATTCTCTTCCCGTTCATGTCAAGCTCGAAGTCTCTAGGGTAGAAATCGTAGATGGGCGAATTGGGGTTCGTCATTAGATCCCAGTAGACGTCGGGGACAATGGACTTGCTTCGGTCAGGCAAGACACCCATAAGCTGTTCGAAGGGCCTGAAAGGCTGGCCCAGCTTGAAGTTGAGGTCGGCTCCAAGACCTTTGATGACGTCTGCAAGATGTGTTAGCGCATTCACATGTGCCGTCTTTAGTTGAACTTACCAGAGGTCAAAGGAGAGTAATGGTACTGGTAAAACCAAGGCCATGAGGCAATTCCGCGGTAGTAGTAGTACAAGACCCATTGAAGACCTTGCACATAGTTCTCGCAAAGCTTGGTGAGCTCAGTGTCGTATTGCTCGGGCTCCCACTCGGGGAACTTCTGCAAGTAGTACTTGGTCTTCCAACCCTGGTACTTCTGATCATAAAGTTCCTTGTATTGGCGCTGAGCGTCTTCACCGGTGACATCGACAACAGTGGCCTTGTCATAGTTGCGCATCACTCGGTAAAGTGCAAGAGTTCCCTCCTCTTCTTCGTCATTGACGGTCTCGGCGCCCTTCGGGAACGACAAAAGGAGATGGCGATGACCCTCATCATCCTCTTTGGTGCTCCACTCAATATGGAGAGTGTCGGCAAGATCTTGGACAAATTTGCGATCAGCAGCGTTGAGACTAGTACCGAGATCCAGAGGTTCGGATGAGGGTTTGTTGACATAGGGGCGAATCTGCTGCTTCCACAGATCTCTCTGGGACGAGGTCAGAACAAGGCCCTTGCCCTTAGGCTTTCTGTTGTCGGCGCCGTTGGATTCCAAGAGTTTCTTAGATTGGAACCATTTCTCGTCGCTGACGTCGCTCTCGAATTGGTTCGTCTCGTCCTTGGCGAGCTCGTTCAGAAGCCTCTGGAGACGGGGCAGATTGATGACACCGCCCTCGTTGATGTAGCCATCTCCCTGGGGGAGAACCGATTTGTAGATACGGAACATAGCAGCGAGAGCACCCTCGTTGATGTGGAGACGAGGAAGGTTGGGAAGGAAATCGTTTCCAACAAAGAAAGCCATCAGGATGAAGTCGTCGATGACTCGTTCCAAATCGAAGGGAAAGCTCAGCCGACCAGGCTCCTGGAGCTCCTGAAATTCTAGCTCCAAATACTCACGCACTATGCATAGATGCAGCAGGTAAAAGTTCTGATGCTCCAGCTCTTTGGTCTTGGCCTTGCTCGCACGGCCGAAGGTAACCTCCTCTCGAAGGAGGCAGAAGTGAGGGTCGTGACTGAGCAGACCCAACATAATAAGATCGGCATCAAGACCGTACAAGCAGTGGCGAACGTTGGGATCGTAGTCAGGCTGCGCCTTGGCGTTCCTGATGTACTCCATGATCTTGTGCTCACCCTCACCAGGGACCTCATGGCCAGACAAGACAATCTCGCAGCCTTGCCAGTCGGCGTCCTCGGAGACCTTCTTGTTAACAAAGTACTTGAGCTGCTGCGTCAACTTCGCCATGAACTCGGTACCGGGCGTGATGCAGTTGCTGTCGAACGGGGGTTCCTTCGGCATATCGACACCCTCGTTGATGGCCTTATCACGGGCCTTTTCGGCGTCGAGGGCAGTTCGGAAACGTCTAGCGCGCTGCTGATTCATCTTGGCTCTCGGTGCGACACCGTCAATGGCCATGAAGAAGAGCTGTTTCGGCTTGATCTTCCCAAACAAATGCTCAATGTAATTGAAGATGCGAATGAACATCTCCTCCTCGCTGAGTCGGAACGTCGTATCTTCGCCGGTATCTTTGTGCGTGCAATTATGAATGATACCATTCATGTCCAGCTACCCAGCATTGTTAGCTATTGTAGTCGAGGAGCGGAGGTATTGTGGTGGGGGGAGCCTACATAGAGACAGTCGAACTCGGGGATGCGGTTCTCGGCAATGAGCTGAGAAATGGCCGGGTAGCGCTCCGAGAGCCATCTGAAGAATTTGGGAACACTGCAGATGATGGGATTAGCAAAGGTGACCTTTGGCGACCAGGTGGGAGTGGAAGCCCGACGAACCCCATGATGTCGTGATGGTGGCGCGCTTGAGCTAAGCGCGACGAACGATGCTAAGTTAATGAAGTTGTGATGTGTAGTGATTAATCCAAAAGGACAAATGCGATTTGTCTCTCTCCGTCTCAGTGCGCTGCAAGCGACCTGTTGAGGGGTTTTTTTTTTCTCTCCAAACACGAAGGAAGTCCTGACGCAGGAGGTCCAAGTGAATCAGTCGCAAGCTAGTTGCGACGTGGGAAAAGAAAAGAAGAAATGAACAAGTGAAAGAATATTCAACAGCTGGCTATTCAAAATAACCAGACGTGTCTGCGATTCTGCCAGGTGAACAGGGAACTCGGCTGTCGAGCTGTGTGAGGGCGAGAGGTTGAGGTCGGAAAGGGTGGAAAGTTGGGTTGCGCAGGTGAAGCTGGACAGATGGACCTGACGCCGGATGCTGGTTGATATGGTCGCAATCGATATTGGATGATGCAGGAACTTCCGCCTCCAGCTTTCGGGCGGCGGCGGCGGGGCTAGGCGGGAGAATCCTGTGGCGCTAGTGGCTACAGAGGCTCAGTTATTGCTCAGAGCAGTGCTTCTGGGCCTGTCGGTATGACTCTACGGAGTCCCACAGGTGCTGGACCTCTTGCTGCGCTTTGTGGCTTCTGGCTTGGCCTGCGCCACACAATGTTCCCCGCCAGAACCAGGGGACTGAGGCTGGTGAGTGTGCGCCTCGACCACCAAAATGTGGGGTGATCTCGTCGGTTCTGCCCATTCCCGTTTCGGCCTGGCGTAGCAGGCGTCACCCAGCCTTCCTGGCCCTTACCTGCGCGGGCTAAATGCTGCAGCAGCTAAATTTCAATCTACGCGCTGCGCGTCGGCTTTCAGAACCTCCACCTCGCGTCCTCCACCGTCGTTTGCGCCAGCACGAAGAACTTTCCGACCATCCCCTTGCAAAGCAGCACACCGCTCTCTCGAACTCCCGACAGTTGACAGCAACTGCATCAGAAACTAGGCCTCAATTAGCTGTGAGATATTACACGATGGCGCCCGCCCAGGTTGTTGACGACGTCGACGGTAAGCTTCGTAAACGAGCTTCGAAGCGCATCGCAGACTAACCCTTTGCCAGTCGACATGGTCCAAGAGGAGGACGAGGACCAGGAGCAGCGCCTCATCAACGAGGGTAGGTTATCGAATCTCAAAAGCTCCTGCTATTCTCTTTGACTGACACAATGCTAGAGTACAAGACATGGAAGAAGAACAGCCCCTTTCTCTACGACATGATTCTCAGGTACGGCGGGCTGCCATCTTCTACCCTGCCGCGACTGACAAACCAATAGCACCGCCCTCGAATGGCCTACCCTCACCACCCAATGGTTCCCTGACGTCAAGGAGCCCGAAGACAAGAACTACCGCATTCACAGACTGCTCCTTGGAACTCACACCTCTGAGGGCCTTCCCAACCACGTGCAGATCGCCGAAGTCAAGATTCCCAAGTCTGTCGCCCCGAACCCCGACGACTACAATGAGGAGACGGGAGAGATTGGAGGTTATGGAAAGTCGTCAAACGGTCAGACGGCTGCCGTCGAATTCAGCATCGTGCAGAAGATCGACCATCCCGGCGAGATCAACAAGGCGCGCTACCAGCCTCAGAATCCCGACATCATCGCAACCCTCTGCGTTGACGGCAAGGTCCTCGTCTTCGACCGCACAAAGCACAGCTTGCAGCCCACTGGCAAGGTCAACGCACAGGTCGAGCTCATTGGCCATAAGCAGGAGGGATTTGGTCTGGCCTGGAACCCCCATGAAGAAGGTTGCCTCGCATCTGGTAGTGAAGATACCACGGTGTGCCTCTGGTTTGTCTTGCCTTCTTCCACTAACATGACCGAAATATTAATGGGGTTTCGACAGGGACCTCAAGACTCTTCAGAGCGGAAGCCACACGCTGAAGCCCGCCCGCAAGTACACACACCACACCCAGATCGTCAACGATGTCCAGTACCATCCGATTGCGAAGAGCTTCATCGGAACCGTCTCGGATGACTTGACCATGCAGATCATCGACGTGCGTCAACCCGAAACGAATCGTGCCGCCGTCACCGCCAAGCGTGGCCACATGGACGCCATCAACGCTCTGGCATTCAACCCCACGTCGGAAGTGCTCGTCGCAACAGCCTCTGCTGACAAGACCTTGGGTATTTGGGATCTCCGTAACGTCAAGGAGAAGGTCCACACCCTGGAGGGACACAACGACGCCGTCACCTCCCTCTCGTGGCACCCCCAGGAGGCCGGCATTCTTGGCAGCGGCTCCTACGACAGAAGAGTCATCTTTTGGGATCTCTCCCGCGTTGGAGAGGAGCAGATGCCGGACGACCAAGAAGACGGCCCCCCGGAATTGTATGTTCATGTTTGGCTCTGTTTACAAACCACCTGGTTACTAACAATGGACACAGGCTCTTCATGCACGGCGGGCACACCAACCACCTCGCAGACTTCAGCTGGAACCCCAACGAACCCTGGCTCGTCTGCAGCGCCGCGGAGGACAACCTCCTTCAGATCTGGAAGGTTGCCGACTCCATTGTCGGCAAGGACGACGGCGATCTGCCGCTCGATGAGATTGACCGATAGGCAAGGTGGAGTCTCTAGCATACTTAACAGAAAAACTCACTAGCTATTTTGGCCGATACCAGAAACTGAGGTGGAGAGGAGTTTGAAAATGGCGGCGGATGTGACCCGGAAGGTTGCGCTTTACTTTGTTTTCTTTTTGCTATTGGCGTCCATGGTCATTTGTGGAGATAACTTCGGATTCCCAACATACTGCCCTTTCAACGTTAAAGTCGTCTCACTGAATGCTTCTGGTCCCGAGTTGTCGAACTCTGTCGTATCTGCTATTTGTGTCTACAAGGTAGAAGTTCCGTCTCGACAGGTAGAGTTCACTGATGAATGGTCTTGCCCGAATCTTATGGGCTTGGACCTGGGCTGAGAGAAAAGGAAGGCAAGTCATAGAGAACTAATCAATCACCGACAGCAGTCTCTGTACATCGTCAAAAGCTTCCGCATATATTGTTGCTCGTTCTGGGCCGCCGTCAACGACATGGACTGTCCGCCTGGACAATCTTCCATGTTATGAGACTTCAGTATAGAGAAACGATCCCGGTACGGAGTCTTCAAGCAGTCGAGACCAGCAAGACGACACAAGTAGTAGGGCCGTGGCAAACAGAGAGCCCAGTCGTCGCACGTCTGGTCTTTTGAGACGCCCGGAACAACCCACGCCGACACCGCATTTCTAACATCATACAGCACGATGCAACTGTTTATTAGGGACTCCTCCCCAACATCAATCAAGCGAGCGAACAGAGGATTAGGCAGGCGATGAAAGGACACAGAATTCGCATTTCAAGATGAGGAAGATTATCAAGCCAAAGCCAGCCAGCCTGCCCTGGACCCTGTTTCACTCCCCGACTCCCACAACGCTGCCGCCCATCCAGCCGTATAGAAACCATATGTGTTTGTGTTGAGAGAGAAGAGAGAGAGAGAGGTAGGAGAGGGGGTTGTACATGCCAAGCCAATCTGGAAAAGGGGGGGATGAACAAGAACGGAGTTTTTTATGATGTTGAAAAATGATGAGACAAGAAGGCCAGATGGAATGAGGGAAAAGGGGGCAAGTGTCGATGAAAGCAGACACGACGATGAAATACGCGAGAGGGGAGAAAAAAACTAGAAATATTGAAAAACCAACACGTCTCTCACACACAATGAAGGCCAGGTATACCCGTTACACTCCCTTCGCTATGCACTCCCCTTTGGACCGCCCAAAATCCGACCGTACCGCAACCGCAACCGCAACGTCCAAACCAAAGGCGAGGTCGGCCGTAATCAACAATCCTTAACTAGCCAGCCCTTTTATACTGACGCTTGTCAGGGAGAAAGCAAATTCCAACAGCGGTGTCCGTCCGTTCCGGTAGTGTAACACTCTTTTTGTCTTTCCAGCCTTGCAAACTTTTTACCCGCATCCCTTGGTATACCGACAACCAACCCCCTTTCCAAGTGTGATCTTCCAAAACCTAGACACCCCTTCCGTTGAAAGCAAGCGTAAGTCCTGAAGGTAATTGCCAAAGGTCAATGCTCTATGTTCGTCTTGTTTTCGAAGTTCGTTCCGCAGAAATGAGGATGAGCTGAAAACGATCCAAGGAAGCCGATGCAGCCCGCTTAGATTCCCAAATTTCTAACCAGATCGTCATTTAAGCAGGAGACTTGCTGGGAGGCGCAGCCCCTCCGTTCTGGCGAGCATCGCCGCCGCTGACGGACAGACCACCGATGCCGCTGGAAAGGAACGCAAAAGGATCGTTCTCGTTTTGCGAGTAAAAGTTGTTCGAGGGGCCAGCGGACGCGGGTCCGTTGGAGGCCGACTGGAAGGCAGCCTCAGCGGCGCGGCTGTCAAAGGGTCCGGCGGAGTGAGATCCTGGGGCCGGTCCGAAGTGGGTGTTGAGGGAGGAGGGGTAAGGAGCAGCTCCGCCGCCACCGATGCCGGATGGGAGAGCGTAGGTGCTGGGCGGACCACCGAAGTGCTGGCCGCCGTAGCCGCCACCCGAGGCGAAGCCACCACCAGCCGAGGCGAAGGGGCCAGGCCCAGGGGTGCCGCTCATCGAGCCCTGGCTCATGCTGTAGTTGGAGGGAGGGTCCATGGGGGAAGGGTAGCCACCAGAGTCGGCGACGACGGCGGCACCAGCACGGCTGGCGCCGCATCGCAGACAGCAAACGTTCTTAGCAAAGTTGTGGTAACCGCAGACCTCATTGCCACACTTCCAATCTCCGGCGCGGAACGGAACTACGCCGCTTCCGCCCATGCGTCCACCACCGTGGCCCATGTGTCCGTGGTGGTGCTGAGGAGGAGGCATCATAGCCGGCGGGCCGTATCCGTAGCCGTAACCCATATCGCCGGTAGGGCCGGCGCTCACAGCCGGGAACGAGCAGCGGAAGCAAGCAGTTCGTCGCTGGAAGTTTGAGAAGCCGCACGAAGGGCAAGTCCAGTCGCCAGGGCGAGGGCGGTTCTTGCTGGGCGGGAACGGGGTGAGGATCTCGGCAGCGCGGTCAAGAACACGGCTGGAGGACGGAGACACTTCGATCGCCTTCTCGTTAAGGGCACGACCGTTCATGCACAGACTCTCAGCAGCCTATAATTTTGTTAGTTCTGAACTTGAAGGCTTTGATGCCGTAGAGCGCCGCTTCAAAGTGCGAATGACAGCCATTGGGGCAATTTTGGCGTCCGCAGAAAATCGATTGCAAAGCGCTCAAACGGAATTGTAAAAACTTACCTCCTCGTGGGAAGAGAAGACGGCGAAACCGCTGCCTGTGGGCTTGTGCTGCTCAGGGGTTCGCAGGGTCCAGAAAGCAATGGGACGACCGCCAAACTGAGTGAACCAGCTCTCGAGCTCGGATTGAGTAGTATCATGGGGCAGACCAGACATGTGGAGGACCTTGCTGCGCTCCGACAAGAAAGCACGCACATCGGCGCGGGCATCCATAGGGCGCGTCAAGACGTCGGGGTGCTCATGGGAGGGCTGCGACTTGCGAATCAGGCCTCTCAGAACACGGGCGAGGGTGACAGCCTCCTCCATGGCACGGCGAGGGGACGCGGGAGCCAGGGCCTGAAGGTGGAAAGGCAGGTTGTGCTTGATTGGAGCACTGGACTGGACCGGCTCCACCTCCAAGGCGGCACAGATATTGGAGAGCATCGAGGGCCCAAAGGGCAGCGATTCGGGGTGGTGCTGCTGCCACCGCTGGTACTCGGTTCTCAAGTCAAAAGTACGAGAGTGCTGGAGGTATGGAGGCAACACAACGGCCTTGTCTCGGGCCTCTCGGGGCAGCTGGACGCGGAGGTCCCAAGCATCGAGCGTGACGAAGACGAAATCGAGGTTTTGCGAGGTCAAGTGCTCGTTGGCAAACGTGTCGAATCGGTTGATGGCATCGCGGAAGGTTCCGGCGTTGCGCACATGCTCCCACGTCAGGGTCGTCAAGCTCGCTAAAAATCCCAAATGTTAGCCGGGAAATTTTCACACCGTCGTCACCGAACCCGGGGCAGGCATCGTATGGCGTGACGAGAAGACAATGAGGTCTCAAGCCTCGTGTGACGACTTACTGCACAGGGGTGTGATCGGAGTGTTGATGGGTTTGACGAGAACGCTCTCGCGGGTGATCTAGACACAGGCTCGGTCAGCTCTGGGTTCGGAAGATGACGAGGGATGGCCAGCATGGCTAGGGCAGGAGAGGCCCAACGTACCTCCTCAAGAGACTTTGCGTCAAGAAGAATCCAGCCAAGCTCGATGACCTCGGCGGAGTCCTTGGTGACGTAGACTCCATGCTCATCGCAGGTGGTTGCGACGTGGATCACGACATAGCGATCGATGTTGAGCTGGTTACCAGCTTGGGGACCAGACATTTTGGCAGCAGGATGGCGACGATACGACTGACGACGAAAGGCTGCACAATAAGAATAATGGCGGAAGCGATGCCTGGATGAAGACAAGTCGATGCTTCAGAAACCTGTTTTCTTTGCAACCGCAGACAAGAGGTTGCTGCAGCGTTACGACTCGAACAAACGACGGATGCTCGGGGGAGGGGACGGAAGTGGTTCCCGGTAAGCTTCAGGAGAGGTGCCGAGCAAAGTGAAGTGCACAGCAAAAAGACCGAAACGGAAGATGCGGCAACAAGCAGGCAAGGGGGAAAAGGAAACGAGGACGGAATTGACGGGCCCTCGTGTCGAAGTGCCTTTTGTCCTTGCAGCTCGGGAAGGGGAGAGAAGGAGGTAGGAGGATTTCGGTAGGGGCAAAGAGGAAGGAACCGAAAAGAGGGAAAGGTGATGGGAAGGTAGGAGGGAAGTCGACGCAGACCACAGGAGAAGAAAATTGGTGTTGGCGTGGGACTTGGGTAAGTGCTCCGTAAGAGAGAGAGAGAGAGAGAGAAAGAGACGTAGGTACCTAGCCTGCCCCGGTGCGTACCGCGCGACGAGAAGTACCTTCCTTGCTCTTGCTCTTGGGGGGGGCAGCGACTCGACTCCTAAAAAAAAAAAAAAAAAGACACCAAATGCTGCGAGGTACCTCCTACCGTTGCCTGACCTTCCTTCCAAACATTCACACAACGGATGCAAACATGCACACGTAGGCAAGAGCTGCCTCCCCTTAGCCATTTGGCCTGCCAGAACAAGTTTCTCGCCGTCTAGTATCAGGGCATCTGTTTAGTTCGAGCAATTGGCTCCCTGCATCGCCCCAAGCACGGCAAGGTCTACATGTGCAGTACCGCAAGGCAACCGGGAAGCTCAGAGCTAAGGTACATGACATACATAACTCGCCGGGTTTGCAATTTTGATACGACTTGTGGAGGCCCCCTGGCAGCACAGTAAGGCGACGTGGAGGCAAGTTGACCGGGTACTGCACAATGAGGTATTTGGCACCAACGGCCGTCGTAACGGCATCCTGCGACTTGAACAATTGCTTGCTACTCAACTGGTGCATCCATCCCGTTGTGTTGGGGGGCGAGCGAGGCAACCCAGCTCGATATAAGTTGACGCCAACGAACCAGAATTCGTTTGGCCTGGGGTCTCAGCTCTCAGCTCTCATCATCAACCAATCTCTCCCAAGTATCCGTGCTGCCTCGATTGCGGCAAACACAGTCAACTAGTGATTGAGGCGGATTGGGAGCTCTGGATGGTTGAGATAGGTCCCTGGGATAGGTCCCCGTCGCCCGCTCCAGCTCACATCAAAGCAGGAGGGTATGCTCGAGATTGACATTCGATAGGTTCCGAGTGACGAACACATGTAATCCGTGCTTGAGCACCTCTGCCGTGCCTCGTCTCATGGAAGCTATCCTATTTCCACAAGCCAATTACTTACCTCGGGAGCTGCTCGCATCGACACCGTCTTTGGTCCCTGAAGTCCACGTCTTGTCCTGTGGTACAGGGCCCGAGATACCGAAGCATGTTCGCTGGCGCCTACCTTAGTGCACTGGGGACGGCGTCAGTGCTGTGCCGGAGACTGCGGCCGTGCTTGTTGCATCCGAGGTGTCCTGGCTGCCGCTGCCATGTGTGCAACGAACCAAATGAACCACCCGCCGACGGTGGACGGCTGAGGAGGGAACCCAAGGCACCCTCCGTCCCACGCTAACACCATAGGGAAGCCACATCAGCGCGCCAAGAGCCTTTGGCGTGGTGTATTAGTCGCCTAGCCCCAACGTGGGAAAATGGGGTGGAAGTGAAATTCCGTCCATGCTAAAGAACGGAATATGCATCCCAAAAACCCACCCGTCATACCACTCGCCTCAGATTTGACTCTCGGAACAAAACACGCGCAACAGATGCCAGTTCTCGCACATGAGACAAGACATGCGGGTGTTACTCGAATAAAAAATCTAAACAAGAACGACCTGCCTCCCCGCGCATCTCGTCCTCACGAGCGCATCAGCTTTCGCCTCGGCAATGAACCATCCGTTAGCCCAGTGTCCATTGGCAGAAGACGAAGCATGCTACAGGCTGCAGCACCGGCAACAGACGACGACGGCAGAAATGACCAGCTCATTTGCACGGCAGGGCTCAAAACGCCCACTCTTACACCACGGCGCATCTTCAGGTTGCCCTCGGAAGGGAACCCTTGGACATGGCCACGCATTCTTGCATATCGGCTCCTTGCCGCCGTCGCCGGATGCTTGGGTCTCCCCTACTAACAGGGCCCTCTCCTCTTCATCTCCTCATCCTCCTCCTCCATCCAGCACGAACCGGTCCCTCACGTTCCTCCCATCAGTCTATTGTGTACGTAGAACAAAGCATTTTGGGGACTGCAACAACAAGCGGCACAGCGTGTCCCAGTCGTGTGTCGACCTCGATCATTTATCAGGGTGCCGCTGTGTGCGCCTCTGGCACACATTTGGACGCTGTGCAACGAATGAATGCATGTTTTGGGCCCTTCGCAGCGGCCTCGCATACGACTGCTGTTCAGCCTCCAGAATACCCATTTAGCAAGTCCTGATGTACGCAAGCACCGTGTCTACCAGTGCTGCGCCAACGATATGGATACTGGGACGGAAAGAGTTGTGTTCGCGTCGCCACTCCCGACATGCTGCCCCAAAGCCTGTTGGGAGACAGGGGGCGTCCTGTGCCGTGCCCTACCTTATTGCTCCAGTCTCCAGATGGCCTCCGTGCCTTCCACCTCACCTGAAGCTTCGCCCACACATATCATCGACCTCCACTCCCCGAATGGGTCGCCGCGACGGGTGGCCAAGTGGCCATTGGACAACTTGGTCTGTGAGGGACAGCTGGCAAACCGACGGATGAGTTGTGGGACAGAGATGAGGCACCCTCCCATGTTTGCGACCACCACGGCCGGCGGCCGCACCGCACACTGCGAATCGCGAACCGTACGCCGCCTAAAACGAATCCTTCGTCGTCGCGGTCCGACTACGTATCAGCGCATCGGTTTCGTTGCCTACCAATACGGTTGGGCCATCCGCACCACACTAGCCGTCAATGGATGGCATCTCCTTGTCTCCCACGTGGAACTCCCCAACTAACTTTCAAACACCAGCTTCTCCAACGGCTCTGGGTTGGTCGTGAATATCAGACACAAAGGGGCCCTCTTCTTCCGCTGATACATTGTCTCTCGGAGCATATCGACCATTCGCCAATGGGGGGAATCGGAGCAGAAAACAGTTTCCCAGGTCGCTGTTCCAGAGCAAACGTTAAAAGAGCTCCACATAACCAGACCTGGCTTGCCGACTTAGGCGAGGCGTCATCTCGCTCCTACTGTATTATCAGTCCATAATGATGTCTCGCCTCCTGCGGATACCCTGTCTGCTTCTGATCATCCCCCAAAACCGTTTTACAGGCGCCGGCGATAGTGCGGCCTTGGTACCGGCTCATTAGCACAGGATCGAAACTGCTCAGCGCGGAGAGAAATATACGCCCAGCAACGACCTCATAACAACCCTCAGTGCCAGTCCTTATCTGTTGCTTCGAGTACAATCTAACGCCTATCCACCTGTTTCCCAAGTCCTTGGGAAGCTGTCCCGGCTGATCTGGCCGCTTCTGCGTACTAGCAACTCGAGCTGGCTTCTACCCGGACACCCAAATGGGGCTAACCAGTAATCCAGGGGGGTCGCCACATGCCTCTTGGACGGGTCGTGCTATGGGCTAATCCGCGGGTTCAACGGCTCAGACTTTGGTCCAACACACTTCACAGGGCCCAGGCTTCGAGAAGGTCGGAAATGTCTTAGTTTGCACCATTTCCGGCCGCCAGCGTCTCTTGCAGGATGCGCCCTGGGGGCTAGCGAAATCTGTCGCATCAGTTATAATCTACAATAATTATTCCCATCCCCTTAAAGACAGCCTCTGTCCACCATCGTAAACCATCACGGCCGCATATCAGACACATTGGGTGGTTGAAAAGCACTCTCGTGTAACGCTTGCCAGCAGCATTAGATTTGGCTCAACATCAGAGATATGCTTAGGCCAGATACCAGCTAAGGCCTGTACACTCGGACAGCACTGGAAGCATTGCCGGCCATCGCTCACCATTTTTCGCAAGACATAACAAGGCTGGCTGCGGCGCCCCGGTTATTCCTTTTCTTTCGAATGCGGTAATCGCATCAATATCTTGGTAAGTGACAGGCTCAGTTGATACTCGGGCTTGGTCATCGACCTCATTTCCTTTGGGGCTGTGTTTCCTGGTCCCCAAGATCTAAACTCAAGGCCCTTGGTGCCCAACTCAGCACTCGGTTCGAATCGCTGCAACTTACACACATACCCATCGTCATCGACACGCTGCAACCGAGATGAACCTGATTTGACTGAATTGCCGGTACGAGGTGGCACAGCCACATATCTATGTTCATTTTCAGGAACCAGAGCCTCGTGTGCAAATGCTATTTTCATTAGCGCATGGTACTTGGAAGCTGACGGAAGAGCTACGCGTCCCGCCGTTTCAAGGGCTCCCTGTGAGGCAGTACCGCAACACTATTCCTTGTCTAGTTAACAATATACCGGCAGCTTTCTCAATGCAGTTCATCCATCACTGATGACTAGGCCAACAACAAGGTTGCTATGCCGTTTACAATCCGGTTCTCAGTTACTTGGGCACTTGATGTTCGCGAAGAAGGCTACCGGGCACTCCTGACCAGACAACGAACCTCTAACATTCAGAAGCCTTAACCTGGAGTTTTCTCAAAGATGAGTCGGCCATTAGTCGACGAGCTTTCCTGCTCAACATAGTAATCATCCTTGAACTACTAACTACCATACGGCACAACGGACAACGCTTGTCATCCTGGGCGCAAGATGGGATCTGAAGGTCCTCACGATCGAAGCAGTCTTGCAATGGTAATCTTCGGAAACATGGCAGTTGTTTGGCGTCGAGAAAATCATGCTGTCTAGTCGGTTTGAAGGCCACTGATGGTATGGATCAAATCAGCATTCAACAGGCTGCATACCGAACATTGAGAAGACCATCTTAGCAAACAGCTGAGTGTTTGGAGCAACATGGCTATTTTGGGAGCAACACCACTAGCCTATGGGATTGATTCCGAGCTCAGGAGTGGCAATCTACATGTCTCAGGCACAAGCAACGTCCATCGACAACAACCCGGAGCTTTTCCTGGTACACTGGCACAGCATTAAGTAGGCACGCGGCGCCTACTGGAAAGGGTTTGCGATGGTTACCACCCCCTTCGGCCACGATGTTAGCCGAGAGCTTTGGCCATGCCGAAGAACCTCCCACTCGCCATTCCAGTAGGCGTGCACTGAAGACTTTGAATGGGCAAAGGATCCGAAGGCAAAGCATGGGATATTTAGGTCGGAAGGGGATCGAGATACATCAGGCCAGGGACCGAGAGGTTCGGTTGCTTTCGAGGATGAAACGACACGTGCCGATTACGTCATTTGCTGGGAGCCCATTCCACGTCACGACAGAATTGGCCCCCGGGCATTGGCTGCTAAAGGTACGTAGGTCGAGGGAGGCGTCGGGCGCACACGCAATCTGTTACTCAGAGAGCAAGACACGCAGGCACAAGCACGGCAACTTTTGGCCGTTTGCCGTGCCGCCTTGCCAGGTCGAGTCTGACCCGGGCTGACGCATTTAAGCTTCTGCTCACCTCGGCAGCGACTGAATAATGTTCGGTTCCCTTTGCCTTCAAACAACAACAAACTCTTGATACCCTTGAACGCACTCGATCAAATCAGTACACTCGACGACTTCATCGCTTGACCGCCAAGCATTATCCTCGAAGAACATTTACTCGCACAGACAACATCAGACCATCAAAATGGGCGCCATCTCCGCAGTCTTTCTCATCCTCATCACCATCCTTGGTACGTCTCTCAATCCACCATGGTCGATTACCAAAGGGCAAATGCTAACATAGAGTCAGTCCCGCCCGTCGGTGTATACGCCGTCGCTGGCTGTGGAATGGGTAAGTTGTCGACGGCCACGTCTCGACCTCGGGCGCATGGGGCTAACTAGCTACGCAGATCTCCTCGTCAACATCTGCTTGACGATCTTGGGATACATTCCCGGCCACATCCACGCCTTCTATCTCGAATACGTGTACTACGATCGCAAGGAACAGGCACGGGAGGGCCGCATCATCACTGGTCGCGCGCCAGGTGTTTACAGCGACAACGTGCAGAGCGGTGGCCACGGTTACGGAACTATTGCCCAGGGCACGGCGTAGATGGAGAGACTAGAGAATCGTTGGCCGGGTTTGGGAAGGACGTTGACTGCGGAAGTAATGCGATGCAGTCCAGGTACGAGAATACGATAGGGCAGAAAGGCTGATTTGGAGAATGACCAGGGCATGGCCGTGTGTTGTGCTAGCAACAAGCGACGGCCTGGATGTATGATGGTAAACAAGAGTAATAAACACAGATATCACGTCAGAAACCTAGCCAACAGCGTGAGCGTGCCTGGCCCGCGTGCAGATGAGGGCGCCGGATCGGACTGCCAGCGCATCCGACCTTGTCTCTCGTCGCTAGTCCTTGCTACGTTGCGAGGGTCGACATGCCTGGCTTCACGTGAAAAGGACAACAGACCATAGTGTTGAGGGATGCAGTCGAGGTCGAAACGAGCAGGTTGCGTCTTGGCCCTTTATTGAAGGTGGTGGGACAGCCACTTCGACAGGGCTGGGCGGCCGGTGCCATGCGTGCGGCCATTATTGATCCAGTTCAACCTAGGCTGGATGGAAGGTTGCCGTTGTCGGATCCACACGGGCGGGAAGAGGCACGATGGGATAACGACGTCTTCGGTCAACGATAAGAACATCATACGGCACTCACCACTCATCACTTATTATTCAGAACAGTCATGAATATCTGCGTGTCTGAAGAACCCTAACTTCCCTCCCCCCTCAAAAGCCTTCGGAGCGGGACGGCTTCCATCTCCAGCAGACTCAACACAGCTCAGCTCGACAACCATGGCCTGGTCTACACTTCGAATACCAATAGGTTGGCTGGCGCCCGTCGCCAACAGAGGCGTTAGTGACTGGTCACTTTTGGCTGTGGCCCGGGCGCAGACTGGCAGCTGGGAGGCCAGGAGAACAGCCCAGTGAGAGGGTGGCAGGTCGCCCGAGGACGTGAGGGGACGGAAGGAGAGCGAACGGTGGGGACAGTGCGGCCGTCTCACATTGTCGTCGGTCGACACGGTAGGGGCCGCTATCATTGGACGAGACTCGACGGCAGTGACAGGGGTCCGGCGTTGGACCACCCTTTGAACGGCAGCCACGACACTCGTGCAGCACGCACCTGCTCGTTCGCTGGTGCCGCGTTGCTCTAGCCTGCAATAGGTAGTCGACAGTCGAGCTCCTAGTGCCCTCACCACCTGTGCTTCTGCCTCCTAGTCCAGTCTAATCTGCATGTAGCCTCTTCCTCCTACCTCCTGCCGCCTCCCCCCCGCCTATTGCTACTACCGGATGCAACTTCACCCTAGACATTCCCCGATTTCCTTTTTTCCCCCTTCTCCTCTTTTCCTTCTCTTATCGAATTCCCTCTCTTACCTACCAAGAGAAATCCGCAATTGCTGCGGGGAACCAGGACACAACCGTTTCTACGCACTTCGAGGCGATCCGGATTGTTTCCTCGAGAGATCCACAAGCACTCACTCACACCTAACACCTCCCATACACTACACTCAGTCGCCCAGTCTTCCTGCGTGTCTCAACGTCTCTCATCTCCACCTCCGGACCGCGCCCATCGCGGAAGTGGAAGGCCATCAGATCCAGAACGGACGATACAAACATTTGCTAAAAACTACTTGCATATCCTCCCCGGTCAGGAACGGCACTCGACACAGTCCCTTTGCACACGCGAGAACCGGCACAGCTACGCTAACCATGCCTCCGCACTCGCTGATCTGACCTTTTTTTTTATTCCATCCCGCCGCACGACACACGAACGCCGAACTGCCCTTTTTGACTGTTAACCCTGGCGGCTCGTGCTGCCCTCTCATTGTACATATATATAGCCCGTTCCACGAGCGGCAATCTCCAGTGGACATGGATTCGCGGGAGGTCCCTTCTCAGGACCAGTCCGGTTCATCTCAACTCCACCACCCTCCCTCAATCACTCGCGCCGGAGGTGCTGCCGGTGCTACTCAATTCCCTTCTTCACTCGCGTCCAAAAGAACGACGCGGGACTCGATGACCTTTTCGTTCCCCCCGCTCTTCCAGCCCAACACGTCCTCGACATCACTTGTCCCTTCGACAGCCGAGGGAAAGCCTATACCTCTCGACGACAGCACCGCAGCGCATCGTACATCTGCCCTGCGGGAGCTCAACAGCAATTATCCTTCCCGTCACCGCTATGCCAAGTCAACTGGTGCCCAGAGCAGCACGTACTCTCAGCCTGTCATTGTCAGGACGTACTCTGGATCCCACAGTCGGCCCACGAGCACAAACCGCAGTAACGGTGTCAGCGGGGGCGGTCTTGGCTCCCGGACAGCTTCATCCGTTGTGAGCGGTCCCGCGGCATCCGTACGGCGTATCATAGCTCTTCGGACCCCATTCAGCGGGAACAAGTCGACTCAGCATGGCGGTCTGAGTATGGCGAGAGGCATGGCGAAGAAACGGCTGGAAGGCCAGGATGCCCTGGCCAAGCTCCCACCCGTCGAAGCTTACAGCTTCAAGAGCATGATGGCCAACATTGAGGCGCAGGAGGGAGAGAACAATATCAACGCCGACCTCGATCGTATTGCTGAGATATGTGCCCGATCACGATACTCGTTGAGCAACCAGTATGAGGTTCATGTTGCTCCTCACGGGTCCGGCGCGTCTTTCGTTAGCCACGCCTCATCATCCAGGCGCCAGCGCCAGAATGCCGGCCCGACACTGGAGGCCGTAGTGTCGGACGATGAGCGCAGACACAAGAAGAGGCGGAGCGGCGGTAGGAGAAGAAGCATAGCAATGGGGACGCTTGAAACCATCATGTCTTCAAGTCGGTCTTCCGAGGAAGACAAGTCGAAGAAGAAATCGGCCGCAGAGATCACGGCTGAGGTACGGGGCAGAACCGCAAGGAAGACTTCGGGTAGCACATCGCCGACTTCATCGGCCAGCGAAGGCGAGGGGCCGTTGAGCAAAAGTCAGCAGGACCAGCCCCCACCGCTTGTGAGGCGGAAGTCATCGTCGTTTGCCACAGCCATGCTAGAGAGCACACGCCAGGGCTTGGCCACCAATACTGCCTCACCGCGAAGCTCAGCAACAGGCCTGGTCAGCGAGCCGGCCTTGCCAAAAACCTCGACGAGCCATCTTGAAGTCCGAACAGACGTTGAGGAGAACGTGGCCCATCGCCATGCACCCAAGGGTTCGGACGAAAGGCCCCGAGCCGCTGTTCATGAGCCCCAACACTGCGAGACTTCGGCTCAGGTTGATCAGATGAAGATGCCGACAGGGCTTCTCGCTGGTCTAACCGGTTGGGTGCCGTGGAGATTGCCACCTATTGTGGGACTTGGCTCGGCGTCTGCTCAGGGCGGCGTTTCGAGGAGCCATGCCGAGGGCAGCCTGCGGGAATTGCTCAAGACGACTGATTTCAAGAGCAAAGGGAAGGCCGTTGAGGGCCAGTCTTGAGGCAGCAGGAAGATGACCTAGGTCACAAGATTGGCAACAAAAAGGCACTTACGCCATGGTTGACACGCGCACCTAGATGATGCCATTTTGACTTGATTGCTGCAACCGCCGATGGTGACAAAAGGACGGTACCAAAAAAGAAAAAGTCGGTTTTTCGATACCCTATATAAAGCGGAAGGCTATACACAAAACCAAACATGAGACACCAGAACAAAACGGGGAGATCCGTCTCAGCACCTGTAAGCAGTATAACTCACGACCTAACGAATGATTTTTCACGACCAGTTATGATACACAGAAAATGAGAGGGCGTGTCATGGGATGGACAACGGGAAGGGGTGGGAAACCGGCAGGTGTTTTCGAACTGAAATTTTATACATGGCGTTCAATTCTTGTGCAATTCCTCATGTCGTTGTCGGTGTTTGTTTATGCATGCTTGCCACGCTTGAGATGAAGCTTGATCCCGCAGCCACTTCTCCTCGATTCCACTCCTCTTCACGGCTGTGAACCTGAAGGGGATAGAACGCATCAGCACGAGTGGAACCCCTCCCACTGGCCTGCCAAGCCTTACCTCTACGCCTGAAAGGACGCTCCCTGGGAACCCCGGCCCTAACGACGCCCAAGGCGTAGCGTTATGGACCAGCGATCTGAGGCAGTCTGGCGAGCTTCGGCAATGGGAGACGCTGCCGGTCGTAGTGCCTCGTGAGGTTGCCAACTTCTGAGCCCCCCATGGGCACCGAGCGCCGCGAGGCCGTCCCCTGTCCTCAATCCTATACAAACGGTTGGAAGCGACTCCCGGCATCGAATCGGCCAACGGTGGCGGCCGACGGATGGATCGCCTGCAGCAAAACATCACGATAACATAGCGGAGAGGCACCGAAAACTCAACAGACCAAATCGTGTCTTTGTCAACTTGTGGTATATTCCTCACATCCCCCCCGCCCCATTCAACGTCTATACCGCACCATCATGACATCAACACCAGGCGCAATGGTGGCCCAGCTAATACGGCAACCCTCCCCACGACGGATGATTGAAGGCGACCTACATACTCATTGCCACCGGTACCTCTTTTTACTTCAATCCCCTCTCTCCGTCGTTCTTTCTTCCTTTCACACTCTCTCTCTCGTTTGGTTGCGAAAATTCAAATGTCTCCCAAAGATGCCAAGCTCGCAGTTCCTGAGCTTGGCCAGTAAAAAGATGCCCCGGTTCTCGTCCAGCCCGTTACCCCCCTTTGATAAGTTCCCCAACGCCATGCCAACGCAAACAATGCAAGTGTATGTCTGAAAAAAGAAGGGTCGATGCTTGTTCCGGTCCGCCCACAACAGCAAACCTGACGCAGAACCACGTCAAATGCGATGTCCTCGGGACCAGTCAGCGTCGGCGGGTCCTCTAGGCCCTCGAACGCTCTGCGGGAGCTGCCGGCTTCCCCTCGACGTGAACTCTCTTAGCGTCACCCCGGTCGTCGTGGGCTTCGGGTTCCCTCTTGCGGTCTCTGGGTCTGCTGTCCTTGGCCGACGCGGCTGCGCGCCGTGCTTCTTTCTCCTTGCGCTCGTTCTCGCGTCGTAGCGCCTTAGACTCGAATTCGTGCCAGTCGCCATCTAAATCGGCAAGCCTGTGCAATCAGTTAGTTAACGCTTCCATGAAGGGCTGCGGGGAGGGAGAGACTCACTCTACAGCCTGTCGTGGAGGAGGGTCCTCGGTGGTGAAGTATTCGTCTGCGAGGACCTCTGCAGCCGATGGCCGTTTGGCAGGGTCGTAGCGGAACATGGCGGCCAAGAGTCGGAAAGCGGCGGCTGGAATCTTGTCCTGGTATTTGGAGGGGAAGGTGTTCGCCCGTCGGTACCCAGGTCGCAAAAGCTCGAACCACGGCATGTCGACCAGCCCCGGCCATTCCGCCTTGTTCGGGGTGCCCATCACAGCATAGATCTTGTCCAGTTGGTTGATCTCGCTACCATCGCCTGGAAAGATGGCATGGCGGGTAAAGATCTCCACCATGACGCAGGCGGCACTCCAGACATCGCAAGCTGGTCCGTATTGGGTCTCTCCAAGTAGCAGCTCCGGCGACCGATACCAAATCGTGATGACTCGGTTGGTGTAGTCCAGCTGATGCCTCTTTGCATAGAAGCGTGCCAGGCCGAAGTCCGCCAGTTTGAGAATACCGTCGCTGCTGACCAGGATGTTGGCGGCCTTGATGTCTCGGTGGAGGACACCCCTCTTGTGCAGGTAGTCGAGGCCGTCGAAGAGCTGCATTGCCATGTGTTTCCTTTGGGCCGCGTCCAGAGTGAAAGAGGGATGGTTCAGAATACCCGTCAGATCGTGAGACAAGTATTCGAAAACCATGAAGCAGTCGTTCCTCTCGACCATGACCTCTTGAAGCTGGACGATATTGGTGTGTCGAAGCGACTGAAGCAGCTTGATCTCTCGAACCGCCGTAACGGGAAATCCGTCCCTTTCACCTTCCATGCGAATGCGCTTGAGGGCCACTAGTCCCTTCGTGTAGACGTGTAAGGCTTTGAAGACCTTGCCGTAGGTGCCGGATCCAACCACAGATTCATTGCCAGGCTTGCGGAAATAAACCGACTCTGACTTGATCAGGTCGTCGGGCAGCTTTGGTCCTGGCTTTAGGCGCTTCATGGTCTTCTTGATCTTTCGCATCCTGGGAGCAGACGGCTGTCGCGGTCCTGGAGGAGGATGCCGGGGTTCCTGGCGAGCTCTGGCGGAAGCAGGCTCGGTAGGAGCACTCCGAAGAATATCTCTGTCAATTTCCTTCTCCCTCTCCCGAGCCTTGTCTCTCGCCCTATCCCGGTCGCGGTCGCGGTCACGATCACGTTCCCGGTCTCTGTCTCGATCCCGCTCTCGTTCCCGTTCCCGTTCCCGATCGCGGTCACGATCCCCATCCTTGGTGTCACGTTGTTGCGAAGCATCTCGCTTTGCAGGAGCGGCGTTGAACTTCTGAGAGATCTCAGGCTTAGGTGCCGTCGGAGTGGGCTTTGCAGATGCCTTAAACGCAAAGCTGAACTTCGACGACGACGACGAAGCCGACTGAGCGGCCGGACCGGCCGGAGGCACCCTGTTTGAACGCGAGGCATTGCTCTCACTGGCCTTGTCGGACGTCGTTGTGTCCTCGACCTGTAAATCCTTGGACGGGCGGAACGGATTGGCGCCCTCGTCGACGTTATCGCCAACGTCGGATTTGTTGCTCTGAGCGGGAGTGGACGATTGCTGAGACTTCACATCCTCCTGCTGTCGCGAACCGGCATTGGAACTGTTGGAGGTCCACTGGGCAGCGCTCTTGAAGCTGTTGCCTCTATAGGCGCCTCGGCCCTGGCCGAACTGGTTTCCTCGAAACGCACCGCCACCACGGTAGTGGCCGCGGAAGTTTCCTTGAGGATATTGTTGCATTGGTCCGGTGGGGGCGGACGGCGGTGGTGAGTATGAGGGGTTTGGTGTGTAGGCGCCTGACGGGCCTGTTGGAGGGCCGTAGTTGGATTGTGGATACTGAGGGGGGTATTGGCTAGATAATGGTAAGCAAGAGTGCGATGATAGATTGATGGGGTGGCGGGCGACGAACTGTGTTGGAGAGAATTGCTGAGAGCCCCAATTTCCCCTACTGGCGGCGTACGGCGACTGGTTCGGGGATGCGTCGTATGAATTTGGAGTCGGTTGCGGGGATTGGGAAAATTGACGGGGGTCGCTGTACTGCTGGCTATGAGAAAACGGAGGTGGTATCTGAGAGGCGAAGCTCCCTCGATGATTTCCTCTGCCGCTCATGCTGACCTCTACACTGTTGGCGCCGGACGAAGGCTGAGACTTGGAAGGGACTCGGGAGTCGTCGCCCTGTGGAACCCGTCTGCCTGATCCCCTGCTGAGGGATCGGGAAGAGGCACGGGACCGAGGCGGCTGTTGACGCAACCGGTCTCTTGAGCTGCGACGCGGTGATGCCAGATGACGATCACCTCTCACAGATGCTGAAGACTGTCTGATGGGTGACCTTTGTCGATGGGGAAGAGGAGATCGTCCTCGTCTTCTGCCAGGCGACGGCTCGCGGCGGTGAGTGGGGGAATAATCACGACGGTCTCGCCTCCTGTCTCTGTCAGGTGAGCGAGATCTGCTTCGATGACTTCGACGAGTCCTTTCCTTGGGTTTCGACCGGTATTCGCGGCGATCGGGAGTGTGTGATCTCCGGGACGGGTGAGGAGAACCTCGTGAACTTCGGCCAACGTCTCCAGGAGGTGCTGGCTCCTTGTGATCACGACGCGTGCTGATATCCCGTCTGACCTTCTTTCCGTCTGCGCCAACCCTATCGAGACTTCGGCTTCTCGCTCGCTTCGAGGATGGTGATGTAGGGCCGTCGCCTCGAGTCGGTCCTCGACTGCGGTCTCGCTGGTGCTTGGCTCGAGCGTCGCGCCGCAAGTCGCCAACGCCTCTGCCGCGGGATCGATCACGAGAGTCCTCTCTGTACTTGTCGCGACGGGCAGGCGACGGTGATGGTCGACGGAGGCGGTCTCTGCTCCGGTCGCGTGGTCTGTGGTGGTTTCGGCCAGAAGGCTGTAACTTATCGGGGGGAGGGTCGCGCGGTTTGCTATCCAGCAATCTGTCGGCTTCCCGAGGTCGACGGGTGGGAGGCGACGGAGATCTGCGGGAGAGTGTCACTTCTCGACCAGCTCTACCTCGGTCTCTGCGCTCATCGCCTGGTCTGCGGTCGTCTCTCATGGCGACATGTCGAGGGCGGTTGTGGTGGTAGGACTCCATCGCTACAGCCGATTCGATTTGAGTTTTTAGGTGCAAGCACGTTGCCAGCCGAGGTTTTGCCGATAACGCGACGATTCAGCCTGGTAAGCGCGATATGCAGTTGTCGAGGCGTCGAATCTGGGTGCAAGGCGACCCACGCAAAACAATCGACGGGTAAGAAAAAAGAAACCGGAAGAGTTTGCGGGTGCAAAGCATCGCTCTTGAGGGTAGAACAACCCAAAGAATGGACAATTCCGTTGGGTCGTCGTGAGTTTCCGAGGAATCAGTGGTAGGCGTGTTGCACATAGAGGCTGATGCGGCACGCCAAACCACCAAGACCACCGAATCAGCTGGGCCGATGGATCAGGTCGAGGCCCCCCGCCGAAGTGGTGCACTTGCAGAACCACACCAAAATGTCCTCCTCTGTCTCTTTCCCGCAGCAGTCGGCTCGTCTGCTGCAGCCGAACCCCAACCAACCTAAAGTCAGATCCTTTCCAAGCTAGGAGTCGCAGCATTAGGCCGCGACAACCTGGCAAACTATCTGTCCTCCTCTCTGCGCCATTGCTCATGCATGAGGGCACAAGACCAGGGCAACAAGGTCACTATGTACGATTTACGTGCCGGCAACCGCCAGTTCCATATCGGTGCCTGCCAAACCCACGCTTGACGCGTGACTTTCAGAGAGCCTGCGTCTTGGGTACCTGGGCTCAGGCTGTAGAGTCATATGCCCAGAAATACAGGCCGACCGGAATGGTCATCAACGGCAGTACGCCAAAGTCTTAATGGCGGTACCGAGCGAAGCGTTGAAGCCTCGGTGACAACCAACGACCTACTCCCAGTACTGCAGATGCCGCATGTAATGACCGTGTTGACAGTTTTGGCGATGGGTCTCGAGTCGCTTCCTCATCATACAGAGCGCGCCTGCTCACCAAGAAGCCCTGTGGCCGGCCAAAATTCCGGCATAAATACCACATGAAAGCCTTCCTTCAGCAACATCTCTCTGAGCAGGCAAAAAACCAGCACCATACGTATCGGTAAGGCTCGATTCAACGACATATTCCGCCGGTATGGTGTGTCCAGTCATTCCTTGGCTTGCTTGTGCAGTCGAAGAGCATCCGAAATGGCTACGATGTAGCATGTCGTCGACGACTGAACATCGGTATCGTTTCGGGCAGGTCTTTGCTTAGGGCGGCAGTGGACCACCATCATCGTTGGCAACGTGGCTTCGCGAAAGTAGCAGGAATGCAGCAGCGATACAGTAGCAACTGCCTCCGTAGATGGCTGGAAGCCGCCTCATCCATCCCGATCATGTGCTGCGACAAGGAATCGCTTTTTGCGAGCGCCAGACACCGCCAATTCCGCCAGTGAAATCCCCCAGCAACCCGGTGGTGCATAACCTTTCCTTTGCCAGAATGGCCGCCGAGAATAAATTCAAGTCATGGTTCGCATGTTCCTGTAGTCTGACTTACACGGCCGCGCGCCGTTGCAAGGTCGTTGAGGTTGGTTAGTTGTTGGTGATTCAGGTTGCATGTGGTTGATAAACCGTCGTGGGTCGAAAGGGAAAACCTTGACCGAAAAGAGCGCGCATGAATCACGTGACGGCTGTTCTTCGGCATCAACTGGATCCGTGTTGACACTGTCCTCAACACGGTGCATGGAAGCTGTGGTATTGCGCTGCGAATCTGGCAGGGAACGGTTTGGGCAATGTCACGAGACTCAGCTCGGCTTGTAGGATATGCCAGTTTGCGGTGTTGATACGAATGCATTGTAACGTTCTCCTCGTTTTTTCCATCGAATCTTCGCTTACATTGCTTTACCTGCCGCAGGCCCAATAACTCCGAGTGAAGGTTGTCGTGAGTTCGTTTACCTAGCCACCCAACTAGCCGCGGCGCATCGTGCAGGCATAGCTTGAATAGTAGCCTAGGAAACACACACATGCAATGGTTGACACTGGAAAAGGCATGGCCAAAAGTTTCCAAAGGCGAGATCTCACCTCGCCATAGCCAACCCTTTCCTTGCGCGAACTTCTAGAACTTACGAAGGTGGTTGACTATGGGATAGCCTAGACCAACTAGTAAGGGCCTTAAGTCCCAGATTGGGCTGCAAGGTTTGGCTTCAAATTCCAGTCTTCTGCTCATTTCCTACCTGCGGCTCAATGGGGTCACGGAATGTGGCCCCGGGTAAGTTCCCCGGAAGCCGGGGCCATCGGAGGATCATTGTGTCTATGGCAGTTGAAGCCTTGGAGCGTTGCCAATGACAACCAGGAATGCTGAAATAGTCACATTATACATTCGGGAATCACTGTCTCCAACCTGTCGCGGTCTCAAACAGCTCTCCCACTCCAAAGGTAGAACAAGTCAAGATTTCGGTCCGAGTTCTCCCGGTGTAAAGGTGGCTGAAGCTGAGTTCTGAACATTTGTTGTCCCACCAACGCTCGTCGACTTCCCTCCCTTGACATAGAAAGGACTTTGAATCCTTGAACAGCGTGTGTCCGGTAAGACAACAGAAATCGCAAGAGACGGGGGTCAGCGAAAAGTTGCTACGATAAAGACAAGTCAAATGGCATGACTATAAGCATTGCGTTTGGGTTTCCCGGGTTGCGTTCTGGGAGTTACTATGGCGTGGCATGGGATGCGAGAATGGAGAAGCCCAAGGCTTCACAATCTCAACCCTTCAACTGACACCAGTGTGACACTTTGCCACACTTGATGGAGACCTGATAGGTGGATAGGTCTCCGGAACACCATTGGAAGATGGTTATCCAGACTCTACATAGATCTAGATCTGGGTGCAATGTCTGGCTGGTTCAGCGGGCAGAAAATACCATGTGAGAAATCGGACCGACAGGCTGACCCCAGAGACTGGGTCTGGAGAAGTTAGGCAGCGCCTCCAGCGCAGCGCGTCAATAGAGTCCAGTGACCAATGATTCCAACGACAAGAGGTGGGGAAGCATGTGGAGGTTATCCGTCGGGGCTGGGGTCGGTCTTTTTTCTTCTTCTTCTTTCATTTGCGCACAAACACTCTAAATGAGGCCAGGGAGGTTTCTGCTGACATCGTCTGATGCTGCCAAACCTTCTTCGACATGTCAAACTCGGTCGGCCGGTGCCTACGGTGATGGCTAGATCCCGTGGAAAGACTGGAATGCCACTACCCTGCGTCCAGACAACAAGTGGCTGGGAAGATCAACATGTTCAGTGATGTAACGGATCGTCGGCTGACGGGTGCACCCGGACGCATTCGTAGACACTTACATGACTTTGTCCTTGGAAAACGAGGCTCAGAGGCAAGTTTGCGAAAGCCTTGCTGTGGCGGCTGCGGTCGTTGAATGCGTCTGTCTCAGATGGGCAATGCCTGTATGACACTTGAAATTCTGATCGAGAGTGTGGCATATCTCAAGAGAGAGATTCTCCCTATAACTGAGACGAGTCAAATCGAGACGCTGCAAATTTTCAAGTATGCGAGCATTAGGAAAATGAAGACAAAAAACAAAAGAAAAAAGCCCGAGAGAGCGCTCGCTGTCGAAGATGGTTGAACCGAGGCAGGAGAAGGACATCTGCAGCTAATGCGAATTGTGTGCACTGATTGGGTGCTCCAGGGACTCGCGCTCCTTTTTTCCGCCTTCTCTTTCGTCACTGCGAAGAGAGGCGTTGGAAAGTGGCAGATTGGCAGAGTCCGGGGAGTGTCAACCCCGCAAAGATTGTCGTCATTCTGACTAAGCCCCGTCGGAGAAAGCTCTCAATGGGTCTCCACTTCTATCAAAATTGCACGAGGCCTGGCGCTGCCAGGCCACCATTCCAGAGGTAGCCACCCCCCATGCATGTACGGCAAAGGTACTTCTGCTGGCCTTTGCTGCTCTCCATTCTCGATCCAAGTCGCGAATCCGATACAGGAGGCGGGCACTGATACTCGCCCCTCAGGGTTCTGCGCAATGCTGCTTCTGGGCGCTCGAGGGATCGAACAAGACCGGGATGAAAATGTCTTCACTTCCTATAATAGCAACGGGATAATGCGCGTTCAAACTCGGGTTTCTTAGGATGCAGGAAGCGTAGCATTCGGGAGGGAAGCGGCGAGTCCGTACGAGAGGACAGAGTGTGGGTGAGAGAATAACAGCACCAAAACCACGAATACTTGGAGGATGCAATATGGGAAAAGAATTTGTTGAGAGAGTTCGCGGTCTGGACTTGTACCCCCCCTGGTATTGCACGACCAAAAGCGCCCCAAACTGCAGAGTGGATTCCCACTAGCCGTAGCTTCGGACAGGTTCATGGGGCCCTGCAATATCCGCTGTTGTTGTCCCACAATGTCAGTGCTTCCTCCATCCTCCTCCAGGCTGAGGGGGAGTGGGAGCCCATCCTCACCCGCACTCTCCAGGTGTCTCCAGGACTCTGTCTGGGATTGAGGAGGGAGGTACCTTGCCCGACCACCCACATCTCTCCCTCTCTCTTGGGCGTACCCTGTCGCCTCTGTTTTTTACTCTTGGGCGCGCAAGAGACAAAAAAGTATCCCTCCCGTCGACGCCAGTGCATACGCAGTAGACGTTGGGCACAGCCAAAGTCAGGCAGACAGGCAGGTAGCTCTCAAAGGAGAGACACGAACACCTGAGGATGGGGTGGTCGAGTGTGGCAACGCTAAAGTACCGGAGCTCTAGTAAGGTAATGTAGGTAGAGTAGGTCAGTAGCTTTCCTGCTAGCGCGAACAGGAATTCTGGGCGGGACGGGAAGACACTGGATTGTCCAACCACGCAACCACACCACCACACATCAGGCCAGGCCTTTTGCCCGCGCGCGCGCTCTCTCTCGCTTCCCAGACACCAGACCTTCGTAACTAAAACCTTTCTTCCCCGCAAACAACTTCTCTTCGGTTGAGAGCTCTTGTCTTCCATTTTTGTTGTCGTCGTTCCCGTCTGTCTTGCCCAAGACCTCCCACACTTCTATTGTTTTAAATCAAAGCCTTGTCCATCCACAAGCCATCTCGAGAGCTTCTCCAAGCTGCGACGTCCCTCACATTTCCAACCGCGTCACCTTGGTTACCGGTGAGTGCCTACCTGACCTGTTGCATCCTTGCGTCATCCCAGCTTCGATTGAGTCTCAACTTCCCCGGCGCAAGCTTTCTGCCTTCCTTTTCTACCATCAATCCGCATTTCCGACTGCAGCATTTGAGCTGTCCGTCTTCCTCAGCAGCTGACATCTCGGCCCAGCATCTCTAGAGTCCCATCCTCCATCATGTCCGACTTCCCACAAGGTCAGCGGGACAATAACGACCGTCCCGCCCGCGACGTGAAGAATCACTTGCTGTTTGAGATCGCGACAGAAGTTGCCCATCGAGGTAATATCCCCAGGCCCTCCCCCCGGATTGCCGTCTCCGCAGCGGGCTGACCCATTCTGTGCAGTTGGCGGTATTTACTCAGTTCTCAAGTCCAAGGCGCCTGTGACGACGGCCGAATATGGCGACCGCTACACGCTCATCGGTCCCTTGAACCACAACTCGGTAAGATTGGGATTACTTGGTGTGGGTTTGTCATTTTGCTGACCAGACACAGGCCGCAGTCGAGGTTGAGGAGCTGGAGCCCACGAATCCCGAGCTTGCTGCTACGATTCAGTCCATGAGAGACCGTGGCATCGGCATCCTCTACGGCCGATGGCTCATCGACGGTGCTCCGCGAGTCCTGCTCTTCGACACCAAGACAGCCTACCACTTCATGGATGAGTGGAAGGCGGATCTGTGGAACGTTGCCAGCATTCCCTCGCCGCCTAATGACGATGAGACGAACGAGGCCGTCATTTTTGGATACGTCGTCGCGTGGTTCTTGGGAGAGGTAAGAAAGGCGAGACTTGCCGGGGAAACATAGCTGACTGTCTGCAGTTTGTTTGCCATGAGAAGAAGAAGGCTGTCATTGCGCATTTCCACGAGTGGCTTGCCGGTGTCGCCCTTCCCCTCACTAAGAAGCGTCGCATCGATGTGACGACCATCTTCACCACCCACGCAACCCTTTTGGGAAGGTACCTCTGCGCCGGCTCTGTCGACTTCTACAACAACCTGCAATGGTTTGATGTTGATGCAGAGGCCGGAAAGCGTGGCATCTACCACCGCTATTGTATCGAGCGTGCTGCCGCCCACTCTTGCGACGTTTTCACGACGGTATCGCACATTACTGCCTACGAGAGCGAGCATCTACTCAAGCGCAAGCCGGACGGTGTGCTCCCCAACGGCTTGAACGTCACCAAGTTTTCTGCCATGCACGAGTTTCAGAACTTGCATCAGCAGGCCAAGGAAAAGATCCACGACTTTGTCCGTGGACACTTCTACGGCCACTACGACTTTGACCCCGAGAACACGCTTTACTTCTTCACCGCCGGCCGCTACGAGTTCAGGAATAAGGGTGTCGACATGTTCATCGAGTCTCTGGCCCGGTTGAACCATCGCCTCAAGACCGCCGGCAGCAAGATCACCGTCGTTGCCTTCGTCATCATGCCGGCCCAGACCACGTCGCTGACAGTCGAGGCTCTCAAGGGCCAGGCCGTCATCAAGTCGCTGCGTGACACTGTAGACGTCATCGAGAAGGGCATCGGACGTCGCATCTTCGAGCGCTCGCTCAAGTGGCACGACGGTGACCCGATGCCCGATGACAAGGAGCTCATCAGCGCCCAGGACCGCGTCCTCATCCGCAGGCGGCTGTTCGCGATGAAGCGCCACGGTCTTCCCCCCATTGTTACTCATAACATGCTCAACGACAGCGAAGACCCCGTCCTCAACCAGATTAGGCGCGTCCAGCTCTTTAACCACCCTACAGACCGCGTCAAGATCGTCTTCCACCCAGAGTTCCTGAACTCGGCCAACCCAGTCCTGCCTCTGGACTATGACGAGTTCGTGCGCGGCACGCACATGGGTATCTTCGCGTCGTACTACGAGCCATGGGGCTATACCCCTGCCGAGTGCACCGTCATGGGTGTGCCCAGCATCACAACCAACCTGTCCGGCTTCGGATGTTACATGGAGGAACTGATTGAGAATTCGAGCGACTACGGTATCTACATTGTCGACCGCAGGACCAAGGGAGTTGACGACTCTGTCAACCAGCTTACGACGCACATGTTCGACTTTTGCCAAAAGAGCCGTCGTCAACGCATCAACCAGCGTAACCGTACGGAGCGCCTCAGCGACCTATTGGACTGGAAGAGGATGGGCATGGAGTACGTCAAGGCTCGCCAGCTGGCACTAAGGCGGGCCTACCCAGGCTCCTTCAGCGGCGATGAGGAGGAGGACTTCATCCCTGGCGTGGAGCAGAAGATCTCGCGGCCCTTCTCGGTGCCCGGTTCTCCTCGCGACCGCACTGGCATGATGACGCCCGGCGACTTTGCCAGCTTGCAAGAAGGTAGAGAGGGACTGAACACCGAGGACTACGTCGCGTGGAAGTTGCCGTAAGTTGAAGAAGTTGGTCTGCTGATGTTACGAAGCTAATGCGCGTTTCCAGTGAGGAGGAAGACCCCGATGAATACCCCTTCCCTCTTACCCTCCGCGCCAAGCGCCCCTCCGGCCCGGCGAGCCCTCTCGACGGAGTGCAGCTGAATGGCAACTAAGGGCGGTGACCTTTCGCCGAGGGTACACGAGGCACAAACCGTTGCCGGGCACGCCTCCAAAAACAACGGACAGCAGACGGTGGAACATGTACAAAACGCTATCGAATATTCGCTGGTTATCCGTCCCGGTCCAACCAGACTGTCTTCGGTCGTCGACCAGTCGCGATTCACGATTTTATATAGGATATGGACGGATGTAATGGGCTATGGGGAGAATGCGTGAGCAATGCAACAAAAACAGCTGCGACGATGGGACTGCATGGGTGAATATGGATATGTACGAGCAGAGTAGCATATTTGAGCATTAGATTGGTTTTCGGACATTTCCTCGCCAAAGGTAGTGGTGCATCATCCGTTGGACATGAAGACATCATGCTTGGGTGTCACGGGCGGTAGGGGGAAGGCGGGAGTCCGTAGGTGCGAAAGCCCAGGATTGAGGTGTTTCGTTTCAAAATAGCAGAGGATCGGCTTGGCCACCCAGGGTGAAGATGATGATCCGTGAATCGATGCGTGCTCGTTGCTCCTTGGGAGGTCAGGGGTAATGCAGACCCCTGAGATGACCGTAGCGAGGGCGAATCAGGACCGGCGTTGACTGCTTCCCCCACAATGACGGTCGGCCAATTCAGGGGTCCCTAGAATGGGTAGGGCGCCTCGAGGTGGAGCACGCTGGATGGGTGACTTTGGGACGCACCGAGGCGCCACTAAAACTTCCCCTGGCTGCCGCTTTCTACCGGGTGGCGACCCTCACTGTTCGGTGGCTCCCTGCCTTTCTTTGTCGTTGCGGCATCCCGCTGTGCCGTCTTTGTTGGACATGATTCATTGTCGTGGGCTCAAGGGAGCAATAACAACAAAGTAAGATAGACGGTTCATCTGGCCGTTGTCACCCGGTCACGCTTCTGGAAATTTTCATCTGAAGTTTAAAAGACGAGTTTGGGCCGTTCAGGGCAGTGACTTGCCAGGCCATCCCAGACAACAACCGTTGGCGTCTGCTCCCAAAGCAGAAAGGCCTACATGTGCCACCTTACCGGATAGTTCCTACCTACTTTATTAAGTAAGATTATTAGCCCACCGGACCCCTCGTTCAGCTCGGCGCAACGAGCTGACCACCAGCAAACTTCAACTTCGCACCATCAAACTTTGGTTGGCCGTAGCGTTGGACCTGCAGAAGCCTCACTTCCGCCCCCAATCCATCCAAACGCCGGTGCCGACCGGCCAATGCCACGCCGGGACCCGTCGATTTAATATATTATTCCCCTAATACCACTCTTGGCGAGCCCTTCTCCCTTCCCATCCTCCTCCGTTCCCCAGACTCGAAGCTCGCCCTTCGGCCTCTGCAGAAGATGAGGTTTTTTCGCAAAGATAAGGACAAGAAGAAGCAGCAGCAGCAGCAGCAGCAGGGTCATCAGCAGCAAAAGTCCCACGATTTCACCGACCAGCAATTATCCAAGTACTCGTCGCAGGTCCAGCAGAACTACCGCAACGTTGTCTCGCCGCCTGGCACCCATATCCCGACCCGAGCCTCCGCTGCCCTCTTCCGGAGCCTGCCAAAGGAGATCCTCCCGCGGATCTTCTCCTTCGTCTGCCCGCACACCCACGATGAGACGTACGAGACGTGCGAGACGAGCGCCATCTTCGACGCTTGCATGCTATGCGACCTGAGGGATCTGGCCCATTGCGCGCGCGTCTGCTGGAAATGGAACCAGGTGGCCAACGCCCTGCTGTACGTTGCCTTCCACCATGCGCTGAACTCCCGCTGACTTGACATTGCACCAGGTACCATAGCATCCGCATCGACGCCGTCCACTACTGCCCTCGCGAGATCTACCTGTCGGAGCAGCGCAAGCGCAAGACCTTTTTCAAGCGTAACGCTGACCCTGAAGACACCCCCACTGTTCGCCTGAAGTTGCTATGCAGGACCCTGCGCGAAGACCCCACGCGCTTTGGTGCCCGAGTTCGCTATTTCAAAGTGCCCTACATGCTCCGGGAGGCCGCTACAGCCGATCTCGCTCGCATCATCCACGTGCTTCCGAACCTGCTCTACGTCGACCTGCCCGAAGGTCTCTTCGCCGACGAACACGGATATGCCACGCTGAGGCTCGAGGTTGAGGCTAGATGCCGAGACCTCCGCAAGATGACATACCACGGAGGCGCCGAGGGCAGCTTGTCTAAGATTGCGCGCGGCGGTATTTGGCAGAACCTTGAGGTCCTCGAGCTGATTAAGATCAACATGGACCCGATCGTTCTGCGGCATGCTCTGGCCAACCTGCGGATGCTACGCGCGTTGAAGGTGATGGACTCGCGAGCCTTCTCGGACGATATTTTCGCCCGCAGCGAAGACCTGCCTCCTTTCCCGCCCCTTGAGGAGCTGATCCTCAGCAACACCCCTTCGGTCACCACCAACGGCTTGGTCGACTACCTGAGCCGTGCTGATACTCGCAACCACCTCCTCGTCCTATCTCTCCTCAAGACTGGGGTTCACCCCGCGACACTCGCCGATATTCTGTCTGCGGCTACGAACCTGCAAACGCTGGCCATCGAGGCCTCGGTAAGCGACCCTTTCAAAAGTGGACCGAAAACGCGTCGGCTCGCGTCAACCTCTCTGGAGTCGCTGCGCTTCGAGATCACTGCGCACAAGTCTGCGGGCCCCTACTCCAGCGTGACAGCTAGTTACTACACATACCTGGCGGCATCGCTCAGGGGCAACGGCATGCCCAACTTGAGGTCGGTTTACGTCCTGGACGAATATTTCCAAGACGAGCTCGAGGGTCTGCCTCGCCCCGCAGCACCGTTCTCGTACGGCGCCAACGCTCGACCCAAGTCATCTCACTCGGTCACTTCGCATCGGCCAATGTCGGGCTTGCATAGCGGTAGACGTGGTGGACTCGCACCACCTAGCAGCGCCGGCATGGCGGTTCCCCGTCCCTTCGCCGCGGCTTCGAACGTTCGCGCCTCGCAGCGCTTCAGCTCTACGAACCCCTTTGCTGGCACAGGACCGCTGTCTCACCCCCTCACGATCTATACCAAGGCGGACGACGCACTAGACTGGTCGTCGGTGATGATCCGGCCTACAGCGCCTATGGGCGGCGGATCCCACCATCGCGGGAGCATGAGCTTCCACGGCGACCGTCCCATCAGCTCCTACGGTCTGGGTGCTGATATCGCGGGCTCTGGGTGGAACACGGCGGCAGCGAGGAAGAGTGTCATGGTTGGCAACGGCGCGGGCATGTTCGTAGCCATTCCGAGCCAGAGCACCGGCGGCAGCAAGGGAAGTGATGAGGACCTGTGGCCCAGACCCAGCACAGCGAACAACGAAAAGAAGTCGACGGACCTTTGGCGGTGATGGAGAACCACGAAACTGGACGAACGAGGGACAACTTGGAGGGTTGCCCAGCCCAACGAATCCAGGGGAACGAAGCCCAAGACGAGAGACGTTTTCAATGATGTGAGATTTGGGAAGGGATGAAGGCATCAGAGGGAGGCAGGAGGGCAAGGCAAAAGGCAAAAGGGGCACAAAGAATTCATGGCGGGCCCGAAATCTGCTTCTTACTTCTCTTCACGTTCTTATTTGTTTGAGGAAAGGACACCTCGGGACACTTGGGATGCCTGACGTTGCTTACGCTTGTAACAATACTATACCCCGACGGTTTTTTTTACGGAGTAGCAAGGGTGTTTAGCACAAGACTTTTTTTTTTCCAAATATGGAATATGCTTAGGCTTCGTCCCTGTGCTGCCTGTATGTGCTGAGGATTTCCGCGGCGCGGGAAATGACTAGACTGACGTATGGGAGCCGAGATGTGGGTGGTTGCCCGCAAGAAACTCGAGAACGACGGCGGCAGGCTGGCCTGTGATGCTTGGCGTTCGTCGATGGAGTCGGCTGCCCCAGGCTTCACTCATTGCAAACCTAAAAAGACTCGAACAAGTTGAAATCCTTGTGAGCACTAGATCGTCTTCAACGAGGGTCTGCGTCGTGTCACGTAACTGGTATTCCAACCCAGGCTTAGAGGTCCTTGACGGCAGAAGGAATACGAGGCTGAGCCGACGGCAGCCCGGTGGTTCCAGGACCTGGCCCCTTGCATGGCAAGCAGATACGACAGGGTTGGGTTTTGAAGAGGGGCCTATCTAAGCTTGTCCAGGGCCATGTTCCGATTCCGTGGGTTGTTGATTTTCGCCTTCATACCCCGTTGAGAATACTTGGGAACAGATTCACCTCCGAAAGGCTTCAGGCCAGAGACTATTACGGGCCTTCCTCTGCAGTAGGTCGAGATGGCCGTCGTGCGGGCGGGATCCATCCGACAAAACGAAGACCAAGTTGATTGTCAAAAGCACTATATATAAGAACAAGCAGTCGAGCTTCTCGATCAAGAGGAATCAGGAAGATGTGTGAGTAGCTTGGCCAGGCTCTTCTTGTTGCTAATCTCATAATGGACTGAGGTTAACCATCACTCTTACAATTGTGCCTTGACATCTGCTTTGCGTATTAAGCCTCATGGTCATGGAGACCCTTGAAATGAACGCATTTGAAGCCCCTTTTACCTCGCTGGACGAGATACTTTAGCGCCCAGACTTCGTTGTGACGGGTCCAGGGAAGTGAAAGTGAATGGACGACAAGAGTGCTCGAACAGTTACACTTGATTCCCATGAGAGGGCTCAGGCAGTCATACAATCAAGTCGCTCATGGCCCTTACACATGGAATCCCTGTGGCATATCCAACCCCTGTGTCTCGTCCAGCATGAGGAGCCTTTCCCTTTTCCTCATCCCGCCGTTGCCGCTCGAATTCGTATAATTTATCCATGCAATATTGAGGCACACAGCTCTGTTCATTGGTACTACTAGCATCCTAGGCGTCGGTATCGGCGGAAAATGTCCTGTTGTGGGAAAGAACTGATCGGTTGGAGCGAAAGAAGCGTGGTGCCGCACGATCCATCAAAAACTCATCAAACATCTGAGCATTACAAGGCGTTTCTCATAGGTACCAAGCAGCAAAATACGACATACTGCAGTCGTAAGGCGTAAACTCTCATCATGAGAGGCAGAATCGTTGTTGGAGCTAGGCGCCTGTGTCATTGCAGGGGTTCTCTGGCTCGCATTGACGAACAGCCGCTGGAGACCGGCTTAACAATCTTGGTACCTACCAGCAATGGTCTAGCTTTGTAGGCAGCTCATTTGGGGGCCAACAGACCACTGTCAAAATGCCGACAGGCAACTTACCACTCCATTTTGCTTAGACATGGATACATTTGAACCCAATACCCTCTCTAAGATGATAATCTCGGCCTCTCTTCTCCTTGTGGTTACTGCATTCTTTGCGGGAAGCCTATTCCGGTCTTCCGCAACCGCAGCAAACGGCATCCCTGACTTTGAGGATATAGATGAGGTTACGGATGAACCTGAAAGCTTTAGAATGGAGCCTTCCGTCGACAATACACGATTCCGTACCAGCTTTTATCCGTACTATAAGATGGTGTATGGGTGACCTAGCACTGGAGGCTTTTACAAGTTGCAATGCAACAGCGTTGACCTTGAATTCCTTGGTCTTGACCGCCTCGTCCCAACAACACGGAGCGACGACCCAGCAAGCGAAGATACCCACTGCGCCAACATGCGTAAACTCGGTGCTAAGTTTTACGAAAGCGATTGGGACTACCATTTGAAGACTACTAGGTACAGAAGCGAATATCAACGCTATCTGAAAACCGTGGAGATTGGCAAGGAAAACTCCTTGCGGCTGAAGAGGCCGCCGAGTCCGCCGAGAATTTCATCGAGGTTTTTGGATGGCCTACAACTGGCGGGATCTGGGCCTTGAATGTTTCTACCGAGAAAATGCACTCGTTTGGCATCAGAAACGCCTTCACGATGGACGAAAAGTGCCGGGCGATGGAGATGATGGGCGGTGTCTTCTATGCCGACCCGAATGACTGCCCAGGCTTGGACCTTGTATCGACATAACTGGACAAAGGCACATTTTTGGAACTGTGCTTTTATTGTCTGCTTTATGACGAGATGTAGAATGAGTTTAACCTTTGCATGGAGGTCTTTGGCTAGAAACAGGCTGTGCCAGGAGACCGGGATTAGGCTGCGACTTGGCGGAGGTTTTTTATTGAGTTGAAAGTATTATTCTTACGGTCATGGATGAAGATGGAGACTTTGGAGCTGCTCTTTAATCTGTGATATCACTCTGCTCGTAGCCAGCAACACTCGTAGCTAAGGGCACCATGGTCCTCGTTTTCAAGCTACTCCTTCAAGTATGAACACCTAATAATTATACAATGACACCAGTCTCAACATCAGAGCATCAAATATTTCAGTCTCGACTTCTTTTTTAATACATGTGAGAGACAAAGTAGTGCTGTGCGAGTTGTTGGGAGTGCTGGATATGTATCTGTCTTTTGTTGCTTGAATACTCCTAGCGCATAACTCTAACATCAAGGTCCTTTGCCGACTACCCGTCACATCACAAATTCTACAAAACGCTTGGGTATACATATGGAATGTAAAATGGAACTGTACCGATCAGCGGTTTGTTGTTTCTACGTTTTGAGGGAACATAACAGTACTGTGCATGTAATGATCTTGTCAAAAAACATTTTGCTGCCGGCGAGAACTGATCTATTGTATACATATTGCCGGAAAGACTTACAGTATCATACTACTACAATGGTATTCGTTTTCATTCGTATTACGATATAAACCCATCTTTTGTTGTGGCTGATGAGTCGAGAGAATGGGGCAGAAAGTGGCTGGACCTATGTTAGAAGTTCGTCCTACACAAATCCCGGGACTGTATACTACGCCCTTTGATATTTTGGGGCTATGGCGTTCTAGCATACGCGATGAAAATTCTGGATATGGTCGAAACACAAGGAGTATGTAAAATTGCATGTACCCTCGGTCGCTTGACTCGATGCCTGGCGGATCTTGCAACCCGATTGCTTCTCTCGTCATACAGATCCTATCTTTGGTGAAGCAGGCTCACTGCTGTAACCTTAAGGTGCTGCCCTGTAGAAAGTACGGTATGTATGCCACTGCCCTAATAGGAAATGTTTGGCTAGATGTTATCCAGCAGGCTGTCTACACAACCTCATAATTTATGCGCATGCACGCGCCGTCTCATACCAGCACATCCAAGTGGGTGGCGTGTCCCACACGTAGCCTGCCTCATACCAGTGCACCTATAGGTAGGTAGGCAAGCGGGTGACAAAAAAAGCCGGACACCTTCAAGGAGGATTTAGGTAGGGGATACCTAGGCTGAGTAAGGAACGTTAAGGATGACGATGTATTACTGATCGTAGTTTTAGTGCGGGAGTACCTAAGTTATCCCCAACTCTTAAGGTGTACGGCTTTCTTTGTCACCCGCCTGGTAGGTTATCCCTCGCGAAAGAGGGGTCATAGGTCTAAATAGCCGTGTCTGCTGCGAAGAAAATGGATGGATGTGAATAGTCGAAACGACTTTAGGCAATTTCAAAGGTGGTAGTAGTTAGTGGATTGTTAGAAAATGAAGATCTCTAATCCTACTATTGAAGGTTGCCGGTTTGCACATGCTTATGTTTACCTCTGGCGTACAGACGGAAAGTTCAATTCTCGACACTGGTTAACGCAACGGACAGTGGTAGAATTTCCCGGCATTTTCCCGGGCTAGCCTTGTTATCAACCCCTCACGGCAGGTCGCCGCATATCCTCTTGTTCCCTAATGCAATAGCAACGAGCCTCACTTAAGTAGATGTTATCTGACCGCCTTACATTCGGACACGTCGTTCTTGAATATTGATAGTACAATACAAGTGAAGACCAACCCCAACTTTAAGAGGAACAACCGCCTATTCATCTCCTCCGCTGTCAAATCAGTGCCTGATCTATCATGGCCTCAACACGAGAAGTCGAACTACTGAGCGCTTTCGGCGCCAAGCAAAACGCAATAGGGGGGAACCGGGCGTTGGAGGGATTTTCTACGGCCGTTGTGCACCACACAATATCGAGAGACGATACAGATGGTGATTCTTCTCGACAACAGCGCCTCCTCGCAGGTTGGGTCGAGAAAACCCGATGGCAGCGCTCGCCAGTTTCTCGAACTGAGCAAGGCGAACCGTCAGCAGAAACTGACAAACGGTTCGGTAAAGAGCTGGAACAGACAAAGTGGAAAGATGACTTAGTGGAGTGGCCAGCAATACCCAGGGAGATGAGGCGAGCCCGACGACTGCGAAAAGTAGTGTCACGTACATCACAAGCACCAACGTCCGCTGAGTCGCCTGTCTTTTTACGCACCTACGGGTCTTATGACTCGCTCAACGAAGATGCACAAACGTACGCGGATTCACCAGTCGTTAAACGCAACTATGTGTCTCATGACTCCCGCACTGAAGACGAAGACGACAATAGATCAACCGGTTCTTCGAATGCCGACAAGGTGCGCGACACCGAACCCTACGCATCAGACAGAGAGCACATGCTGTCGCCATTTTCAATGCAACATCGTCGGTCCTGGGACGAAGAGATCCACAGCGGATTAAATCCCATCTTCAAGGAGCTCCGCGCCCGCCAGGCCGCCAGCTACGAGAAGCCGTTCCTAACAGGCGACGATATCCTCGTGCTTCATCTTGCCTCGGGACGGGGCCCGACATAGCCCTTCGTTAGAACGCCCCGTTGCCTACTTCTTCCTCAGGTTTCTAATGATTTAGAGTGACAAAGAACGAGATTATAAATTCACCTATTGGTTGTCCTGAGCTAAAGTCTCTGTGGCCTTCTGTCTGCCTCTCGACCTCGGTCCCATAACACGTCATCAGCTACACAAGACACATTCGCCAACTTTTTGACTAGTTCTTCAATCATCTGACAGCTAAACTGGCAGTCTTAGCGCCTTTGAAGTCGTCAGTTTCCAGAAACCGCCTAATAAATCATTCCTAAAGCTACATTTTGTCGCGTAGCTTTATGACTATTTATCTCACCATTGTTGGGGAAGAGGTAAGAGTCACCGCTATCTATTTCCCACTATCCTGTCGACGACTAACCCGAATACCCAGGAATGCACTAGGTGAGCTGAGTAAAACGGAAGGAGGTCGTTCGAGCGATCCCTTCCACACTGAAGCGCATGTTTGGCCGTTAACTACGGGTCTTGAAAACGAGAAGCCTACCTTTCGGTAGCGTATATCACCAAAGACGTTTGAGACCAAAGCCATATTTTACTGACATACTAGTAGAGCACTAGATTATCCCATTTATAAGCCATTGAAGTGTTTGTATTCTATTCATGAGAACAGTGTTTGACTACCTGCGAGTCGACAGACAATGACCCGGCGTGCGACAAAATTGGGACCGTGACCAAAAGCTCTCAAGACTACTGCGTCGTCGTCCGATTGTCATAGATTAGAGAATCTTTCTTCTCTACTGAAGGCGATATTAGTAGAACCACGAAAGTCACCGGCAAACAACTTCATCTCGGGGACTCTACACGTCCTACACACTCCAAGCAACAATGAAGGATTCACGGAAACACTGACTCGACCTGCAACGGGCCAATTTCCCAACGTGTTACTTGTGTTGGCGTTGACGAAGCAAGCCAACACCCCAGATGTTCAGCTATGCACTGAATGCGACGGAACCGGCTTATATCTTGTGAATAAGAAGCCTGAGAAGTAAGAAAGCCCAGATGTCTCAATCGACACTTTCTGGAGTATCCTCTACACAAGGACAACTAGCACCTGTGCGGTTCAAACTCCAAAAGATAGTCTTAGTCGAATGCATAAACGTCATGCCCTATGGTTCATCAGTCTCAAGAAACAGTAAAGGTTCAGTAGTGCACACAACCTCGACAAGAAACAATGTCTCGCCCTCCAACTCGTATCCTTCCAGAATGGAGTAACCCGGGTTCACCTCCCGGCCCTGAGCTAGCCAGCAAGGGTTCGGATCCAGCAAAGAAGTTGGAGCTGAGGGAATCAAAAGCAAGCCTCCACGTTCAAGTCTCTCAGCACTGCGCCGCTTCCATCATCACAGCTGAGCCTCGAGGCCCTCACGGTTCTAGAAGGATGTCTTCCAACAGACGAGGACAACAAAGTCCTCCCGGGCAGCAACGGGACCTGGTCTGCGTACCCTTTGCTGCATCGAACCACTCTGCGAATGCAAGAGCATGCAACTAAGGTGCCCTCCAGCAACTGCATTTCCAATCAAATCCTGCGAGGCCCAACATACCCCAGCCTCGAGCACGGGAGGTAACTCGTTCAGCCCCGGACAGAGAAACCTCGCGTGGGTGAGGCTGAGGTCTCAATCGACAGACTGTGGCTTCCTCCGCCGGCCGTGCTTTGCATCGCGCGTCCTCATTTCCTTCCTAGACTGCATGTTTGACCATGCCGTACGAATAAGCAAGAAACCCTCTCTCGGTTACCTCGTTGAGCCAGAGCTGTCTCAAGCCGTGGGATTGATATGCTGGCCCTCCTGTCCACTATCGTCGCTTCGCACAGTCCACAGACTTCTTTACAGTGTGACCGAAACCGAGACCATGAATTAGAGGGCAAGACATCTCATAGGCAAGGTTCCAGAGAGGCACAGTTTGTAAACAATGATGGACCCTGAGGTTTTTTCTTTTGTTTACTGCTTTCGACAGTGGTCTTGGAACGCAAAACCCTTGCCACGGCGATGAGACACCGGGGACGGGCCGCCACATGGCGCTTCACACTCAGATGTACCCTTGCGCGGAACCTGATACCGACGGCCAGATGTATGCATCTCTAGATGCACGGGAGATGAGGCTCCCTGCGATGATTCTCGGAACCACGGCAGACGCCCGGCGACAAGAAATTGTAAAGAGGGTCGCCGCAAATCGCCGGGGAATAAGACTCCATCATCACGATATGCTGTCAGTTTCATGCCCTTCGATAAACGAACCTTGATTCTCATATCAAGACCCTTGAATCAAGGTTGTACCAAAAAAAAAGAGGTACATCGCCAGAATATGTGGTGTACTGTGTGACCTCATCCTGTGCAACAAAACCCCCCTCCGCGGCATCCTGCTTGCTCGCGATGACGGCCTGCAGATGACTCCATCGTCGCGTTTCTGCGGGCTGACTGCCTGCTGAGCGCGACATGTTTGCGTGCGTTTCCCGCTACTGCACGTAGCAAGGGTTCTGACAACAAGAACGCGTGGTCCTGCGGTGCGAGTCTAGGTAGCCTTCACCATTCCGGTTGCGTATGACTATAGACACTTAGCCTCCAAAAAAAAAATAAAAGCAGGGCAGAGGGTCCTGGCCATCTTGTCGTCAGCATCTTGACCCCTGTCAGACCCTGCAGCTCGGCTGTGGTGAGCTCGGCTCGTCGAGACCGAACCAAGGCTAGAGCCACGAACCGCGGGATGCGAAGTTGGCAGACGATGATGAGCCTCCGTCCGAAAGCCGCCCCAGGGGTATCGGGGCGATGATGAACACACGGTCCAACTGCATTCTTGCGTCGACGTCGGACGGTTCCAGACCTTGCTTCTGGAAATCCAACGACAGACGCGCTTGCGGCAATGTGAGGGTGGGGTATGTTGGAGGGGGAGTGCAGAGGTAAGCGACGTCATGATGCATTTCCCATCTCAGCACACCCACGCAAGAAACCAGATCCAACCTACCCATTCCCACGTTCTCGCCAGACCACCAGGACATAATTCAGAACGTGGCCGGAGGCTGTCCAGCGACAGCGGCGATCGCGAGAGAAGGTTCGCGCTACTACTATGTACAAGCCAAGGTGCCCTGTCTGGGGATATGGCATCCTGCAGTTTGTATGCGCCCATGACACTGTGGCACTGTGGCACACATGTACAGGTATACCGTGGCATCGCGGAACCAAGGTTAGGCTCTAGGCTGAGCGAGTTGTGGGTGCGTGGCGAGCAAGACTGGCCTGCAGCGACAAAAGGAACCCAACACAGAGGGCCTCTAGAGAGGTTGGAGAGGAGACGGCGGAGCCTCTGCCGCGTGCCGAAGCATGACGAAAAAGTAATGTCTTTTGCCTTGTATATCTTTTTTTGGACCAGTCCATCAGGGCGAACCTACGGGATACCACAGCAAACCGTGCAACGGACGTCTCGAGTGCAGGGGAGTTGGCGATGGGGGTTTGGCTCCAGAACCCAACCTCTGCAACGCCTGAATGAGTCGCTAGCTTGGGCTTGTTACGCCCGCACACATGAAAGGGCAGCAGGCTTAAAGAAACCGTCCAGCAGGCGCGAGGTGACGTCGAGGAATGCTTGGTGGTTGGGCGTTGGGTGCAGAGTGTGGGGATGTTGCAGGGATGATGTCATGTCGCCGGTCCCATTCAATATCCTGTGGTGTGGGTGGCCCGTCTTGTGGAGACTGCTACGAGCACACGGCCAGCCGGGCACGGTGCACTATCGGGGCCAGCAGTGGACGGACGCGGGGGGGTTGATGCGGAGGCGGAGACGGCCATCGGGAGCACCTGGCCGGGAGTCAACGCCCCCACTCACCGGCCTGATCGTCGCCGCATTTGTGGCAGTCGGCTTGAGAGGTGCCGTTTCATACCTGGGGAAACGGAGTCGATTTGTTTCAACCCCTCCGTGAGGCCATTGCGCGACAGTGCATTGCCCAAACAAACGCCTGAATCATTCGCAACGGTGCAATTCGTGTCGACGCGGCAAGTGCAACACCAACCGTAAGATTTGGTACGGTTCAGCGTGTTTCGTTCCGTTTCAGCGCGCGGGCGGAGGGCCTCGCAACGCATCGAGGTCGTCTTGGCATCGTAACAATATGGGCGGTCGCCCGTCATGCTGTGACGGAGAACAGCTCTGGTGCTACCAAGGTTGCTAATCTCTTGGTGCGACTGTTGAGCAAGTCCAACAGCACGGACGCAGTGATGCTGCATCCTGAACCACCACGGAAACATTATTCTTTCCTATATCGGCCATGCCAGCCTTGCCGACGACCAGGTACATATCCAGACAGTGCAGACAAACACCAGACTTCTGCGCGTACGATTCCGAAAGACTGGAATGGCGCAGTTGCCTGTTAGCACCGCATGCTCGTCAGCACCGTAACCTTGTTTGTCAGCCATCCAAACAAGAGCAAGCTGTGAGCCACAGCCAGCTCGGACGCAAACGAACGAACCAGAAGGGTGCCTTCAAGAAGACATCGCCTATTGCGAGGGCTGCGGCAAGCGCCTCTCATCTCACTGTAAGCCTACAACTAGTTCGTCCGTTTCTTTGCCGCTGTGTAGGGGGTGATTATTTCCACGTGCCGCTCCTATCACTCAACATCCCTAAGGGGATGTTGCATTGAGTCTCTGGTAAGGAGTTGTGTGTGATAATCCTCAAAGGAAGCGCGCATCCCGCTAGGCACCCAAAATTGATCTTGATAAACTGGGGAAATGGAGACTTCAGGGCATGCTTCAGATCCTGCCGGCAGAACAGCCTGGCTGCGCCTCTTTTCTTGCAACTAGATAGATGGACTAAGCTTGTGCCTGGAAGATAAACTGAGTCGTGACGCTTGATCTGCCAAGCCGTACGAAAATAGCGAATGCTTGGAGACGAGAGCGGGAGGGGGGAGTCGTCAGCCTGTGGACAGAATGGAATGTAAGCGGCCTTGGGTGCTCGCGTACAGGTTGACAACCTGCATAGCCCCAACATTGGACTGCTGACATCCCATC